TGAGTCTTATACCGTACGATCAAGACATTGTTAGAAATAATAGTCAAATTTTGACCATCCAACTCAGGGGCATTAATATTAATGCTATTGTTATCAAGATGCGAATTAGTTTCATTGCCAACATCATTATATGCAAAAATATTTGCAGAAGTGGAAGGGTGCCTGCTTTCTGCATGTCCCATGGTTTTATGAACCGTCTGTTGGGACGATCTAACACCAGAAGCAGTGGAAGCAGAAGGGGCAGAAAGAACAGCAGCGTCATGCATCTCTGTGTCTTCGGACAGAGAGCTGTCGTAACCGAAGAGGTCGGCAGGAGAAGGAGAAGAAGGTTCGTAATTGCTTGCAGTAGACATTTTTGTTACAGTAAGGTTCTTCCTTAAAAAAATTGTGGTATTTGACGACTTGTAGAGTTAAATATCACTTACATAGTTAAAACAATAAAAAGTTAACGAGATCAAACTAGTAGGTCTTTATTTTGAATCAGGTTAAGTTCGAAGAGAAGAAAAAATATCTATTGCAAGAATTTGAATATCTTCTTCATATTGCGGAACATAGAAACTGACAGCTGAGTTATTCTGCTCAATGAAGACGTACAACATATGAGGTTAACAGATCCATAGTACATATAGTACTTCAATAATAATTCACTCTTTCACAATGATCTGTCAGAAAGCGGACATTGGTTAGTGGTCTTATCATTCTATTTATATATTCGTCGCCAATTGCTTACAGTCCGATACTCTAACCTTTCAATGAGTAAGTACCCGCGCTCAACCATAGTGAAGGTACCCGTGTCTTTGATGAAACAGTCTATATGACACCGGCTAAACCCGCTCTACTCAGCCCAACACATCATCCTTTAAAAGATAGAAGATTTTTCATAATCTAGATATGTTTTGCTTTTGTACGATTTTCACTGAATAAAGAGTATAACAAGTTCTCACAGAATTCTAACTTTTTTTTTATTAACCTTAATTCTTTGAAGATCAACAATTATGTATTTGTGCGCGTGTTTATCTTGATTTTCGACTCTTGTACCTACTGTATAAGTCTTTTAAAGTAACTGGATAAATCAAATATAAAGTAGAGTAAGAAACGAATATAGAATAAGTGATGATTCTTCTACGAGATTAGCTACCTCGTATAAGGCTGAACAGGTTGCCATTTAGGATACATATACAGTAGCTTACTTATTTTACTGTAAAACGTTACTATATGGACATGCAGGATATATTGATTCAACACCAAGGTATAATAGGATTTAAATACTTTTCTCTGCCTTCGGCATAAAGAATGATTACAAGATACAGTAATAGGCTGCGATCATCCTTCTTTACAATAACTGTTCACTCAATTCAAACACCACGCACGAATACCATTTTCCTAATTAATACTGTCATGATCTGTTGAGACAACCCAGTCCAGCATAATGAGACAACAACTTAGAAACAATTAGGGTTGCATACACTCATGGGTTTATGGTTAATAACATACTCTCACTGGAACACATGTCTTACTAACTTAAAGTATAAAAGATCTACTCCTACAATGAATGAATAGAGGGTAATCTCTTTTTGGCAGTCTCGTTATTTTTTACTTTGATTGTTATTGTAAAATATAAATCACAAATACTATTTTACTGCAAGCAGTGCTACATAATGGTTAGCACGGGAAAATAGGTTAGTTGCATGATCACTAGATCAAGCCATGGATACGTTTACAAGTCCACCCGCTCCGGGTAGATGCGTCATCTCCTCAAGGAGAATTCTATTCTTTTACGGTTCAGAAGACGTACGTCTTCTTTGAGTAGATTAACTCAGCTGTCAGTTTCTACGTTCCGCAATATGAAGAAGATATTTTCTTCTCTTTGAACTTCACTTAATTCAAAATAAAGACTTACTAGTTTGATCTCGTTATGCTTTTACTGTTTTTAATTAAGTGATATTTAACTCTCAAGTCGTCAAATACCGCATCTTCGTTCCCGTTTGGTAAGCGTGTGTTCGATTGCATACATTTGAGTCTTAGATCAAATGTATAATAAGTAAAGATAAAATAAGAAAAGAATATGGATTAAGGATAATTCTTATGTGAGATTAGCTACCTCACATGAGAACTGAACAGGTTATCTTTATGAAATATATTTCACTTAGATTATCTATGGCTATATGACGTTTAGGTATATAGCAGGATTGGTATATGTACTCGTAGGATATATTGATTCAACAACCAGAACATAGTAGGTCGCGGTACTGCTCCCTGTTCCGGAAATAAAGTATGGTTGGAGATAAAAAGGATCAATCACTCTTTATTAATACAACAACTGTTCACGCAATCAAAAGAACACCACGCACGAATATCTCTTCCTAGCTAACATCTATAATCATTCCCACAGTATCTGAGCTACACAACTGGTGGCCGATAGATATTGCATTATAGATGTAGCTGCATGATCACCCTGGATCTGCCAGGATAGCACATTACAAATCAATCCGCTCTGGGATGGACGAGTAATTATCCACTTAAAGGGAAGACCTATTCTTTTACGGAAACCTCTGATTCACTGAGTATTATCTGACCATAATACATCAGTGTCAGCTATAGATCTCGATACAATCATTTCGTAGACAGCAAACACAATAAGTCTTTATTAATAGCAGTAATTTTAGTTTTCTTTTCTTTTTCTTTAGTTTGTTTTTGAAAGAGAAATAAAGACGGTGGTTTGATTTCGTTAAGCTTTCGTGTTTATTTTCTCTTGTGTTATTCTTTACCTTTTATCTTATAGTTAAAACTAGCGAATACCACACTGTACACAAAAGCTACTGACACAGTATAAAAAGCGGTTGTAAAATAGGCGGTTATTTCTCAATAATATGGTTATGGTAATGCAGATTCATATGCCTCCTATGAAGACAAGGTGATGGTACTTAATTCCTCGCCGGTATGGACTATGTTGAATTTGTGAAGTTGTATCTCGTTATGTCTATTGAATATCTGATGGTGGCACGGTGTTGCCCCAGGTGTATCGTGCTGATGAAATGAATTGTATCGCTCAAGACCTCGACATTTAGCGAATTTGCCTTTCTATGTCAAACAGATAAATTAGGACAGAAAAAGAGGGATGTGGTGTGATGGGGTGTGTCCGAACGGTATTTTTGTTTATGACTGTTGTATATTGAGGCATAAGTCCGTATATAGATATTGACAGAGACAAATAAATCCTGCAATACTTGCTATGTGACTATCCCATAATATGACATTACTCTCTTCTGGTACTTAATCATTCACTGTTGAGATTACATATGGATAAATGATATATTCTTTATTGTCTGTGCATTATGAGATAATATTTTTATAATAATAGGCTATAGCATGTTCCACACATATTTTTATCCTAAGCCAGATAATATCAAGATAGATCCAATGGACATATTAGACTGAGGTATTCATGATATGAATGGCGCAGCAGAGACCTGAAGGTCGGATAAAAGATCTCTGGTTCAGCAACACCACTTGTATCAGGTATAGACCCAGACATTATCCAGAAAGATCATGTCTATTCCAGCAATTTCCATATTCTCTTAACATCTCTATATCCGCCTATGAATATCCAATTGTATTCTTTCACATAGTCATATCAACTGATATCAATGATACGATTAATTTGACATGTCTCATGTTACTGTTCTGATTTCCTAGAAATTTCCAAGCAATCCTAGAAATCCGCAAGGCACATCTCATTCTCAGATCAAGTTCCTGAAAAGTATAAATATGATCCCAAGTTGAAGTATAGAAAGAAACTGGTCTTTATCTTTGTCTTTGTCTTAATTGACTCTTAATAAACCTACCACGAGTTTTCACAGACTTTCTCTTTGTCTTTCTATTCTTTCTACTGTTATATCTTACACATACACAACAAAAGAAAAAAGAAAAAATAGCTGTTGACATCAGGACATTCTTGTCAATAGCTAAGACGCATTTTCTAGTTATATCTCTTCTCACACCGACTGATGCACCGTCAACACTTTAAATGAATAAGTTCTTACAGTAACTATTTTGAACTCTTTACCCATAAAGAATAAGCCCGGCTTTCGGCTCTCTGATTATACTGTTGAAATGCATTTAATATCCATATGTTTGGTTATTTTGTTGTAAAGACTTATCATTATTATCTCAACTAGCAGGTCACCTACAAGCTGCTACTTTAAAGATCTTCATTCTCGTAAAAAAAGCATTAATGTGATATCGTTAAGAATAAAAGTAAGAAGACTTTGACATTCTTATCCCTTAAAGCAGGGATTCTGACAAGAAATATGCATTTGAAGGTTTTTAAGCCTCGTGTATTTGGTCGATTCTATGGTCATTTCTTACTTCACCTTGTTTTTTTTAAGCGGTAGAAAGGTATAACGATTTCATACAACTTATGTACAAGGCCTTCACAACTTATATGATGCTGTCAACTAAATACAAGGTTTTATTCCCAGTATCAAATACAGTACTGGAGTTTACGTAGTTTCTATTTAATATGTGGTCTGCAATATTACGTAATTCGCCACTATCCTGAATAAAGTCCAATTTCTAAAATTTTAACCATCTACAGCACCTTCAAATACGACAGGTTCTACCCAACCTTTCACGGAATCATGCCTTATGCAGTCAATCTACATCAGTACAAAGCTATCTTCTAGGCTTCCAATCATCATTTTGACGGGAATTGATCTCTTCAATGCCTTACTGATATCAACCAGTTTTATAGCTGTATTGCTCATTTACTTATTAGTATCTTCTACATATAAACAATAAACTGCTTTTAGTCAGTCAAATCTTTTTGCAATAGCGACAGAATCTATTCTAAGTATGGCAACTCATAAATACAGCTAAACATAACTTATGTATTAGAGGGTGATCAGCTGCCTTTTTTATGAACGTTAAGCTTACTGTCTTCAACACTCTCTACATTCCTCACCAAACCTGACACAATCCCTTATTTCGGCATGCTCCCAATGCCTCTATCTTCTATTTTCCGTTACAGAAAGCCTTATCTTTATCTTCAATTTATTCCCGGGGTCGCTGGATTTTCTCCCATATCCTTACTTCATTATGGTATTATCGTTGACCGCTGTTTATCCCATTTATTACAGTCGGTCAGCCTTAACCATCATGAAGGTTCTTTTTGTCCGCCATTCCTCGGTCAACAATACCAGAAAGTGGTTTTCACCTCTCCTAAAAATTATCAGCTTGATTTTATCTTTGCTTTGAACCTAAGCCGAAGGGATTTCTCAGCCCTACATTGTTTAGATTTACCATGGATTGTTTAGATTAGTTTTTACATTTCGTGCTTATTGGGTTTTCAATTTAAAATGTTCAATAAAAATACTCCGGTTCATCGTATTTTTGTACAAACAAGGCTCGATATTTTTCTTTTCAACTTTACGAGTAGCTACTATGAGTGATTCTGCTTCCATCATGAATGTTGATGGTGCTTCAGTTTCTGAAGCTCATGCAGCAGCTAATGAGACTAGAGATATTGTCTTACCGAACCAAAACGAACATGTGGCTCACATAGCCATTGATGTACGTACATCGTGCAATGCTTTTGGAAAAACGGAAGTCTTTCCTCACTCTGAATTCCGTAATAATAGTCGATTAAATACTATTTGGTATCTACTTTAGATTGGTGGCTCCTTGGCTAAAATAGTGTACTTTACGACCTCTTCTGGTTCTGGCGGTCGTTTGCATTTCAAGAAAATTGAGACAGAAAGAATTGATGAATGCATCGAATTTTTAGCAAAGCTGATGGATGATGCGCGTTTAGTGACGTCCAACGATACAACTTTGGTTCTGAAAGCAACTGGCGGTGGAGCTTATCTATTTTACGACAGGTTACAAGAAAAATTGCCTGGTGTTATAATTCAAAAAGAGGACGAAATGGATTGCCTGATCACGGGTAAAGAATGAATGAAACGGTAGCAAAGTGAATAACGGAACGGTCAAAAAGGCTAACTTTTTTAACATAACTACTTGCTATGGCTTCTAGGACTCAATTTTTTTGTTAGCGAAATTCCATATGAAGTGTTTACCTATAACGAACAGGATCCGGATCCGATGAAATTTGAAGAAAAAGCAAGAGATGTATTTCCTTATATGTTGGTAAATATAGGCTCTGGAGTGAGGTAAGCAATCAAAGCACAACAGGATCGAGATAAACTTTTCTAACTTTTTAGCGGCCTAGTATTCTAAAAGTTACAGGACCTGACCAATATTCTCGTATCAGTGGTACATCAGTAAAGTTTCCTTTTTATTCATTTTCGTTCATTATAATTGAAAACGAACCTAATAATCATCTTTGCTTGCCCTAGCTCGGAGGGGGTACTCTATGGGGTTTGATGTCTTTGTTAACCAATGCGACGTCATTTGATGGTAAAGAAGTCAAGAAAGAAGAAAAAAAAAAAAATTATCGCAAAGCGCAATTGTATTAACCTTGCACCTTCAGAAATGCTTGAAATATCGAAAGATGGAGATAACAAGAATGTTGATTTGCTTGTTGGTGATATATATGGAACAGATTATACCAAGCTCGGATTAAAAGCATCAAAAATCGCTTCTAGTTTTGGAAAAGTATTCAAGAAGGGGGTTCTACAACAGAATAAATTTAGAGCATGTGATATAGCAAAGAGTTTACTTTTTATGGTCAGGTATTAATTTGCTTTCAAGGATTTGCTAACTACCCGAAAGGGAAAGAGTCTCAGTCTGCCTGGTGCTGATTCTATGTCTTGTTGATAGTAATAATATAGGTCAAATTGCTTATTTAAATGCAAAACAGCATAATCTGAATCGAATATATTTTGGTGGCTGCTTCATCCGTGGTCATCCTACTACTATGAACACCCTATCGTACGCTATCAACTTTTGGTCGAGTGGGGATATGAAAGCACTCTTCTTACGGCATGAGGGACACTTGGGTGCCACAGGTGCCTTTTTGAAACATTCAGTTATTCGTAGAGCAAGGCATTCATTCTCATTCTCAGAAAATAATTTCATACCAGAAAGCAATCCTGATCCAAGAGACGTATATGGAGTTTTAGAAGAAACAAATGTTGAATTACGTTCATCATCGACTACACCACCATCACCACCATCATGCACCTAGATTTCTTGTATCACTATCTATAATTGCGCTTCCAAATTTACCCTTCTAATACACCGCTCTTGTCTTTTGAGGAACTGTTTATTTTCGGTAACTTCGGAAGGAATGGAGCTGGAATAAATATACTTAAAGTACCAAAAGAAAAGAGAAATCGAACGACAAAGTAGATGAAACCAAAAGGGTAGCTCCAAACTCGTAAATGATGGAATTGAAGCCGGAGTGATTGATCAACGATTTTAGCAGTGCCAAATTGCTTCGCCTCGCGGAGCAATTCTATTCCTTACAACTATACATCCAGCTAATTCGCTTGGGTTCTATTAACTGCCTACCTACCTGTACAGCATTTAAGATGAGATAACGACTAGTGAAAGGGTAGTATCTAAGCGGATGCAATAATAAGTGCAGTTTTCAGTTGTAGGCTGTATGACGAGAAAATACATAAATCGGGTTATGATTGCAATTTGATATAATTTAAATATTATAAGATACTATGGAATGTTTCTAACTGCCTTATTAAAAGAGTTACTAAGGAGCATATGCTTTTAATACCTTCTCAGTCAGTAAGTTTTTCCCAAGTGAGACATATTACATTGTGGATAAAGCTAATGTATCAATAGCAACATACCATATAAATGACGAAAATATAAAGAAATATAGTCCTTTATTAGGTCTCCATCTTAAGTATAAGACGAAAAAAGACTTTTGCTGTAAATTTGCTTGACTAGCTCTAAGTGAAAACTATTTGGACAAATAATCAATCGACTAATCCAAAAAACAAAGCAAGGAAGTTTGTGTTGCTGTTGTTTGAAAAATAATACAGTTACAAATAGTAATAGGCAACAATATCTCTTTATTGAAGGGAAGAGAATGACAGGAGGCGGTATGAGGAAGAGCAAATAAAAAAACACTGAAGGTTTAATGTATTAGATTTGATATTTGTAGATTGAAAGCAAGGTTGAATGAATTACTCGCTTAAACGAAGTCGGTCAGTTTCTTTTACCCTTATTGACCGGCTGGCCGAACGACCAATCTAAATCTTATGAATATAGATAGTTAAATTCTTATCCATGATCGGACATGCCTACATGTGATCTTTATTGATAGCCTTGAGTAACTATGTGTCTATTATGCCTTGTAGATCATAATGAAGCACAATAAATTACCAAGCTGTGAACTGATTCGTATCTTGTGTAAGGAGTGATAGGTTGATACGATAAAACATATACGCAAAGTATAATCCATTTAATAAAGATAGACTTTTTTCTTTTTCTAGTTTCTACTGTCAAGCAGAAAACAACAGATAAAAATCCGATCACAAACTACAAGTTCTATATCAAATGTTTTTATATGTTGAATGTTGTGATTCAGTTATGAGACGCGTTAGAGCTGTCATTTTGTACGTTCCATAAAAATTGACACACCAGAAATGGTATGGATTAAGAATTATATAATATAGAAGTTTATATAATTAGCTACAGTATTTGTGCCTGAGCTTAACTTTCCGTTTCATGTCATTATACTCTCAATTTCTGTATTCAATAATGACGCACTCACGAAATTAATCACACCAGACAAAGATTTACTTTGCAGGTTTGAGAATAGTTCTGTTAAGGTACAATTATGGCTATATTCCGTTGATATAAGAACGCGGCCATTCTGTACTCAATAATATCATGTCTGGCGATCCTGTTTAAGCCATTCTATTGAATTGTAACTGATACGTAATCATTGTTTATGATCTAATTTCCACTATAGGTTGAAGCAGTTTACTTGGGTATAGTATATGATTGATAACGTATGAACAAATATGCTTTCATATGTAGACTCATACGAAGGCGACTGTGATTCAATTTGAATTTCACTCTGTTCGGGCAAACCATTGGCTTACGGACTTTTTTTTTTTTTTTTTTTTTTAAGTTCCTAATTTTACGCGAGAAAATCCACGGTCTGCATTGCGAACGTGTGTTTAGTCCAATTCGTAGCACACGCCCCAAAGAAAGTGTTTGTCAACTGAATTCCGTTACTTCACTACAAAATTTCCAAACAATGCCAACATCAACAAAAGAAAAGTTGGGATCTTTGAAAGAAAAGCTGAGCCATAGCGATTTACAAATTGAAATCTTGGATAATGAAATAGCAAGAACAAAAAAGGCACTAGAAGAGGTCGAATATGATTTGAATACGAAAACAGCAGACAACAAAGATAAACTAGCAGATCAATACCAAGAGAGACTGAAAGAAAAGGTCAAAGAAAGTGAAAAACGGTACCAGAAGCAGGAAGTAGAGACAACTGAACTATTAGAGCAGGTGGAAAATCTGGAGGAGGAAGGAGGGCTTGATCAAGAACCGACTACCCCATTTCTGAAAAGATTGCTTGAAGAGAAGGATGAAGAAATAATTACGATTAAGCAGAAAATCGAAACAGCCGAAAAAGAGTTGCTAGACTTGAAAAAACAAGAACAGGGTGAAAGGGAACAAGGATCGCCATTGACTGATTCAACTGATGTGTTGAAAGGACATGAGCAAAAGATGACTTGAAAAAGTTTTACAAATATAGAAAGTCGAAAACAACATGGAATGATTTATACCCTTTTATAAAGCGAAGGCTTTGATTCAAGCAGGCTCCTCTTTTTTATCGCATTCCTTTCTTTTATAATCTTATAATATTGCCACAATGCATACTTAATCGTTACTTTTTTTCTCTTTCTTTTCTCTATATAGCTGTTTCATTTTTTTTCTGATTAAAATATGATATCTCGATCCAAAATGGAGCATATTCTATGCTTATTTCTAAATGGATTAAACATTGTACTTTATATATTCATTATTATAGCAATCGTATTTAAATGCAAACAGGATAAAAGATTTGGAGATATTACAGTTGGTATATACACTATGTACGTTCGATCGTTGAATTCTTGATTGCATAATGAAAGCAGATAGATAAACATGCTACTTAGATACTTACATTTTACGCTCCCTTCATAGAGTGCTTGCATTACTGTTGATTGTCAATGAACTGAAAGAATTTGCAATATCTACAAAATACCTCTGTTTCCTGGCTACGTACAAAGGGAGAGGGCTTCTAATAGCTTTGTAAGTGGATAAGATGTAGTTTAAAGTGTAGTACATGTACTTATTGCTATCACCAGTTTTGGTTGTCTCGTTCTGAATACAGGAGTGATCAATATTACAGTTGGAACACTTGTACTTGTTGTTGGTATCATTTATGTCATCATTCCTCACTTGTCTCCAGTATTTCCACCACCTCATCCTATTACAGTGAACTGGCGAAATTGGAAAGATTATTCGGCGGAAGGATTAGATTTGCCGAATCCAAGACATCAACATCCACAACAACCTTTCATGGTAAATAGGCTATCAGTGTGTTTTTTTTTTTTTTTTCAAACATGATGGAGAGTTGTTTCTAAAAAGTTGTAATATAAACCTTTCTCTTTCGTCTGCAGACAGATATTCGAGAGGTGCTAAAGTCTCCTGCTCCTCGTTCAAGTTCAGCTGTTGGGCAGCAGTAGACAAGATGGTCTCTAATTTACATACAAACAGTTTATTAAAGTTGAATTGAAAAACGAACGGTATGAGTCCTGTAAAATACAGTCATTAGGGGTGACTCTACAATTTTTGATGGTCTAAAAGAAAGAGTCGTTATAGCAAAGCAGAAGGTGTTTTGAATGTGATTCTCCTCTTTTCCTCTTATCTAATCCGCCTACAGAAGCCATTGTATGATATCAGAAAAAGGGGTGTACTAGTTTTCATTTTTCGTTTGCTTTCGTTTTACCCATACCTTTCTAGTAGAATACATTTTTCTAATAAACAAATAGCTCGAGATAAATCCACATGATCCTGAGCCTATGGCAATGAGGAAGCATTCCATAAATAATCTGAGGAGGAAGAGACAACACCCTGACAATGTCATGGATGAGGCAGTCAGGGCGAAGGGTGAACGAGTAAAGATCAAAAAGACACCATAACTGAATAAATAGAGAGAGGATGATGCACCACAGGCGAAAGAGGACCACCACCAAAGATGATTCTCGGTACAGAGTTTGAGAAAGGTAAACAGAATAGACAATTCTGACACTGTAGTGATATAGAACAGAGACATGGCAAAGAAATGGGTATCGTCTACATGACTGTAGTCTCCGCCTGTAATGAATCGTAAAGTAAGTAGTTCGTGCCACTGTAGAAAAATGACAGTAAAAGGGATCAAACCGCACAACACAGTTCTGTAGGTGCCATGGATGAAATGAAACAGTACGGTGTGTTAGAATAAGATGTGGAATCTCTTCATTGGAGAGAATCTCCTTACCTTATAAGATCGGATTGATACCATTTGAGTTCAGGTAATGGACGCGGGAGTTGTGTGGTTCGCGAAGGGTATTCTATAGGGTCTGATCTCTCGCCAAAATAAGCACCTACTAGCGTAAGCGGAAACAGGACAAAAAGCCACAGCGAGAAGAGGGATAGCCAGCCTCCGAAAGAAATAGCCAAGGAAGAATGTTGAGTCCAGGCCAGCATACTAAACAAGATCAGGGTGGAGAATAAAACACAGGGTGCCATGGCAGCAGTCTAGGGTCAAATGGAACTGGTAAGCTATCTATCATTGACTTTTACTCCCTTCCACTGCATCGTCCTTACCAAGGTTCCATTCAAAACCCATGATTTGCCTCTGAATACTTTATAGAGTCTCGCACTGTAATAACCTCCAGGTACACTTCCGATCAAATAAAAAAGGACAAAAAAACGAATAAAGGAGCGTGGTTGCATGGGGTGAAACCAGCCCATATGATACCACAAGAGCATGCCAATAAACACCACCGCAAGCTGTATGCCAGATCCTACCAAAGGTGTTAGGATGCCACCGTAAACAGGCCTTCGGAAGACGTCTCTACTGATCAACTTCCACCCAATGAAATCATCCACGCCATCCTCAAAGACCTAAAATCGCATACATTCATTATTGATTCAAACATGTCTTTTTTTTTTTTTTAAGCTGTTCCACAGTTTGTTAGCCATACCCTTAGGTCTTTATCTTTGTCATCGCTGCTGTTGCTATTTAAGAAGGATGAATTTCTGGTTTTTAGAAAAACAAAGACAAGCAAAATAGACAAGATGAGAGTAACGAAGAATCCATTGGTATAAGCTAAGGTATGTCGAGTAAGGTTGGATCTTCGGAAATAAGCTTGCCAGCGCTGGGTGGGTATTTTTCCATCATCGAAAATGACCTTTTTCCATTGGACTGAATAAGTAAAGGATACTTGTGTTCTTCTGTTTGTCACTTTTTGATGATTGTAATCTACAGTCCTTTTAATACAGTCTTCTGTGGAAAGGATACTGAGATAGAGTTAGCATTTCACACATCTCACGTTCGAAAACGAGGAAAAAGGTGATACTTTACGAGTCAGGATATACTTCAAAGCCAATTATCTCATTTTTGGTGTTGATCAAGAATTGAAATACAAGGTGATTGTTGATATAGTACCCATCATTCTAATCATTATAATGAAAAAAAAAAAAAAAAAAGTCAGAAAATGACAAACTGTTGCTAGACACATTTAATGCCTACCTTCTTGAAGCCTAATGGGTATCCGATTTTATAATTATGTTCAGGGGCCTCATTGGTATAGGATACAGTTGCTCCAGGCAAGCCATCCAATTCTCTAAGATATATCAAGAATGTTAATTCATATCGCCATTGAAGTGGTTCGTTTCTTTTTTCTTCATCCTTTACAGTTCTACTTGATAGTCGTTGTCAATAAGTTCTTCTATTTTAATAGTATCTTCCACTTGCCAAGACTTTTCACACAGCAATCGACATTCTTGATCTTTTAAAAAGTGAATCTATATAAAAGAAAAACCCAAAAACTTAGCCTCCATTCGACTGCAAGTTTGATTTGACATTTTTTTTTTCTTTTTCTTTTTACATTGTAATCACTCGGTATCCATCGATCGCCGTTGAGATCTTGGTCAAATACTAGCACACTTCTTTCGCGCGTTTGCGTCAAGGGACAGATAAAGTCCAAGGAGTTGACACTGATGGCAAACGGGTTCTTTAAAGAGAATAGCTTGTTGTAGTATAGAGGTATCACATCGCCAGGTTGATAGGATGCTGATGTTGCTTTCACAGGAGACAAAGATACTATTGATATCAGTAGCAAGAGATATAAACAGTACAGTTTTATCATAAATAAAATGAATAATGTATGAGGGGAAGCCAAGAAAATTGTTGGACAAATGAATAGGTTGACTGTTGGCTAATATCTACGTTGGCAAATCAGAGTTTAAAGTGGGAAGGATAGTCCTTCCCCGCCTTAAATTGAAAGCATTACCAAATCAAGTAAAACAGCAAAAAATGAAAAAAGAGGCTGAGGTACTATCTGTAACAACTGATTTTTTTGATTTTTTTGTTTTCCAAGTGTAACTCAGCAGCAGCTCAACTTGGCAGCGACAAAAAAAAATTAGAAAATAGTGGAGAACATGACACACAAAACAGACACTTACACACATTTTGGAAACGATAACGGCTTTTTTAGAGCACAAAGCCCATCATACTTTCTTTTTGTTTTTTTTTCTTCTTTTCTTTCTTTTTCTGTTTTGCTCTTTTCATCAATAGATAGACACATCTTTAGCAAAAATGTCTAATTCTTATACACTGGATTTACCTATGGATCTATCAGAAAAGACTTCAAACAAATTAGATTGGACAAAAAAAATCTTACATCTTATCACTGGCGCCACAGATATCCTCACCATTTGTATTGTTGCTCCATTGATCGCTACAGAAGCCAGATACCTCGGTGCCGGTAAAGCAGGCCCAAACTATACCCTTTTCGTGGCTCTTTTCACATTACCTACACCGTTTTTCCTGGTTTATTTTCCTTGGATGTATGAAAAATACAACAAATTCAAAAATATTGGCAAGTTTTGCATGAAGAGTCGAACCAATATGATCTTTAATGGGTTTGATACTTTTCTGTGGCTGACAGCTGGTATTGCTATCACTGTTCATTCTAATAATGCCGGAAATTGTGCCCTGGATCCTGATTTAACAGAAACATACGGAGATACCTATACCAGCGCATGGTCAACCCAGGTAAAAAAAAAATAAAAGTTCTGATACGTCACGATCAAAGCGCCCGCCACAAAGACTAAGCTTTCATTACATGAAAAACTTGATTAGTGCAATTTGGCAAAAGTAACGAGCGGATTTGTCTGGGTGACGTGTATTCTATGGTTATCTACGCTTATCTTGACGGCGATAGATTTCTGGAAGGAAAAGAGCTTGATTCAACAGAGATTAAAAGAGCATCGTTTAAACAAGCAGCAAAAACTAGAACAAGCGGAAGATGATCTCGAGGGCTATCCCAATGATAGTGGTAGGGTGCTTCAAGAGGACCCATTTCACGATGAATACCAACAGCAGCAGCAGCATTATTATCATCATCAGCAGCAGCAGCATGAGCCTTTGTTTGACGGTACGGTGCCCATGGGTCAATATAGTACCGCTTCACCTCCTCCCCAACCGCCCAGCAACTTTTCACCGATGCCATTACCACAGCATATGCCTCATCCACCTGCCACCTATTATAACGACAATAGTCTTCCAAATAATCACAACGTGTATTATAACCATCCACAGTAGTAAATCATGGTGGCGTGTGACTTGGAGCTTCATGCGAATAGAAACCTCTTATTTTTTAACATTCTTATTTTTTTTTTTTACATTTTGTTCCATTTTTTCCCCCTTTCTCCCCCTTTGTCTATATGAATAAATTAAAACCTGTTCAGCTGTCTTCATTACGTTATTTAAGAACGAAAATAAACACATCCTTACCCTTATCTGCGCAGTACACCAGTAAAAAGATGCCTATACCGTATTTCGATGCTGATCGATTCGTTGCGTTATTACAAAAAGAAGGGTTTTCACATGCTCAAGCCAAAACAGTGGTTCTGGCCCTTGATGATGTCGTGGAAGAAAGCAAACGCAATGTGACGAATGATCTTGTCAGCAAACACGATCAAGAAATGACGATTGCACAATATAAAGAAGATTTCAGTAAGCTCAAACAAGAGATTCAGACGCTCGAACGACGTGACGTCGAAGAAGTGAAAACAGCCAACGAGCGACTGAAGGATGATATTGAGAAGCTGAAAAAGACGTTACGAGAGGAAATTGTACGGAGTCAAGCAGGGGTGCGACTTGACCTGAATCTGGATAAGGGAAGAGTTCGTGATGAAAACACTGAACAGTACAACCGTTTACAGCAAATTGATGAAAAAATAGAAAACGAAGTGCAAGCATTAAAGGGGCAAATGGAAGGTATCAAGTTACAGATTCTTCAATATATGATTGGCTCTATTACTGGTGCTGGTACACTAGTCTTGGGTAAATAGCAAGAAAACAAAGGATATATATATGTGTGTGTGTATGTGTATGTATGTGTGGGTGTGTATATAGGTGCGCCAATCAGATCGAAAACGAATCGAACGCTCATCATTTTTCTCTTTTTTTTCTCAAAAAACACAGCCTACATGCACTTTTTCAACTAAATTACGTTACTGTTCACCAAGACCCCAAGCACAGTGACAGGCGTGGGAAACTTTATACCATGGGAATTACTAGATATTAGTATCAATAACCAATGTCTCCTTTTGTTAGAGAAAGGAAGAGTGTTGTTGTCCTCAATAGACATGTATCAAAATACCTACATCATCTTGTTTGAATATCATTGTACGTTATGAAGAATGGATAAAGTGTTACTGCTTCTTATAAAGGCCATTATTTCATATGGGCAAAAAATCAAATAACAACCTTATTTTTTTAGCACTGGTAATTTTCGGTCTCCTTTTTTTCCCCAGATTTGCATTTTTATATGCCCAGCTAAGCGAGTGCCCTTTTCCATTTCTCTTTTTTTTTCTCCTTCCATTTCCCCACATCTTCTCTCTAATACAAATGCTTAGAAACATCCTCAGTCCTGCTTTCATTCGTCCTTTATCTAACCAAAAGACCTTGGCGGTGAGAGCCCTCTCTACTTCAGTTATTTGTAGACGTACGCTAATTTTTTAAAAAAAAGGAGGATTGAAACGCGTTATCTCAACCACAAAACTAACACGTGTCTATGGATGTATTCCCCTACTCTACTTTTCAAATAAATAGAAGCTGCTGCTGTGGATGAGCAAAAGACGTATACTCACATTTTGACTGAAACCCGAGGCAAAGTGGGTTTGATTACTTTGAACCGTCCAAAGGCTTTGAATGCTTTATGTAGTGATCTTTTTACCGAAGTCAACGAAGCTTTGCGTGCCTACGATAACCAAAGTGATATTGGTGCCGTCGTTATCACCGGTTCCAAAAAAGCATTTGCAGGTGGGAGGGCAATTTGTACCATCGTATTTTATACAAGTAACATCCCTTGCTGACAATGAAAGTATGTCTTTGTTTTCATAGCTGGTGCTGATATCAAGGAAATGAAGGATAACACATTTGTTGACACTTACAAGACCAACTTTTTGGGTCACTGGGCTGAAATGACACAAATCAAGAAACCCATCATTGCTGCTGTCAATGGTTATGCTGTAAGTTTTGAAGATTTTTTTTTTTTTTGGGAGGGGGGAGGGATAGTATAACAGCTTTCTCACTGTTCCCTTCTCATTTTAGCTCGGTGGTGGTTGTGAACTAGCCATGATGTGCGATGTAAGTTTGTTGAAGAATAAACCCATGTCTGTCTGGGGGGGGGTGTGGGGGAGTGGTTTTCCTAAATAACTTTTTACTGTTTTGTAGATCATTTACGCAGGTGATAAAGCTGTTTTTGGTCAACCTGAAATCAAGTTGGGAGTTATTCCTGGTGCTGGTGGTACTCAACGTTTGGTAAAGGCTGTTGGTAAATCAAAGGCTATGGAAATGGTATTGACCGGTAACGTCAACTTGAACGCCACAGAAGCTCTCCAACTCGGTAAGCCCATATGCTTTTCACGTGCCTACGAGGGTTCTTTTTTTATCCTAAACACACATGTTCTATGTAGGTCTTGTCAGTAAGGTTGTACCAGCGGATGACCTGGTGGAAGAAGCCGTCAAGACAGCCAGCACCATTGCTAGCATGAGTCAACCTTCTGTTCAAATGGCAAAAGAAGCCATTAACCAATGTAAGTGTGAAGCTAGAAAAGAAAGAGACGTTCTTTCAAGGACTCATATTTTTCATGGTTTGCTATCATCTAGCTTTCGAAGTTCCTCTTAGTGCTGGTTTACGTTGGGAACGCATCCTTTTCCAATCCCTCTTTGGCACTGTAAGTGTGTTTACTCTAACATTTTTTGATGTTTTGTCCCCTCTCTCATCTCACCCTATTTCCTTCTTGACCCCATGTAGGCTGATCAAAGGGAAGGAATGAATGCTTTTGCTGAAAAGAGAGCTGCCAAATTCACCAACAAATAAATTGTGCGTACGTTCCTATGAGTAATGAAAAATAGCGTTTATCAGGCTGCCTTACATCCCAAACATGACAGTATTCAATAAAGAATAAAGAATAAAGGCAAAAAAAATAAATAATAAAGTCAATAAATCACTGCCAAGTATCACGTATAAGGTGTAACATCTACACATCATGTTCGCATTAAAACAAGACCTTCTTTGGAGAAAGGAGGAGTGAAAGAGAGAGGGTGAGGCGGGAGTAGGGAGCTCATCTCAATGCTGGCCCTAGTGACGTTTCTAAAAACGCTTCATCTCAGCTTGGGCACAAGAGCGGGAATACATGAAAAGCTTATAAAATCAGCATTGTATATAGTTTATAAAAAGAAACCGTGATTTTATGGTAGTGAAAGAGGGTTTCAACAAAGCAAATAGACCAAGTAAAGAAGAATAGATTGTTCATTGAGCAATGATGTGACATAACATCGCTTGACAGCATCGATAGGAGCGAGAAGAAGTGGGTAAAGATCGTGCTTAATGTTTTGCTCTCTTAGCAAGAGCACTACTGTCAACTCCTTCGGTTCTTCTTTTCATACCACTGCGTGTTCTCCTGTGGGAAAGTACCATGCAAAAAGTTAGTATGTGATAAAATGTCCCTTCATTAGATTTGCATGGTTAAAACTCTACTGACACATTATCTGCTGGAACAGTATTCATTTCATCAGAAACGTCACTATCCTCGTGAGAAGTCGCTTTTCTTCGTTTCATGGCTGCTGATTGCTTCGTCTTACTACTGCTTCTCTTGGGAGGGCGTCCCCTTCCACTTGTTCTCGTTTCATAAGTACCAGCATGTTCATCAGAATCATCGTTGGATCGTTGTTGACGTCGTTGAGATGCTCGTCCTCGTTTCTCCAAAGCCGATGGTTGTTTACTGCGAGTGGCTGCTCCGGTGGATTGCTTGGTAGGTCTGCCCCCTTTAGACGAACTAGAAAAAAGAAAAAAACAGAAAAGGTCATCGTATCCTTCATGGAAACATCATGAGATGATACATGACACAAAATTACTTACGTTTTTCCTGTGGTTTTAGGTTGCTCGTCCTTTTCTCCCGATTTCTTTTCAGACCTATCGTCTTCTTTTGGCTCCTTTGTATCGGTCATCATCATTTCTTCATCTTCTTGCTTCAATTCAGACTGCTGTTGTTCTTGTTGTTGCTCCTTCTTGGATGCTTGTCGATGATCGCCATAGTGTCGCTTGCCTTCCACTCCTTCTTCACTATCAGACTCTTCTTTCTCCTTCTTGTCATTTTCTTTTGAGGTGGCATCTTGCTGACCTTGATCCTCTTTAAGGTCTTCTGTGTCTTTGTCTTCCATCTTGATATCAGCTTCCTCAGACTGAGTGTCCGCTTGATCATTTCCAGCTGGCTTGCTTTCCTCGCTATTAAAAGTGCATCAGTCATGGCATGAATTAAAAGTCATCCTTTGTAAAACTACACTCTCCAGTGTATACCTCTGTTGTTCTTCTCCCGCCTTTTTTTCTTTAGGCTGATCACTTTGATCATGCTCATTTCGTCTATTTTGGAAGAAAAAAGCCTCTTCCATGTGAGTTCGAGTACAAAAACGAGAATAGATACGTTACGTAACATTTCCATCCTTTGTCGTGCGATAACCTACGCTGTCTCTTTCCTACTGTTGTTATTGGCGTGTTTTTTGCTATGGTTGGTGGTATGCTTCTTGTCACTATTTTGGCTATGTTCATATTGGACATATTACTAAAGTTGTATCTATAAAAACACTTGAAGCTTACCTTCCGTGATTTTCTTTGCCATGTTCTTCTTTCACTGGCTTGCTTTCTTTGCCATTTTTCTGTTGGTTGCTATTCATCATCATAAAGTAAGCAATGTGGAGTCATAAAGCATTGGATAGTATTGTTGAACCCTTACTCATCATCATGATCCTCGTTGTCTCGGTTGTTGTCAGCTGCTGTAGCTTCTTCTTCTTCATCTTCTTCCTTCTGAACATACGGCTCAGGACGTTCGTTTTCAGGTATTTCGCCTAAATCCCACGCCCGACGAACACGCTCTTGGTCTTCTTCACGAAGCTTATCAAAACCAACAATATTTTCAACAGAACCTGCAGATTTCTTCATGTTTTCAATCACCGTAGGCGTTGCACATGTCCTAAAGGCAAATAGTCTGATCAGTGTTTCAGCCTCTTCTCTGTTAAAGATTCGGATATAGTCCATTCTTACCAATGACGATAAATAACACCGTGAAATTGTGCTACTTCCACTCCAAGTCTTATATCACCTTTCTATCATGTTGTGATCAAAAAAAAAAAAAAAAAAAAAAAAAAAAAAAAAAAAAAAAAAAAAAGATTGAGTCGGACATATCACAACAATAGCGTGTTTTTCAAGCATCTATTTACGCCAATCGTGCGATCCCTTGAAGGGCATAAATCTTTGGCACCATTACAATTACTTCTATCACTCTATTTCAAATGGGCATGACAATAAGCAATGATTTTCAGCAAGGTGTGTTTTTTACTGAAAAGGTTGGAGAGAACTCACTTTAGCGTACTAACAAAATTGAGAGCAATTCGCGTAACATGAGTAAAAGAAAAATGGTGGCATCACTTTTCTTTCCTTCCTACCTCAAGTATGTAGACCATCTTTGGAGCAATTTTTGTTTTGAATAGAAGAAAAAAAGGGCAATCAATCAAAAAATCGCATAAAAAGTAATGTCTTTTTATTCGGTTGCCTCAAATTGACGTTGCCATTACACAAATTTAATGCAAAATTTTCCCAATGGCATTCTCATGGTGCGTGTATGAGCTTTTTCGGGTAAAGAGTACGCTGAGAGTGATATATACCAACGACCCACTGTCCCCTCTCAGCCCTCACCATGTGGTGTAGGCAGCTAGAATAACTCGACTCACACCTATCAAACTCTTTGCTGTTTATCTCCCCTTTGTCTTTTCTTATTTCAATTCAGGTCCCGTCGTTTCTTCTATTCTATTCGTTTTGCAAAAAAACACAGATTTTATCCCATCCGTTAGTTATCTACGTGGTCCCTTTTTTCTTTTTTTCTTTTTTCTTTTCACTCCATCCCCTCGTCTCTCAACTCGCTACATTAATAGAAAAGGATAGGATGTCTGACAAGCCCAAAGGAAACGCCACTTCTGGTGCTAGGCTGTTCAGAACACGTTGCGCCAATTGTCATACTGTGGCTCAAGTAAAGTTGTCTCAAATAAAAAACAGAAAAAAAAGAATGGGCGAAAAATTTGCCAGAAATTGACACAAAATATATTATGCATGTGCCCTTGTGCTTTGTATTGCTCTACTCGTAGTTTGCGCCGCATAGAATTGGACCCAACCTCCATGGTGTGTTAGGAAAACAGTCTGGACAAGCGATTAATTATCCTTTTACCAATGCAATGAAGGATAGACACGTGACATGGAACGAGCAAACATTAGACAATGTAGGTGCTTGCTTTTCCGTCCTATAAGCTGATCTACGATTTTTTTTTGTACAACCATCACTGACACACATATTACTTGACAGTTCATAGAAAATCCCAAAAAATTTATCCCCGGTACCAAGATGGCATTTGCTGGATTCAAAAACCCACAGCAACGAGCGGATGTCATTGCTTACCTGAAGGTAATTCATTTCATTTAACAAAGCTCCTGCCAACAGTGGGCGGGCTTCCATAAGATTCACCACTGAGAGATCTTCTATTGTTTATTAGGAAGCTACTCAATAGATCGAAAAGTAGCCATTTTTATTTACTATCTACATCATGGTTTTAATTTATGATTCAAAGAGACGATTCTCTTATTCTGAGCTCAATCATCTATACAATAATAATAATAATATTGAAAAAGTTTCTAAATCACGGGACCGGCCCTTTTCTTGGCTGTCCTCGGAGAACCTTACTATTCCTTTACATCTCTCTGCGCTTCTTCTTGCCCTACATAGATAGTTTAAATATCTTTTAGTCATGGTAGACCATACACATTCATTTTGCACAACTAGACAACTCACGTTTCGCTGCATTCAAAAGTTCTCTATTGGCTTGACGTTGTTCTAATGCAGCTGTAGGCACTTTTGTACCTAACGCTCCAAAAATCAATCTCTTGGCTGCCATATTTCGTTGACGAGGTATGGATGCGGGATCTATCATCAAGAGCAGCATACCAAAATGTTTAGATCATCGTCGAAAAGCTATCTCCTTGTTCAATTGCTTACTTTTATTCTCCACCTGTCCTTTATAAGGACGAACTTTTGCTACAGGATTATGTATGTGATCTACATAAGCCTTTTTGGCTGCATAAAAATAAACAAATAAATAAATAACTTTACTGAACAAAGCACCTCTCTAAGACCCCCCCCCCAATCTATCCTACCTGTCTGCGGATGCTGAAAGATGATCAGCGCGTGTGTATTATCCACCCATTTGATACTGTATCCACCTCTCACATGAGCATACTCTTGAAACATCTCTCTTAAATGGGATGTTTTGTAGGAGCTAGGGAAATCATAACACTCAAGAATAGTCGTCAAGTCTTCCGCCACGCCTACATAAATATGTATAAATTCGTTCGAGTTAGAATGATGCACATAAAGAGGGGGCGCTGCTATCAAGTTACCATGTACAGTGGCGACTGTTTCTGTTTTGATCGTTTGTGGCTCTGAAAAATCATTCCTATCTTGGGATGAAATGGTCTTGCTATTTTTTCTATTTTGAAAGGTAGGCTGACTTGGACGGCGTTGATTCACTGCAGGTTCTTCGTTCAAGACAAGCTTATTCACTTGGCTAGCGAGCACATCAATAGCATCCTAATATAAAGTAACCCGAATCAGTCAGCCTTTGAAGTGTCACCTTTTTTTTCTTGGGGAAAAGCGAAATTCTTACAGTTTCTTTTAAAGACTTTTGATCTGTATGGGGAGAGTTGTCATGTTGACTGTGTTGCATTGAATCCTTGCTCGTTTCGCTCTGAGAGGGCAGGGTAGAAGGTGCTTTGAACCGACCTCGACCACGTCGTTTTACTTCTGGTTCTGCTGTCATTGTCGTTGAAGCATGTGTACGATTGGGTTGAGTCTGAGTCTCTCTAGCAGTATCTTGTTGTTGTTGTTGTTGTTGTTGTTCACGGCTTTCAGCCGTTGTTTTACTTTGCAACGCCGGTTGTTTGGGTGGAGACAAAGGCCTTTCTGACTGTGTGCTGCTTTGAATGGAAGAGGAGGAAGGAGGCGCTTTAAAGCGACCTCGTCCACGTCTTTTTACCTCGGGTTCAGCCTGCTTTGAAGTGGACGATGCACTTGACAATGTGCGATCGATAGTGTCTGTCCTTTGTGCGGAGGAGTCCTGCTCTTCTCTACTTTTCGGGATGGACCGATCGCGTGGCGAAGCTGAATTACTGGACGGGTTGTTCTCCATGTTGAGGCGAGAATACAAAAAAAAAAAAAACCAACGAAACGCGGGGCTTGACAACTACTGAAACCAAGCTGCATTGATTTGTAACTTGAGCAGATACCATACGGTTTCCCGCGCGGGTAGGAAAAGTGACCAAGTCACGCACATTCAACTGAGGAACGAACAACTCATTAACAAAGCAACACCAACACAATGTCCTTCACACAATGACAACCGTAGTAACGCTCAAGAAGAGTCAGTCATTGCTGCAGAAAGAAAAGGAGCTGGTGTACTCCGCACCAGTTTTAAATTTATATTTTGTTTCAATAGAGTGATGAGTTAAATAAATGATAATGGTGAGTTCTATATACATGAATTAAGGATGGAAGGAACTAAAATACAATTGTTTGTTTTAGATGAAGGGTAGTGCTAAGTTTTGGGATGCAATTCAAAATCTAATCATAAACATCAGGTCCTGTAGGTAGTTGATGCCCAGAGGTCGTCTCTAGGCCAGGAATCTCGTCCAAAGATAAATAAATAATAATGACTGGTAATTTCTTTCGCACTTGTACACTAGGTGCAAAAAAAGAAAACAGTTTTGATCCATGTTGGTACATGTATGCTCTAGTTATCATGATGGCATTGAAAGAATTTACCTGTCCAATTCAACATCTTCGGTAGGATCCCATTGCTCTGTCACTGATACACTTCCAATCTGAGTATACTGATGTAACGTGCCTTGCATCTTTCGTTTTACCAATTCAATGACTGTCACTGCTTTATTCACAAATTGTCCCTTTCCTACGACAACAATATGTTTCTTCTTTTCCTCCTATCATTCACAAAAGCAGGATGAGAAGATGGCGCATCCCTATTTTCAAACATCCTGCACTGGCTTTGTTACGCTTACCTGTAATAACTTGAGGCAAACATCTACATAGACTGGTATTTTACTATGTTTTATTCTGACTTCGTTATCAGCTGGAGGCTTTTCTTCTTGATCAGCGTTCACATCTTTCTTTGTTCTACGGTAGTTTTCCACTATATCATTGATTAGCGTTTTGTTTCTTTGACCATCATAACACTCATGATGAGTATAAGGAAAAAAGCATAGGATCAGAAGCAAAACAAATCGGTTTCATTTTTAATCCAAACCTCCATCCAATGCCTTTACTAGTCCCACCCTTGTTAACACACAATCAAAAACTCTACTCCATGAAATGTAGGGTCGACGGAAGGTTGTTCAATAGATGTTGCTTTGTCTATTTGAACCCACATTTTCCCCGTTCCCCCATAAATTTGAGTCTCTCTTTCGTTCTTTATCCACTCGAGAAAACGAAGCTATGTTTTGCCCAAGTTCAGGTCGAAAGATTCTTCCAAAACCTCGCCCTCCCTTAAGAAAGAGAGAGAAAGGAAAGGAATAAAATATGTCAGGTCATCCTTTACCGCCACCGTATAAAGAGCTTTCATAGGAACGGTCTAACAATGACCAACCCAAAAAAAAGAAAGGAGAAACTCGATAACGTGTGATCTGTTTCCTCCATCACCTCCTTTAAGAGCATGTTAATCTATGTCCGGCCTTACGCTACTTATATTCACAGCTCAGAATAAAGAGCAAGATTTCGAACAATATATCGGATGTTTTGCAATTCTGCAAAAAAGTGACAAGTTGAGCTGATGTGCGAAAACAGAAAAGTGGATTGACAAAGGAGGAGGATGTGGCTAATCAAACCTTTTACTGACTCATCATAGTCTATGCCTAGTTGCTTTTTTTACTTTTTTTCATAAGCTCTACTAATTAAAACGCGATGACTTACTGTGTTATTCTCTTTGTGTCTTTGGTGAAAGGTAGCTGGGCAAAGACGCACTCAAACACGAATGGGTTAAGTAGGGATCATTCTCGGGCAAAATGTTTTGCCCAGTCACACCCTCCGTAAAATGCTGAAATAGTAGTACCAGCTGCTTTCAAGTGCAAAAGCCAAGTTCATAAAATGAAAGATTATGTCATTCTCATATGTGCTTCAACAGGGAGTTCAAAGACTGCAATAAAACTGCATGAGTTTTGTTATTGTTTGGGGACAACATGACTAACGTTACGTTGGTTTATTTACTTTCTCTCAATGCAAATGACCTTTGACTGAAATGGAAAAAAAGCGGGTGGCAATATAAGCTTCTTCTTTTATCTTGAAGAAGATTGATGTGCTCTTAATGAAAAAAAAAAAAAACAAAAAGAAAAAACTACTGCTTACTGTTTGTTGGAAGAACACCAAATATGGTCATTTGCCTAAATAAAGGATTCCCCTGAAAGCCCAAAGAAAAAAAAAAAAAAAGAAAAAAAAATTTAATCTTAACAAAACCTTCTTCCCCTTTTTTACCGACATCTTCTTACCACTCTTCATTTTTTTTTTTTTTTCTTATTCTGTTTTTATTCAAAGAGTGTATTTCTAGGGAACATTTGCCTTTCGATGGGACAAACCGATAGTACATTAAAAGGGTCATTTACCTTTGCTTATTCAAAAGACCTGGAAAAGTATCAATATAACATTGTACGGTCCATCGAAGAAAAACAGGAGGATGTCATGATAGAGACTTCAACTTTTGATAATGTGCTTACCCATCCTGAACTCTATGCTCTCACTACAACCATAACCACCATCGCGCCACCCTCCTCAACAACAGAAAATCAGAAGGAGGGTTCTCTACTATTGAAGGATTCATCCTCAGTAACATTAAACTCTATGGATACTGTTACATCAATTAATAGCAGTAAAACATCATCTTCGGAAAAGCGTCCGGATTCTGGATATTTGTCCTCAGCCCAACACGAGGAAAAGTTGGAGCTGGCAAACGACTTAGCCTACATCGATTCTACCTACTATTCATCCCTACACTTCCATCGTGTTACAGCCACCACTCATACTTTGAGTGCTAATAAAGCGCTCCCGTTGGTATCAGCGGCAAGCATGGCCGTAAAAAATGAGGAGCCAGCGGAAAAGGATAAAATGGATATGAACATGAATGGGAGCGGAGTCAAGTTTTCATTTGCAGATGTGATATCTGCCTCATCTGACAAAACCATTCGCGAAGTACGCCTGTCCAACAGATCTATTTGCCAGCTCAATCCCAATATGGGAATGCTTACGACCATCCGTAAGCTAGATCTGTAAGTTATAGAGAATGAACATGGGAAAGAAAGAGAGAGAGAGAGAGAGCATAATGAAAAGGAGGAGGAGCGGCCCTTCGTCACTTGTCAAGGAGATTAAAAAAATTAAAAAAGAGAGGGAGGCATCTAGGGGCAAATTTCATCAGCACGAGGACGGGTAGACCGACAATAGAACAAAAACAAAAGGTGTGGCAAACGAACGGGATGACCAGTGAACTAACATGATGGTCTGTCCATTTTCTAGGTCCAATAATCGTTTAACCGAATTACCTGAATCTGTCGGATGTATACAGAGTTTAGAAGTATTATGCTTGTCAAGGAATCAGTTAAAATCTATACCAGGCACCATTGGATATTTATCAAATTTATTAGAGCTTGATCTGTCTTATAACAAATTGGACTGCATTACGCCGTGTATAGGGTATCTCGATAAACTAAAAACACTCTCACTCGCTTTCAACCAAATTACTCGCTTACCCACCAATGTAGAAGGATTAATCAACCTCATCAATTTGGATTTGACACGCAATCCTCTTCAAATTTTACCTGCGGAAATTGCAAAATTACCCTTTCTACGTCGAATGCGTCTTGACGACTGCCCTTTGAACAAGGAAATGACCTATTCAACCAAGCATGATCCTCCCAGCCTATTGGAATTTTGCGCACGTACTATAGTTCGGAACAAGGTCCTTGACCTATCCACTTTAAAGCAGCAGCAGCAGCAGCAACAGCAGCAGCAGCATCGGCATCGACATCGACCCATATCATTACCACAACACCTTATCCATTACATTCAATCCGTAAAACGTTGTACCTCTTGTCGAGGCCCCTATTTTGAATCATACGTTCTACGCAGTCGGTTGATGGAAAAAGCAGACGTTTTCATTCCGTTGGAATATACTTTGTGTTCAGCGCATTGGTCAACTTGTGATGACCGTATCCTCAGCATGTTTAGTGTCCAACCTGAAACGACCAGTGATCTTGTGCCACTTCCTGATCGACCTACATTACCTACCCCATCAAAAACAGTCGCTAGAGAGAGGCATTCCTTGTTGAACAGGCGACTCCAGCGGCATTCAACCACTGCTTCCTGTAGCCGTGCTTCATTATCCAACGCGCAAACCACTGCAGTAGAAACCCGTCTGACGACTGTTATTTCGAACAATAGCAATCCGCATCCACAAGCTCGCTCAAGTTCAGTAGCAGCCAAACTTCGATCTAGCCGTAATAGCAGCAAAAGGACCTCCACTTTAGGAAGATTGACCTTCAACTTTAAAAAATCGAATAATCCAGCAGTATGATAAAAATTGTAACATCTCTCTTTTCTTTCCAATGCATTTGTACTTTTACCTTTGTAATTCCTATACCTCACTCTTTTCTTCATTTTCATCTCTTTTTCCCTTGTTTTTCATGATACCCACTTCTATCGCATTCTTGCATCTCAACTGAAAACAATAAAAGAAAAGCAAAAAAAAAAGAAAAAAAAAAGCTTAATATAAAAGTGCTATGGCGTCCAAAAAATAGTTACGTGTGGAAAGCGTTTTGATAAATAGAAAGCATAGACTTGGTTTAACAGAGTCTATTGAATTTGATAAAACTAAGCCATCTGAATATATTATGCAGCAGAGTGATCTGCTATTGATGATAAGGAGCCATGTTACTATTTTAAAGCCTTTTTGATATAATAGAAGCATTCGCTGCTTCAATCAATGTGATCCTTAGCTCGCTCTTTCTTTGCTAAAGATGCTATTCAATTTGATCCCATCACGTCCAAGAAAGTAAGCGCACCCTTTATTCCCTGCACTTGATAAGAAATATGATAATGGTGGCAACTGCGCGTCAGGATATGGATGAAATAATTGAACCAGCAATAACAATTAAAGCATTGGGACATCAGTGGCATTGATCTTACGAATATTCTGCTTCTAGTGACGAAGATGGAGACTCTATTGAATTTGATTCTTATTTACTTCCATTTACGGATTTAAGAAGTAGATAATCTAATTGTTGTTCCAAAAGGAACTCATATTCGATTGTTGTAACTGGTAAATACATTTGGCAAGAAACTATGTACAATTTTTTATTCAATAACAATAAAATACAAGTGGATGATAAGGGGTAAATTTATAATATTTATAGAATGAGTCAGTCTAATAGTGTTGTCTTGTTTAATTCATTCTCTTCTTCTTTCTTGCTTTTTGATGCTTCTCAAGCTTTCGTTTAGCAGCAAGAGCAGGGTTGGTCACTGCTAGAATGGCTTCTTTAGATTTACGCTCTTCTCTGCTCTTCAGGACCTGTTGACGAACACGTTGGTAAACAGCGAAATACACTGTGGGACCAGCCTTATTCTGAAGCAGATTGAGAATCTCATTTCCAAGTTGTTGGAGCGCATCTACAGATGTACAAAAGAACGTAAGTTGTCGAGCATTTTAGATTGTATAATGACTTCAAACTTACCAAAGCCTGCTGCTTTGTTTTGCTCATCATTGACAGTACGATAAATGGGCGCAATGACAGGCATTAGATAGGGTGGTACTTCGTCGGACGTCATAAGATTGCACATGGCAGCAAACCACTTGAAAATTGCAGAACGCTAATAATGGAAAAAAAAAATTCAAAAGATGTGTTAATTATTTGCATGTATCATTGATCATATGATAAAAACTTACAAGAATTATACCACTCTTGATCTTCCTAATAGCAGCACCTCGTGCGTTGAAAGAAGCCTTTCTGAATAACCAATTGAGAGACTTTTTATGCGCTGCTCCTTCAATCTTTGCCTTTGCAACTTGCGCTTCTCTATCATCTTTTTCATCTTCGATCACCTCATCTCCAGCATCATCAATTTTGATGTCTTCGGCAGGGGCGCCTTCAGCATCCTCTTCGTCAGGCATGTAGTAAAAGCATTTACCAATGAAGAACAAATTCTTGACAATCTGATCCGCTTGCTCTTGTGTAACATGATCACTTTTCAATTGTTCTAAAAAGTCAGTGGCTAATGCACGTAAAGTTTCTTTGTCCAAGTAACTCGACTTGATGTTGGTATCCTTGTTGACACGGCTTATAGCGTCAATTCCAGAAAAGTAAAGGCCATATAAACGTGTAGACGAAGAACGAATCCATGAATGAGGATAGAGCAGCATATGCTCCATACATCGCCAAATCGGTTCTGTTTCATTTTCGTACACAACCTTGGGTAAACTCTTGACCAATTTCGCAAAGGTATTGATGGCATAATAGGTAACTTCCCATTGAATGTCAACATCCATTGTATCGGCTTCTTGATCTTGATGCAATTCAGCTGTTTCATCCAAGCGTTCTTTGCTGCGGCTTAGAATAGCAGCAAGGCGCTGAACGAGATGCTCTGCTTGGAATCGTACTTGTGCACCAAAAGTATCAAGGACCAAGCCATACACTTGACAAGCAGCTCTTTGCAGGCTTGGCTTGGTATTTTGATCCAGCCATTTATCGAGCAATTTGTAAATAGTCGGTAAGCGATCTGGGATACGTAAAAGTAATTCTTTGATCAACGCAGCCGCCATTTCTCGACACTTGGATGAGTCATCATTTATCAAACGCATCACCAAAGCGAAGAAGATAGAGTCAACATAGTCGGCGAGCACTTCGGCACCAAATTTCGATATAATGTGATGGAGCAGTTCCATGATGGATTCACGTCCAGTTTCGTACGCGAACTCCAAATTCTTAACAACAAAAGTCATTTGTTGTTTAAGTCTGCCCTTACCCTGAGGATAATCCATCAAGAACATAAAGTAAACGGAACGAGCTTGTTCACGAATTTCTTTACTGTGATTTGTCACCATGATGTTGGAAACAGTATCCATTAATTGATACATTTCGGGTGCCATAAATTTGCGCGTAATAATTGCACGAACTAATGCAAAAATAGTGCCTTGTCTTTCCACCTCTTCCATGTCAGGTTGAATAAAGTTGAGAATGTACGTCAGTTGAGCTTCTGTTAGCTTGGATTTGGAATTATCACGGATACAGACAGTTAAGAGTTTCAAACAGGCTTGAACAGTCGTTGCTTGAGATGATCCGGCGGATTTAATGATTTCAAATGCTCTATCAATGGATACGGCAACAGCAGATTCTATATTTGATAACTTCATTGGAATGAAGTGGCACATGACACGAGCAGCCAATATCACATTGGCAGATTGAGACGAATACAAAATATTACCAACAGCATTGACAAGCTTTCTGAGGCGCAGAACACATTCTTCGTTATCTAAATCAAATTTGGTTTTCTTGACAGCCGAAGTGAGCAGACTGAGGCCAAAATATACGAAACGATAAGCATTGACACGGTAGTAATCCACGGGTTCTGAAGTAGGACGCTTTATTTGAACCTCGAAATTCAATTCTTTCTGAGTCTTCTTTTGCTTTTGCTTGGGCTGAACCTTGAATTCTTCATTATTCTCAGTAATCAAATTGTATGCAAAATCCAGCAACTCTAACGACTCGAATTCAGGATTGTTTACCAGACCAATAGATATACGACGAAGCAAATCTTCAACTTTGCGCAAAGTACGGCTGCTTTCAGTGTTGGACATGATTTCCTTCAAAGGTATCAGAAGTAAGCCCACATTTTTAAAATGAATCACTTTTGCAACCATTTCAAAAGAGGCAGGACTACGGCGACTCTTGGCTTCTTTCGTCTTACCAGTCATTTCATCAGCATCTTTTTCTTTTCCTGCAGCGCCAAAGATATCATTGCAAAGAATGTCTACTAACTGTTCTAGACAATAATCGAGATCACCCGTTTGAAGTCGAGGGAACATATCAAGCAAAAGAGAATTGACAGTGTAGCCTAACACATGTAATTCGTAGCCCTTCTGCAATGCAGCTCGAAGCTCCTTGAGTATAAACTCAAAATAGGAAGGTCCCAAAAAGGCACTGATCTTGATCAGCGTATCACGGGTAGTATCTCTCACATCTTGTGCTCTACTGCGAATAATATGACAGACAGAGGTCAATAAACCTGGTAAGTTGACACGCTTGGATTTTTCGGGAAGATGACAAAGTAACTTGGCAATACCCAAAGCAAGGGGAATGCGAACAATGACAGAGCCTCTGCTCTTATTATTATTCAATAAATTATTGAGTTCCGGTAAGACCTTTTCAATGAGCGTATCATGAACCTTTTCTGCTTTATCTTTCACTTCATCGATAACATCAGGCTCAACTTCTTCAATTTCTTTTTCTACACTTTCTTCTTGCAATTTTCCTTCCTCCTTCGCAGCTCGTTTCTTGATTTCTTCGTCGGTTAAATAGTCAATTCTCACTTTCTGACGACCCATGATCTTTTTCACAGTTTCATCAGATAGTTCAATATGATGAAGATCGAAATGGAAAGCATCAAGAATACCAATCACCACACGAACGAACAATCTTTCTTTTTCATCATTCTCCTTGACGAGTCCAAGATAATTCTGAAGCAAACGGTAATAATGATTCCAGGGAAGCGCCTTCGCCAATGAAGAAATGGTCAAAGTACATTGATGAAGCAAATTGTGATCTACTGTGCGATCACTCTCCTTGAAGAAAGCTGTAATAATAGGAAGGAAGATATTGTTGATGGTCGATGGCTTCAAAGTAGACATTTCAGCATATTCAGCTAGACGCGTCAGGGCACGGGCACGACGATGAATTTGCATATGATAGATATTATTGAAGAAGTTGACCTCTTCGTCACCATCTCCAAGTAGGGGAACCATATCCTCGAACATGGATAGCTCGGGGAAAGTCTTGATACAAGCATTTAAAAGAGTAACGAACTCTAAACGAACCAATTCGATACGTGAGCGAAGACCGGACTTGATAGATGGGTATATAACGTGGTGTACATAACCCAACAGCTTGCGCTTTTCTTCCTCGTCAGCTTGCTCAGCAGTAACTTTAAGAAACTGGGTCATACAGTGAGTTGCAGAACCACGAATAGCCATTTCCTCTGGTTCATGCATACAATAAGCCAATTGATGTAAGATAGGGAACCATTGATGAGCGTTAAACTCTCGCAGGTGTGAATCGGCAATAGCAGTAAGAGCATCCAACATGCTATCATAGTCCCGTTGATCCACCCGCTTTTTAGAATAGGTATTCAACTTGGACAGAAGCTCATCCACTTTAACAAGCTCGGGATCGATATCTGCGAACGCATGGAAAACATCCAACAAACCAGTGCGGCTTTCACGAGAGTACGCTGTTTGAAACATTGAGGATGCCACAACATAATAATGACTGTATAAGGCGGATCCAAGTTCAAAACCAGGAATGATACGTATGAACTTGGCCCAAATAGTAAAAATATCTTGCTTTGACTTTTCCGGAACAGTACGGGATGGCTTTCTCAAATTTGGAAGTAGAGCTGCAACAATAGCTGCTGCTTGTTCGCCATTCTCTGTATAAGGTGCAATGCGTGCAATAATCGCAATTTCACGTACAGTATATCGACCAGTTCCAAACTTACTTTCATCCTTGGCTTGAGTGATACGATATTTGAGATTATTCAATAGCAAATCAACATGAGGAACGATAAGCTTGTTTTTCAGTGAGACACCATCATCGATCTCCATTGCGTTATCACAAATATCCAAAATTGACTCAACAATTTCTAATACGATATTAAGAACAGGTTCGGCCAGGCTCTTCATGGTTAAAGTAGCCACAATTTGAGGTATAACTTGATTATCATAATCAACCAAGTAAACAGCATAGTTACTCTTTCTTGACCAAACAAGGAATAGATTGAGAAGGGAGGACACATCCTGAGCACTGTCAGAAGGCAAAGTAGGCAAACGTTTGGTAATGAAAGATGAGAACATAGCGGGTATGAAGGCGGTGAAATTAAAATCTCCGTTGATTTTGAGCATTTCTACTACACGCTTGATAGCTAAAGCTGTTACTTCTTTGGAGCGGGCGCTTTGTAAATTCTCCACCTTACTTCCGCCATCGATCTCCATACCATCCTGACCATTGCTAACACGACTATGGCTGAAATTAATGATGTATAGAACGACCTTTAGCAGATCAGGTAAAAATGGTATAGCATGTGTGGCCAATTGTTTTAGAGTGTCTTCCAACAGATTCAAAAAACCAACTTGTTTTCTCCATGCAACATGCTCCATCACGCGTTTTCCTTCCTCCCTAAAGCTAAACGAAGTTACATCTCCATTGTCATCTATATTAACGCCAGGTAACGCAAGGATTTCTTTGAAGGGCTCCATAGCGAGATCAAGGAAGTATCCAATTTCAGTTTTTTCGCAGCATGCTATGGCTCCTAAAATAATTTTTCTACGCGTATTTTTGCTGGTTTTATTACCACTTTTGGTTTTCTGAATGAGTCGACCATAAAGAACACGCATCACAACCGGCATCAGGCCTTCACGATGCGCTGGATCAATCATCAATTGCTCTCCGTTTTGTATAAATATAGAAAGTTCATCACGGAAACGGACATCATCCAATAAATTACGCAAGTTATCTGCATAGGGCTTCACATTAGGATCCTTCCAGGTAAAAATGCATTCTAAAGCGGCAGCTTGTAATTTGGCATCACCCATGGCTATAATACGCATGAATACGGCATACAATTCAGTCGCTTTATAAGCGGCTTTGGGATTCTTGAAAACTGCAAATATAGCAAGCCAACTGGCCATTTTGTCCTTGACAGCTTTACTAGACCGTGTTAGAATTTCAAATTCATCCTGGGCCACATCATCCTTTGCTTGTTGCACCTCTTCCTCATCCTTGTCTGAAATGAACTCGTTTTCAAAAAATTTGAAAAAAAGAGCTATCAAATGGCGTCCCTTGTTTTCCGTAATGGTAGGTGTTTCTTTTAAAGTGACTAACAATAAATTATAGTAATTCCAGAAATCCATATGTTCATTCTTTTGATGACAGATTGTTGCGAAAACAGTTGCAGCTGTTCGTCCATTATCCTGAGACATAGTGCTCCAACATTTATCTTCAAGCTGAGAGAAAAAATCGAACGTAGGACATTCAAAAGAAATGCTGCCTGTCTTCGTTGCATTACTGGGTTTGATCTCATTCTCCATATCTAAATGGACCAGCACCTCCCTCTTCAATCCATCCCACACTAAGGATTTTTCATCCTCAAATTTGAAAAATTCGCCATAAACAATTTCCCAGTACATTTCAGGTTTGATTTGTGAGAAAGTCACTAGAAGCTTTCTGGCTTCATTCCAAAGAGGACGCAAATTGATGGTAAAGACACCCAGAGCTAGCCTGGGAATGAAGTCGAGATACAAATCGGGTGTACGTCTGGAGCTGGTAATCAGATCTAGTTTTTGAATCAACATGACTTTATCGCGGTATTCTTTAAAAGTTGCTTCTGTTTCTTCCATTTGTAAGGCGAGTCTGACAATTTCCGCTGTCTCCGGTATCTTATGGTCTTCATCAGCCTTGAGAAGTGGCTGCTCGAACAAGGCTAGAATTTTCAAGGTATACAATCGAACGTCATGCTGATAAGAAGCCAGATTCAATTTGAGAACGGGATATACGTGCTCGAGCTGTTGTACTGTAAACTTGTCTTTATCATCATTACTAAAAAGCAAACATTCGATTATGAATTTTTGACTTCCTATTTCGTTAAGTAGTTTAGATAGCTTACCTTGAATAGAGAAGATCGAGATACATAAATATCCCACATAAAACACCAGCATTCTGAGAGTGTTTTATCAACACTTCACCTATTAGTTTATCGTGAATATTTCTCAATTTGCTCAAAATGGCTCCATTATTGGCGGCCATGCCAGCTAATGATTCAACTGTTAACCCTAACAGTGTTTCCAAAACGTAATTCTTATCAGCCAAGATGTATTTTGTATTGACAATTGCCCGTTCGGTTTGATGCTCCAAAAATTCAGAAAGGGCGGTGAATAAGGATGATATGACTTCTGAGGCTTTATCATTTGAGACTTGTATTTTTGGCAGAATGCGTAAAGCAGCCGCCAAAATTGTGATATTAGATATTGCTGACATTTCAGACTACATTTCAAAAAGATTATCGATAACCAAATTTGTATTCTTAGACTTTGACTTCCACAATAAGCTTACCTTTTCTATATCAATACTGTTTAGAATATCTCTTTCAGTGGCCCAATCATAATTGCAATGTAACAAATCCAAAATGCCGTCAGCGATCGATTTTTGACCTTCTCCAGAAACTGTAGGAAATCGAATAAGACCTTCTGCTGTTAATGAGGAAGAAAGAGTTCCACTGCTTAGGACAAGTGCATCACTAAGGAGTAATTTTGAAAGAAATATAACTGTTTCCTTTGGATGGCTGTAAAATTGTCTGGATGTGTATTTAACTATATAAGATAGGCACACTTGTGTGAAGCTCGACCACTTTAACTCAGCCAGTGACAGATAAAATCCATATACCAACTCTACATCATCAAAGTTGTTTACAATATCTAAAATGACACGACTACCACTGATGATGATTTCCAAAGATCCATGATTGAAGACTCCGATTACAGAACGTAGTAGTTGCTTATAAGTATAGTTGGTATAGGTGTTGATAGGTGCAGCTAGAATCAACTTAGCAGCATTATGCAGACTTGCGATAACTTGTTTAAAATTTTCCACACGACTACCTTTTCTTACAGTAACAGTCATATTAATCAATGATAACAAGATAGCTATAATTTTCTCGTCTGCTTTTTCTGCTTCTTTAACTTGGTTGTCTAAATTGTCGAGAAGAATCTTAACGATAGGCGTAAAGTGTTGTCGGTGAGTGTGATGCAGAATAAGGAGGGTTGTTTTTGTCATAATACTGTGAACTGAGTTGCTCGCTAAACTTTCTGTTGCTGTATCCTCATCGCAGCATTGTTTCAAAAGTTCTTTGAAAATAGATTCTGCACGAGAATGAAGTCGGTGATCAACTTGTTTGATAGACTCGAAAAACAACATTGAAAGGCCTTCTTCAAATTCTGTAGATGAATTTGTTCGTACAGTATCTAATATGTAATGGATAATTTTTGCAAGGTCTGCTCCTCTAGTTTTCCTCAGTAGGTATGCAAACGCTTCGGCTGCGAAATGTCGAATATATGGCTTTGCTTGATTATCTTCTCCTAGTAAATTGGCCATCATTCTACAATGAAATTTTGTAAGCATAAATACCGAATTTAGGAAGCCAAACCCTATTTACTTACGAAAAAGTTCTGTCTAATTCAGGCAAGATTTGCCTTGACAAAAATTTGAATAGATATGCTATGCAGTTGAAAACACTCTACAGATGAAATATCATGTCAGTAAATATTCGTTAAAGCTTATGACTGACATTGACATAGTTACTTCTAGCAAACGGATATCTTTTTGGTAGACTAAAGGAAGGATTGAGGAGAGGAGCCGGGCATAATAAGGATAAAATTCGCCTTCCAAATCTTTTGCAAGTTTCGTAATCAAACTAATGAAAAAACAACTTAGCTTCCACTATTCAATTTGTAAATATAACAGTTCACAATTTACTCTAAGATGCCATCTAAAGCCATGCTTTCTTGCACTTGTAAATGCCTCTCCAAAATATTTATGATTTGTTCTTTGTGATGGATAATAGAAGGTAATGATTTGACAAGTGGTTGGATTTCTCTGGAAAAATCTTTAAAGTGCCGAGTTGAATTCAAATCTTTCCAGTTGAGTAATGCTTCATAGAAAAATGAACCATGTTCGTCTGGCTCATCGTCGATCAGTCGAGATCTACGCACAACATCGATCTTGATGCGTTCTACTCTGGTTTTGAAGGTTTGATACTAAATGGAAGAAAAGATAAGTCAAGAGTATCAGGTAAAAAAGCTACTACCTGACATACCTTAAACCGGTTTGTGCCCTGACCAGTGTTCAACTCTAGAGGGATTGCATTATCCTTCATTATCGTACAATTCCTTGTCAGAGAGTGCTGAGAATAGACTGATCGCTTTTTCGTTATCTAACCTTTTTGTCCCTTTGGATTTTGCATAAGCGAGGAAAAGCAGTCCGACATTTATTCGTAAAGTTACTGCAATGCAGGAATGCTCTAATTAATGATACCTTATGTTTGTAGTTACTGTGATGATTGAACGGGCTGGGACCATAAATTATCAATCCTCAAAGCAAAATATGCTAAATATATACTTCCATTCTTTATTTTTCAGGGTAAGGAAAAACATGGAAGATAGCAATACAGATTCCTATAATATCAGATAGACTTTTTGAAGTGGTATATTAATTGTCAACTACGGTTATGCAATTTAAAACAGCTCTATATATGTACAAAATTTGACTTTCACAGGAAAGACGGATGATGTTATATTGAAGGTAAGGATGCAAGCCTATCAATTAGGTTATAGTCAGAAAATAAACTATAAACTGCCTTGAAGGATGTATTCGATACTGGTATTAATGAATTCCTTTTTGGGTGTCATATCAAATCCAAAGAAAGCACTTAATTGTTCACGTACTACATCAGAAAAAGAAAACGGTAAGCGTCACTTTTTTTTGATAATAATGTTTTTGCAGTAAGTTAGAGCACGAACCTTGCTTTTTAGTTATGCTCATCAAGTTGGCTGTTTGTAGAATAATTTTAATTTCCGATAAAATATCTTCATCTGAGGGAAAACCTGGAGGCATCATAGGCTGTAAGGCGTCTTGTGATGAAGGGAAAGAGAAATTGCTCATTGGCCTTGTCGGCGGATCAAAATCACTTTGATTTCCTCCTATCAATGGTTGTTGTTGTTGAGCTGTCAACATACTATTTCTATCTTGATTCATGATATAACTGGCATCACCCATCATGGGGGTCAAATAACCGTTATTGACGTAGTTTGGACCATAGCTATGAATAGACATGGCTTGAGATATTCTATGCATGGCTAGATCTTGACTATTCATTGCTCTTGACGCTGTATCGTATTCAGCTGAGCTATGACTAATGACTGATCCAGCATAGTTCATTGGACTTACTGGCCGTTGCATACTATTTTGATATCTTCCGTTGACTGGGGTGGCAGCGTTAGTATCGCGGTAGTAGTCATAGTCGGCAAAAATCTGACTTTCAGCAATCTGACTTGTAGCAATCTGACTTCCACCAAACTGAGAACGGTTACCGTACATCATATTCATAGGAGGTCGAGAACCATACGTTTGACGGCTTCTAAACGAATTACCTGTATAGCCCGTTATCCTGCTGCCGGATGAACCCATTTCCCATAATTCTTGCTCATAAACACTCCATTTTTTCATAGGAATCATTTTCTCGTCAAACTTTTCGTCGTCGGCCACAATAATTTTTCTTTGGGAATCACCAACGACAACACGGGTATTACCCCAAGAGAAATCATCAAAATGCCAGAAGGAGTAGACTGGTAGTAGGAAAGCATAAACTGGAAGTGCCAAAAGATAGAAAAACATCCAACCAATGTGCTGCCATTCACGTCTTAGCATAAACACCAAAATCTGCAATGCGTACAATCCTGCTAACATCCCTATGGCAAGCGTAGGGAACGGCCCAGCATGAGCTGCAATGGTATAAATCAGATAAATCAAATAACAGAAAGAAACAGGTAATGTCAAGGTACCGATTAAATCGATAAGAACGACAAACCGCATTGAGAATAGGCAAAAACCACAGAGGTCATTTAACAAAACCACTTCAAGAAGATTGTGAATAGTAGAGTTGATCCAGCGACGACGTTGAGATAGCAAAACACGCCATTTATCAGGCGCAACTGTACGGCACATAGCATGGGGAGTGAATTTCATTTTATGCTGAGGGAAATACTTCATCATAAGAGTTGTCAAATATCGATCTTCACCAAGCGATAGTAGATTCTTTTTATGCAAGGTATCCACATGATTTTCAGCGTAGTCATGGACCACATTAGGGGAAATGATTAAAGGTTCATTTTTAACAGGCGTGCGTACACGATACATGCAGAAACAACCAGGAAGACAGGTAACCGAGCCAAACAAACTCTCAAAGGATTTAGCGAGATAATGAGAGATATAATATTCATAAACTTGAATCATGGTTGTCCAAGACTGTTGTTCATTAGCTAAAGTTGTTTCACCACAGATACCCATAATACGAGCATCGTGCAACATAGATGAAATCAAGTAGGAGAGGGAATGCGGCATAACTTCTGTATCTGAATCCACCATAAGAATATATTCATAAAAGGAAGGATTGACGCCAATAACATTTTTGATTTGATGGTACATTTCCAGTTCCAAGGGAGTCATTTCACTATCGAAGTGGACCCGATTGAGGAAGTTCATCAAGATCATTTGCGAATCACGCTTACCACGGTTACCTGGTTTGGCTCTTTCAGATGCTTTGCCCACCTTCGCTACTACGATATAAGGGACAACGTGACCTTCATGTTCGTAAAGTCCAGAGTAAACTTTACCATAGTTCAGCTGTTTTGCACCTTCACCTACAGATTTAAACATCAAAGGTTCCGGATCCTGCTTCGTATCATAACCTAGAATATCCAACAGTATACGCGGTGTTGGTCGATCGTTACCACTACCCATCACCATACCATCAGCAATCAAGAAAAGTAGCTTGCGTTTGTCATCGTACTTCAAAACAGTGAGGGAATCGATTGTTTTCTTTAAAGAAACCTCGTCTTCAGTATAACAAGGCACCTGACAAATAACAAATTTATCATGGTCTTCTGGTGTCGGAGTGCTTCCGAATTGCAATGATGCCAAAAACTTGACCAAGATTACCGCACACATAACGCAAGCCATAGCGAGTAGTAAATAATTAGAGAAGGTACATCGTGGGGTGTCACGGGGATCAACGTAACCGATCAAGAAATAGTTATCCAGACAGTTCATATTCATTTCCTGCTCTTCAACACTCATTTTATCTTTGTACATTTCCCATTTCTTCGTCGCGTCTGTACCTTTGAAACGTGTGAAAAGGTCTTCCACAGTACCTGATAAAAATTTGTATTCACTGGCAACACTTGCGCCTGCATAGGTATCAATTGTTGTAAAATAATCTTGAAGGTCGTACACTTTGTTGTACATAGCCATGGCAGCGCGACCCCAGCTGTCTGCATCAGCTTTAAGATCTTTCATACGATGAACCAGAGTACCTTTTTTATATTCACTAATTCTTGGAAGGAATGTTTTCCAGTACCAATAAGGGTCTTGTGTGTCATTAAGGAAGGAATATTGCACTTGACCGCCAGAATAATGGATGAAAGAAGCTTGCTGACTGTTAGTAGTGTTGGGTATAATACGGACATTATCATTAGTGACTAAACCGGAGCATGCTACTGTTAATGGAGGAGGAATTGAGGAAGAAACATCCTGTCCTGCCAATGCCGCCATTGCATCCGGAGTACCAAACATATTATGAGAGCCATGACTGGTTTTAGCGAACTGTGTCATGTCATAGACATTGCCTCGAACACTCATATAGTTATCATTTTCGACATTATGTGCTTGGACATCAGAAATTGAGTACATGGTCGATGTTCCTGGACAAACTACAGGGCCAAGGCCGACAATGAAGAATAATACAATAAATGAGAAGAGGCCAATTAGCATACAAAGGGTAACCTTTTCTCGCCAGGCCATTTGTATATCCGGTCGCTTCATTTTGCCAAACCAGGCTAAGAATGGCGATGGAATCCAGAATGTCATGAGCCAAACAAAACGCACCCACCATCGTCGCACCCTGGTAATAGGAACTTCTTCCACGTTTTCTATTTTAGGAGCCTGAATGTCTTCAACCATCTTACTCATATCCATGTTAGGTCCAAAACTACAAAAATAGATAAGTGGAAATAAAATACAACAAAGAATTAAGCATCATACTTTGTAAAGGCTTTTTCTGACAGACTTAAAGACATTAATTGAACTTACCCTTCCGCTAAACCATTGATACCCCACTCCGATTCTTCACCCCATTGACTACCATCGATATCACGCTTATCTTCGCTATAGCCATAGCTTGCAGCATCATCTGCAGTTTCTAAATGATTCCTGTCGTACATAGCTTCTTCATAATCAGGATGGTTCTCAAAGTATGGCTGACCTTCTGTAGAAAAAGCTTTTTCGGAAGCCATTTCAACACTTGGCACACCTCCTATACCCATGGCTTCCATTTTCAATTCTTCTCTCTCCCGCTTTTCAGCTAAACGTAATCCATCTTCAAGTCCTTTCCATATGTCGTAACTTAACCAGACCATCTGTTGACCAACAAAGACATTTTGCTGATTCCATTTCATTAATTGACAAGCTTGCTTGATTTTTTCTTTTTCACTATTACTGTCTAGCTCTTGCTCTGTTTCTGTTGCAATTTCAAGTGATAGGGAATTGATGAATGCTTCATATCGATCTGTGAATTCTTCAAAGGTATAATAGTATGCGAATTCATAGTGGTGACGCACAATTAATTCCGGGATCAAGAAGGCTCGTACTTGTGTCTGAACGCGATTATGATCAAATTCAGGCGCTTGTATATCGTTAGGCCTTATATGGATGATATTATAGAGTTTTGTGTCAGCCATTGAGAAAATAATATCACGCAATGTCATATAAAGCTGATCTGTTACGGTCATTTGCTGGAGGTTTTCGTACGCCTCCTCTGGTTTTTTTATCTGCTTTTTGAGCTCATCATCAATGTGTTCATTACTTTCTGACGGTATTGGCTCCTCGATTCCATTGTTAGCAGTTTGCGGTTGTCTTCCATTTCTATGTTTAGTCGGCTTTCTCTTTAAAGTTGGAGCACGAGTTGGTTTACTACTAAGTTGAGCTTTTACAATTGTACGGTCATCTTTTGGATGTGATTCCGTAGCCATGGCACTTCCTTGGAAAAGATTGGATATGAATGCGTTGGAGCTACTGTCTCTCAGCAAATTGACAAAATCAGGCGATAGCTCATCCAAGTTACGTTCTAAGAACTGATCAGCTGTATAGTGTACAGTACCAGAGAAGTGATTAATACCGAAAGAAAACGTTTGAGAGCCTCTACATAAAGAAGTATGGCTGGAATGTTGACGCTGGAGAGTCACCAAAAAGTTTGCATTAGTAGCATCGGTCACACCTGATTGTTGTCTCGCAGTATCTCGATCCATGAGTCCAACAATTCCACCAAGCCCTAATGATGATGAGTTGCTGAATATCTCCTGTTTATTGTAAGCATCATCAACTAGTTGCTTCTTTGTCTTTCCGAAGAGAAGCTCCAAGCAAGCAGAATTGTCAATGACTGGAATCGTCGGCAAAGGCACACCATCATTGATCATGAGCTCGTTCAATCCCTTATTATTGCCAAAACTTTCCTCGACCAAAAAGTGATGAATACGTTCATTTGCGAGATTAACACAAAATTCTTGAAAGCCGTTTGTTTTGAAGTTTTGGAAACCGAACTGATCCATAATACCGATGACATTGGCTGGTTCTTTGGTATTACTGTAGCAAATCTTTCTGTTGATCGATTCAATAATCCATAAGAATAGAATATTGTATAGCGCACAAGCCAAGCTATCACGCTGTTCACCTGCAGTTTGTGGATTCAAGAAAATGGTGCACACTTCTTTTCCAATCAATTTTAACTTATATGTTAAGCAGGTTTCTAATTTACTGGACGAAACACCAAGCATCATAGCTACTTTATCAAGAGCGTCATAATTTTTGACCACACAAGCCTCTTGGGCTTGTGTATCCGCATTTTCAATAAACTGTATATTACCAATATGCAAGACAGCTGCTAGCAACTGGAAAATTTGTGTTACTGTTTTTGCTTTAAATCCACACATTTTCAAGGCACTCTTTAGATCACTGAATTCAGTTTCGTCGTTCCAATCTGAGGTTGAAATGATATTACAGCTGGATTGATTAAGGTAATTGAAATATTCTGGCTTAAAGTTGATATGCAGTGCATTTTTCTCTTCTACAGTCGTACCGGCTAAAAGAGAATAGAAGACATGGTATGTGCGTTCGTTGGGTGGCACTTGTGTCACTCGCGATTTGTCAAACTGATAAGCCAATGTCTTTGTTCCCAAAATTCGGCCCCGTTCATTAAATTGAATTTCCTGAAACATGCCAAACTTAGAAGCTGACACGTTTTGTGTAGTATGAGCATGGCCGAAGGCTTCGATAATTACCAGTGCGTTTTGGATCTGTGAGCTTAATTTATTCTCTCTTTTGTTGTGTGTTGACAATTGAAGAAGTTCGCAAAGAAAATGCGTTCGCGTTGTGCTTTTTCCCGAACCAGTAATGCCACTACAGAAAAGTGATTAGTTAACATGACACAAAAGACGTGGCGCTGCCTTGGAAAAAAAAAGTACCTTAATATGACACTTTGATCTTCTCCTGTGCGTCTCATATGGAAGTATACTTTCGTTGCTAAATCATAGACATGAGGTTGTAATGATGGTCTCTGCTCTGTAAGGTCCTTATAACCGATCTCCGCATAAGAACGTAATGTGTCATCATTTAAAAGTTCAAGAGTCTGATAAGGGTTGACAACGACCAAGGTCGAGTAACCTAATTGGGTATACGGTAGGTTTCGTCTATATCTATTTTCCAAAAATATAGCAACTGCTTCTTCGGTGGGTATTGTCTTATCATTAGTGTATAAGCTGACGAGGTCCGTGTGTGATTCTTCTTGCATTTTTTCCACGTTGAACTGGAATAAATTGAATAAATATGGAAATAGGTACTGTTGACGTTGATAGCTTTACGTAAGCTAACGCTTTCAAATTTTAATGTCGCAGAGAGAAATATTTAAATGCTTTCTATTACAATAAATTATCTTTGGAAAAGAAAGAGTGGCTAGGCGGGTATACGTATCCTTTATATATATCCATATGTCGAGCTATTGTGGAGAATGAATTTCTGCTATTTTTAACATTCACTTTTGACACCTCTGGGTTGAAATTCCCTTTGGACAAATACGGCTGGACAATTTTTGTTCCATAAAGTAAGGTCAGACCAAAAAACGATCCGAATATTGAAGAAAGCCATAACGTATGTAATTACATGCCAAACCAAAAGGCTTTTCGATTGTACCGTTTTTACTGTATTTGTGACAATGACTCGCTATAAATACCTCATAATTGCTAAAAAATTGCTCAATTAACCAAGTAAGTATTTAATTGAAGTAATTTAGACTGCAACTTAATACGTAAGCCTAAATCAGCTTGCTACTATACGTTGGGCATTCTCTCGCGGAGATTATGAACCTCTAATTTGCTATTGTTATTTATGTTTTTATACAAGTTACTCGTATTCCATCCATTGAGCAAAGCCATCATTTTCACTATTTTTTAAAGGCGGAAAGGCCAGATTGTTTCAGATTGAGAAGGCAGGTTGCTCCGACCATATGTCTTGCAAACTTAACTTTCAAGAAACTATAGCATAGCTATCATGCATACTTAATATGTCCAAAGCAAAATTTTGAATTTGTGCTTAGATTGCCCCTCAAAAAATTATACAGCTATAGCGCTATAATAGTTTGGTAACGGTGAAAATAAGTAGTTGTATGCTTTGATGAGCGGTTTTCCCGGTTGCTTATTGCCGCAAACCGATTTTTGAAGGAAGCAAATATTTGTATACGCTGCTTTTGCGCTATTTTTATTCGTTAAGGCTGTTGTCCCATTTATCCGAGTCAGACTGACCAAGCATTTTCGGAATCAGATCCAAAAATACCGAGCGTACACCCAATCTGAATTTATTTAGATGAGTCACCCTTCTTCAATTGCTCCAGTTATATTTTTTCTTAACTGGTTCCTTAAATGTCTACCTCTCTTGTTGCTTATTAAACATTAATTTTTCAACAATGCAATACAGATCTACTCGTGGACAAGCCAAGAATTACAGTTTCGAGGATGCTATCATGACAGGATTAGCTCCTGATGGTGGCCTCTTCATTCCACAGGCGATCCCCGCTCTACCAAACAACTGGAGAAGCGCTTGGTCACAACATAGTTTCCAACAACTCGCTGTAGAAATTCTTTCCTTGTTTATTGACGAAAAAGAAATTCCTCGTACAGATTTAATCAAGCTTGTTGAGAAGTCCTACTCGACTTTTAGACATCAAGAGGTCACTCCTTTAGCCAAAATTCGTGATGGACTGTATGTTTTAGAGCTTTTCCATGGCCCTACTTTTGCTTTTAAAGATGTGGCACTCCAATTTGTGGGCAATCTATTTGAATATTTTCTAGAGCGTCGTAACAGTAACAATGGGGTCAAGGATACTCATCGATTAACAGTAGTTGGTGCTACATCCGGAGATACTGGAAGGTAGGAAGCAAAAAGTGATGGAGCAATGATATGCTGAAGTTGTCAGAAGAGGAGTACCTAATAGAAATTTTTTTTTTATAGTGCTGCCATTTATGGCCTTAGAAATAAGAAAAATATCTCTGTTTTCATTCTTCATCCGCATGGTCGTGTCAGTCCTATTCAAGAAGCTCAAATGACGACTGTTTTAGATAAGAATGTTCACAACTTCTCTGTAGAAGGCACATTTGATGATTGTCAAGACATTGTGAAACAGTTGTTCGGTAACAAGGAGTTTAATGATCGTCACCATTTGGGTGCTGTTAATTCGATCAACTGGGCTCGTATCTTGGCTCAAACTGTTTATTATTTCCAAGCTTACTTCAGTCTGCTTCGATCCCTCAATATTGACCCTGCCTCCTCAGAGGCAGATGCGATCAAACTTGATTTTTCAGTACCCACTGGAAATTTCGGTGACGTTTTAGCCGGCTACTACGCTTACAGAATGGGTCTTCCTGCAAATAAGTTACTGATTGCTACGAACGAGAATGATATCCTTTTCCGTTTCTTCGCCTCGCATGCTTATGAAAAGCAAACTGGCCCTGATGGTGCCGTGAAAGCTACTTTATCACCAGCTATGGACATTTTAGTATCTTCCAACTTTGAACGGTTACTTTGGTATCTCGTCAGAGAAACTGACACAGAAGATGAAGGTAAAGATGTGTCAAATGAAGCTTTGAATGATAAAGCTGGCCAAACGATTGCTGGTTGGATGCAAGAGTTGAAGGAAAATGGCATCTTCCGCACTTCAAGTGAGGTTGTTTCTAAAGCACGTGAAATATTTGATGCTGCCCGTGTGGATGACGTTGAAACATCAAGAACGATTCGTGCCTTCTACGAACCTGCCAGCGACTGTAATCAAGAACCTAATAATCAGTCTCCTTACGTCTTGGACCCTCACACTGCTGTAGGAGTGGCTGCTGCAGAACAGTTTATACAACGTGAAAATATAAAGACATATCCTTCAGGTGCTGATGTACTGATATGTTTGGCGACAGCTCATCCTGCTAAATTTTCTGAAGCCGTGGAAGCATCTCTCAATACTTGCGCTGAATTCAATTTTGAAAAGGATGTTCTACCCACAGAATTTAAGGGTTTATTAGAAAAGGAACGCAATGTTACTAGAGTCGAACGCGCTGATCCTGCTTTGGTGATGGAGAAGATTGAAAAAGAATTACGTGAAGAAGGTGTCATATTTTAGACAATTGATTCATTCATCTTGCATACTGGCTATTACTGCGCTTTATCTACTCTTTACAGCTTTTATTGGAATTGTAAACCGGAGAAAGCACTCTTTCAGTATGTTAATGTATTTTTATGAAAATTTTTTTTATATTATAAAAGTAGATGCACGGACATCGTTGACATTATTAATATCATACAGTTGTCGACATTTGGTATTGTTTGTGGTATGAGTCTAAAGAACTGAGTTCATCTTTATTGCCTGGCGAGGTAAATATGTCTAGGGAATGAAAATGTAGGTGAGTTTAAGTTATTTACGCGAGCCGCTGTTACGAGATGTATCCTTTGCTGCTCCTAAAGGAACATCGTCATCTTCATCTTCTTCTTCTTGTATCTGTCCGTTAAAGCGGCTGTTACCATACATCATTTGCTGCTGTTGCTGCCACATGGGGTATTGTGCATACGGTGACTGCATCATTAATATGGACATACGTGGGTCCATCATGGGTGGTGTTGTCATCATGGGCGCCATGTTCATCATACCGGGAGCTCCCATGGGCATCACTCCAGGATACATCATAGGTTGGCCCATCATATTCATTACGGGCATTTGGCCGTTGGGTATATGCATCATTGCGGGGTTCATACCAGGATACATCATCATAGGCTGGCCCATCATGGCAGGCTATTTACGCAGAAAACATGCGATAAAGCGTAAGATGATTAAGTACGTTGAAATATAGCCTTGTCAAAGTGCTTTGCATTTACCTGCTGATGCTGCATCATTTGTGATCTTTGCTCCATCAAATACTTTTCGCGTTCTTGTTGCATCAACAGCTCTTTCTCCATTTCCATCATTCTATTTTTATTTACATCCTTTTGCTTCCTTCCGTGTTCTATCTGAGAGATCATACCCACAAGACCTGCACGTGGTTCTGGAGGCTTATTGGGTACTTGAATCAGAGGTTGTCCAGTAGCTCTGGCGAAACCCTCTTGCTCATGTGCAGTAGTGCGGTCCGATCGATACGTATCCATCAGACTATTGGGGGTAGCAAAATGATCACCTAACTGTGGAATGATCGGGCCATTCTCTTCTAGCATTTGAGGGGCATAACCAATAGCCAAACCTCCATTCACATCCTCCTCAGTACCATAACGCTGTTGATTCATGATACTGGCGCTGTCGTACATGCTGGCGCTATCCCATTGAGCTGAACCTTGCATAGGTTGCTGAAATTGCATATGAGGTTCCAAAAATTGCTGTTGTAGCTGTTGCTGCTGCAGTAATCGCTTCTGCTGCTGCTGTTGAATAGGTACATCATCGTCATCGTCGTCACTGCCAGAATAGCTTGCTTCATCATCATCGTTATTCTCTTCGCTGTCGTCCTCTTCTTCTGAGCCACTCAAACTGATTTGCGTTCGTGCTAGTTTTGGCTGAAGTCGAGAATGGGTGGGCTTAGTAACAGCTGGTTCCTGCTCTTCTTCTTTGTCACTGACTGATAAATCATTTTTAGGCGGCTGAACAACCTCACTATTGCATTCATTTTCCTGCTTCAATGTCGACCCTGTTTTTTCCATCGTCATCTTGGATGGATGGTTGTTATTCATGGATGCTAAAAATTCTCGTTCAAGAGATAGATCATCAGAACAGCTGATATTTGGTAATAATAAATTTTGCCTTTCAGGTTGTTCTGTTATTGGTCTCTTCAAAGTTCCGTTGGCGGTAAACAGAGCCTTATCGTCGTCGTCGTCGTCACTATCATCTTCGTTGTCCTCATCCTCAACTTCTTCCTCATCCTCGTCTTCGTCGTCGTCGCTAGCATAAACCTGTCTTCCTCCCTTCTGCCCTATAAGATTGGCGCGTTGATGACTCAGCGATGACCTGTTCGTGTTAGAGGAATGGCTGGAATAAACGGATCCTCTTTGCGACTGGACATTATTAGTATTTCCATTATTATTGTTATAAATGGGTTTGCCATTATTATTGGGGATTTGGTGAATGAGCCCCATCGGTTGTTGCTGAGAAACCCTCATCTGTCGTGTATACGACTGTGGTCTTTGCTGCTGCTGCTGCTGCTGCTGCTGTTGATATTGGATTTTGTTTAACAATATTCCAGCAAACTGTGCCTTATTATCTAATAAAGTGTCGTCTTTGAAGTTCAAATGAATCACTTCTGGCACCTCTAAAAATAAGCGTGGCATATCACCTGAGGGCTCTCCAAAATTCAGTGAATTAATATTGAAAGGGTCATCACTGAGACAGGCCGGTCTACCATAGAGCTTGAAGGTGTCCAATGTTCCAATCAACCACTGAACAACCTCTTTAGGCGACGAGGCCATAATCAAAACACTCGAGTAAGACTTCATACGCTGTTGTTCTCCATTCGGTTTGATAGCAAAAGTACTGCCTTCTACTTTAAATATGGACACCAAATCAATGGCCTGAGGCGATTCAGGATACAATATATAACTTTGTACAACATTGACCATGGTAAAACTTGGTTGTTTGCTTTTCTTCGATTCATAGAACATCATTTGGCCCCTTGTTGATTGAATCGACTTTTTGCCAAACAATTTCTTTTCCTCCTTTCTATCCGATACAACAACCCAAAATTTACGCCATTCGGTTGTACCTGAAAATCTAACTTGGACAAATCCTTCCATTTTATTGATGGGCTTTGTGACAATATCTGAAAATGTCGAGCGAGTCAGAAAGCGTCGAGTGAAGATTTCCTGGAGTTTACAGCATTCGAAGCAGGAAAGACGTATAGCGCAAACCCAGCTGATTAATGTTTGGTAGTCTACTACATCAAATAAATAGCGATTGGCGCCAGCTGAATTCAAGGCAAATACATTCTGTCTGCCTTCATATTGTCCCAGTAATTGCACATCAGAATCTGTAATATTGATATACTGAGGCATTACGTAATCATTCTGATTTTGCTGAGATACATCCCATAATGCTAATACAGGGCCACAAAGCTCAACGTACCATTGTTGCCATTCAGTTTCTGCACAAGGTTTTCCGTCGACGGTCAGATCATTTCTTTTCCATACGTAACCTTCAAAATAAACTTTTTGCGCATAATTTTCATATAATGTCTGTACAATACGCATATCATGCGAAATAGTAGAATTACTATCACCCGAGAGAGTCGATGATGTTGGTTTAACAAAATTGGACGGACGTTGGCTTCTTACTGAGTCTTGACCATTATACAAAAATAATGAGACAGGTCTAGACGATTGATTATTGGACGCTTGATTCATACTGTTATTGCTGCTATTAGTAAGGGGCTGGCTGTCAGATTCATTCATTTCTTCTATATCGAACTTGTCATGATGGCTGCTGTGTGAGGGTACAGGTGGTGGTCCATTCATTCCCTGACGGTCATTGTTTGAATGACCGTATATGCCTGCAGGTACGGCTGAGCGATCTTGAAGAGTGAGCCTTTCTATTTCAGAATGAAGGGTATGTTGGCTCATAATGTAAAACTACAAATTATGAGGAGAGTAGGATTCGGTTGTTTTTTTTTTATTTTTGGCTCTACTTTGCTTAATGTGAGTGGGTATATATATTCAACCTAATTAACAAAAATCTGTTCCTATATCGCTAAATAAATGGAAAAGGATGAAGAAATTTAAAATCCAAGAAATTGTTTAAATATATCTGTTTAGGAAATTGACTTTTAAAACTGAGCTTTTGTCGTTTTGCAACAATCATGTAAAAAGTAGTAGTGGGGTCTCTGGCTTCCACCGAAATGGATCTTCGTGTGATTTGTATCTTTGGAAAAGAGATGTAATACTTACAACACAGTTTCAAACTGGAAAAAGTGTTATTTGTTAATGGCTCTAATCAGACGTCCTTTCTATTATAGAATTGAAAAAAAGGGAAATTCCCCTTTCATAGGATATTGAGGGCTGTATTTCCCTTCAATTCATTACGTAACCTGCTGTAACTTTTATTCAGATTTTTGGTTGTTTTACAATATGTCAAATTCAGATCTGTTTTCCTCTACAGCATATTGTTCAATAAAGCCTAATAAATTTTAGATTTTCCAGCTTGTAAACACATTTAAACTCACGAACATTATACGCAAAAACAGCAAAATTACGTTTAAACAGAGATTTTATTACATAACATTAATTTTTAAAGCTCAATGGACACGAGATATTAAGCTTATCTAAATTGCCCGAGGCAGCTCCAAAGGCTTAAAAGAAACTAAAAACCCCTTAGGGCTCAAGGGTAAAAAGGATTATGTACTAAAGGATTGTGGGAGGGGAAGAGGGTAACCAGTCGAGCAATAGATGCCCTAACCGAGGAGTTGTAGGCGGCTCTTGAGAGTGGTGTAAGTAGTCGAGCAATAGATGCCCTAACCGAGGAGTTGTAGGCGGCTCTTGAGAGTGGTGTAAGTAGTCGAGTTCAAACAAAATGTGACAAAGTGCTGGCCATAGGGAATGCCAGTTTTGTATTTCGGATGGGTTGTAGATCGGATGTGTGGGAAGACGGTTAAGGACATAGGATATGGGATCACAGCAAATTACAGTATCATTTATTGTTATCATTCCCTCCCTTAAAAAAAAAAAAAAAAAAAAAAAAAAAAAAATTGAATAGTGTATAGCTTAGCTTAGAAGATATAGGGAAGAAAGGGAAAATATTTTATTATTATCAAAAAAAAGGAAATAAAGCGTGGCTCAGAGAGCATGTATCACATTGGAAGCCTTCTGTTGTGTATGTGTAAAGTATAACAGTAGAAAGAATAGAAAAGACAAAGAGAAAGTCTGTGAAAACATGTGGTAGGTTTATTCAAAGTCAATTAAGGCAAAGATATAAGATAAGACAAAGACAAGTTTCTTTCTACACTTCAACTTGGGATCATACTTTTACTTTTCAGGAACTTGATCTGAGAATGAGATATGCCTTGCGGAATTCTAGAATTGCTTGCTTGGAAATTTCTAGGAAATCAGAACAGTAACATGAGACATGTCAAATCATTCGTATCATTGATATCAGTTGATATGACTATGTAGAAGAATACAATTGGATATTCATAGGCGGATATAGAGATGTTAAGAGAATATGGAAATTGCTGGAATAGACATGATCTTTCTGTCATGATCTGTTGAGACAACCCAGTCTAGCTTAATGAGACAACAACTTAGAAACAACTAGGGTTGCATACACTCATGGGTTTTATGGTTAATAACATTGTGATTTATGTCTTACTAACTTAAAGTATAAAAGACCTACTCCTCAATGAATGAATAAAGGGTAACCTCTTTTTGGCAGTCTCGTTATTTTTTACTTTGATTGTTATTAAAACTATAAATCACACTTTCTGCAGCCAAAGATCTTTTATCCGACCTTCAGGTCTCTGCTGCGCCATTCGTATCATGAATACCTCAGTCTATTATGTCCATCTATCTTAATATTATCTGGCTTAGGATAAGAATATGTAGGGAACATGCTCTAGCATTGGACTCTATTATAGTAGTAAATTCATAATGAACGATAAGACTGTAAAGAATATTATCGTTCACGAACTTCTTGGTAATTTTGTCATTTTTTGCGCATAAAGCAAACTAAATTTACTCACAGATGTTAATACTTTTAGGATCAAACATTTCAAACAATCTATATCATTCGGCATCAACAGAATGGTCAGATGGAACGAAATCAGATGTTTTACATGTACCTACTGAAGTGAATAATGATCAACCTCCAATCTTGATAGAAATCCAAAACAGCGTCGATCAAGCATTTATGATAAGATTAATTCAGTATTGTACTCGTGTGTATGAACGTTTTCAAGTTATGCCTGTGGTTCTTGTATTCGTAGTTGTAAAGTTCTCTAGCAAGGAATTTGAAAAAAAATTTGTGCCGAAAGTCAACACACCATATTTGCTTAAAACATCATCTGCAAAATCAATTGAAAATCATATCAAAGTGGGCATGAATCAGCTTGTGGCACTTGCTTACTATACCACCTGTCAATCTGCAAGCTTAAGTTTATTAGAATATGCTGGTGATTCAACCGTACGCTTTTTATACTCAATATGCAAGGCTAACATGAAGAAAAAGGGAGGTGGTGAATTAGTTAAAATCATCGACCGAAGCACTGAACAAATAAAGAAAGCAATCGGTTTAGATGAAGATCCTATCTTGACGGCTGAAAAGTGCAAAGGTTTCGCTGAAAACCTATTGAAAACTATTGAAGTACAGAAAAGAAAGCTAGTTGGGGTGTACGAATTGAACGCAGAAGCATCACAAAAGCAACAAAAAAAAAATACAGTGCAGAAGACTTTGAATTCATTGAAAGCAGTTCTGAACCAGGCAAACCAAAAAAATGGAAGAAAATCTATGATGAAGGAAAAGCCAAAGGACTCTTTATTTCTTATACCTCGTCAAATTCCCTCAAAAGTTCATACCATCATAGCAAAAAGCGTGAAAAAACTAGAAAATAATATTTAACTTTTATTTCCAAATGAAAGATTTTACATTGAAGTTTTTTATATTGAATTCTCTACAACCAAGTTAATGGCTTGATTTCCTACATTAAAAGATGAGACCATCTTGTCTGGATGTGACAAAAACTGACATAACGCATGAAAAGCATTTAAGGATGACTATTGAGAGGTGTGATGTTCAAATCGGAAAGAAACACCAGATATTTTTCTGCCCAAAACTCTGATTTGATCTTCACCAAGTGTGAATTTAATTCATTTTCGTTTGAGCCAAGGCACTCTTTGTTAGCAACATCATTTTGCTCGGATAGTCAATCATCTCGGATCCAAAGCAATTCGAATAAATGTCACCTTTTTTTTTGCCTATATGAATACCATGTATAACTTCAAGCTTTATAAGCAAAATGTAGTTATGACAGAAAACTAGTAGTGATTCGCTAAAGCGCAAGAGCTCTGAACATAACACAATTTCCGCAGTTGAATTCTCATAGACATAGCTTTCAAGATACAAATATGCCTGTTATTAATACCAGCGTCCTTTAAAAGACCCTTTAGATTAGTTTTCGACTTTATTTCCATTTAAATTTCTCTTTGATCATTCAGATATATCGGCAGGGATATCAGATAATACTTGTTTAGCTTCTTCGACTTCGTTGCTATCAGCGTTCTCGATGTTTTCCTACGAAAATAATAGAAAAAATTATTTATCTCTGACGGTACATCTAATCAGAAGTAAAAATTATGCTTTACCAACGCGTCCTGTAGATCTTCATATGCTTTCGCAAGTCTCTTTTTCACGTCAGGAATCATTTGATGTGTTTCTGCTAAAACTTCTTTCTATTTTATCCATAGTTCACGTTTAATAACGCAGTGCTTTTGAGTGGAATTTGCTTATGAGCATCATACCTGTTTTTTGACATCGGCTTCATCAGCATTGTTAGCAATCAGCTTATCAATACGCTTTTGCTGAGTTTCTGCTTCTTGCAAATAACCAACGTGTTCTTTATGAATCCTAGAGTGTTTGACGTGCAAAATGTTACTTTTTCCTTTTTTCAATTGTCAAAATCAAAGTGCCTGAAACGAAAAAAGCTACCTTTTTACAACGTTCGTCTTTATTTTCAATTGCGAAATTGGCATTTTGTTGAATGAAAGTTTGTAAGAGCAAAAGGTTATTTCGAAATCAATGTCATAGAGCATCATTTTCAGGAACCGCGGGGTGTGTTTCTCAAAAGGAGTCAAGAATCGTCTAGATCATACACCATGGTTTTTGGCCGTAAAATGCATACAGAACGCTGTGCTCGGTATTGCCATGACGTAAAAGCGAGAGTAGGCTAGACGAATAAAAGCATATTCAACAATTGCAAAGTAATGCAATGTAGAAAGCTTAGCGGTAATTTGGGGGAGCTCCATTGCCATTATGTGTTATCTTTTCTTCAACTCGCAAAAATAATGTTTGGTGACATGCGTTCTTTCTGATATTGATAGTAATTCACTGTTAAAAACTCAACTAGTAGATATATTCCAAAGTTACATGAGTTCTGTTTTATCTTGTGCAAATACAATTGCTACCAAACAAAAGTGCAATTAACGACAGACATGGAGTTACGTTGATGTTCAATATACAAGTTTAAAGGAAGTGTATTGTGTCGATGGCTGAGGGGCGAGAAAAGTTGAATTATTCAGGGAGTATAATCAATAAAGGGAAACCATGATTAAAAGTACATCTAAGTATGGTTTACGAGATGATAAATATTAAAAGCTTTTTACAAGTGCTGCGTACGAATGTATATGAAAAAAAAAAGGTTGATTTTTGTAAACATCGCCCTTCAAGCGTCTAATGTATATAGGCCTCATGGCCATTTTTTTGAGTCTTTGATCTAGTAGTGCGTCTATGAACAGACGTTTCTTTGACAGATTCCTACAGTTTTTAATGTAAAGCTTTTTATCTCAGATACCATATTCTATTCTCAAGGGGAACAATAGGAGAGGTCTTATTTAGTTTCCATACCTGAGACCTTTTTTTCATGGACTCTTCAATCAGACTACGTTTCTTGACTATTTCTGATTTTAGTTTATGTTCTCTAATACCTTTGGGATTTAACCAAGATAATAGTTTCTCAATCTAAGCGGATAAAAGCAATACCCAACAAGAATAAAATGAAAAGAGGAACATCAGTATTGCTCGTTACAAGAACTGTATCATCTGGAAACCCTTTTTGATATCTACCTCTTCAGTTTCGGAATAATACCTCCACCAACCATAATAAGCTGGAGGCTGATCTGTTTTAAGCTCATTCATACGCTGTTCTAACCACTCACTCTCATCTACTAAACCTTGCTCTTGCATTAGCTTTTTGACAAACCATACACCGCCGCCATAACCCCACGGTCTTTCCGGAAGGTTGGTATAATGATCTCTTTCCATCAATAACTGTATATCTCCATCACTTGGGCTGTTCACAAACAAACGTCCAGAGCCATATGTATTCGCTATTCCAATATTATCCAAGTAATAGTAACGATTATAAAATCTATCTTTTCCTAACGGTCGAACCCGCAAAGTGTTGTATTTTCTCATTGATCTTTCCAAATGTTCTTCCTAGAAACGTTATAGATTGTATAAGAAGCTTTATGAATGTTTACACCGTCTTATTGACTGATTACCTTTCTTTTAACAGTTTTCTCATTTTCTTCTAGTTTACGTCTTTCATTTGCCTTTAGACGTTGCTCTTCATTTTTAGCTTTTGCAATCATACGTTGCTCAGCATATTCTTTCTTCCGCTTGAGCTCCTCTTCTACTCGTTCACGTTGCTTTTGCTTAAGCTTTTCTTGTCGTGATAAATGGCGTCGTTCCAATTGTTTGGTTCTGTTGGATGGGCTATTCAATTGAAACAGGGAAGGTAATGGATAGATGATGTTATGTAACAGTTTTTCAGAAATGAATATTATCGTTGAAATCTTACGTATCGTTTTCCTCGTCAGATTCATCTTCATCAGAAGAATCAGAGTCACTGTGTTCGCTCGAGGTGAGATCGTCGTCATCTTCTTCATCATCTTCGTCGTCATCGTCATCGCCATCCTCAGTAGTTCCATTTTCTTCGTCTTTTTTACTTCTTTCCTGCTTCTTCAATTCGATTCGTTTAGCGTTCCTGTAAAGAAATGGATGAATTGTGTCGAATGAGTTGGCGATATCGAATCAGAGAGAACAAGTTATTTCTGTTGAAGCTTACAATATCCTTGCTTCTTTATTTAACTCCATTTTCTGTTTTCTGAATTCAGTCATTTGTTCTTGGCAATACTCCATGTAGTTCCTACATGAACAAATAGATAAGTATACTATGATCTCTTCCATGGCACACCTCTAGTTTCCATTGTTTTCATTACTTGATCAAGGTGGATTCATTCACAGTATCAATCAAGAAATGCAAAATGTCTAATTTTTCTTTGATACCTAGTGTGGGGTATTGCTTTTCTCGGTCCGCTGCTGAGGAACCTGATTTAGGCACCAAGTGCTGTAATAACTCATCGACATTAGGCAGTATATCTGGAGTAGCTACATCATTTAAACAACCAATCAAGGCGGTTTCCCAGCCACGGCGATCGTAGTTGGCACGTAACTCTTTATGATCCCATCGTTGACTGAACTTGAGGTGATCTTTGTCTCTCCATCCTCTTTCGATTCTCGGTAGTGGATTGTGATCTTCCTCTTTGTTGTTCTTTTTCCCTTTTTTATTTTTGGACTCCTTTCCTTCTTCGTCATCTTCACTTTCTTCATTGTCTTCTAGTTCTTCTGTAAGGGCATCTACATAATCTTCCATGAGGGTACCATTGATCAGCTCGTTCGTTGTTCCTTCCTTACGCTCTTTGATAATAACGTTCAAAAGACAGGCATTATATTCCACCAGAACAGTTGCTTTGGGCTGATGTGTATTGTGAAGTAAAGCTTGCTCAAAATCGTCCAAGCTGTAGGCTGTTATTTTCAAGGGTTCTGAAAAAATACTGATAAAAGTCCATACAGATAAGAATATTTCAAATAATCCTGGTGGTATCCGGGAAGCATGTTGTGGGATGGGGCGCTCTGTTCGACCGCCACTAGGATAGGGAATATGGGTATTACTGGCATTATAATGTTCTGGATTCATGTCGACTAAAGTCCAGTTTGTATTGGGATCTTTGCGGTATATAGGTAGATCTAGGTCTTCTACAGGGTATTTGACGGCTGACTGTTTCTTTTTTTCTTCACGCAATCGAATACGCTCCTCTTTCAATTTGGCTTTTTGTAACAAAGTTTCCTCTTTTCTAGCTCGTTTTTCAGCTTCCTTTTCAATAATTGTTAAAGGTTTTCGTTTCCGAGATACGTTGGTCATCACTTGCTCCTGCAACTCTTGAAGATGTAGCGGTAGAGTTGCATCGATACTGTATTTATCTGCAACAGATGGCTATTGGCACACGCATACGCAACAAAGAAAAAAAAAAAAAAAAAATTAGATTCTTGCCGTGAGATGGAATCATATCAAGTTCATTTTACTTTGATTAACCAAGGAGCGTTAGCATAGTTATCCCGATAACAACATTCTCTTATGTAGTTCTGAATAGTAGACCTGGTAAATACATTGCTATCTCTCTTGATCTGCTGTTCTTCTATTATCCGCGTGCAGTTCTCTAATGGTTGCCCTAGATCATTAATCAATTGTATCCTATATTCATTGACTGATTTCTTTTCCTTGTTCAGTATGTTTTTGCGTTCTGTTACCACAGGCGATATCGGAGTAGGTAAAAGAAAAGCGTCAGGAAATCTTAATCTACCATTTGGCTGCCTAGGGACATCATGCTCTGTAGTAACTGATGTGTTGACTGGTTTGGGCAATTTTTCGATAATCTTGGCAAAGTAGCTGCAACAAAGAAAAAAAAAAAAACAAAACAAAAAAAAAGGAAAACCATGAGAGACCCTATTCATGAACAGTTTCTACATCTGTTTGTTAGAAGAAGAATTTACTCGTATCCGTTCAGTTTGCATTGAATGATTTCATCGGCTATGTAATTGTTTTCTAGATGAGAATAGACTTGGTCGACCACGTTCTCCAATTTAACTGTTTCTATTAATGAGTTACGGTTGGTTTCTCAATTGTGTTCTGTATTATTGTAATGGGCCACAACTCTTGCGCAAGCTTACGGAATTGTACTTTGTTTAATATCTCTCTTCTGATCGGCTGACAAAATTTAAATTCTGCTCGATCCCTTTCCAATTTTTCGCTTTCCAGTGCCTGCTCATATGTCAAATCCTTTTTGCCAGTGACTTCACATTCCCATATGGATTGTTGGTAAAGTGTTAACCGAGTAATATAGGCCCTAAAATGGTACAAAATCAATGAGAACAATGTCATGAAACGAACAAAAAAGGAAAAAATGCAAGTGTCAAACGTACTCGTAGCTTGTGAACACTTCGTTGGTAAACCGAAGATACCAAACTTCTTTGCGCTTACGCTTAGGATCATACGATATATTATTTGATAGTGGTATTTTCTTTCGGTTTAATAGTGGCATTGCATGGAATGGTGAATTGCCTTGTTTAAGAAAACAATGAAAATTAAAAAAGGGAAAGAGAGGAAGAAAAAAAAAACAAAAAAAAAAAAAAAAAAAAAAAAGCACCGCGTTACATGCACATCACAAAGTTGCATCAACAATTATCGGTCCCTTTTTCACTGAGAACAAAACTGAGTTTAAAAAAGCTAAAGGTAGTTTACATGCTGTCGTGTGTAGGTTAACAACTTCAGATTGGAAACGATCTGTCGGGGAAAATGTATACAGTTTTGAGGAGGAATTGAAACACAATTTAGCAAAGCACTAGACTTTTCTGAAAGGCACTGAATGATGATACTCTGTTCAATGTCTTTTTATCATTCTCAATGTAAAAATTGACTGACGTGCGCTTCCTCAATGCTTGATGAAGTTTTTCCTCCATCAATATAAGAATAGCAAATCTCGCTGATGGTTCAAAGGCAAAAGTAGTACAATTTCTGACCAGACATATTTGGCCTTCGTCACAGATAAGTTTGAATTTGACCGCTCACCCGGTCCCTCTCTCGAAGCGGACGCTTCAATTTCGAAAAGGGGGGCGGGGGTGTATAAACAAAAGCGTTTTACTCGTATATGGCTTTTCGGGGTGTCAACTTTGAATGGATGGATAAAGCAATATTTAAATAGAGACAGAGACATATACAGTAGCTGGTAATGGCTTATGTTGAAAGCTCTGGAATATCTCAAGCAAATACAGTTAGTATAGCTGACCTAAAGGTAGAGAAGCACTAATTATTGTAAGAAAGAAAAACGTAATGTGCTGGACCACGTAAATTTTTGTATAGAGACGGTCTGGAGCACTAAACAGCACGTTATGTTGGACATTTACACTTTCCCCTCTCCATTATTTTTGAAATAAATCCTTCAGTGATATTTCTTTCCATACTTGACTCCATATCGCTGGGATTACTCCAAGGATCGATTCACCTTATTATGTTTAAAGTCTCTATCATCAACTGACCAAGTGAAAATGGTAGACAAATGTATATGACTATGTTGACGAATAGCCTGCACGAGAAACTGTTCCGGTAGAGACATTCCTCTACACTTCAAAATGGAACCATACCCTGATGGCCTCATGACTATCCATTCATACGAACCTCCAATAATTCCAAAAAGAAAAGGTCGTTTTTTTATATTCTAATTTTACAATCTGAAATAACAGCCTGCTCATGAGAACTGCTGTTTATAGAGCCACTGTTGTCCTTTTATTTTTACATTTCATAACAAATTGGTATGAGACAGAAAACAGCTCTTCGCAAGGGTGAATGAAAGCTCATTATCTTTGGATGGAAAACAGTATTTCATCAAAGTAAGCAAATAGGTAAATAAAGATGAGTGCTTGAAGAGGTTGTTTCTCGTAAAATGTACAATTAGATACAGATCTATTATGAAAGGTATATTATAGAGTAATGTAAATATAAATAATGCAATTTCAATAGAGGTATTGGATGATTGTTATCCATAGGTTTCAGATTCTTGAGGTTTTTTCTTCCCGAAAAGGTGGCGCATACGGGTTAGGAACAAAGTTGATTTTGACGTTGGAGATGTGTTGTGTTCATAAGCTTCCTTTACACCGTTTGCAGTGGATGGTTCTGAGTCTGTATCTTTTCTGTCTTTCACTTCCTCTACACGACCTTCTTCTTCGTCATGCAAGGATACATTGGAGGACGAAGCCGACGAGGAATCGGCTGGAACAATAATCTCATGGGTGTAATATTCATGTCGGGTGGGTGGTGGTGTAGGGAAATACTTGTAATAGGCATTGGAGGCTGCAAAGACAGCATAGATGACCAAGCTGAGGCCGAGTATAACCATAAAAAAACGTCCACCTCCAGTATTGGCCAACTTGCTTATGGCTGCTGCAACCATATTCTTTGAGCCTGATTCATTGGCTTCTGCTAGAGAGTCCCAGAAAAATCCTGAAAGAGTGCCAAAGAGAGCAGCACGTCCTCCAAATCCTATCCGTCCTAATAGATGAACAATGAAGGCTTCATATTTATTGGCGCCTGGCTCACTTGTTTTGAGATCACTGATAAAGTTGCCGGTAACAGCATTGATAATTTGAGTAAGGAAAGCAATCAGGAATGCAATGGCCAGTATGCCTATACCTGCTTTGCCGATGGTTGAATTTGTCCAAGATGCTGGGAACGTACTACTCGACGCAGACTTTTGCTGCTCTTCGTTGGTTTGAAAGATCATCTGAATGACATAGTATGCGTACGCAGTGTACACAAGGCCACTGACAAAGGGGGAGAGGCGAAATCGAAAGAAGTTTTTCTTTTTGCTATAATTTGCATCACTTCCTTGGCCAGTAATGGCTTCCCACATTCTGTTGAAGGAAAGGAACGAATAAGAATCGATGGAGTAGGTTTATAGGAACCAGATGGATGGGTTTTACCTCCATATGATATATAATAATAAGCCTACAGCTATAACAATCAGCATAGATCTTCCTACAGAGGGTATGCCTCCCAGGAGCAAAAATGCTCCCTACAGAAATTGTTAGTTAAAGAAAAGTGCTTATAGGATACTTCAAACAGTACGCGGTATACCTGTGGCGATTCGTTTCCTGCGCTACCGTTCGGAGTCCAGGCACCGGTGACATTTGTAATGGTCAAAACACCAATACATCCGTAAACAACGGCTTTAGCGATGAAGCCGATACGGCCAACCCATTTAATCAATTTCTTGTGCTTTTTCCGAACACCGCCTTGATAAAACCGAAGGTCCTCTACTGTCACTTTGGTGGTATTGATGACAGCAGGCGCCGACATGGCATCGTCTTCCTCCGGGGTTGTTTGGGCTGAAGGCAAGTCTATACGAGGGGTGGCAACTGTCTCTTCATGAACTGTGGCTGGAACATTTTGTGTTGACGGCGACGGAGGTGAAGCAGGCACAACATTGATCTCGGTATTGCTATTGTCTGAAACCTTCTCCTCGTCATGATTAATTTTCTTATTTGGTCGAAGTCTTTCAACCAGTTTTTTAAGCATTAGTATAAATGATGCTGTTACAGGGAAAAAAAAAAAAAAAAAAATTGTATCTCAATAGAAGAAAAGAAGGAGGAAAGGCTACCACTAAGTGTATTCACGTAGAAACATACAATTCCAACTGACGAAAATCTATATTATTCGACCTTGAAAATTCCAAATGGAGTAAATGAAATGCACTCGGCAGCCGTCAGAATGACGTACCATAGAATTTCCCTTTGATATAAAAAACTCTTTCGCAGCTTTTAATCCTTTCAGTTGTATTAGAGATCATCCTTTTTCATCAAACATATACCTGATGATCACACACAGACAGTTCCTTGACCTGAAAAGCAGTTCTCATGCAAACGCTACACATTCAGACTTCCCTGGCATCATTTCCGTTTTATCGTAAATGAATTTTCAGCAAACTAACGACAGATTTGAGTAATTGCCACAGAAGCAACAGAGAAAGCATTTATTTCCCATTAACCTGGGAAAATACGAACTATAGCAAACGAATAAGCCAGAGACATCGTGATAGGAATTATGCATAGAAAGTATGTGGTGCTGTATGATCATTTCTTGTAGCTGCCTTTTTCTTTTTCTTTTTTTTTTTTTTTAATTTTGAACAAAAGAATACATGTAACATATCACGGATATGTGCCTCCAATACGTATGAACGAATGGAACAAAATGCTGGATCAAACTCAAGCAACACGATGCGTTTGCTAGGATACCGCTATCACTCCCATTGTTAAAGTTGTAATTGACAACCATACATAATATTGCTATGCATGATTGCAACCCTCCTTTCAAGCTTATGTCATTGAATTTATGAACTTGATACACCTTTTGTTTAAAAAACCTTTAGCAGGGGGATGGCTGTTGTATCTATTGATAACTTGTAGCTTTTTGATACTCATTCATGTGCAAGTCAAAAAGACTCCAGCTCTTAACAATCTCGTCATGGATGCGTTGTGTTCCCATCTTTACAGCCTCACAAAAAATGATATAAAGAATATAGTCATACAAGATAGAGTAACATGCTAGAAGAATAACAAAGAATGGCTATTGTTGGTCAATAGTAAGCGTGTAGAAGGCAAAGGCGGACTGTTCACGTTATTATCAAAGCTACAAAGAGATTAAGCCCCGAAAAAATCACAAAAATTCCCTCTTTTTTTTTTTTTTCTTTGCTCTCTTTTCACTCCCCATTGCTTAAAACAGAAGAAATGAAGCTTGTCATTGCTTCTCGCAATCCCAAATCAGCCAAGTTTCCTATTACTTTGGAACTCAACGGTACACCTGGTACCATCAGAACGAGTGATGTCAATAAGGCTATTCAGCAAAAGTTTCCAGTGTACTATCCTGATCGACAACGCTTGACCACAGAAGACAAAAAGCCATTGCACGTGGAAAAGAGTTTGCAAGAGCAAGGCATTGAAGAGAACGCAACTATCTACTTTAAAGATCTCGGAGCTCAGATCGGTTGGCGTACGGTTTTTTTGATTGAATATTTTGGTCCTATTTTGATACACCCAATCGTTTATTATTTGCCCAAGCTCTTTTACGGTTCGAGCTTTGTGCATTCACGAATGCAAACTGCTACCTTTTATATGGTAGTGGCCCACTTTATCAAGCGTGAGTTGGAGACATTATTTGTACATCGCTTTTCTCACGGAACGATGCCTTTCCGTAACGTGTTCAAAAATTCTGCCCATTACTGGCTACTTTCAGGTATTAATCTGGCCTACTGGGTTTACGGACCTTGGTTCGCTCAAGGCAGAAATGCTGCTGTCCGTAGTGATGTATGGCTTTATGGCTGTGTTGCCGTTTGGGCTGTAAGTTGTTCATTGTACGAGTATTTCACGCGTGCAAAAGTGTACCCTCTTAACACTCTTTCCACCATCCCTTGTATAGTGGGCAGAACTGTCTAATCTCATGACTCATATTACCCTTCGCAATTTGCGTCCTCCTGGAACTCGTGTCCGTGCTATTCCTTATGGTTACGGCTTTGATTTAGTATCCTGTCCCAACTACTTTTTCGAATTCATCGGTTGGAGTGCAGTCTGTTTCCTCACAACCAGCTGGAGTGGTAAGTTGGCATGCTAAAAAAAAAAAGAAGAAAAGAGGCTTCCTTTGTCTCATATCCACTAACGGAAAACATTTGTTACCAAAAAAAAATAGCTTTCTTGTTCAACATTGTTGCTACTGGCCAAATGTATATTTGGGCTGTGAAGAAGCACAAAAATTACAGAAAGGAATTTAGGGAATACCCTCGTAACAGAACTGCTATGTTCCCTTTCATCGCTTAATCCATTGTTCGCTATGAATACCAAAGAATTGTTTGTAATGTATAAAATTAAATGCAAAAGTATTAACAAAAGAGGCAAACCTCACCTATGATAGTATAAAATGCACAAAGCTATCTATGCGTATTTCTTTTACCTTCCAAGTACATCCACAGATCAATGGTTCATGTATTGGATTGAGCCAACCATACGCAACCGGATTTTGCATAACCATGTCTTTTATAAATTCTTTTTGAAAAAGAAATTGCGACTGACATGTGTGTTTATCCTATTTGGTTTTCTCAGAACTTGACCAACCGATATTACTTTACGTGATCGCACTATCCATACATTGTGACAAATAAGGTGTCAATTCTACATGACCTGATATGTCTAAAATTCTGAATAGGTGATATCATGGCTATAGTATAAGGTTTAGAGCTGGTTCAGGTTGGCTTTCAATGCACCTCATCGCAAAATGAATGTACCTCTTATTCTTCTATTGAGCTACCCACAGTAGCTCTGAGTTCCCATGAGATAGTACGTCACGTGAAAGCTTAAATTAACTCAACATATCACATAGCGGCTGAAACAACCGATCTAAAGGGTCGTTTTGTCCGAGTGGTTAAGGAGTCGGTCTCGAAAGCCGATGGTCTCTGACCGCGCAGGTTCAAATCCTGCAGGCGACGCTATTTTTGCTAAAGTTCACTTTGTCACTTTTTTTTTTTTTTCCCCCTCCTTTTCGGTGCAGTAGGTTGTTATCCTCAGATATGTCGTAAAGCAGCTGTTTATTAGGAGCACGTTCGTTTCAAGTAAATCTTTCTATACGGTGCGATCAAACAGTCTATACTATGGCATAAGATATTTTATAGCTGCGTACTCTACCAAAATTTCCAACTTTTTTGTTGTCCCGTATGAAAGACGACACAGTTTTCATCATTTATTTACCAAGTACTGCTGCATTTGTTTTCAATGAGGTCATTGATTTCTGCATCGAATCCCATCAGAAAAAATGACAGCTGTCTACATCCTGACGACCCGCCTAAAACTAAGTAGTATTTTTCCCACGAAACAGATGTCTAAATAGGAAAATAAAAGAGGGATTTTTCTCACGTTTGAAAGGCGCGAGAGGCCATTCTCTTTTCTTCTATTTACCACTTTTCCACTCAAAGAGATCACCAGAGAAGCCATGATGCTTCGACAAAAGATAGTAGTACCCTTCATTTACCAACGTCAACGTTTCTTTACCGTTTCAACAAAGGTGTCTATCTTACTGATACTTAGAAAGTGAAAGCGCAACAGGATCCCTTCATGCTTACAAGTGACCCTTCTCTTTCTTTATAGATACACAATGCTGCTGCTACTGCTGTTTCAACATCCCGTGTGCTAACAAAGAATCCTAACAATCATGCTGCAAGAGACTCAAATGGTTGGCTATCGTCAGAGAGATTTACACATGATATGCATTTCATTCAGAAAAAGGGGACGCTCCAAGCTTATCGCGTCATGGATCACACGGGTAAAGTCCTTCATCCAGAACATGACCCTCAACTGTCAAAAGATGAAGTTGTAAAGTGCTATAAAAACATGATTCTGTTGCATACCATGGATGGCATTCTTTACGAAGCGCAGAGACAAGGCCGTATCAGTTTTTACATGACGCATTACGGCGAGGAAGCGATGATTGGCAGTGCTGCTGCTTTATCACCGAATGATATGGTTTACGGACAGGTAGAAGAACAAATTGAAAGCCAACATTTCCATCCCACGAATGGGGCAACTAACAGCCTATTCCCGTACTAGTATCGCGAGGCATTTGTGCTGCTTCATCGCGGCTTTACCATTGACGAATTTGTCAACCAATGTTTCTCCAATGAGCTGGACCAAGGGAAAGGCCGTCAAATGCCTGTTCATTATGGCAGTAAAAAGTTGAATTTCCAAACCATCTCTTCTCCTTTGGGGACACAGATTCCTCAGGCTGCCGGTGCTGCTTATGCGATGAAAATATCAGGTGCGGACGCATGTACCATTTGCTACTTTGGCGAAGGTGCTGCATCCGAAGGTGATTTTCATGCAGGCTTGAACATGGCAGCCACTCTCAATTGCCCTGTTATTTTCTTTTGGTAAGATGTTTTCTTCTTATTTGTAAAAGCACTCATCGATAGAGCCTCCTAACGTGTCCCATTCATGGTTGAAAACTTTTTTGCATTTGAAAATAGTCGTAACAACGGGTACGCGATTTCAACACCCTCCTCTGAGCAATATAAAGGTGACGGTATTGCTGGACGTGGCATAGGCTATGGTATGGATACGATTCGAGTCGATGGAAACGATATTTGGGCCATCTATAACGCAACCAAAACGGCTCGAGAGAAAGTGATCAGTGAGCGCAAACCTGTGCTTATAGAAGCAATGACCTATCGCATCGGTCATCACAGTACATCCGACGATTCTACCAAATACAGAAACCGGACAGAAGTAGAAGAAAGAGCTCAGTTCGATAATCCTATCACACGTTTGAGACGTTATATGGAAATCAAAGGCTGGTGGAGCCAACAAGACGAAGAAAATTACCGCAAGGACATCAAGAAAGATATTCTTACTCGATTTACAGCTGCTGAAAGACGAAAGAAGCCTTCACTTGACTATTTGTTCACAGACGTTTACGATGAAATGACGCCCAACTTGCATCGTCAGCAGAAAGAACTGGAAAATCTAATACAAAAATACCCTGAATACTATAACACAGATGATTATGCCAAACCTTGATTTTATTTAACTGTACGCCACATCTATCTTTTACCATTCTAAATGATAAATACAGTGAGATTTGAGGAATGTCATCATCTCATACAAAATGCTCATTTATGTTTTTTCAAAAGCGCTGTTGGATGAGCGTCACCCATTGAATATGTCAGACAATGACGATGATGCCCTTCGTTATAGGTCCCTTTCTTGTTGCATTAAGAACCCCGCTGTCTTTTTTTTTATACCATTCACTTTAAGTAAAAAGTGACTCCTGCATGAGCTGTGAAATAAAGTTCAGGACCAAATTCGTTGACAGAAAACAAAAATCGATGAATGGGATTGTGTCATATTATTTCTTCAAGCTATCTCTCTTTTTTTTTCCAAAGCTTTTGTTCGACACCCCATCATCAGTTCATTTCACTTTCTTACCGAATTAGATGCCTGCACTCGACATTCGGGGTTGTTTGGAAGACTCACCCACGTTCCGAAGACGCATCCAATCTCACGAGGATTCCATCAACAACTTTGAGCAATCACTGAAAACAGTTGTGAAACTGACCCGTGCCCAAGTAGAATTATCAAATGGTAACCTCCAGAGAGAGAGAGAGAGAGAGAGAGAGAGAGAAAGAGAGAGAGAAAGGATAGGAAAACAACACACACACTTGATCCTTGAAATACCAGTAAATTGATAAAGAAATGTAAACTATCAAAATGGAAACAAAAATAGTTTACAGTGAACAACAGAAAGAATTAGCACGCGAATACATGTCTTTTGCACAGGCACAGGATGATCCTATTGTTGGTAAGAAGAGATTTAAACAATACGTGCCTCTTTTTTTCATCCATTCGTATTCATGCCATCTTTAGCACAAGCTTTAGAAAAGTTTGGAAAGACGATGTTTGATGTGGAAAAGAATCGGCAGATGCTCGTAAGTGCTCTATGAACCGCGAGTAGAGTATTCATCCATTCATCTTTTTCTATATCCATCTATTGTCAGAGTACACACATCATGGAAAGTTTTATCACTCCATTAGATACCTTCATGAAGAATACAATTGCACCTGTGAAAGTCAGTCAGTTTTTATAATGAAAGAGTGTAGTCACTTGAATGTTTGTCCATCATGCTAATAGGTTTGCTGGTGTAGGATCTTAAAAAAAAGTTTGAGAAATCGAGCGATGATGTTGATTCAGCACTATCGAAATATATGAGTAAAAAGCCAAAGGACCCAACGATTCATGAAGTAAGCATTCAAAACGTTATGGAGTGTGATTCTCGCTTTTTTTTTTTTTTTATTAATAAACGGCCATACCCTCATCTACAATGATAGTCTGCAAAAGAGCTGGCTGACAGCAGAAAGACATTTTATACGGCTTATCTGGAATACGTTTCATGTCTAAACGATTTGGAAGCGAAAAAGAAAGTGGATTACATGGAAAATGTGAGCAATTGAATAGAGAATGGTACAGGCCCTTCTTTTGGTCCCACTCACAAAGAGACAACTCTATTGACAGGTATTGGCCTATATGTATTCCAAATCCGTATTTCATCATCAAAGCTATGAGATTCTAAAGGATTTAGAAGGTTACATGCGAGATTTAACCGGTAATTTATTCGAATGAACGAACATCGAGAAAAGAAATCAACAAAATATCTCATATCAGTCTATTTCGTACGCTTACAATAGATCTACTAAGTGATGTAAGATGGGAAAAGTATTACTGAAGCCTTCACAGCCGATTAAGTTGTTATAAAATAAAAATAAAAATTGTAGACCAAACAAAGATACAAAGAAGAAGTCCAAGAAAGCCTTGTATACCAAAAAATATATGAAAAGGCAAGTAGGACATTCTCAGAATTTTCCCAAGATCAAAATCCATCTTAACCTAAACATTCATTCTCTTGAATTCAGAGTGCAGTGGAGCAATACAACCCTTTGATACCAAATAAAAACCCTACAATGATAGCAGATCAGAGTTTAACGAGTACACATAAATCAGGATACCTTTTCGAAAGAAGACATGGACGAGTGTATCAATCATGGGTTAGGAAATACTTTACCATTTTGAATGGAGAACTAATAAGCACGACGAGAAATCCCAAAGTAAGGAGCAGCAGAACTCTTTGCAAACAAAGAGAAGAACGATAGGATCTGACCATGGACATTCATTATCTATTAGCCCTCTTCTAAGGAGGAGGATGGAGTAGCTTCGATAAATTTACGTGTGTGCAGTGTTAGAATATCAGATCATCACGATAGACGTTTTTGTTTTGAAGTGATCTCGCCAAACAGGTAAGCTTGTTGAAGCGATGCATCCTTTTCGTAAAAAAGGAACAGAGTGTAGTGACGACTGTTGTAGGGTTTTGGTTTTACAGGCTGAAAATGAGCAACAAATGGAGGAGTGGATTTCCAGCATACGTACAGCTAGTCATGCCGCACTGAATAGCTCTTCTAATGACGAAAACAAAAGATTTTCACAGCAATCACTGTACAATCGTAGAGTAGGTCACTGTTCAGGCATCGGATAAGTACTTTATCTTTAACCCAACCTACTTGTTTTCTACTTGAAGGTAAACTCGGAATGGATGCCACCCGATATAGAGCTCACTGGACCAGATGATATGGAAAGTAGCAGTGATCGACTGAAGAAAATCCGAGCCGTTATGGGCAATGATTTATGTGCAGAATGTCATGCAAAAGATCCAGAGTGGGCCTGTACAAATTTTGGTATTGTTGTATGTATAGAATGCTCGGGGATCCATCGTAGCTTGGGTGTACAAGTAAGCAAAGTGAGATCAGTGATGCTGGATAAATGGGAGCCCAATGCACTGGAAGTAAAGTGAATACATAGCGATCGCCCACTTTTTTTTTTGGAAAAGGTCACTGACGTCTGATCCGTTTTTGTAGGTAATGCTACGACTAGGCAACACAGTCGTCAATCATATTTACGAAGCAGCAGTACCAAAACATATGGAGACTTTCCGACTTCAACCTGACTCCCAAAGGTTTGTTAAGCAGCCGATTGAATAGAATGGGGGGGGGCGTCTTCCCTCTTTCAATCATCCGAGCAAAAAGGACTAATGCAAGTTTTTATTTTTCCTTTCTGTAGAAGGGATCGAGATGTTTGGATAGTAGAAAAATATGTCAAAAAGACTTTTGTGGCCCCATGCAGTTTGTCACAAGAATCACTCAATAAGGAATTTTGGAATGCAGTGGTGGAGGGAAAACTAGACATCGCGTTGAAAAGGCTGGCCCAAGGTGCAGATGTGAACTATAGAAATCCTGATGATCAACTGAGGACCGCTTTACATAAGGGCGTCAATATGAACGAACAGATCATTGTAGAATTCTTATTGCAACGACTGTGTAATGCAGATCAACAGGATGCACACGGTCAAACAGCATTGCATTATGCAGCAGCAAAAAATAATGTTCGTCTCGTCCTGACGTTATTGAAGCGCCATGCAAAAGCCGATATTCAGGATCATTCAGACAAGACGGCTTTAGACATTGCTTTAGAGAAACAGAATGTGCAGTCTGTAACGGCTCTGAGACTGTTTGCTTTTGATAAACAACATAACGCCTCTCCTTCGAGTTCTTTTGATTTTGGCTTCCGTGAAGCCATGTCGTCCTTCAGTAATGTCTCTATGGATCGTCCCAACAACAACAACTTGGGTCAGTCCCATTCTGCTGTTGATTTAAGGAAAACAGAAACTGCAGAGACAAAGCTGAATGGTGTGCTTCTTGATGATCAAAATAGCTCTCTATTGTCTGTAGATAAATAACGTTATTTTTTTTTCTTTGTCTTGATGTACTATTCAATCCTAATGACAGCTCTTCCGTTCACTTTCTTTTAACCTACCTTTTTGTTTACTGCTTTTATCCCTAATTTAACTTTATTCATCTCTACTGCATTTCGCCATATTGCGCCTATTCATGATTTGATGCAGCCATCCTTTTCTCTTTCATAAATGTACCACTCATGGAAGAAAGTGAGTCAGCTCAAAGGGAAAAATGTAATTTACACAATCCATCCCCAAAAAAATCAAAGGTATCTTTTATTAACAGTGTATGTTTTCAAAAATTAAAAGGGGAGGGGGGGGGAGGGGGAGGGGTCATCTATCATTATTTTGTTTTGCCCGACAGAAAACTATGGTACAAGAACGTTGCTGGGTTTTGACCACCATCTCCATTCACTTTTTGGGGCCACGCGGACGGCCACGCGCTTTATGCTCCACATCGTGGCAATCATTTTTCCCTGTCGCTACACAACGACCGCAAGGTCGGAGGTTATCGCAACGTAAATGGGATCTCTTACAATGATTGCAAGCTTTTTCAACGTTCCGGCCTTTCTTATAAGAGGTTTTATTCGACATACTGGACGTTGTTGTTGTGGTGCCTTTCAAAGAGGGGCGCATGCTACTATGACTGTTGTGATGGAAGCTTCCTGTTTCCTTGTCCGAGACGGACTTTAAGTCCATGGCACTCATTTTACGTTGGCTGAGAGTCAGTTTCTTTTGCCGTTGACGACGAGTGCATCCGGTAGAGATGGATTTCTTGGGTGTCATGGTGTTGATGTCTGACATCTTTTTGGTCGTCTTTGTTGGCCTTATGAAGGATGACATGGACGGCGGCATCACAGTAATGGGTTGAAAGTCGTTGATAAGATAACTTGGATCCTAAAAGTGCAGAGTGTTCATGGGTCATAAGAAAATTTTTGTACGCGATGGTTTTCCCGCCCTCCACCCTCCTCCTTCTCCCCCATTCAATGTCTGTACTTACGTAAAAATGGTGAAGAGCCGTTGCGTTCGTTGAAAAGCTATTTTGGTAATTACAAACATCTGGTTCAAAGTAAGCATACTGATGGGCTGTAGACGCTAAAGAGTAAGAGGAATAGTTTTGCAGCTGCTGCTGTGGATGATAGTCGGCAAGATCCGTCATACTATCCGTATGGAGCGTTCTGAAAGAGGCTGACGCAGCAAGAAGATCGTCATGGCTATAGAACGATGTCTCAGGTGTCAATGTTGGCAAGAGGGATGCTTCCGCTGTCCAAGCCATGAAATCATTTTGACTGTAACAAGGCGTATCCGAAGTCCATGGAGGAAGGTCGGTCTGACTATCGTAGGATGAATCTGGAGTCCAAGAAGGAAGGCCATTCTGACTGCTTGAAGGTAGTGCCTCTGTTGAAGTTACGACCGGCATGCTCGTAGCAGAACTTGGTCTTCCCTTTAACTGCGCTTGCTCCTCGATGAATTCATGAATGCTCTCAAAAAGTAAACCACTTGAATGATTGGCTGATGGTGGTTGGCTGCTTAAACTAGGTTGTTCACGCAGTAACTGTTGTAACTGCTGAATGATCATGGACTCCGAAAGGGAACTATTCGTGGTATACTCGTTTTCAACTGCTACGTGATTGCTGTCCATCAAATATTGGCTATAATGGGTGCTCATTATGTAATTGCTCGAGTGCAAGGTGAGAGGGATGGAAATAAAAAAAAAAAAAAAAAAAAAAAAAAAAATTGGAAAAGGGGATGCAGAAAACAAATCTGTAAGGAAAATCAATAAAAATGAGATGAATAATGTCATACAGCATTCTTAGGCGAAAGAGCAATTTTATTACTTGTATTTCACCTTAATTTTTGTACGGTCAGTTACGAAATAAATAGTGTTGTCATCGCTCGCGAAATGCTTAATTCTTTCGTTTATGACATAGTCAAAAGGAAGTACGATGTCAAGTTGTAAACTTAATCTCAATACATCTACTACGCTTGATAGGAGACCTATTTCGTAGGTTGCCTTTGTTACGCTTGGGTTTTGTGTTCATACCTTATGTGAAATTTTAAATGACCATGTCGAACCAAATCACTATGAATGCTAATAAATAATTTCATATCACATTTCAAACATGACCGTTTAAAGTTTGAGCAAAAGAAAGAAAAAAAAAAAAAAATGAAAAAAGTGCGCCCTAATCGTCATTTGGAGTTAGCAATATATATATGTATATTGGGTGCTACTTAACTACAATTTATTGAAGGACTGCCTTATAAGTAGCATATGGATAGACGAATCGTCATGGAGGAACAAGCATCAGAGAGGCTCACTGCAAATTATATTTGCTTTTAGAGTGGCAAGAATGTGCATTTAGTAGAACAATGAATTACCACTAGAATGATAAGTAGAACAGGCAGTATTGTTCTAATAGTTGACAGAGTGCATATATGCATCACATAGTCCCTCTTGTGCTGGGTATTAACGCCTGACAAACTGGACGCAGACAGAATACAATAATAAATTCAAGAAATGCGTTAACAAGAATTGATAAATAGCAAATTGCTATGACATATTTTTAAAATAAAACTCTAACTTGGAGGTAAGACGTCTTGTCAGTCTGTGAAAAGTGTAGAAATGAATTTTGCAAAAAAAAAAAAACATACAATAGCGGTTATGAACTATCCGTTTTACCAAACTATAATCATAGGGAAAAGGAAAGGCAACACGAAATGAATTCACCATCTCTATGACAACACAAGTCCAAAGTGCGAACAACTGTTCCTGAAGCATGTAGGTCAGTGAGGAAATTTGAATTCCCTCTTCAATTTACTTTATCAGCAGTGAAATCACTTGAAGAATGGATAAAGCCGCCACTTAGGGTAGGTTGATCAAAAAAATGAGAGATTTATCCCTAATGTACGGTCAATGGTTTTTTGTCGATCGCTCAACAATTCAAAGCATAATGAAAACGTTTTTTAATAGACAGAATACGCTAACTTTGTGAAGAACCGAAATAAAAATAGGCATGAAACCAACATAACTGGCAAGTTAGCCTTTTTATTCAGGTAAAAACATCTTCAGGATCTACAAAAGCTTTTTACAGATGATGATAATCAAATAGTCAGCTTAAAGGTAGTAGTAACGTTACATGCACTCATTTCCACCGACATACACACAGTGGTTTACTAGTAAAGGAATTTAAACCGTTCCTAAAATATGGAAACATCACAGCTTCTATTGCTAGATTTCTGAACGCCATACCGTAGATGAACAGTGTTCACTGTCTGTGCGTTTGTTGCACAATGTAGGCATATGTACGGATTAGAATTCGCCGCACAGTCCTTATTTCTGTATGTACCGTTGCACAAAGAAGACAATTGGATATCTCGTCATATCACATCCCAAACGTTGACAGCTCCAGAATGCAACTGGTAAGGATTTGCTTGTGTAAAGTAAGAAGCGTTTACATTTTGTGCTCCTGAGTCACCCGTTTTTGTATATAAGAAAAGAAAAGTCGAGCCATCTTTACCCATTTAAATAGAACACTTTTGATGTATGACCCATCAGAGCTTGGCTTGTAAATCATGGTTTTACAGGTTAGCAAAGAATAATTCGAAAGTAATACGGGACCAAGTGTTTTGGCTTGCATGAAAAACGGGTTCCTTAATCACACTCTTCTGCTTTATACTCATTCCGGTGTGTTGATAAAATGAATTGTTAATAAATATTATTCTCGTAGCTGGTTAGTTACAATTTCATCAGGTTTCGGTAATGCTTTTTGGTACGGTATCAATTTATTTGCATGAAGTCTTTCATTTTATTTGTTATTCATAAAGATATTAAAGGACAACCAAATGTCGAAACATATAAAAGTGCAATTGAAACTCTAATGGCTATACAAATAGTTGCAAACAAAAGTCAAGGTCCAGTAGTCTCAACCAATAAAAGCTCAAACATACACAAGACAACAGGCCGGATGAATGTGAAGAAATTCCTTAACTTTAGTGCGGGAAAATACTAAGCGTGAGCAGTGACTTGAAGCTTGCTTATCAAGATTTAGTAGCTACGGGGACTTTTCAACGTATCATTTAAATCAATACTAAAATACAATGCAAACAAGCGTTGCCATTTTCTAGGAATAGTAAAAAGAAATGGCTTGGTGCACTGTCAATATGTAGTGTTAAGTACAAATGAATAGAATAGGTCAAGAGTCATAGAGACAATAAAAAAGAGAAAATCTGCCGTTAGAAAAGCAATTGCTTCTACATCTCAAAGGTTAGATTAAAAAAGTTTGGTTGCTTTCGAGCGGAAACTAAATTAAACCAGTTGTGGGATCATGCATCTGTCATAGCAGTTGTTTAACTGTGAAACATCGGATCTAAAATTACTCGGTTATTGTATGAAGATAAAATGGTAATTCTGCTCGCGAATCGAGCCAAGTACACATATTTTACCTTATTGATTGTTTGTAATATTATGTCTAAATTGTTTGTTTCCTAATCATGTTCAATCAGGCTGCAATAAGGCTGACTTACGTTTTCTTTCGATTGTTTGTAGATCTTTTTCTTTTTTTTTTTCTGGGCTTAACGGTCTGCGCGTAGAGTGTAACGTACAATTCAAGTCTTACAAAAGGCCAAAATTTGTTATGCAACAAAAGTCATTGAGTTTGTTTGGCAAGGGTTTCCAAGCCAAGGAACAGACTGATATAAAAGCTCCATGAAAAACTTTTTTTTATAGCCTTTTTTTCCCTTCTTTTGTATTTCGTACATTTTTCTCGTTAATCAACTTTTAACATGGGCTCTATCAAAGTTGGTGAATATCTGCTCAAGCGTATCAAAGAGGTTGGCGTCGACACCGTTTTCGGCGTACCCGGTGATTACAATATGGTACAGTACACGATATACATATGTTGAATAGTATCATGGCATGGCTAACATCCATTCCTCAAAAACTAGCCTCTTTTGGATATGATTGAAGACGATGCTGAACTCACTTGGGGCAACAATGCGAATGAATTGAATGCCTCCTATGCTGCTGATGCGTATGCTCGTTTAAGAGGCGCCAGCGCTCTCGTCACCACCTTTGGCGTGGGTGAGCTCTCTGCTGCTTGTGGACATGCAGGTGCCTATTCTGAAATGCTTCCTTTGATTCACATTGTGGGTACTCCTAATACAAAATCTCAAGCAGAAGGCGCTATTCTTCACCATTCACTTGGTAACGGTAACTTTCAAGTTTTTGTTGAAATGTTTGGCAAAATCAGTGGCGCCTATACCCACTTGACACGTGAGACTGCTGTTAATGAAATTGACCGAGTCATTCAAGAAGCTTACCTCAAGAAACGTCCGGCTTACATTGGTATTCCTATTGATTTGATTAACTACGACGTCAATGTCAGCAGCAAGCCACTCCAACTTTCCGTTCCCAGAAATCCTGCTAAAATTCAAGAAGTATGTCTTCAAGTATGTCTAGAAGCCATCAACAGAGCACGACATCCTATCATCATTGTCGATGCTTGTATTCAACGTCACGGCTTGCAAAAAGAAGCGGTTGCGTTTATTCAACGCTCTGGTTTCCCTACTTACTGTGCTCCTATGGGCAAAGGTGTTGTACCAGAAGATCTGCCCAACTATCGCGGTTGTTATGCCGGTACGATCACGCTTGAAGGCATCACGAAGGAGATTTTACAGACGGATTTGATCATCGAACTCGGTTCCATCAAGTCTGATTTCAATACGGGTGGTTTCACCTATGGTTTGGATCGTGGTAAAACCATTTCACTTCACTCTTTCGCCACGAATGTCTTTTATGCTGACTACGAAAAAGTGAGCATGGTCGAATTCCTCCCCCTTCTCACCAACGCCCTTCCTGCCCAGCCTCGTCAATTCGATCTCGGTCCTCGTATTCATCCTGCACCTATTGAAGAGGGTACAGAAATTACACACAACTACTTTTGGAATAAAATTGTCGACTACATTGACCCGAACAGCGTCATTGTGGCTGAAACCGGTACATCGGAATTTGCTTCCTTCAACTTGAAGGCGCCTAAGGGGGCGTTCTTTATTGCTCAGGTGCTTTGGGGTTCCATTGGTTACTCTGTGGGTGCTGCGCTTGGTGCAGCAGCAGCAGACCGTAGTCGCCGTGTCTATCTCTTCTGTGGTGATGGTTCTTTCCAACTCACCTGTCAAGAAGTGTCTGTCATGCTCCATCACGGACTTACGCCTGTTATCTTTATCTTGAACAACGATGGTTATCTTATTGAAAAGTTGATCCACGGCCCTCATCGTGCCTACAACAACTTCCAAATGTGGAAGTACGCTCAAACACTTGACTATATGGGAGGTCACCTCGAACGTAATTCACAAGACGTGGCTCAATCCGAAGTCGGTGTTGAAGCCAAGGTCACCAACCGCGCTGAATTAGAAAAGGCAATGACTCGAGTACAGAAAGAAAGAAACAAGATTCACTTCCTCGAAGTCGTGATGCCTCGTTTTGATGCCCCACGCGAACTCATTCTTCAAGTCGAAACCTCTGAAAACCGTTAAACATTAAAGAGAAACGGATCAAAACAATAATAATAATTAAAAAAATACTCCTATCTTTCATCCATAAGAACACCCTGTTTAATATGTAAATTATTCAATGAATAAAAAGTAAATATCTATAGTATGATCTTCGATTCGGGCTTTTTTTTTATGATTGTTTGATCTCTCCTGTCACAAAAAAGGTCATTTTAGTGAGGAAAAAAAAAAAAAGAAAAGATAACAATTTATTGAGAATGCAATGCTATGCTATGTTTGTTAAATCTTAATTGAAAAGAGGAACTGGGATGCCATAAGCAAACAAAGAGTTGAAACGAAGGTTTTCATCGAGTTTCTTAATGTCTGCATGATCCTTTTCATCGAGCTTAAAGTCAAAGACGTCGATGTTGGACTTCATACGATCAGAGCTCATACTCTTGGGAATGACAGCGATCTCTTGGTCGATAGCCCAACGTAAAAGAACTTGAGCAGGCGTTTTCTTGTGCTTATCAGCAATGCTCTTGATCATGTCATGTTCGAAGAGAGGAGTAACGGTCTTGGCGTCTTTGGTCAATTTGACATAAGAGCTAGGGCCAAAGGAAGAATAAGCGGTAACTTGAAGACCTTGTTCTTTCACCCACTTGACGAGTTCTCGTTGTTGCAAGTAGGGGTGGAGTTCGACTAACGGAGCGAGAAAATAAAAATAAAATAGTGGGGTTTGATTGAGTGCGTGCCACAATAGATCGATCCGCTCGAACCAAAAAAAGACTTACTCTGCAAAGTAGCGGGCTTATACTTGGCGTACGTCAACAAATCCATGATAATTTGACAGTTGAAGTTTGAGATACCGATGTTGCGAGCCAAACCAGCATCGACCAACTTCTCCATCTCGGCCCAAAGTTCGTGCATAGGAGACTTTTCAATCTTCATCTTACCATCGATGGTCCAAGGTCCGGGATATTGTTCTTTAGGATCCACATATTGACAAGGAACGGGGACTAGAAGAGAAGAAAAAGAGATTGAGAGGTGTGTCGCGTAAAGATGCCATACATGATATTACTTACAGTGAATGATATAGAGATCAACATAGTCCAAGTTCAGATCCTTCAAGGTTCTATCCATGGCAGCACGAACATGGGCCTTGTTGTGGTAAGTATTCCATAATTTGGAGACAACTACATGGGCAATACAAATCGTCGTCGGCGACAATCAACATGTGTTAAGAAATTTTGTCCATACTGTAAAATATGGAATGCGAGATACTTTACCGAACAAATCTTCACGCTTGACGATGCCTTCACTGATAGCTCTGTTGATACCTTTACCGACACCCACTTCATTCTCGTAAACAGCAGCACCATCAATGAGACGATAGCCATTCTTAATGGCAGTATAGACGGTTTCTTCCACGTTTTCTTCAACCTTCCAACAACCAAAGCCAATGATAGGCATCTTGTCGTTGGTACGATCCAAGGTAAGATATTGTTGGTTGCTCATTTTGTTCTAGTAGTAACTTTTAATGCGTAGAAACACAAAGGAAAAAAAAATAAAAAAAAGAGAAAAAGAAATAGACAGAATCTTCTAGTTTAAATAGCTTTACTGAAACCCAAGCTTTGTTACGTGATATGCCAAATGTTTCGCTTTTCCGAACTCAATGGATCCGCCTTGATGGCGTTATTTCTTTCTCTTTCTTTTTGTTTTTATTGATGATCAACCCTCTTAATCATTGTAGTCAAGCCCCTTTATAGCAATAATATTTGTTACAAAAACTGTCCTTTGCAATCATTTAATGTGTCACAGTTAATGCTGTCAATGTAAACAGTTCAAGCACACGCAAAAAAAAAAAAAAAAAAATAAAAAAAATGGGGATCGCCCGAATGCTTACAAATTAATTGCTGTGTTCGGTGCTAATGCAGTTTTTCGTCCCGCAATAATATGACTTTAGACCGGAAGGCATGAGCGACTAGTATTTTTCATCCATATTTTCTCCGCTAGATTAGATCACATTTTATCACTTTAGGCCGGATGGGATCCACTGTATATGTGTTCTAAAGATGCAATTCCGTTTAATGAAGGATGCTGTTTTTGCTGGAAAATGAAGTTGGTACATTTAATGATATTATTTTTTTTTTGTATCTAAATTTGACGTTAGGAAATGGAAAGGTAATATTGTGAGGGGGGTCAAAGGTCTACAGTCGAGTGAAGCTTTGGTACTGTGCATTGTGTAAAATAGGGTGTATGGCATTGTCTTGATGGAATTGTTTGTAATTAAAACGGATCATGGTGTAACAGTGTTTATTTTTTCTTTTCTTGAATGATATTGACAAGCCTAAAACAAAATAGAAAAGAAAGACACTGTCAAGCTTTGTCATTCTCTATATACCAAAGGATGTATGCACATACCAGTCTAAACCTTCATTTAAACCTTCGCCTTTCAGTGCACTTGTTTTATAAATCGAATATTGTCTGTTTTTCAGAGTGGATAAACCGAGTGCATCTGCCACTTCGGCAGCCGATAATGCTCCTTCCATATCCTGCTTATTGGCAAACACAAGTAAGGCTGCATCTTTCAGCTCTTCTTCTTCCAACATGGCATGAAGCTCTTCCCTTGAAGTTTGCATACGATCCTTATCCACACTATCAACCACATAGATAACTGCATCTGTATTCGAATAATAGCATCTCCAGTAGGGTCTAAAAATAGGATAGGATAAACCCCCCCAATACGTCAATGCTTCCAGAGCTGCTATTGACGAGCCCACACTTTTTTTTTTTTTTTTTTTTGCTTTGCATTACCTTATACTTGTCTGACCGCCTAAATCCCACACTTGGAATTTTATGTTTTTGTAGGTGACCGTTTCAACGTTGAAACCGATGGCTAAAGACACGATGAGATGGTTAGGTCTCGACACTTTTACTCGCTCCTTTTCCTCATCGGACTCATCTTGTCATCACTTACTAGGAATGGTGGAAACGACTTCACCGATCTATAATGGTGAATGGATGAGTTTAGCCTTGTTTCACAAAAAAGTAGGCATGTTGGCAGTTCCAATATAAATGTACCTGAAGTCTGTACAAGATGGTTGTTTTACCAGCGCCATCCAGTCCGAGAATGAGAATACGGACTTCTTTGTCTCCCCAAAGTTTACTAAAAAGACTACTGAAAAGAGCACCTAGGGTCGGTGATAAGATACAGTTTCAATGAGTGCGGACTGAATGTTTCGCGTGTAGTTAATCCATCCTACCCATTATGCTTTGAGGTCTGTGTTCAAATAACGATGCAAAAGTGAAATAACAAAACAAAAAAAAAGAAAAGAATGCTATACTCAAAAAGAGTTTTGTTATTTTGTCTCCCCGCTCACGCTTAGGAGCTTTCCCAAATAAAGTATCTAAAATGCCTGATAGAAACCCATTGTTCTCTGCATCGTTTTTTTGCACGACAGAATTGGAAAACGTCGCTTTGTCCGGTCCAGCTTGTAGATTTTTACAGCTAGTATAACCTTAGGATAAAGTTCCACGAAGCCCAGAAAGGGCCCTGTGTTCCCTTTTGAGTCATTTTGGGTGAGTGATCAATAAAAAATCGAACAGTCAGCATAAATTCCGTTACTGATTTCCACGTGAGCTGTGTGTGGTTGGGTTTTTTTTTTTTTTTTTTTTTTTTTTCTGTTTGTTTCTCTCACCTCATTCATTTACTCCATATACCCCATGTTTACCCAATTTCGTACAGAAGGATTCAACGGATACTCGGTAAATAGCCAATACAAAGAGAGAGAGAGAGAGAGAGACAGAATAGGGTTGTCAAAACGCAGAACGTTGATTCCTGATGCAGGAACGTGATCTCTCCCTTTCATTAGACAAAATGGAGTCCATTTTTTGAAAACAAGATAGCTGTAGCAGCCGCTTCCAATTTTGGTTTGGTGGGCAATGGTAAATTGTTTGTCATGAGTGTGGCTGGGGACGCCATGATGGTGGAAAGAGCGTAAGTTCGTGTACCTGCCTGATCAATTATCTACGTACTGAATGGGGTTATGGATTGCCCCCCTTTTTTGATTCAGTTATGATACACAGGATGGTTTGTATGATGTGGCATGGAGTGAAATCAATGAAAATCAGCTTGTTGTATCGAGTGGTGATGGATCGATTAAATTGTGGGATACCACCTTGGCAGTAACTATCAGAAAAAGAGTGGGGGGGGGAAGGGGGGGAGGGGAAGGCTTGTTGATGCTAATGTATCATTTGGCTCATAGGATTTCCCTATACAAAACTGGCAAGAACACCAGCGAGAAGTTTTTTCAGTGGATTGGAATTTGGTAGCCAAAGATGTATTTGCCAGTAGTTCGTGGGATCACACCATTAAAATTGTACGTGAACACACATAGAGAAAGAGAGAAAGAAGAAAAGGGGAGGGGATGCTAATGTTTAGGGCATTTCTCTAGTGGAATCCGCAAGCGTCACGATCGCTGACGACGTTCACAGAACATACGCATTGCGTCTACAGTACCGCTTGGTCACCGTACAGTGCGACACGACTGGCTTCTGCCTCGGGAGATCAAACGGTCAAAATCTGGGACACACACAGTCCTCGATCCGTGCAAACGCTTCGAGCGCATCACAATGAGATTCTTTCGGTGGACTGGAACAAATATCAGGAGCACATGTTGGCGACGGGTTCTGTGGATAAGATGATCAAAGTATGGGATTTGCGTCGAGCGGATCGAGAAGTGATATGCTTACCAGGACATGAATATGCGGTGCGTCGTGTCCGTTGGTCTCCCCACCGGCCGAATGTACTGGGGAGTGCCTCCTACGATATGAGTGTACGGTTTTGGGATACAGCCGCCTCTCCCGGGCAAAATCTGATCCATGTCCATGATGCTCATACTGAATTCGCTTTAGGCTTGGATTTTAACTTGTACTTAGAAGGCCAAGTAGCTACATGTGCTTGGGATGAGAAAGTAAATGTATTTATTCCCCCTGCCCTTATGAGACGATAAAATAAAAAAAAAGCAACCCTTAGACGAATTTTAGTCTATCGTCTGTGGCCCCTATGGGAATCTAAAATCACATTTTTGTCAAAAAAACGCCATGGGGCGGCCAACATAAACGATTGGTAAGAAACAACGCTTTGCAGATTTATTGATACGGAAAAAAAGCTTTGTGCAACAAAAAATACGTCTTTCTCCCCCCCTTCTTCTGGATGGCTGTCGTCGCAACGACAGGCTGACTCTCTCTCTCTCTAACAGAGCAAAAAGCTTCGTCATAGCCTTGGGTAAACCTACCATGGGGTAGGCTGGCTAGCAGATCGACGCAGATCTCTTGCAGCCGATGGCTGCAACTCGTCTTTTTTTTTTTTTCTCCCCCTCTTTTCGATTGTTTACGTGAAACAGCCATGCCACGTGCGTTATGTGTGTATGTGTATTGCTCTCAGCTTGGCTGTATCATGTGGCGCGTCGTCAGCGAGTGCGGTACATAGTGTGTGGATTGTAAATTCGAACCAGCGAAAATGGCGTTACTGAAAGCTCAACGGATCGACAGTAGGGTGACTACTGTTGGGCTCGTCTTCTTCATGATCGTTTTTATTCTGTGTCTCGGCAGGATGGATGTCGATGGGTTTATTTGCTGTATAAATGATCCAATCGATATAGCAGCATTGCTCTTCGAACTCAATCATAGCGGCGTTGATGATCCTATCGTATTCTTCTTCAGAAACGCCCAATTCCAGAATCCACCAAGGCCGCATCGATTTGAAGAGTGCTCTGATGACTTGTTTATACAAGAATCCTTTTTCACGCTCCTCTATCATCCACAAGGAAATGGCGCATTAGCACTGGGTCGAAACGAAAAAGCACTCTACGGGTGATTTACCTTTATCTTCTGACCATTCACCGATGGGAATGGAGACGACTTGGGCTTGGACATTGTCAAAACCTGCAGAGATGAGCTCATCTTTTAATTTTTTAGCTTGATTGGGATCCACGCCCACCGATGAAGCTGCAATTTGGTACCATTCGTTGACCAAAGCTAAAACCGGACCTGGATCACGTATATCGAAATCTAACAAAAAAGCCCCAACATGGGTTACTCTCTATATATATAAAATTTTTTTTTTGCCCTCAAAAGGGGGGGGATCCTCATGATACGTACCATATTCTACCAATTCAATGGACCCTCCTGGTTTCAGTATTCTAAAATATTCATAAAGTAGAAACGTCCAGCGTTCTTGTGGGATGATAGCCGTGGTATCTCTTTGAAAGATGATGTCCAGATAATTGGCAGGTAAGGAAAGGCGAGAGAATAAATCGCCATTCTTGTAAACAATGTTGGGAGCATTGAGGGCGGCTGTGTGAATGGTGGCGGTCTGGAGATGGCTGCTGGTATCGTCTGCAGAGGTATAGGGGAAAGTGTCTAAACCGATAATGGTGGCATGAGGGAATGCTTGCGCCATGTCTAAAGTCCATATGCCGACGCCGCAAGCCGAATCCAAGAGGGTAAAGTGATCGGAGGGCACCGGTACATGAAGATTTCCTCCAAGTACATACTTTAACACATAATGCTGTTGTATGTATGTATGTATGTATATGTGTGTGTGTGTGTGTGTGCAGAAAAAAAGAAGAATAAAAAACGCTTTAGCAAATGAAAAGCATCGGGATTGTCTTTTACACTTTCTGGGCTCGTTTTACCTGTCTCATTTGTCTAATGGTGTGTGTGTATATATACATGACATAGAATAGGTGTGTGTGCGTAGAATGAACAGGTGAGTGTGTATAAACCTTTTTTTTTTTTTTTTTTTTTTTTGAGGTGGCAGTGATAGGCCGTTTTTTACCTGTCGTATTCTTTATCATCGCTTGTATTATGTGACCAAAAGGGTTTGAGTGGGTTTTTTGTCGATAACGTGGGTGTTTCGTCTTCCATGTGAGGGGTGGGCGCAGTAGCGTGGGTAGAATGAAATCGGTTCGAGCCATTAAAGTTGGATTCAAAGACGATATCGATATTGCCTGCCTTATTGACTGAGAACGTAAAGGACGATGCCTTTTTCCTCTCCTTCTTTTTATTCTCTGCAGCGGCGGCGGTGGCGAAATCATCCACGACGGACAAGTACTTTTTATTGCTTTTATCATCGGAACCCAGCGATGTCCGTGGCGACGATACGACATCATCGTCGCCGTCTTCGTAATAAGAAGAAGAGCTCAGCATACTGTGAGCATCAGGGTGTGGAGAACAAGAAGAGGAGGCACTCAAATTCAAGCTCTTTCTCCATAACAGGCTTTTCCGTTTAGGAACGGAAACCGCGGAGAGTGAGGATAAAGGTGGTACATGATCGGATAGCACCACTTGGTGCTTCACTAAGGTGACGGAGGCTGGTGGCCGCACAGGTCGAACCAATTCATTTGCTGAAACGTTCGAGGAGAGGAGGGAATCGTTGGTATCCTCCTTTGTCAATCCTTGTGTTGATGGTGGTGGTGGTTCGTAGTAGGTGGGATCTTGAGATATCTGAGAACTCGCTGAAAATGGGCTTTTGCTCCTTTTGTGGTGGTGATGTTGTGTCGGCTGTGGTTTCAAAGAAAGGAGTAGCTTCCGTCGATGTGGATGGCGAGCAGAGTGGTCTCTACTAACCGCCGAGCCCATAGGTTTTTTCTTTTGGTTTTTTTTTTTTTTTTTTTTTTTTCTTATGAAAGCGGTTCTATGTTATAGAAGGAAAAAAAAAAAAAAAAAAAAAAAAAAGGCGGGAACCTAAAGAAAAAAAAAGGGAAAGAAAAAGCAGTTTTTGGAAAATGAATTTCTACAATTGAAAAAAATGCTTTTTTCTTTCTCGCGTGAATGGAACCTACGTCATATTACTTGCGCCTTTCATGGTTGCTATGACAACTCTCATCATTTCTCATTGTCTGAATGATCAACATGAGGTGACTCTGATCTAACATAGCATTCTATCTATCATTCAATATATATCAAGACAAGACAGAGAGAGAGAGAGAGAGAGAGAGAGAAACTTTTATGCATGAAAAAATAGAGCCATGTAGGCGGCGGAGAGAAGGATGGAAAAGTGGGTCGAATTGTTTCATGCTTATTTCTGGACTTGAAACCAAAGCGAACCACTTTTTTACGACAAAAACCATGAAAACGACATTGCTATCTCTCTACTCAAGTTTGCTATGTTCAACTCATAAGGGTCGCTTGACTGAGTTTAGACTTCATTATCCCGTCGGGGCAGTGGCAGCCCTTTTCTCATACTAAAAAAACATAGCTTCAGATGGGCTCTCTGACTCTCAAAATGATGAGAATGGTTACAGTGTTTGCTAAAATCAACATCCATTTCAAAACGCTTTTTTTTTCAATGAGGCTACTCTAAAATTGTTAAATAATGAGAGGGGTTGGATATTACAGAGGGGGGGGGGGCTAACAGAATATAGCTTATTTGAATCCAGGAAAATCATACTCGATGCCCGCTTCTCTGATTTGTTCACGTATCTTTTGTTCGCGTTGCTTCAGTTGTTCACGTTTCTTTTGTAATTGTTCATCGGTTTTTGGCTTGTTATGTATTTTGCGATTGAGAAGGGCGTAGTTTTTGCGTTTGAGTGCTTTTCCAGATCCCTTGAACAATTCAGCATGCACCTTTTCGGAAGGCACTAATTTACATTGTAATAAGTGTCCAAACAAGAGATAGTTATCCATCGTTTCAACCACAATCTTGGCTACGTCAGCTGAAGCAAATTCAATAAAACCGTAATGCTTTGATCTTCCTGATTTCTTGTTGCGAGATAAACGGAGTCGGGTGATATCACCAAACTGACTGAAATAACCCTTCATTTCTTTTTCATAAAAACCATGTGGAATTCTACCTAGATAGATGACACCCTTTTCTTGTTCTTTATTCGACTGAATGAGAAAAGAAAGATGAGCCATCTTTAATAAAAAAGAATACACATTTGAATTCGTAAGTCCCCTTACCTTGTTGGTTTTCGACTTTTTATCAAATGTCTTTTTCGTCTCAGCCATGCTCTCCTTCATCTTGTCTTCAGCCAAAGACACAACATCTTTATTTTTATCTATAGCGTCACTGTCGTCTTCGTCATCAGAAGAATCTTGTCCTTCATCGCTACTTGCAAGATCACCCAAGATCTCTTTTCTGAGAGCTTCTTCCTGTTCTTCAGTGAGTTCTTCATCGTCCACTTGATCATCATCGTTGTCATCATCGTGGGTGGCAGCTGTCACTTCTTCGTCTTCACTCTCACTTTCCTCCATGGGTTCCTTTTTGGGTTCAGGTGCTTTTTTTCCAGTGGCTGCTTTCTTTTTGGTGGACTTGGCAGGCTTTCCTTCTGTTTCTGAGAAAGTGACACGCTTTCTCTTGTTGCCTGCACTCACTTGCTTTGGTTCTGTTGTTTTCTTTGCATTTTTAGGAGCAGCAGCAGCAGCAGCCTTGACAGGTGCTTTTTTTGTCGTTGTCTTGTTTGAATGGGTCTCTTTCTTTGTCTTTGCGGGTGCCATATTAATATTTTGCTCAAAAAAGATAGAAAAAAGAAAATTGTGATTTATTTTTTTTTTTTTTTTTTTTTGCTTTTTTGCAAAAAAGGGTCAAAAGCCAGTCTAGTCACAGAAAGAAGTCACAGATCACGCAGAAAGTGAGAAATGGATCCCCTTAACGATCTTTCCATTGTCTTTTTCTTTTTTTTTTTTTTTTTTTTTTTTTTTTTGGGTAAGATATTTGCAGAATTCTCGAGTAGATGGACTCTTATATCGGATGAGCAAAAAATAGTGTATGGACATGACTGTTTTGGAGTGCTTGATGCATCTCGATTGAATGAGACAATGGCCCAACGCATGAGACAGCCTCTCATGATAGTTGTGTTGTTTTCCGTTTGTCGGTCGAGAAATGAACTGCGACCTTTGACGTAATAAAGCGAATGGGATAAAGCGATAAATGCGCATTCTTTTGTTGGGTGTTTTTTACGGATGATGTGGCACAGACATTTAAAGCAAAAAAAAAAAAAAAAAAAAAAAAAAAAAACCCAAAAAAAACGGAGATTTTGCCATAAGAAATTGACTCGTCTGTATTCATCTGTGCCATGGGTGACAGTGGGCAAAATAAAAAAGGGCAATCACACAAAATTTCTGAAAAAACTGTAGTAAGAGACAGAGAGTTAAGCTACGTTATGAACAACGACGTAATCGGTTTTTTCGCGTGAGAAAGAGATAACTAAAAAAATTTGACAATTCTTTCCTTTTATGTGTCGTGTTTCTTTCACTACTCACAAGCGTCGGTCCAGGCGTTTGAGTGAGAAAGCAGAAAAAGGGCTTTGAGACGCACCAAGGCTCTTTTTAGCGTCCGTGTGGGGGAGTAGCCTCTGTCTAGGTGGGAAAAATACCACACTCCTTGCTTGATAGTGTGTCTATGATCTCTTTGAACCGGCCTTGTTCTTTTTGATTGGCTTACATCACATCTTTTTTTTTTTTTTCTTTCCATTGAGAGTCAACGTGCTAACGAAACGTCTCAACTCCTCTTTTTTCATGATTCAATCTTTGCATAGGGTCGACTGGCTTTGGAATTGGCTGGATTTACTTTAGAGCCAATTGGTTGCCATTAGTCATACTCTCACCATATTTAGAAAGACGCGTGAGATAGGAACTGTCTGATTGGCTGTGCCTATGGGAGGGCAGGGGCGGCTTTCAACCAAAACAAGAGAATATACTTGTAGAAAAAAAATGTGGAGAAAGATAAGCTTTTAAGGATCAAATGACCCACCTACTTCCTAGATCAAGAAAAAGTACCACAACATTTGTCAGCGGTACAATTTCATAGGATAGTGATAAAGACGAGGCATCCATCTTTAGATAGGTCAATGTAGAAAAATCCGTCTAGGATGAGGATAAAATACGGGTTGCATGTAACCCTTTATTTCCCAACAAGCTCGTTTTCCTTTGATAGTTCACAAAAGGCAAATTTTCTTCAAATAATAGTAGTCGGAGTAAGGCTATCCAAAGGAAGTGAACAAATGAAGTAGCAGTAGGAATGACTTGTAGCCCATTATCTACATCACTTTGAAGTAGCGCCCCCACATTTTTTTGTGTGAAAGGTAAAAATGAGGTATAAAGGAAAAAGGGTATAAAAAGGGCCTTTTGAACGATTCAAATATAAAAAGGACAAAGAGAACTGCTTTTCTGCTTTATCATTTTTACGGTTTTTTTTCTTGACATAATTTGTACTTTTAAAGTAATTTTTTTATAAGTCCTTTCATAGAAAAAAGAAACCGTTTTTTTCCAAGTTACTAGATTACATCTAAAGTAAATCATTTTTTCTGTTATATCATTACCTTTTTTTCTCCTCTCCTCCCCCCTTTTTCAACTTTTTTTTTTTTGCTTTTTTGAAAATTCCGTACCCTTTGACCTTGGCAATAGTTAGATGGTTGGCATGGACCGTGACCTAAACAGCAGACAACATGAAGCTGACGAATCTGGATTAAACGAGCCCAAATATCAGACAGATGTCGAACTTTTAAAATCGATGGGCTACAAACAAGTAAGTAGAGAGAATTGAGACAAAGTTCAAGACATGCTATGACGAATGACCTAAAAAAAAATAAAATAATCTTTGTTCTATGTATTAGGAAATGAATAAAACAATGTCCACTATCTCTAATTTCTCAATTGCCTTTGGATGTTGTTCCATTTTATCAGGTCTTACTCCTGTAAGTACTTTCATCTTCCTACTACGCACTCACATCCTACAAACCCGACGTACTCGTGTTTAGAAACTAATGTATACACAACTTATTTAGCTATGGGGTGATGCTATGCTTTCTGCTGGTTCAGTGGCTGTCATCTGGGGTTGGATCATGGTCTCTGTTTTCACCTTTGGTGTGGGTCTTTCTTTGGCTGAAATTTGTTCGGCCTATCCCATCACCGGTGGCCTTTATATTTGGGTCTCAAAGCTCGCTCCTCCTGAATGGGTGCCTATCATGTGCTGGCTGACAGGCTGGTGCAATTGGCTTGGATTGGTAAATATTCTCAAAAACAACAAAAAAAAAGTGAGTCTTTATCCAGAACGCAGATCTAACCTCTTTTTTTCTTCTTTAGACGGGTAAAATCAATTTTTTTTTTTTTTTTTTTTTTACAAGCTACAACCACACTCACAATTCATTCCCATTAACACACATTCTTTACTCTTTTGAACAGTGGCTATTACCTCAGCCGATTTGGGTCTATCTCAATTTATTGCCTCCACCATCAATGTAAGCGATCCCAACAACAACCCTAGCATCTATTGGCAGTACGGCATTTTTATTGTCATTGCTGTTGTGCACGGCATTATCAACTCTGTCAGCGTAAAGTACAACGGCTTCTTCAACCAGACGTCCCTCTACTGGCATCTCATCGGCACATTGTTGATTGTCATTGTGGCTCTTGTCCTCACACCGAATAAGCCGAGCGCAGAATGGGTGGTAAGCAGACATTGAAAACAACCCTTCTCCATCCTGGAGGATGCATTGTCAAGAAAAATAACATATCACGTCTTTTTTTTTTTTTTTTTCCGCATAGTTTACTCACTTTCAAAATGAAACTGGCTTTTCTTCAGGTGGCTATGCCTTTTTGATCGGTCTCTTACAATCCCAATACACACTCTCTGGTTTTGATAGTGCTGCTCACATGTCGGATGAAACACGCGACGCTGCTCGCAGTGCTCCTCGTGGTATCCTGTATGCGATCGGCACAGCCGCTATTTTCGGTCTCCTTTTCTTGTTGTCTGTCAATTTCTGTGTCCAAGACTACCAAACCCAAATCATGGATACCACCATCAGTCCCATCATGACCAAAATCTTTTTGGATGGTGTCGGCTACAAGTGGACAGTCGTGTTTACCACCATCATCATGGGCGCCATGTTTTTCTCGGGTTCCGCTTTGACGTTGGGCAGCTCTCGTATGGTCTACGCTTTCGCCAGAGATGGTGCCATGCCGTTCTCTCGCCACCTTGCCAAGGTCAATGCAAAGACCATGACTCCTATTTACGCTGTCTGGTTCAACGTGATCTTTGCCATGATTGTCGGTCTCCTCTACATTATCAACGAAACCGCCTTCAACGCCATCGTGTCTGTCAATACCATTGCCTCCTCCATGGCTTACTTTATTCCTATCGCGCTTCGTTTGACCGTCGCTCGCAACATCTTTCAACGAGGTCCCTTCCATCTGGGTCCTTTCTCCACCGTCATTGGTTGGACGAGTCTCTGCTGGATCCTCCTGACCTCGGTTCTCTTCCTTTGCCCTACCGAATCGCCTGTCACCAAAGACAATATGAACTACGCCGTCGTGGTCTTTTTTGGCGTCATCGGTGCCTCTGTCCTTTATTATCACTTCCGTGCTCGTCAATGGTTCCATGGTCCCGGTAAGAGCATGGAACCCGATCCACAATTGGATGGTATTCCTTTTGAAGATACCACCCACGATGGAAAAAAGAACCACTCTCCTTCTGACAGCTCCAGTCGAACAAGTGACAGTGATGAAAACAGGAAATATCAAGTAGATCAAGTCGAACGCATTGATTAAGTCAAAATACCCCCCCCCACCTTCCACCTCCTCCTCCTGCCCTTCTCTCTATTGATGTAGTGATCTCTTTTTTTTTTCTTTTTTTTTTCTTTTTTCTCTGATGCTACTGTATACATACATACATACATACATGCATGCATTCTCTTTTGTGAATTGACATCATTCTTTTATTTATTAATTTAAACATCTCATAACTAATAATACATAATTTTGTACACATTATTTTGTCAAAAAGAGGGTTGATAGACTTTTGCTATAGCTACAGTTGGAATTCTCATTCATGTGACGAGAACGCGTCTATTCGTTCTTTTAAGAGTACACACGGGTAGATTGTGTATGATAGCGCGCCTCCTTTTCACCAAACCACAGCCAAAAAAAAAAAAAAAAAAAAAAAAAAAAGCGTTACACTTGACCTAATGAGTGATCCATTGAAAGAGATTTTGTGCAACGGTACATAGAGGGATGGTCTATCCCAACGCATTGACTGAACTCCTTGATCATCAACGTCTTTATTCTATCGTTTGTGGTGAAATAGAATAAAAATTGTATTTTCGTGTGTTCAAACAGCTTTTGTTTACTAAAACGTCCCCCCCCACCCCTTGCCTACATTAGACTTCTTTTCGCATTCTCTGAAAAAGAAACAATCCTATGAAAGCCATCCTAATAAACCACATTTCTCTCTCTGCTGATGGAACGCCAAAAGGAACTGGGTCTTGACCCTGTGGATGGAGTGTGTGTTGTGTATCAAAAGACGAATACATTCCTTTCTCAAGGCTTGAGTCTGTACAGAAATCTCTTGATAAACGCGAAGAAGAGATGACAATAGAAGGGGTGCAGTTAGAAAAAAAGGCGGCATGGCAGAAACTTTGTCCCTGAATCTTGGACTCCCTTTTCCTCTGTTACACAAATCACACAATGGCTTGCACTTGATGCTTGAAAAAAAAAAAAGTGGTAAAAGTGCTTGTGGCACGCACGCACGCACTAGCTTATTAAAACGTAATTAACGATATCGACGACGGCTGACCCATTTCTTTTATTTTCTCCTTTCTTTTCTCTACTCTTTTAAACAAAAGGCTTGTGGACGGGTCCATTGATGTATCATCCTACCAACGCAAGCCCACTACCATCCTCACGCCTGCCTCCTCGACCGAGACTGAATTATGGCGAAGAGTATTCGATGCAGCCCACCTCTTACCACGGCAACCCTACCTCGTCGATCCCAGGCTACCTTCCTACAGAGAATGCTTTGGAATATTACGAATCTTTTATTCCCGATACCCATACCATGCAAACACCTTTAACAGCATCACCGAACGGTAGTGCCACGACCTCTTCTCTATCGTACAGCAAACATCTCTACGCCAACAGGGTGGGTGGTGGACCTGAGGATTTTGGTTTTGCACCGAGAAGGCAACAAAGACGCTATAAAACAGGTAACCACCACCTTTTTTTTTTTTTTTGGGTCTTTCTATGAAAGAATTAGGGAGAAAAAGGAAGAATAGGGAGCTCTGATGAGGCCACTCGAGCCCTCGCCTTTTCTTTTTAAACTAACGTTTTGCTTATTTCATTAGTGCGCAAGGTGAAATTAACGGGCGGCAACTTGGTATTGGAAAATCCTGTACCCAACAAATACTTGCAACGAGTCAAGCGACGCGATGAAAATGAATTTACCCACATGCGCTACACAGCAGCGACCTGTGATCCCGCCGATTTCCAACGAGAAAATTATCGTCTTCGTCAAAATCTGCTACAGAGAGAAACGGAATTATTCATCGTTTTGACCATGTATAATGTAAGGTTACTTTTCTCTTGAGAGCATTTTTAAAAAAAAAGAAAAGATGGCCCATCGCTTAACCACTCTGGTTAGGAAGACGAGGTGTTGTTCTGTAGAACCATGAACGGTGTCATGAAGAATATTGCGCATCTTTGCTCTCGTCATCGCTCTCAAACGTGGGGTCCCACGGGTTGGAAAAAAGTCGTGGTTTGCATTGTCTCGGATGGACGCACCAAGATTCATCCTCGTACCTTATCTGTGTTGGCTGCCATGGGTGTGTATCAAGACGGTTTAGCCAAGAATATTGTGAATGGTAAGCCAGTAACAGCGCATATTTACGAGGTACGCTCTCCCCCCAAAAAAAAAAAAAAAAAAAAAAAAAAAAAAAAAAAAAGAAAAGAAAAGCCCGTCTTCAAGCTGACCCTTTTTCTCTGAAAAGCATACAACACAATTATCGATTGATGCGGATATGAATTTCAGAGGTTCAGAAAAAGGAGTCGTGCCTGTTCAAGTCTTGTTTTGCTTAAAGGAGAAAAATCAAAAGAAAATCAATTCCCATCGATGGTTCTTTCAAGCCTTTGGCCCTTTGTTGAAACCCAACGTGTGCGTTCTCTTGGATGTCGGTACCAAGCCAAGCGGCACCTCTATCTATCACTTGTGGAAATCGTTTGATATCAACCGCCATGTCGCAGGCGCGTGTGGTGAAATCAAGGCCATGTTGGGCACCGCCGGCGTGCAACTGCTCAATCCGCTCGTCGCGTCACAAAACTTTGAGTACAAAATGTCCAACATTCTCGATAAACCCCTCGAGTCGGTGCTGGGCCATATTTCTGTCTTGCCCGGCGCTTTCTCTGCCTATCGCTACAAGGCACTGCAGAACGACGTCCATGGCCAGGGTCCGCTGGAAAAGTACTTTCTCGGAGAAAAGATGCACGGGAGCGACGCTGATATTTTCACAGCCAACATGTACTTGGCCGAAGACCGCATCCTGTGCTATGAGCTCGTGGCCAAGAAACACGCGGCGTGGGTGCTGCATTACTGCTCCAACGCGCACGGCGAAACCGACGTGCCGGACAACGTGCCTGAATTCATCTCTCAGCGTCGGCGCTGGCTCAACGGCTCCTTCTTTGCTGGCCTTTATTCCATGGTGCACTGGCGGAAAGTCTGGAGTTCGGACCACAGCCTCTTTCGGAAACTGCTGTTCATGCTGAACGACCTCTATCAGCTGTACAATCTCGTGTTTTCCTGGTTTGCCATCGGCAATTTCTATCTCGTCTTTTACATCATGACCACCTCCATCAGCACCGCACCCGAGCCGCCGTTCCGGGCCCACGTGGCCGGTCTGATCCACACCGTGCTCAACTACATCTACGTGCTGCTGTTGATCATTCAGTTTATCATTGCCATGGGCAATCGGCCCCAAGGCTTCCGATGGGCGTACACGCTGATCATTGTCTTTTTTGCCCTCCTGATGGGGTACGTCATGTTTTGTACCGTGTGGATCACGGTGCGAGGCGTGCAAGGCGCCTTTGAAACAGCCGCGTTGAACCAGGGCGAGAGTGTGAGCGAGCAGATGCTGACCTTGATACGACAGAGCACCTTCCGCAATGTCATTGTGTCCGTGTGTTCTACGTACGTCATGTATTTCGTGGCCAGCCTCTTGTTCCTCGATCCATGGCACATGCTGACGAGCTTGGCCCCGTACATCTTTATGTCGCCCAGCTACATCAACGTCCTCAACATCTACGCCTTTTGTAATACCCATGATGTGTCGTGGGGCACCAAGGGTGACAATGGCGTCTCTACCGATCTGGGCGTCGTCAAAGGCACGCAAGGAAAAGACGGAGAACATGAAGTGGAGGTCGCGTTGCCCACGGAGCAAAAAGATCTCAACGAGCTCTACGATGAGGCTTGTCTGGATCTGAAAGCGGCTACGGTGCCTGAAGTCAAGAAGCGCGATGCCAAGACAAAGCAAGAGGACTATTATCGATCCTTTCGAACCAAATTAGTCACCGTCTGGATATTCTCCAATTTGGTCTTGGTCACTATCATTACGAATGGTCAAGATGTCTTTCAATGGTTTGGTAACTACAATGAGCGAGCGACAGCCTACCTCGGCTTTATTCTTTGGTCTGTAGCGGGTTTATCCGCTGTCCGATTCGTAGGTGCCTGTCTCTATCTTGTCATGAAAATCTTTAGGGGCTAAGTAAGCTCACCTAGACACCGGATGTCCCGAGCGCTAGCCATCCCCCTTGACTCTCCTCTTTCTCTATACCATAGGACTCTCTTTCCTATCTCCATTTTTCTTTCTTAGTTTCGTATTGAATAAAAAACTGTCTTTTTTTTTCTCTCTCTCTAAAGGTAATGTAGATAAGGTAGGTTCATTTGTTGAATGCACTGTCCAAATGGCAAGAAAAAAAGAAAAGCATCTGAAACAGTGGGCCCTCTTCAACACGCGCAAAGGATTCAAAAAAGGTAAAATCCCCAATAGATTACTTGGCCAGAGGAAATACTCTCTGTCGATCATTGAACACATACGTCAACTTCGTCTTTGACCATCTGTCAGATGGACCGGATGAGATCATAGCCAATGAAATTGTTACAAACACGTTGGTTTCCTATTCTCACCACCCTATATGCCTGAAATACGTCCCTTCTTGAGTTTTCCATCTCATCTATAGATTTGCTTTTGTATACATACACACAAAAAAAAAAAAAAAGATAAAAAGGTCATTTCAAATACAAGAAGCTTCTCTCTCTCCCTCCCTCTCTCTCTTTTTTTTTTTTTTTTCGCTTGCCTTTTCTTTTTTTCATACATGTCTCCCATTTGCTTCCGTCCCTTTTGAAATTCATTCTTTGCACTTTCTTTCTTTGTTCCACTTGTAGACATAGAGGTGCCTATCTTTGCTGAAAACGAAAATACGGAAAAAGCGGACTTGTACAGTATAATATACCTCATTAAGATATTCTACGCCTCTTATCAGCTTTTGTGAAAAAGCGAATTACACAAAGACAAGTTCCACTAAGAAGCTATCAATACAATTGTATACAAAAAAGTCTGGCTTCTCGATGGTTGGTGATTGCTTGACTTTAAAAAATTGGGTATTTATTAGACGGCCGGCTCCCACACTCATTACGGATCTACAAAAAATATAGCAAAAAAGAAACAAAAAGCCTGTTCATGACTATTCCTTTGAGCTTTGTTTCTCCCTTTGATTGGTATAGACAATGAGTAAGCTTTCAGACCCAAAAAAGAAACCTTAATTTGAGTTTTCTCACTCTCATTTGTTTACGTGTCTATCGTTTTTCTCCTGTTGCCCGTGCTATAAAAGTGCATCGTATCGAAACTCTATACGTTATATAATTTCTGAATAGGCCCGGGAGCCTATTTGCCTTAACGTAACACTAAATGGTCAGTATCCCCCACGAGTTCAAACAAACGAGTCGTCCGTCGTTCGATTCCTCCCCGAATAGAAGAAACAAAAAGCACTTGTCAGTGCGCTTCTAGGATAGCGCCACGGAAAGAGTGGGGGGGGGTGGGGGATCATGAAAAACACAAGTGACGGATAGTGGACATGCGATGCACCTTTTTTTCTGTTTTCTGTTGTGAAAAGTGAAATGAAAGCCCACTTTCTGATTGGCCCGATAAGATGAAAAAAGCGAGAAGACTGTGTGATGAGTGCTACCTATCTTTTGAGTACATTCGATTGACAAACAGATCCAATGAGATCCAATAAAAATCTTTTGCAGACGGTTGATTGGACCTAAGCGCGTCCCTTTCAGAAAAAAGAGAGGGCTGTGAGTCATGAAGGGTTGTTTCTTTCTTGTGCATAATATTCATACTCCCAACTATACTATTTTGCCCCCCTCTATATTTAGAAGATCAAAGTTTTAGCACGTAGAAAATGGAAGGGCTTATCTTGAACCCTGTGATAAAAAGTCCACCCCACATGATCTTTGATGACAACAGATACATTACACACATATAAATAATTTAAAATACTATAGTTCTACTTTCTAGACTTTAAGGAAAGGCACAAAAAATAAAAAATAAGCCATTTTTGTTCGCCCTTCATAACTCGTAAATTTTTTTTCGGCATTTTAAAAAAGTGTTACTCATCACTTAAAGGCGGCACACAAAAAAAAAAAAAAAAAAAAAACCTGTACACCCCCCGCCTTTCCTTCGTTTTTTTCATATAAATTCTTGAAACTCAACACTGTTTTTTTCTTTTTTCTATTTTTCATACCTTTTTTTTTTTTCCCTGATATTTCAAAAAAAAACTTGAAGAGTTGGTATTAGACGCGATAGGACACGAAACAAACGACAGTTCTCCCCCCTTTCAAACGCCCACTTTCTCTTTTTAAAAACTAAAAAACTACTTTTTGTTTTTATATAAACGTTTTGTAACGGAACTCGTGAAAACGTTTTAATTTTATATTTTTTTACTCCTGTTATCTTTTTTGTTACATATTTTTTATTCTTCAACCGCACCGCTCTCCATCCTCAACCTATGTCTGCTTCTGACGATTTCTTGTTCTCGGCGACAGGTCTGTCTGCTACCGACATGACGGCTACCTCTATGGACCTTTTTGATAAGGATCATCTCTTGTCAAGCTTTCTTCAGGACCATACAACGACGTCTGCTGCTACCGGAGCTGAACTCATGACGATGAATGGCTTCCCTCCTTCTCCTGCTTCTTCTGTGGAGGACGAGTCCAACAGTACAAGTCCAATCACTACTTCGGCAAGCCCAGTCTCTATGGAGAATGGTAGTAGTAATAGTAACACCATCCACCCTTCCGACTTGCAACATCTTCCATTGGCTGTACTTCAATCTTTGGCTGCCCTGTATCAACAACAACAGCAGCAGCAGCAGCAACAACAAGAACAGCCAACTTTGGAGACCACGTTTGATCAATTTGTCAAGTTTGAAGAGGATGCTGCCCTGACTCAACAACAACAACAGCAGCAGCAAGTGGACATGTTACTCACACCTTCTTTGACACCTCCTGTCGCTCCTGTCGACAATCCCATGGTGAATGCTGTCACCAGCCCCGCTATGATCAGTCAAAATGCTGCCGCTGCTGCTGCTGCCTTGGCGGCAGTGGCTCAAATGAGCAATGCCAATGTTGCCTCTTTTATCTCTCCTCCTGCTTTCAATAACAACCACCCAACCTCGTCTCCTACGGCTCCTGCTACAACCACTACAACGACGACCACGAACAAGCAACCAAAGCAACAGAAACCACCTCGTCAATTGGAATGCTTCAACTGTCATGTTACAAAGACTCCTCTTTGGCGTCGTACACCGGATCGTGCTCATTCTTTATGCAACGCTTGTGGTCTTTATTATAAGCAATACGGAACCCATCGTCCACTCCATGTTCGTCAAAAGCAACAACAGCAACAACAACATGTTCAACAGCATATTCAACAAGCACAACAGGAAATTCAGCAACAGCTTCAACAAGCGCAATCACTTGCCCATGTGAATGCGGTTATTGAAGAAGCCGGAAAGCCCACATCACCAAAGAAACGTCCTCAAGAGGTTGAGGAAAAGGGAGAGAACCATGGTAGCTTTGAGGATAACAGCGTTCATGGCAGTCCAAGCAAAAAGTTGAAAGTATCCACTGCTCTTTCTCCTTCTGCCACCACTACGGAAACGTCTCCTGTCTTGTTCCCTGCTACACCTTCCTCTACCCCTCAACAGCAACCACTGCTACAACAGCCATCTCAGCCAACCACCCAACCTGCACAACCCAGCAAAGAATGGGCAGAGATTGATGATACACGCTTCAGAAATCTCTTGAGTCGTATGACCACTCAACAAATGCATGGTTTCTTGGGTATGCTTGAAAGACGTTGTGCTATTTTACGCTCTATCCTTATTCCTCCCACTTCTGCCATCACTACCTCATCATCATCACCGTTATCATCACCATCATCACCGCAACAACAACAACAAGATTAACATGATCTGCTTTCCATTTTTTTTTCTTTTTTTTTCCAAAAATATAATATTTTTTTTTTGTAAATGTTCAACACATCTTTTATATGATAATCTCTTTTTTTTTTTTCTTTTTTTTTCTTCTTTGATAAATATATACATCGTTGAAATCCATTCTCTTTTTTTGTTTACATTTATTACTTTCATCTTACCTTTCTGTTTTTTATATATATACCGTTTCAACACTGCTTTTTTAACATCTTAATTGTCATTCCCCAAAAAGAACAAAAAATAGTAAAAAAGCGTTTCTTTGCATTTTTTACATTAAATGATTGATTTGTCAACCCCACGATTCCTTTTGGTTATCGGATGTGAAATTACTGTACAGACCCGTCCTTTTTTTTTAATTTTTAAATCGCTTCATCCCATAGCCCTAGCTCTGAACCCTTGAGTTTGAACTCATTCAACACTGCTCAGCAGCTTTGGTTGGATACAGTATTGTATTGAATGCTTGAATAGGAAGGCATTTATGCCGTATGTAACAGTCGCTTAGGACAACATGCCCTTTCTCCGCATAAAGTGAGGGCTATGCAGGATTATTTTTTTTTTTTCGAGAGTTGACTTTTAAACATCAGTTATCCAATGGGTATCCTGTTGTCGTTTTCCATCTGATAGCCTTTTGAACTCTCTTTTTTTTTTTTTCTCTCTTATTTTACTCATTGCTACGGAATTGTCCCCTAACATTCGTTTTTTCGTTTTTTTATGAGCAGCCATACATTTCTCATTCATGTGTCGAGAACCATTCCACGATCAAAAGTGCAGCAGGTAGTGTGGTCGCAACTTTCATCGTCGTCCGCATCGACCCCCATGCTACCCATGACAGCTTTACGTTCATTTTCGACCCATAATGCTGCACGCAGCAACCATTCTATTACTGTGTTCGGTGCCGAACATGCTCTTCAATCGCTACGGCAGAATAAAACCCATCTTTTCGGCTTATCACCTATTCGTCACCCCGCTGCTTTACGTCGTGCAGCCGCTTCCACCATGCAACTCAGAGACCGCGACCCTAAAGATAATCCATCGTCTTCTGACGCACCACCGCCCTCCTCTTCATCACCCAACGGTGGCGGCAGTGAAAGCGGTGGTGGCGGCAACAACGGGGATGGGGGTCAGAAATCAAAGAAAGCCAAAAGCGTATTTGAGAACCAACAGCAGCAGCAGCAGCAGCAACAACAAAATCAACTACAAAAGCCATCCGTGCCAGAAGTCTATCCGCAATTACTGGCCATTCCTATTGCGGGAAGACCTTTGTTCCCCGGATTCTACAAAGCGATTGCTATCAAAGAAGCCCCTGTGATAGCCGCTATCCGCGAACTGATGAAGCGGGGACAGCCTTACGTAGGCGCCTTTTTGTTCAAGCAAGAAGGCGTGAATAGCGATACCATCACGAGCATGGATCAAGTGCATACCACCGGTGTCTTTGCTCAAATCACCAGTGTGTTGGCTACACCAGGCATTGAAGAATCTTCCAACGGCGTCACCGTCGTGCTGTATCCCCATCGACGTATCAAGATGAACGAGTTGCTGCCGATGGCCGCCCCTCGCCAGGAGAAAGAACTGAAAAAGAGCGATACGGCTACGGCAGAAGGAGGGACCGTCACCTCATTAGAAGCCGAAAAAGAATCCACCATGGACAGCAGAGCAGCTGCAGAAGAACCCTTGTTAAATGAAGCAGAATTACAGCAAGAGACAACAGGTAAGCCAGGACAGAGAAAGGAAGGTCTAGGTGGATGAGTGGCGGTAGCGGCGGGGTGGGGTGGGGAGGGGGAATCCAGGATCCTTCTTTGCCCGCACCCCCCCATAGTAACAATATCGAATTCGTGAACTAAAGAACATTGGCTTTTTTTTTTTGCTTTTTTTTTTCGACAGAGGGTGCGGTTGAAAAGGGTAACCCATACAATTCGCAATATGCCACATCCTTCTTGGCAGATAATTATGCTGTTTCTCTTGTCTCTGTTGAAAACTGTGTCGAACCCGAGCTCTCCAAAAAGAGCCCTTACATTCGTGCTGTCACTTCAGAGATTGTCTCTGTGTGTAAGGAAATCGCTAATCTCAACCCTCTGTTCAAGGAGCAAATCGCCAATTTTTCCATGTCTCAATCCGCTGGCAACGTCTTTGAAGAGCCTTCCAAATTGGCTGATTTTGCGGCGGCTGTTTCTGCTGGTGAGGCTGCTGAACTGCAAGAAGTGTTGGAAACGCTGAATGTGGAAGATCGACTGCAAAAGGCCTTGGTCGTTCTAAAGAAAGAATTATTGAATGCTCAATTACAGAGTAAAATCTCAAAAGAAGTCGATACAAAGATTGCTAAACGCCATCGAGAGTATATCTTGATGGAACAATTAAAGGGCATCAAAAAGGAATTAGGCTTAGAAAGCGACGGAAAGGATAAATTGGTGGAAGGATTCAAAGAAAAGGCCGAAAAGTTGGCCATGCCTGCCACTGTGAAGAAAGTCTTTGATGAGGTTTGTCGGAAAAAAAGCGAGGGAGGTAAAAGAGAGATCATAGACACTCACCTCTCTATAAACCATTCATGCACTACCGATAGGAAATTAATAAACTGGTTCACCTGGAACCAGCCGCTTCTGAATTCAATGTCACCCGAAATTACTTGGATTGGCTTACCCAGGTGCCTTGGGGTAAACGATCTCAAGAAAACTATAATATTGTTCACGCGACCAAAGTACTTGACGAAGACCATTACGGATTGAAGGATGTGAAGGATAGAATTTTAGAGTTTATTGCTGTGGGCAAACTGAGAGGCACGGTCGAGGGCAAGATCTTGTGTCTTTCCGGTCCTCCCGGTGTCGGTAAAACCTCCATCGGTAAAAGCATTGCGCGTGCCTTGGACCGTGAGTTTTACCGTTTTTCAGTCGGTGGACTAACCGATGTAGCTGAAATCAAGGGCCATCGTCGTACGTATGTGGGTGCCATGCCAGGTAAAGTCATTCAAGCGCTCAAGAAGGTGCAGACGGAAAACCCGCTCATTTTGATCGATGAGATCGATAAATTGGGACGCGGTCATCAGGGCGATCCTTCCTCCGCTCTTCTCGAACTCTTGGATCCTGAACAAAACAATAGCTTTTTGGATCACTATATGGATGTGCCAGTGGATCTCTCCAAAGTGCTCTTTGTCTGTACAGCCAACGTGTTGGACACCATTCCTGGTCCCTTATTGGATCGTATGGAGGTCATTCAGTTGTCTGGCTATATTGCTGAAGAAAAAGCGGCCATCGCATCCAAATACCTCGCACCCACCGCTAAATCCGCTGCTGGCCTGGAACATGTCAATGTCAATTTGACGCCGGCCGCTATTGATTCGCTCATCAAAAACTACTGTAGAGAGAGTGGTGTTCGTAATCTAAAGAAGCACATTGATAAGGTGTTCCGCAAAGCTGCTTTCAAGGTGGTTCAACAAGTAGCAGGTAAAGCAGATGAAAAAAATGAAGCTCAAATCAATGCAGCTGCAGCTGCAGAAAAGACAAAAGACGCGACTCCCAAAGACAAACAAGCAGAGACGAGTACAGCAGACGTCAAGGTAGAGGACACAAAGAAGCCGATCAAGGAACCTCTTCCAGTGCCTTCCGACATTTCTATCGATATTACTCCTGAGAATCTTAAAGACTATGTGGGTCCTCAAGTGTTTCAAACAGAAAGATTATACGAACAAACACCTCCTGGTGTCGTCATGGGCTTGGCATGGACCAGTCTCGGTAAGTAGAAGCGTTGATAGGAGTGGGGGGGGGCGCGAAGCCTATGACTAACTTTTATTTCTGCATTTAGGTGGTTCTTCACTCTACATTGAATCTGTACTTGAATCTTCGCTCGATCCAAAGTCTACACCCCACTTATCCAAGACAGGTCAATTAGGTGATGTCATGAAGGAGTCATCGAGTATTGCTTACACCTATGCTAAATCTTTGATGGCTACCCATTATCCCAAGAATAAATTCTTTGATAAGGCCAAGCTTCATTTGCATTGCCCAGCGGGTGCTGTTCCCAAAGATGGTAAGGACCGAATGACGCTCTTGGTATATTTTTTTTCGATCATCGATGGATTGACACTTTTTCTTCTTTTTTTAGGTCCTTCCGCTGGTGTTACAATGACGACGGCATTGTTGTCTTTAGCTCTCAACAAATCTGTGCCGTCCAACATTGCCATGACAGGTGAACTCACTGTCACGGGTAAAGTGTTGAAAATCGGAGGTCTAAAGGAAAAAACGATTGCAGCTAAACGCTCCAAGGTCAATACCATTCTGTTCCCTCGCGATAATCAAGCAGATTGGGATGAGCTACCTGACTACATTCGGGAAGGGTTGACAGGTATTCCTTGCGACACTTACAAGGACGTTTTCAAAGTCTGCTTTGGTGATATAAAGAAGGAAGAAGCAGAGAATGTGTGGAGTTCAGTTTTGACAGAAGAAGCAACAAGCGCTACTACGACAGAGGAGAAGAAATAGATTTTTGTAGAAAAGTGACTCAAGATTCACTTTTTTTTTTTTTTTTTATTAGAATACATGTTGTTATTAATGTAAAATAGGTACAACTCTAAAGCTCACCCACTTTCTTGCCTTTCTTTGTACAAAAAGGGGCTTATTTAAATAAAATAGTGTATACTCATCAATATGGAATGTGGGTACTACACACAACACAGATCCTCATCCATGAAACAAATGGAACACATATTCTGTAAATGTAGAAATTTTATCTTTATAAATGAAGCTAAAATGAGATTATACCACGTTGATTCATCCAGAAACAATAATGACAAAGAAAACAAACCCCTTTGTATATATAGATCATGAAAAATATGCACAGTTATGATTTTATTAAGTTAATTATAATCTATTAATGACATGAATATATGAAAGACAGAAAAATGATACAATGTTGAATTGCTAAATTTAAGGAGCAATCAAGATACGGACAGTGTTGGTGTTACCAAGACCACCCTTCCATCCTTGGACGATGACGATAGGGTCGTTAGACTTGATGAGACCAGCTTCCTTACCTTGTTGAATACCCCACTTGATGCGAGATTCAACATCTTCGTCCCACTTGCTGGAGACTTCACCCTTGTAGACGAAGGGGAAAACACCACGGTGGAGGTGAGATTGACGGGCAGTTTGTTCTTCGCGGGTGACAAGGATGATGGGTTGAGAGGGTCTGTACTTGGAGCAGAGACGAGCAGAGTGACCAGACTTGGAGAGGACAATGATGGCACCAGCGTTTTGTTCGGCAGCAGCAGAGACGGCAGCACAAGCGGTGGTTTCGGTGGTGTCGGTGGGGCAAGCAGTCAAAGAGCGGATTTGGCTTTGGAGAGGAGCGTGGCAGATGACGGCTTCAGCGAGACGACAGGTGGCGGCCATGGTGGTGACGGCTTCAATGGGGTAGTTACCCTTGGCAGTTTCACCGGAAAGCATGACAAGATCAGCACCATCGAGAACAGCGTTGGCGACATCAGAGACTTCGGCACGAGTGGGACGAGGGTTGTAGGTCATGGATTCGAGCATTTGAGTGGCACAAGCAACGGGCTTACCAATCAAGTTACACTTGGCGATCATCATCTTTTGGGCGACAAAGACACGTTCGCAAGGAATTTCAATACCCATATCACCACGGGCAATCATAATACCGTCAGTTTCAGCGAGGATTTCATCAAAGTTTTCAATACCTTGGTGGTTTTCAATCTTACAGATGATCTTGACGTTCTTACCCTTGTCACCGAGGACACGACGGATATCCTTGACATCTTGAGCACGACGGATGAAAGAGGCAAAGATCATATCAACACCGTTTTCAACACCGAAGGTAAGATCGGCCTTATCCTTTTCAGAGAGAGCGGGAAGATCGACGTTGGTCTTGGGGAGATTGACACCCTTGGTGGAACAGATCTTACCGTCGTTTTGGGCTTCAGCACGAACGTAGTTGTCGTGGATTTCGACGACCTTGAAGGTAAGGATACCATCATCAACGTAGATGTTCTTACCGACTTCCATAACCTTGGGGAGGTTCTTGTAGTCAACGTACATGTTGTCACCATCACAAGCTTCCTTGTACTTGTCATCAGTGGTGATGTTCAAAACGTGACCCTTCTTGATGGGGACTTCGACATCATCCTTCATCTTACCAGTACGGATCTCAGGACCCTTGGTATCGAGAGCAATAGCAAGAACTCTGTCGGGACGAGCTATATATCATGAATAGTTCAGTGGTTAGAGATATTGATGATTTACGTAGTTGATTTAAAAAAAAAAAAAGCAGTATAAATCAAAAAATTTTTCTCGACAGAAACGTGAAAAATTTTTTCTCTTTAAGCGACTCTTTAAAAAGATGTTATTATCAAACGTAAACTTACCAGCAGCAGCAGCACGGGCGTTGTCAAGGACAGACTTGTGGTATTCGTAAGAACCGTGAGAGAAGTTCATACGGACAACGTTCATACCGGCATCAATCAATTGAGTGAGCTTTTCGACGCTGTTGGTCTTGGGACCAATGGTACAGATGATGGAGGTCTTACGAGCAGCCTTGGGCTCGACATCGACATTCATACCAGCAATCCATTGCATAGGAAGTTGAACAGGAGATTGAGTCTTGTTTTCGGTGAACATTTTTGTCTGATTGAAACTAACGAAAAGAAGAAAAAGAAAAGACAAAAGCTGAAAAGCCTTTTTTTTTAATAAGCTATCACGCTGTGATTTTTTTTTTTTTTTTCCAAAAAAAAGATTATCCAATTCCCGCAAGACATCTTTGCTTATCTCTACCACAAGGGTTTTACATTATAAAAGACTTATTTCAATCCCATTTATATGTAATATGTATTACTTCAATAAAATGACGCGTTGAAGAAGGCTTTATCTGCAATTATCAAACAAACGGCCCTTTTTTTCTGCGTTGCTAATCTTATCACCATCAGAGTTAAGCTGTGTACTACCTTTACTGCATCACACAAAAAAACTGATTTAAGCAGATAACGTTATATCATAACTGAGTTAGTATTTTTTTTTCGTGCAAAGTTTTTTTTTTTATATTTAAAAGTCCTGAAACATATCGCTACAGTACACCAAACATTCTCGAGCAACTTGGAGATGTAAAAATTTTTAGTGGGACTACATTAAGTCTCCATATTGTCCAGTCGGATAAAGTGCTCACGAAACCTCAAATCTAGTCCGAAAAAGAGTCCGCTTTCGGCAAGTGCCCAAAGTATAATCTCAGGATCGCTTATCCGATCAAAAAAAAAAAAGTTAAAAACGTGGCACGGTAATTATCGATGTATTTATTGTTGTAACGCGTGACCTCTCAATATCTGCAAGCAACAAAACTAGGGCACATGTTTCTAATAGCTAGTAGAGTTCCTTTGAGAATTGAAAGACAAGCTTTTCGTTTGTTAAAAAAAATAAAAAAGAAACCATTAAGTCAACAAGAAAGATCAGTTAATTAATTCATATTTGATACGGAAATATGAATGTCCAATTGTTATTTTTGGCCGGTCATTTAAAGACGTTGTCTTTATATCATTAAATAGCGAAAAGTTTAAAGTTTTCATCTAATGGAACAAGTAGAGCAGGTTTCAAATGTCAAATTCTCATTTGAGAGAAGCAAATCATTGCTGATACTCTAAACTCAATGTTGTTACTCTTTCATCATTCGACAGGCTCACTGTTTGTGCTGCAACAGTTGATTTTCATCTCTACACAGAGCAGCAATTTGAGCAGTTATATAACTACATAGATAGTTGATCGCGATCTTCATCACAGTAACGAGTACATGCATTCATGAATCATGCAAGGTTCGTTATGAGAACCCCTTTTGTTTGGGATGTCATGTTGATATTACAACTGCAAGTAGGATTTCATCACAGTTATTTGCCGTATCTATTGATGTATGCAGGTCTCCTCTTCCGTGTAAACAGCAGGACTGCTCAAAGTAGCATTACTGCCCATTTTTGAATCAATTGTCGTATAAAGGAATGCTTGTTCAGACTATTATTATACGTTTTATAAAAAAAAAAGTCTGTCCAATCGTTGGAGAAGGCGCATTTAGTTTTAATTGTGCTTTTAAAGGATGGGGAGAAAAAAACAAGACATAAAGCTACCCGGGCCGCAAATAATTTATCCGGAATTTTTGAAAAATGGCAATCCGTCCATTTTCGCGGCGCTTGGTCAACAATAGACACAGTGAGCTTGGGGGGAAGTTGAGCGAATTCCCAATTACAAAGAAAGGAGGGCCAAACATCCATATTGCTCCCCCTCTTTCATCATATAAACAATGGTTGCATCCAAGTCTGGTATCGCTGTTGGTCTCAACAAGGGCCATATCACCACCCGTCGTGAGCTCAAGGCTAAGCCTTCCAACAAGATTGGTGTATGTATCTATTGTAGAAAGTGATTGAATGATAGAACTGGATCGATGGATGATAAAAGACTGCATAGACAACGAATGGGGAATATTTGAATTGGAACGAAAATGCAACCATGCTCAAAATTCAGTACGGCTTCAGTTATATAACACACATTCGTACACCTTTGATATAGAGTTGCAACCAACAGACCGTCATGACATGTAGAATCCCTTTGCCGACCTGTCGTCCATTGATTCAGCTCTGTCATGTCAGCATGTAGGATTTACAGTTTAATAATGTGTCTATTCTTATGTATAGGCTGCCTCCAAGCGTACTACCTTTGTCAAGAGCGTTATCCGTGAAGTCTCCGGTTATGCTCCTTATGAACGTCGTCTTATGGAATTGATCAAAAACTCCAAGGATAAGCGTGCCAGAAAGCTCTGTAAGAAGAAGGTGAGTTTTCTAAAAGATACCTTCTTTTATTTCGTCAGGTTTTGTACAATCAGCTAATCATCCTCTCGTTCTTGTCTTACTTAGCTTGGTTCTTTCCTCCGTGCCAAGAAGAAGATTGAAGAACTCCAAGGTGTCATCGCTGCCTCTCGTCGTCATTAAGTTGATAGCAATGTACCAAAAATAAAAGCTATGTTTAGCGTATAAGCTACGCATGTATATTGCAAATAGAGTCATGTGGAATTTCTTTCAGTACTGTGATTATTCGATTCACTTGACTTTGCGCCTTGAGTTATTGATTCGAAGGGGGTAGAAGTAGGGGGTTCACAACGGCCTATTCGAAATCTAGGCACTTTTCCTATTGCTATTCTGTGTTCGACAAAGTCTAAAGAAAAATGACTGTTAAAAGTTAAAATCGCTCGTTGGGAGGCAAGAGAAGAATCTAGTACTATTTTCACTTGGTTCAGTAGTAGTGCTTTTTGTTTGTGAGTTCGTTTTGCGTTGGTAGATAGCATTGTCGACTCTGATTATGCGTCGTTCACAACAGCAAGCCAACGAAAGGTTTCATGCAGGCTCAAGGAGTTTGCTAAGTTTAAGTCACAACCACCGTCACTATTTTTGAAGATCGGGATTCCTCTAGTATAGACCATCGCTATGCTGGCAAAGGGAAACACAATTTCCCCATTTAATTCTACAGGAACAAGTTCTTTTAAAACAGTAATTCTTTTTTATTTTTAATTTTTTTCTTCATTTGATTTTCTCTGTCACCCTTCTTCTGTATCATTTATTTAATAAACGTTAGTCAGAAAAGAATCTATGAACAGTACTCTTGAGGTAAAACGAAAGAACTAGGAATTTTTCTAGATGGTATTTATTGAACGGATGATTGAACATGAACATTAAAATCTTTATATTTTCTTTTGCTCTTCATTAGAGTTTAAAAGCAGATCTGCGAAAAGTGAGAGTCAAAGAGATCACAGAGTGCATCAGAGCAGTCAATCAAGAGGGAAATTTTTATGGGAAAATACCTACAACTGGCAGAAAAGATGATCTTATCGAACGGTTCGTCACTTTTATTTATGCTCTGCTGGCAAATAACAGGAGGGCTGCAGTAGCCGATATCGTCCGCATAGTCAACGACCAGCTACCCAAAAAGTAAGCAACAGTTTGCCCTCCCAGAACAGTATGTCATTATTGCCTGTATTTAGACATTGTTCTTTTTCATCGTTATAGAATTAATTGGCGGTTTGAAAATAATACTGTGATCGTTAGTTCACCTGCTAGCGTAAAAGTAACTGCAGAGAAACCACCTGTGAAAATAAATCAACTATCATTCCAAGAAAGCCCTTTCATCAAACCCCTAGAGAGACTGACAACCATCAAAATATGCCCAAGTAAATGCATTGCCAGTATACCCTTCAATGAATATGAACGATGTTTCTTACGCAGGTATGCTCTTTTTTTTTCGGCTTTAGTTTCTAGCAATACTCGACAAAGCAAACTGTTCACTTTTTCGTTGACTGATGAAAATCGAGAACTACTGTTATCCAACGATTCAACATCCTATCAGCTACGGTTTTACTGCTCCAAATACACAGGCAATACATCCAATCTTTTAATCGAGTTCCCGCCTATCTGCGAAGTGAGAGTGAACGATTGTGTTATCGCTGGTTCGGTAGGTTTGAGAACTGTGCAAGAAAAAAAAAAAAAAAAAAAAAAAAAAAAGCCTTCTATGCATGTTCAGATCGAGATTTTAATACGTAGATATCAATTCACTTTGTAGTCGTTACGTTGTCTTAAAGGAAAACCAGGCACTGTCCATCCTCCAGACATTTCAGTGATGGTAAAAAAGAAGGAACAGAATAATGTTGAATTGATATATATCAATAACGAATCAGCTTATGTTGCAAGTGTTTACATTGTACAAAAAACCTCTGTCAACGAGTTGATAAAGCAGATGAAGGAAGAACGAGTGATATCAAAAGATACCGTCCTTGAAAAATGTAAATAGCATCCGCTTTTTTTTTTATTCATCCCAATGCCCTCTTTGTGAGATTAATGCTTGATTTATAGTAAAACAGACACAGCAAGATTCAGAGATCATCATGGAGTCAGAGACTTTATCGATGAAAGACCCAGTAAGTAGGATAGAGGGGAAAGTACGTGTGTCTATAAAGAAAGTTATTGAACTCTCGCTCGTCAACTATGTTAGCTTGCCTTCACTCGTATTGTCACGCCTATTCGATCAAAAGCCTGCCATCATCTGCAGTGCTTCGACGCTTCTGTTTATTTGACGATGAATGAACAAACACCAACATGGACTTGCCCCGTATGCTATCGAGCCATAGAGAAATTTCAAGATTTATTTGTGGATGAATATTTTGAAGAAATATTAAAAAACGCGCCTAAACATATCGACAGTGTTCTTGTAGAGCCGGACGGACAAATTACTATTGTGGATGACAACCCAGATTTGGCTGGCGAAACGTCTGAGACGGAGGAGGAAGGAAACGAGCCTAGTCATATAGAAAGTAAAGCAAAAGCGCCAGTGACTATTCTACTGGACGATGACGATAATGATGAAGGCGAAGCACACCCGAGTACAAGCGCCAACGTAACAGCAGCGACAACGCTTCCTAGCAACAACGTTGCTGTTCATCAACCCTATATGAACAATACAGTTGTAATCAAAGCATCATCGGATGACGATGCTATTATCACCACCCATCATATACCCTCAGTTTCTTCTGTACAGCCAAACACGAATAGCCACTCGGCAAATACACAGCATATTTCTGGAGTCATTACCGGAAAGAAACGGACGAGAAGAGAGGTCATTGATTTGACATTAGACAGTGAAGAAGAAAAGGAGGAGGAGGAGGAGGAGGAAGAGGAGGATCAACAGCAACGAAAAGCACCAAGGTATACTTCATTCATAAACAAAGCAGTTGGATGTTTATTCATTGTTTCTATTACGTTTATTCATATAGGAATCATTTACAAATAGAGGGCAGATATGAAAGCTCGGATGAAGATTTGATACTACCCCATCATGGTTCTATATTCAATCATGGAGCAAACCATGACCATGGCTCACCGAGCATATACAATCACGGAGCCAACAATGGCAATGGCTCATCGAGCATGTATCTGAATCATGATAATGGCTCAACGATCCTATTCAATCACGATGCAAACAACGACAATGGCTCAACAAGTAGTAGTGTGAAGTTTTCGATGAATAGCAGTAGTAGTATTTCTCCGCCAGTAAGCTCCACTGCCTCTCCACCAACGAGCGGTTATAGCACGTTTTAAACGAGGCAAAGCTTAAAATGGCATACACTTTTCATCTTTATATTTATGTATATATATTATTAATCGTTTTTTCTTTTGTATACACATCCTTTCATTTGCAAACACCGGTATACTTAATTACAAAAGTTTTCTTTTACTTTAATCCATCCATTATTGCTCGCATTTAAAATAAAAATGTAAATATCTCTTTCTTTTCTTTTTCTTTTTTTATTCAGATGCACGTAAAAGCTTCTGCACTTCAGCTCTTCTTTCATCCAACAAAGCTTCTAATTCACGTTTTTTGGCACGAACGTCGTCCACGATACGATTCAATCTACGTACAGCATCACGTGCTACTTCAATATCCTTTTCTTGCTTACGCACTTTGTCCTCGAGATCGCTTTGATCGGTTAATTGACGAAGTTTATAATCGTAAAGAGCTTGGAATTGATCACGCAAAGGTCGAGAGGCGAACGATTCATAGTTTTCGCTTTCTTTGGCTTCTTTCGCCTTACGTTCGGCCTCCTTGACGCGCTCTTTTAGTTCTTCCAATTCCCGTCGAAGCATCTCTTCTTCGTCGTACTTTTGTCCACCTCGGGTACCTTTACTGCCCAAGGAGGTGCTGGCAGCTCCTAAACGATTCACATAACTATCGGCTAATTTTGCGCTGTTGGACATGGACTGATTCGTTCCTTTTCTCGCACCTGTACCCGCTCCAGGGCGTTGTCCGAAATCTGCAGCGTATTCGCCGGCAAATGCAGCATGAAGATCAGGAGGGAGTTCTTTTGGTATACGAACGCCACGGGTACGTTGATTCAAGACGTGATAAAACATTAAACATTGGTCCTGCGTGAGTGCGTTTGTATGATTCACGTCTATTAAAGTCCTACAGAGGAAAGGAAAAAAAAAAAAATGAGGGGAGGGAAGGACGAGGAAACGTGCATTCAAGCAACATTTCTCTTACCATGCATTGGTTAAATCTGTTCTTAAAAGTCCCAAGGTATCATAAAAGTCTTGCATCGCGCTGACTATTCAAAGAAATAGGATTAAGTTGGTCTCTGGAGAAGAAAAGAAAGGAAGCTAGTACTCTCCAACTTACATTTGACTTTGCCAGAATCATTAGCATATTTGGCGTAAATATTTTGATAGGAAGTCATTTCATCTGGCGTCATATCCCAACTAAATTCAGGCTCAGGTTGTGGTGGTTGCTGTTGGCCATAAAATCCTGTGGACTGAGGTTGTTGGTAACCTGTAGGCTGTGGCTGTTGATATCCTGTGGGTTGTGGTTGCTGGTAACCCATAGGTTGTGATGGTTGATACCCTGTGGGTTGTGGTGGTTGATATCCTGTAGGTTGTGCTTGTTGATAGCTTGGAGATGGAGCATACCCCGTGGGTTGAGCCTGTTGATAACCCGTAGGCTGTGCTTGTTGATATCCAGTATAGCCAGTAGGTTGAGGCATTTGATAGCCTGGATAAGCTATTTGCTGTGGTTGTTGTTGTTGTTGTTGTTGTTGTTGTTGTTGCTGTTGGGGCAGTAAATGTGCTTTATTGGGTGGAATCAATGTGTAAGGGAGAGAAACAGGCGTATCCATACCGTTAATACAGTTAAAGGTCAAGTGCATAGCAATACAAAACTCTTCGAAATCAAGGTTGCCATCTTTATCAATATCTGAGAGGTCCCTTTACACATCCAAATGCATCGTATTGCCCTTTTTGTATTAGCATACCAAGCACGAGAAAAATACTCCTACCAACATTAGAATAACTTACCATATACGTTCCAAACGGTTAGGTGGTAAATTAGACTTTAGCAAAACATCGCGGGCGACCGCACCTATAAATAACTGTCAACGCCCATTTTATCTACCCAGTCGATGAGTGTGTTGTTCCCGTCTACCTGTCATGTAGCCGTTTATTGGCCCTTTGGCTTGGAAAATTTCAGCATACTTGGCTTTTTCAGCCTGTGTAATGGCACTCATAATAGATGATGGTATAGTTGCTGTTGTTGTTGTTGCTAATGAACCGAGCAAGATGAAGTTACGTTTTAGGAAACAGTAGTGCTTTTGGGGGGAAATTAGAAATCTAGTCTTTCAAGGAAACAGCAGTAGGGCGGAATTTTTATCATCACCGTCACGGATTTTGAAATTGTAACATTATGTAACGCATGAACCTGAAAGCGTATCATACATAGTACATTCTCTTTTGACGACTGGTAAACAATGACCCGTTCGCCTTTGTGGAATAATAAGGGATGGTAGATTTAAATGACATTGATATCTGTACTCTCAGGACCTTTTTTTTTTTTTAGCAAACTGTATGCATGGATGCTTGATCATTTCCAGCTGTATTTGTATTATTCATCAGTGTGTTCAAAACTTGTACTTTTCTCTTTGGATTGGAGTAAAGTGTTTAATGTACAGGTCACTTCTTTGGGTCCACCCATGCCATGGTGTTGATAGGTTTAGGTATCAATGTCACACTGTCTTGTATTGATAAATAAAATATTGCAGACGCCATGTGCCTCTTTTTTTTTACTACAGAAAGGCTTTGAAGTGTGAGTGCAGCGGTCATCAGAGAAAAAATCAATGATGATTCGACTGAATTAGTTTGAGTTTACCAAACCTAATACCTTAATAGCAAGTACATTTTCCACTACTGTCAACCCGCACAACAGAAATTAGATGATGGTAAACGGGTTTGCAATGGATAGCTTTATTCGGGAGAGTCAAACGCTCATCAGCTGCTCGAAAAGTAAAGAATGTTGAAAAAGTCCGACAGTGTTTGCTGTAGGGAAACAACAGGGCATTTTGAACCTGATGGCCTTGTTTTCTGTAACCGTCTTGAAAGCGTTAGAGCCTTGATTGCTGTATTTTCTACAGAAAGTGTGTAATTCACTTCCCCTCCTTTTTTGTTCTCTGCAGAATAGGCGGGATAAGAAAATGAAATAGCGGCCTCCCTTAAATAGAAAGTGGTACGCTTTTGACATTTTCCTTTCTTCTTTAATGAAATCCAGGTTTTCGGATTGTTGGTGGGTTCTTTTGTTCATTGGTGGTCACGTGGGTTACATCAACACATGTGTGTGTGTGTGTATGTGTATGTGTATGTGTATGTGTGTGTGTGTGTGTGCGTAAATGAGTTGGAAGAGAAAAACCTCAATTGATGCACAAGAAAGCTCGTTTAGACAGGTTAGTTTTTAATTCCTCTTTGAAAAAGTCTGAGATGGATGATGTTCTCTAGATTTATTCTGGTTTGTTTTTACCCCGCGTCCTGTCTGTTGATAAATATGAAAATGAGTCACTTTTATCTAGATCTCTCCGTCACAATGTGGGTGTATATCTCTGGTTCAGTAGATTGCCTACAGATATACAGCAATTTCCAGTGTTGAACGAATAGACGATCAATAATGAAGAATCATCCAAATAGAGCCCTTCATATTCAATTCATAGAGTTATCTTACGCAAAAAGCATAAAAATACAATGTATGTCGCTTTATGACAAGCCACTATGTATTACCCCTTTTTTTTCTTCCTTTTTTAATGCGCAAAATGTTAATGATACACGCGCACAAGCCACAAAGATTTTTATGAGATACGGTTACAAAAAATCGAATCCTTTTTATTTACTTTCTTTTTTTCCTGTTCAGCTTTATACCAGCTCTTTCATTTTCACTGTCAAGCATTAGACGATGAGCCAGCAACCATCCTCACCTTCAGTAGAGCACCATCCTAATGATGTTTCAGGCCACGATGAAGGCAGTAGTATCAACGCCGAAGAGGTACCTGCCTTCTTGAATATGACCGAACAACAATCGCGATTACTTGTGGCTCTTTACAATGAAACTGATCCCGAATTCGCCAAACAAATGCCTACTGCCTTACCGATTGCAGCACAACAACTCCAAGCCGAGTACGAAAAACGTAATAGTGTTGGCAAAAAGGTAATAAAACAATATAAAAGAACACATGCATTTGTTGATAGGGGAATTTTCTAACTTGCCACTTTTTTTTTACCTTTTGCTCTCTTAGTTAGAAAGAGCGAATTTGAAATGGATCGATGAATACAAGTTATTCGACTCTGTTCAACATGAAGCCATTGAACGATTATCAAAAGCACCTACTGAAAATATCAATATCGATAAAGCAGCTGAAGATTTGGATCTGTCAGCAGAGGGATCGATTCATGATTTGGTTTTGGGTAGTCTATTGTATGGTGGTATCCGTCGTACCAGTGATCAAGAAGAACAGCGCAATGATCCTGCTTCCATGAGTCCAGTGGCCAGTCCTAATTTTGAAGGTGCCAAGGGTTTGCTCGAACGTGCTTTTGAAAAGGGATATACGATGGCTGCCGTACAAATTGGATCGATTTATATGCAAGAAGAGAAATTAGCGGGCGGTAAAAACATGAAAGATGGAGCCGATCCAAAGCCTTTGTCTTTTTCATGGTACAAAAAAGCAGCCGATGTGGGCAATCCTGTAAAGTAGATCGTAGTAGAAAACCAAGTGACAATCGCATACATGCATCGCTCATGGACTTGTTTTCATATAGATGGCATGTCATAAATTAGGTTTCTTTTATGAAAATGGCATTGGCTGTGAAAAAGATATTGAAAAAGCAGTAGCGTCTTATGAGAAAGGATTTGAACAAGGTGAGTTAAAAAAAAAAAAAAAGGAACAGAAAAAAAGAGAAAACACTAGAAGACTACCAAAAAAAGATACAAGCACCGAAAAGAGTGTCAATGGAACAAAAAAGAAAAAAACTCTAACATGTTATCTCCCGGTATCTACAAAACAATGACATAAATAGGTTACCCCGATTCAGCGCATAATTTAGGCTTAATCTATCAGGGCTTTACTCAAGAAACTACCAAATTTAGAGACATTAAAAAAGCGATCGAATATTTCGAACGAGCTAAACAATGGGGTTTCTCGGCATCTTGTAACGCACGTAAGTCATAGCTGAGGGGGAGGGGGGATAGTTTAGCTAGGATGATGGATGACTAACAAAAACTTGGCCATGTTTGATTAGTCGGCAGAATGTATTTACTGATGTCCAAAAATAACGAATTGGCCAATGAAGCAGGAAATCCTGGTAGTGAACCTGAAGACTATGTTGTGACAGGTATTGAACTCATGGAAGACGCTGCTAATAATGGTGACGCAGACGCCATGTTGATGTTGGGTCTTATTTATGGGTCCAAGGATTATGGCTTGTATGACATGGATAAGGCGCAAAATTACATGGAACTAAGTCTTGTGCGAGGTTCGCTTGAAGCCTATCCTTATTTAGTGCGTATCTTGAGAGCCAAGATGGCCGCAAGAGTAGCTCTTGAAAAAGAAAATTTGGAAAACTTTGAAAAGCTGAGTCCAGCAGATCAAGAAAAACTCATTCGACAGTTGGCGAAAGAAGGAGATGCCAGCAATAATGTTTATCGTACATGTGGCAATATCACTTGTGATAAAAAGGAAGAAAGACCAGGTAGTTTCAAGCGTTGTGGTAGATGTCAGAAAGTATGTTACTGTAGCCGTGAATGCCAAAAAGAGCATTGGAAATCAGGGCACAAGTTACTTTGTAAGCATGACGAACAACAGCCATAATCCCCCCACATTTGTAATATATAAATGCATTGTAATAAATACACTACGACTACCATTCTCATTATACACTTTAATCATGATTCTTCTTTTTTTTAAAAAAAAAAAAAAAAAATACTACACACTGTTTTATGATACAAAAAACCAGGAAAAAAAAAAAAAAAGGAAAGTGTCCAATGCCAAGAGGAGAGAGAGAGATAAATATGCTAGGTGACCGGTTGAGTACTCAATGGAATAGAATGAAGTTGGTTTAAACTGTTAGATGCTATCGTCATTATCGTTGTTGCTGAGGCTACTCATACTATCATCTGCATCTTGCACTGCTTCATCATCAGCAAAACTACTATTGCTGCTGCTGCTGCTGCTGCTGCTATTATTCTGTTGTGGTACGGGTCTTAATTTACCGCGCATAGGATAAGGATGGCTTTCATAAACAGCAGGATACGGTTGTGTTGGGAGGTACGTTGGAGAGGGTGATGGCGGTGTTATCGTGTGATGCCTCTGTAAACCCTGCTTCAGTCTTATTGCTCTTGTCCATTCATTCAACACTTCTTGTTTAAAAGAAGCAATACGTTCTTTCTTGACGGTGGTAGAACCTTCTTCTAGTCTTTGTAAAACGATCAACAGTATATGACACAAGTGATTAAATTTTTTGAACGAATCATCCCAATCATGCTGGGTCGGGTTGTTGCTTAATGATAAATCAGTACTATTTATATTAGTATGGCTGATGCTACTACTACTACTACTACTACTACTACTACTAGGACTACTAGGACTATTAGGACTACTTTGATGACTACTACTACTGCTACTACTGCCGTTGCTACTGTTACTTAGATTTTCCAATTCATTCAATATCGATTTTGCTTTATATAGACAGCGAGTAAATTCTATAAAATTTCGATCACTCGTAGATAATGTGGTTGTGAAAGAGTAAGTTGATTTAGTGCCACCAACGCCACCAGCTGCAGCATTCATCGTCCTCGTTGCTGTCGTTGTATTATGATGTGGATGGGGTTGATGACGGTTGGAAGAAGCTGACATGATTACATGTAATGTCATTCTATTATTATGTTTATAAAGATAACAACTACTATGATTTTTATCCTAGATCAGGATAAAGAGAAAAAGAAAACGTCATATTTTGGTTGTTTTTTTTTTATTTTATTATTAAAAGTGGAAAGATTTCATTGTTTGGAAAACCATGAAAAAAGAGAGGGAAGGGAGATTTGCGGAAAATTTATAAAATAGAACACTGAAAAAGAACTCGAAAGAACATTTTTGCTGTATTCTTTATGCTTCCCACAATAAAAAAAATTAGGAATTTTACAAATTTGGACAACTGCATTATTTTTTCGTAATGAGCGAAAGAATGCAATAGAACAAAAGAAACTTTTTTTTTTTTTTTTTTTTTTTTTTTTACATCATTTCAAGACTAAAATAAGGAAAAACATTTATTTTGTGTTTCTTAAAACCAACAACTATGGCTGTTGCTGGGCGGCGGCGGCGGCTGCTGCTTGCCCTGAATTTTCGTTCATTTTGGCTTGTACTTTTAAATTGACATCGATATATTTCGCCACACAACGATCAATACAAAGAGCTTCACCTTGACTTAGTTCTGCTTGGGTATAATTTTTGGATATGCATTTGGTATAACAAGAATCAACAATACTTTTTGCCCATGGAAAGAAAAAGTGTGGTTATGAATAAAAGTCACCCCTATCCAGACGTGTATTTATATGTACCGGTTAAATAGATCGGTCACCATTTCTAATTCCTGTTCTGCCATTGCCAAGTTTTGTGGATTGACCGTCTGTGATTGTGCTGCATTATTTACTCCAAAGAATGACATGCTTAATGGTTGGTTACTGGTGAGATTCTAGAGAATAAAAAAAAGTAAAAAAAACGCAATTTTTTGTTTTATTTTGCAGGGTATGATTTACTTTAATTACGGTCACGTAGCATGGTTATTGTACCTTTTTTTTTTTTTTTTTTCTGAAATAGCAAAAAATGAAGATTCATAAACGCTTTGTTAAGGGATAGTTCATGATCCAATGCTTCCAATTTCTTTTCAAATACCACACTCCAATGATGAGGACCTGGATCGTCAAGATCGGCATTGTCATCCATTTCTTTGACTTGATGCGGATTACCTTGTTCATCATGGTTCGATGAAAGTCGTTGTTTGTGACATATCTCTAGTAATCGGTAGATATCATCACGAAATAAAAGTCCCAAACGGCCACCCCAAGCACCTAGAGGCAATGAAATGTAGTTTTTCGTAACAACATGTTCGGTCAGTGATGATGAGGAAGTGGAGGCGGATGAGGCTGAACAAGATGTGAGTGGCGTTGGTGGCGGTTCTTCTTCTTTTTCGTCTATTTTGGCATTGTCTATCAACAAGTCTTGTAAATGACGTGCTAATCGAGGGTCTAAATCTTTCTTTTCCATCATGTGAATGACTAAGTTTTTTTTATGTGTGTGGAGTAAACAATAGTCAGTTTATTTTTTTGTTTGTTTTCTTTCCTTTTTTATCCCTGCCCTCATCACAGGATTTTCATGCAAACCTTCGTTATTCATGGATTGAGTCATAGCAGGTACAATAGACGCACGATGATGATATATCCTCATGTCCAACTCTAGAATTTCGATATAACCGCCTATTTTACATAATCGTTGACATTCGCTCACTAATTGTTGATAGTCTGCAAACGTGTAATCCAATAAAAGACCAGCACGAATCTCGATAAAGTCAAACAGTTCTTTCGTAGGGAATTTGCTTTGTAGAAAACGAATCATCGACTGATGACTGGGGAGAATAGGTATAAATTGAAAGTTTCGTGGTGATAAAGTGCTCGCAGCATTGATAGTCGTCGTAGTAGTACTATTCGTACTGCTACTACTATTACTCTTTGTAGTATTCGTCGGAGTCACCGTGGTGGTGGTGGAGGTGGAGGAGGTAGTGGTAGTCGTGGTAGTGGCGTTCGTAGAATGTGTGGTAGGAGGAGGAAATGTCGTTGCAATGTTGTCTGTAGGGTAAGACGCTAACGTTGGAGGATAAGGCTGATGGTGATGACTGCTACAGATGCCTAGATGACCTGTCGTTGTGATCCATTGCTTATCGTAATCTACGCCAATGACGGTCCATTTGGGATATTGAAAAGCAAGATCAATGCCCCATTGTATATCCCCTCCGCAGCTATCGATCGTAGGATAAAGATAGCGTTAGATGCGAGAGAAGAGCGATAGGTCTCTTTATTCTCTTACCCTAACTGTAAAATATGTTTTTCTTCTTTCGGGCTTAATGTCACTTTTTCAGGAACAGAAAAGAACCTACATCCCCATGGGTAATAGCATTTGTTTTTTGGTTTTTTTTTTCAAAAGTGAGTGCACAAGAGAAAAGATAGGCATCCTTATCAACCCTTTCTTTCTTTCTTTCTTACCCGTCGATAGCAAGTTTAACAAGTTCATGTTTCATAATCCAACGTTCTTCTTCTTCTTGCACATAAGGAGGCTGTATTTCTTGTTGTTCGGCTCTATTGTAGCAGATGCTACCACTGCAACTGCCACTGACGGTCGGTTGCAGCAGAGAAGAAGTGGGTGCAGGTGCAGGTGCAGATGCAGGTGTAGGTGCTTGTGATAGTAGCGTAGGCAGAGCTACATCGTCTCTCAATGGCGTAAAATGTGGGGAGTATTCCAAGGATGGCATCATGACGGAGCTGGGTCGTGAGGTAGCCAAAGGTGGTGTCGCTGTATGCGAAGAAGATAAATAAGAACTTACAGAATGCCTTTTGGCTGCTCCTGTAACTGCTCCTGCTCCTAGCATGCCTCCCGTTTCTCCTACTGTGAGTAATTCATGATGATGATGATGATGATGATAATGATGATAATAATGTTGGGTAGGATGAGGAGCGTGGCGGCGTTTTTTAAGGAATAATGTCTTGGGAGCCAAGAGCCGTAGGTGATGACGAGTGTCATTCATTAAGAGCTTGCTATTGTGAGGATGGCTGGCGATCATGGACGAGGCGGCTGAAGAGGGAGGCGGGCAATAACCGCAAGCGTTCTGGTGGCTGTTGTTGCTGCTACTGCAGTTGCAACAACCACAACAACCACAACAACAACAGGTGCAACCACAACACGTATGACAACTGGTGATGCTGTTGGTTGTGGAAGCCATGGTTTGTTCAGATCCTCTTCTTCGTTCACTTATAGAATTGCTACTGTCACTATGCCTATTCATCAAGAGCTTTTTCTTCCATCTTTTACTCTGCTGCTGAATACTCTTCTTTGTGGCTGCAATGGCTGCGGCTTTGGTTGAAGATGTATTTGTAGCAGTGTCTATCGTGGTGATGGATGCATTGCAGCTACTATTACTCCTTGCTCTGAAAATAGCGATATGCGGATTTGCTGGATGTTGCTTTTGTTGCTGCTGCTGCTGTTGTTGTTGCTGCTGCTGCTGCTGCTCTTGATGTTGCTGTTGTTGTTGTTGTAATTGTTGCTCTAATGCGATGACGGTTGTCTTTGTTGTTGGTTTTTTTGTCGTTTTATTGCTGTGATTCGAACTGTCTTTTTTCCACGGTAAATTTGATTTCGTAGAAGCAGTGGTGGCAGAGAGCAACGATAAGCATTGCGAAACCCAAGACGGCTTTAATTCCTTACTGCTGTTGTGATAGTTACTACTACTATTACTACTACTATTATCATTTTTAGGAAATCTTATGATAGGTATTATTCTTGATGTAGACAGTGATGTGGTTGTTGCTGACTCTTTACTTTCGACTAATTTCGTGGCTGCCGTGCTCATGTCTCCTTTTACTCTTGCCTCTATCGCCTTCAAGACGTAAGACCTTATAAGGGGATCAAAAAATAAAAAGTAAGAGAAAGAGAGAAAGAGGAAAAAGAGGTTCGTCATTGTTTCATGAACCTTTTTTTTTTCATCTTGTACAGCTTTGTGCAACTTTGTGCATGTTGAAATTCATGCATTCCTTTCTTTTGGTAATATGGATTCTATTTGGGCAGTCATGAGATAAAAAAGAGAGGAAGGGGGACGGGGCCGAGAAACGGGGGGAGCAAAAAGTAGCTTGGGTTGATATCATTTTATGCTGTCATCAGTGATCCCGTGGGTTAATCGCGGAAAACGGACGGAACCATTTCTTAGATTCACTGAGAGCCCAGCCAGTTCTATTCAATTGTCTTTTTTTATTATTAAAAAAAAGAGAGTGTGTGTTTATGAAATGTATAGGGTACAAAAAAGAGGTTTGATTTTAGATGATGATAAATAGCAAAATGTACAGTAAAATAAAAACAGTTATGATACAAAACGCGAGAGGGAATAAATAAATGGATGTTGGTTTTTGAAAGGAGATGAGGAGGCCGTCTCTCATTCTGCAGCTACAGCAGCTCCCGCAGTGGTGGAACTACTACCATGAGCTGCAGTGGTGGCAACAAATTTCTCCAATACGCGCAAAAACCCCTCCTTACCATTTTGTGCATTTTGTTGGAATCGCTTTATAGAAAAATCCTCAATGTAATTCTCCCATTTCGACAGGAAGCCTCCTACTCTCACGCTTGCTTGTGACGTGAATTGTGTCTTTCCAGCATGCTCTGGTGATACAGTATAAGTAATCTCTTCATTGCACTTCAGTAAGTTACATAATGAAAGGTTTTGGCTCGTCATTTTGAATGTTTTGGCCTTGGGATCAATGGTCGAGACTTCTCGTACATATTGTGTCTCTTCTGCTCCTACAAGCTATCCATGTTCATAGTACCGGTTAGAGGAGGAGTGAAAAGAGATAAAAACCAATGCCATTTTCCTACTTTACCTTTAATAGGATCTTTGGTGCATTTTGTTTCACTGTAATAAGCCTTTCTGTAATGAGGACGCCAGTCTTTGGATCCACCCTTCTATTCAATACATCGACATGCACGACATGAGGACATAGATCGTTTGGGTATTTTTGCCACTGCGCTGCGGACACCAAATTCCATTCATAATCAAACGTATGCACAGTCTTTACAAACTTCATTACTTATAGGTCAACGGAGAAAGGTAAGGTAAGGTAGGTAGGTAGGTGTAGGAAAGGAACAAGGGTTCGTGTCTATGTGGGGTGAAGGGGGGCAGGGATAAAAAAAAAGAAAAAAAATTGGAAAGTTTTGGAAATGCCCTCTCTTTCAACGTATCTACGGATTTCTTTTATATGAAAAAAAACTCAACCAATCGGAGAAAGAGAAAAGCGTTCACCCAGATTCTCGTTTTTTCTTGTTCCAACCGGGGGTCTGTGTTACATAAAATGCTTCTATTTGATAGGGTGAGTCCCGTGAGAGGGTAAGCAATCAACAGCACAGAGATACAATCTCGTTGAAAAGACGAATCATTTATTTTCAATTTAGTTCAAAAATAGCATTCTATCTGTTTTCATCCCCCTTGATTCCCCAAGCGCTATTTTTTAGGCCTTCTGGACTTTTTTGATGGATCTTTCATAATCCTCTTTGATACGTTGGTACAAGGCATCATTGAGCAATACTTCAACACCTGTAGCAGCCAAACCCTTGGCAGCCCGTAGGGTATCGTGATGCGCTTCCATGGTCTTGGCTGCCTTGGTGAATTCCACCGTATGGTTGGCTGCCGTGGTATGAATGCCGTACGTGGGATGAATGACAGGCATTTCATAGCTGACATTTCCCATGTCGGTCGAGCCACCACCCATACGTATTTGTTCTTCTTCGCTTGGAAACTCAATGCCAAAACGGCGCATGTGTTCAGCATACACATCCGCCATCGGTCGGTTTTGAATCACATCCTTGGTAACACCTATTTCTCGCCAAGTGTATTTGACTTGACATCCCGTGGCCAACGCGGCTGCTTCAAAGATGGCTTCCATCTTTTGGACCAGACGGTTGATTTGATCGGCACGTGTTGTTCGGATAAAAAAGAAAGCCGATGTATGTTCAGGAATGATGTTGGGCTTTTTTTGGTAGAAAGATAAGAAGAAGAAGAAGAAGAAGGGTTATGTGCCAGTGATCTCCTGTTGCTTATCTTGTCAATCAACTTACAGCTTGTCCTCCGTCAGTCACAATACCATGCACTCTGTCAGTAGGTAAAAGTTGTTGACGCATCATACTGATACCATTCCATACTTGGATGAGAGCATCCAAAGCATTGACACCTTCCCAAGGAGCAGCTATACAAAAAACCATAAAGTTAAAGAAACTTTTCTATGCCAACGGATGTTTTGTAAATTCTAGCATCTTACCTGCTGCATGGCTCGCTTTACCAAAGAATTCCACACGAACATCATGAACAGCAATAAAAGCAGCATATTGTTGGTCTGAAGAGCTAATGAGATTGCCATCATTAGTTTTTTGATAACTCATACACATACATAAAACAAAATTCAACTGTGAATCGCTTACGTAGGATGCAGCATGACGCAGACGTCAACATTGTCTTGAAATGCCTTTTTTCTGCACAATTCAATTTTACCAACAGATAATTCTATGGTTTTTTTTTTTTTTTTTTTTTGTAAGTGATTGCTATTTCAAATGATGGCGGGTCCATCTTTTGAGCAAATATCTCTTTTTTATCTCTTTACCTTCAGCAGGTGTGCCAAAAAGAACGACTTTACCAGACACATTGCCTGATTCCAAAGCTGCTTTTATGCCCATGACTGTGGCAACACCACTAATAGCAATTAAATTATGTCCACATCCTTGTCCCAATCTGTAGTGGTTTCGGTTAGTAACAAAAAAGGGCTATCGTTCACTTGCGCACTCCTACGGCTTGTTTTATCTATTCTATGAAAAAAATTACCCAGGTAGACCGTCATATTCTGAACAGACGCCAATTCTACGTCCATCACTCTTTTGGCCATGGCTGTATTCAGCCATGAAAGCCGTCTTCATACCATAGGCGTGTCGAGTCACTTTGAATCCTTTCTTCTCGAGATAATCCGTCAACACTTGATGAGCATGCACTTCTTTCATGCCCGTTTCCACATGTTCATGAAGCTATCAGGAATGCACATCAACGTTTTGTTTTCAAAAATCCAATACAAAAAAACAAATAGATGACTTACATCCAAACTGATAGCTCGAAGTTCCTCTTGAATAGAATCAATTTGTTTATGGATGATATCTTGAACATCTTTTGTACACATCAAGTCAAGTTTTCTCAAAGACTAACAGGAAACAAGGGTAAATAGATAAGCGCTTGCTATCCTATGAAAGGGGGGATGTGGATTGCTTTCTTTTTTACATCTACAACATCTTGATAACAAGGCAAGGATTCTTCAGGATGTGCCATGGCTGAATAAATAAACTTGTTACTGTCACTGATATCGTTATAGAAAGGATAAGGCTGATCTCTTGTAGTAGAACTCGAGCGAGAACAAGTAAAATATTTAGAAAAGAAGCCTGGCGCACAGCAGCTCAATGGACTCTTGTGCGTATTCTCGTCTTCTTGTGAAGCAGCAAGTTGAATAGGTGGTGACATAGAATAAATACGGTGAGAAAATGAGAGGAAAAAGAAAAAAAAAAAAAAAAAAAAAAAAAAAAAAGTTTTTCATGTCATTTGTACTAAAAATTGTGGGGGTGACAGCACCCAATAAAATGAGCGTGGAGTCAATCTAAAGAGCGCCATGAAAAGATGTATGTCTCTTGACTCAGTTTTTAGTAGCCACTATTCCACTCAAGAATGGGAATACAGTGGGCAAAATACGTATAGAACAACATAGTACGAATACGCTATTCAATTTCGCTACTTTGTTTGCTAAACAAACAACACTGCAGCACACAGACCTGTCTGTGTCCGGTATCTGTATCTAAAATGTGGGGTACAGTTGCATCTCGACTTTTTTTTAATTTTATTTATTTATTACATGACATGAAGGGTCTTGGCTTTTTTCGTTGGATGCGTTCTATCCACTTTGATACTCTCATTTTCTAAGCGAAGCTCTATATAGTCTGCTTCTTCTTCTTCTTCCTCTTTTTCTTCTTCTTCATCATCCACTCGATTTGCATCCATAACAAAATACTCATTCACGGATACAAAGGAATTGTCACCAAACAAGTACAGTTCTTCTTCCTTGGCGTATTCCCTTAAGGCTACCTTCATAGGATAATCCATTCGTAAATCCTAATAGAGTCAAAGCGGAAAATTGAGAGACTTTTTTTCTTTCCTGATGTATCTATCTTTCTTTTTTACCTCAAAATTTTTAATGTGCACAAAACATATCGGGCAATGCCATATCTTTTTATCCATATTGTGGCGTAAGAAAGAAGCTGCATCAAAACACGTCCGATGCCGACAATGCACACTCTTGATAGGATGTTGAATTCTCTGTTTCTGGCAGGATAACGGGTCGATGAAAGAGACCAATTCGCCTTCATCTTCGTCATCATAATCTTCTTCGCTGGTGGTACTAAGGCTGTTCATCATACTCCCATTCAATTTATCAACGTCGTCATGGTGGCTACTACCATGACTATGACTGTGGTTCTGACTACTACTATCACTGTTGCTCGGAAACAAGGCATTTGAATTACTTGTGCAGGTCATGAATAATGTTTCAGCGCGCCTCAGCTTTTCGGACAAGAACGTCATGTCTCTTTCCTCTAGCTTGGCCGAATCATCGATTTCTTTGAGTGCTGCTGATGGCTGAGGGTCATCATATTGCTTCAACAAGTGCAAAATGATCTTTTGCGTGTCCAGAGGGTGCTGACTTTTCCTTAGTGCTTTGGCCATGCATTCTGTCGTTGTTTGAAGATACAATTGACAAATAAACTACAAGTAATACCTTTTAATACCCTCATGACCTGATCGATGAGCCCCTGGAGCCAAGCCTACTTACCTCTTGTATGGGTTTCCTTGCTACAGCTGATATGGAAACATGATTGATATTCTGTTCTTCATGGTCCATCAACTCTACCATCAACGTCAGAAATGGACTTTTATCTTTCTGTGTCTTCATGGTGGATAAACAATAAAGTAGGCTTTGCGTAATATCCACATGCATGAATCCTTCTTGTACCATTTTCTGATGAAAAGCAGATAAAAGAAAAAAGAAAAAAAGATGAATGATCCAACATCAAGGACGTTCAGGAAAAAAAAGAAGGGCAACCCAAACCTCATCTTTCTCTGTCCAAATTTCTTTGGATTGTAATTTGAGCGATTTGCAATGTGGTTTCACTAATGTTCTTGTTGAATTCCAAAAGCATAAATGGTATTCCATGAGGTGAGCATGTCCCGAAAAAGTATCCATAGGATTCGCGGATCGAACTCTGTCGATTGATTTCCGTAAAGAGGATACTGAGAGATAAATAACTTTAAAAGTACTTGATAATGAGGAGGAGGAGGAGGAGGAGGATGTCATGCAGCCGTTGTCATTGCTATTCAGGATGCTGCTGCTGTTATTGTGGATAGGATGAGGCGGGAAGGGTATAGTGAGAGGGCCGCAATCGTCTTGAGGTTTATGCTGTTTTTGCTGATCCGTTGTACTACTATGACTACTACTCATATCGTCTACATCAACACGAATAATCTCGTCTAATCGATCGAAAATCTCTGTGGTGGGGACAAAATCATAGGCTAAAGGCTGATGACTACTAGAGTTATCCTCCATCGTAGTAGCCTCTCGTTCTCGACTTTTTTTTTTAAAAAAAAAAAATGGGGAAAATGTAGAGGAAAGGTTGTTAGGCATTTCCATTAACATAACAGAGTAGACTCTAATTACCATTCTCTGTAATCTGTAAAAGCCAAATTCTTGGCTCTACAGGCTGGGTATCCGGGATAAATAATGGCTAATAAATACTCTGCTAACTGATGTGTTTGTACTGATTCAATAGGATAATGTTCTTTGTCGCCACAGTGAATAAGATCATGTTTCAGTAAATAATCATACAAACATTCCAATTTTCGTTTTCGTAATCGGAATAAGCTTGTTGGAAGCTAATGAAATGGGTAATACTTTATATATCAGCTTAAGGAAGATGGCATACAGAAAAAAAAAAAAAATCTCCTACAAGTCCTTGATCTGTCAGCGTCTTTGACGTTGATTTCTTTCCGACAATCAATTTACTCAGTTCTTGTTGTTGCTCATAAGTAAGAATATTCGGTTTTTGCCGCAGCCGTCGTTTCTTGTAATACATGGTAGCATTCATCATTTTCCTTTACTATGCGTATTTTCTTTAAGAAAGTAAGTGTGTTTATGGACAAATATGATTCCAAAAAAAAAAAAAAAAAAAAAGTTAAAAAAGGGAATTCTATGGCTTTTTTTTTACCACTCTTTTTAATGAATCAGAAAAAGAAATACATATTAAAACAATAGGTATAAGTTTTAAGCAGAATTTTTGAAATGTTTCAAAAAAAAAAAAAAAAAAAAAAAAAAAAAATGCAAACTTTTTTTTTTTTGGATCTCATCACGGATAAGAGTTATCAGATGTAATTTATTGTATATGTATGCCCTTATCACGGCCTATCTTTTTGATCATGAACATCCATGTCGTTTCTTGGGAATCGGCGGTAAAGCTCCCCTCCGGAACAAAGCTTAGAAACGGTACAATTATGATAAAGTGAAAAAGACTTTTTTTTTTTTTTTTCGACGACCGCAAGACTTTACCCTTTGATTATTTAATTTCTCATTTGTGGCTCTGAAGCGAACAGCATCTCTGTTTCAAGGAGCAGGTAATCACTTTAAAAAGCTTTAAAGAGCTTCCGTTTGATTTCAGGATTATAATTTTAGCGATAGTGCTATTTTTAAAGACACATACAACGAAAAGAAGAGTGCTTGAATACCGCGAGACGTTATGAATAGTTCTCTTATTGACAAGTTGAGCTAGTTCGCTGTGAAAAAAAAAAATAAAATGAATGCCGATCCATCACTTGCCCCACGCTGAATCTGTTTCCTTGCATGAAAGCTGAGTCACATTCAGATCTGCTTTTCTTTTTTCTTTTTTTTTTTTTATCTGCCCCTTGATTCTGTTTTTATTCAAAAACCCTTTTTGCAGCTCGTTCCTTTGACATTTAAAAGAAGAGATTCTATCTATCCACCTGGTGAAAAATGAGAATATATACAAAAACCGGGGACAAAGGTTGGATCATCCATATCGACTTGTCAAAAGTGAATTGTACACATAACCTTGCTTTCTACTAGGGACATCCAGTCTTTATAACGGACAACGAAAAGATAAAGATGATGATGTTTTTGAAGCGCTAGGTAAAGACCAGGGAAACAGATTTTTTCTACAGGATAGATAGGAGCTAACCCTGCGGATATGTCAGGTACCACGGACGAGTTGACATCGACTCTTGGGTAACGTATATCCTGTAAGATGAACCTTTTTTTTTTTTCTCAAAGCTGAGTTAACAAAAACATATATGTCTAGGTTGGCTATCGAGTTTTTAGAAGAGGAAGCGACGTGGGGACAGGAATTGGTAGAAAAGTTGACAAGAGTGAGTAGCCTTTAGGCCATCTCAAGACGTGTGTTCCAGAAATAACCGTTCTATTACCGTGTGTTTAGGTTCAGTGTCTCTTACAAGACATGGGTTCTAATATTGCTACGCCTCGTGATAGTTCCAACGACATCAAATTAGCAAAGACACAATTTGATCCTGAAGGAGTCAACGTAGCTACTCTGGAGGAATGGATCGATCATTACGATGAACAACTACCCAAACTGACGAAATTCATATTACCAGTAAGTTATTGTTTGACCTGTTTTAAGTGAACGAAGGATGTATTTTGTTTATTTATCAAATATAAAGTCGGGCGGAAAGGCAAGCGCATCTTTGCATATGGCTCGTTCTATTTGCCGTCGTGCTGAAAGACGAGTTCATCCATTGATCCGTGAAGAACAATGTGACTCTTCTGTTGGCGTCTATTTGAATAGGTAAGAGAGAGAGAGAGGGTATCTATTTATGTGTGTGTAGTGGTTTATATATATACATATATGACTTGTTTATCATTCCACTCGTCTATCAAAAAAGAAAATGGTTGCAAAAAAGACTCACTTTATTTTTTATTGGTCTCTATGCGGTTACGCGCATGTGCGATACTCAGATTGAGCGATTTTATCTTTATAGCGGCGAGATGGGCGGCGCAATGTCAAGGAAAACCAGAGAAAATCTATCAGAAAGTATGAATTGAGTTGAGGCATTTTTCAGAACGCCTCTGTTTTCAAAAATAAAATAGATGCTTTTCTTTTTTATACTTTGCATCCCATCCCCAGCTTGATCTCATTCATAAAAAAAAAAAAAAAGCTTTTGTGATCGGGCCCCATTGCACTCGTTCGCTATTGATTACATACATATACGCACACGCACGCACATTTTATCTAGATGTCAAGAAAAAGTACAAAAAAATTAGCCATGTGGACCGTTCGACTTTTCAACTCTTTTTTCAAGTTGCTTTCAAAGCTGGAAGAACCGCGGCTTTTTTCTCATGAGCCGCACGTTTATTATTGTGGTCCACAACCAAAAGAAGAAAAAGCAGAGATACTTTTTGGAAGCAAACTACCTCTTTCTTCTGTTAAAGAACAGCGTCTATTGCGTGATGTGGTGACCCTCGCACTTTGCAGACTACTCTTCAAATGGGTCTTTTTGAAAATGGACTACTTGCTTTAGTGCAGATGCCTCTCATCAGCTCTCTTTAATAAAAAATGAAGGGCTAAGAGTGCAAGTTTATGTGGGTTGTATATTATATAGGATGCGATACGATAGGATGTAAAAGAAAATAAAAAAAAACAAAAAGAAAAATCATACAATAGGGTACAAGCATGCTACGGGCAGGAATAGAGTTGGGTTTGAGATCTTTATGCGTCGGCCAAGAACACTCTATCCCAGTTCCAACGTCTACGAAGCAATGCATGACCATGGGTATTAAAGACAAATCTATCCAGTGACATGAAATCATGGGGACTAAAAAGTAAATAAAGATATTTAAACAATTGAGAAAAGACGTGACTTCCCATTGTGTCGATCTGATTCTCCGTGAGGTGGCCTGTGGCTGCCTTCTTTTCGACATTGCGAACACCAGCGAAAGCACTCTCTGTCCTGCACCATTTCTCAATGGCTTGATAAATTTCCCAAGCGTATTCCTAGTGAGGTTGAACTATGAGTTTTGTTTTAGTAAATGCAGCCCCATCAGAAAAGAACTTACTTGGTATTTTTGGTCGCCCGTCAAACGGTATAATACAAATAAGCTTTCAATTGTTTCTGCATGCAAATGGAAACTCTTATCGGTCAAGAGGAAGGATTCTGGTCTGGGTTTTACAGGTGGAAGAGTATACTGTGTATGATATTCTTGTCCATAAACGACCTCTTTTTCTTCTTCTTGAGGCTGTGTGGCTGCAGTCACATCTTCAGTAGGCGTTGCTTCTTCTCCCTGTCTCTTTTTCATGTCTGATCCACTATCACTGTCTGAACCTCCATTCTCAGCTTCTGCTGCTGCTGCTGCTGCTGCTGCTGCTGCTGCCTGCTCCTGTTGGCGTCTCTGCTTTTCTTCTAAATAAGGATTCATCCTATTTTCTTTATACCACCAATCACGCGACTGGGTCAGTTCGCTCTTCGTTTTATTAAAAGTATAATAGTTGTAGGGTTCTGTTTTGGTGATGGACCAGCTTTCTGGCGCCAATCCTGTTGCTGTGGTACGGTACATAAAGACACAGGTTTCCATGAGACCCTTGGCGATGTCCAGATCTTCAGGCTCATTGAACGTCTTTGAGCCGATCGCTAGCATACCGGCCATCGAGCAGGTGGTATGGTCCATCCCAGGCTCGCTTTGTTGACGTTGGGTATCGAAAGGGGTCAACAGCAGCATGTCACGCTCAGGTACTTGTCGTAACATGTATTTCTTCATGCTGTCGATGGATTCTTTGTCTATAGAAGAGGTCTCGATAAGTAAGGGAAATAGCTTTTTCAAAAAGTGATTGGGAGGAGGAAAAAGAAACTTACACATTCGGGCATATTGAGGTTGAGTGCCTTCTGTCAACAAATAAGCCTTGAGGAAATACTAGGAATATAACAAAAAGTTGTTTTATTTCCTGTGAGTGAGAAGACATAGGTCGTGGAAAAGGGAGATACAGGTACTTACTTCGTACACACTGCCGCTTTTAGAACCAAAAGAAGCCATGGCTACAAGAACAGTTGGAGTCAGTCGTCACTGAGAATAGCTTTTTTTTTTCATGTCCTTGGCATTTACCGTTCTTCCCTCTGCCTTTTTGAGTATCGATGGTGGTGGGATACAATCCTTTAATATACATGCCTTGCTCGTACTCCATATGATCAATAAAGTCGATCATTTCTTGAGCCTACAAGATGGAATGGGTTGGTGTCCCAACCAAAAAAAAAAAAAAAAAAAAAAAAAAACAGTGAGAAATGAGGTCTTTACTATTTTTTCCATGAATCGATCTCTATTCAAACCTTCATGCCAAATTTGGGATTGTTCATCAGCTGAGAGAGCATCAAAAATTCAAGTTGCATTGTACCGATTTGGCCTATAGAACACTCTTCAGCACTACTTGATTTGTTTCTAAAAAAAAAAAAACAAGATAAAATGAAACCATCGGGTCATTAGGAAAGGTTTGACAAGGCATGGGAGGGGGGGGGGTTCTTACTGAAAGGGATTGAAGGTATGTCGTGGTAAGCCTGAAGGGGTCTTGTAAGCTTCCAAGAAATCATTGGCCAAGCTCGTGGACCGTTGGATCAGGGCGTCTTCGAATCTGTCAGAGAGTTCATAGGCGCTGATCAAACCGCTCATGTGCTTTGTCACGAAATCAAACATGTCGAGTTCTTTATCAACATGAAAAGAAATGGCACGCACAGGTTTTTGAAGGTTATGAAAATCGTCACCCCTATCCAGCATGAGCATCATGCCAAGGACATCAATCAAACCCAAGCCGAGCCCGCCATAAAGATCGTTGGGTTGATTCGTGAGGGGTTTCAATTCATCATGCGTAAAGGCATATTTTTCTAATCAATAGAAAGGAGGGGAGGGGAGGTGAGAATGAAGAAGAAGATCTTTTTCAAAAGGTGAGAGAGGTCGATTCTTTACTATAACCGTTCCAGGCATGAAGAAAAGAAGCCTTGATGGCTTCTCTTCTCTTTTCTCTGAGCTGAGTATATTCTGGTGGTTCAATGCCAAAGTTGTATTGTAATGGGGGCAAGTGAGATTTGTATCCATCAAAGCCGTCGAGAATGGACTGTTTCTTTGGCGTGGGGGGTCGTTCGATGGGTGTATTATTGGGATAGGTAGTGATGATCATGCTCTTGATATCGTCTGCCCACCGCTCTTCGTTCATGCTTTGCGCGCCGAGAAGATCCAACGGCAGCAATACGTAGAGCTGTAGGATGGCCAAAAGAAGGCATGCCACTGCAATGGTGACGATTCTCCATTTCTTTGGTATCAAAGAGGAGGAGGAGGAGGAGGAGGAGGAGGAGGAGGAGGAGGAGGCGTTTGGTAACACCATGATCGAAAAAGTGTGTAAAATAAATACGAAAAAAAGAAAAAGGGAAAGAATAAAAGTACTCCTTTGGTTTTCACTCGATAACAACACGCTTGTGTGTTGGCTGCTTCTTTTTTTTTGTGTGTGTGTGTGTGTTTTTGTTGGATTCGGGTTTTTTTTTTTTTTTTTTTATTCATGTTTGTTTCTTTTTTCACCCAAATTTTTATTTCATTTATTTGTCTCTTGGTGTGTTTGTTTGTTTCACGTTGCATTGTACTACCCCTTCACCAAGATCGTCGTCCATGGCTGCCCATCGGGTGGGTGTGCGGGTGAAGGGGGATGTCGGACCAACGCACAGACGCCGTGCTACAGGATCCACGATGCTGAGTGCACACTTTATGCCATAAGACCTACTTGCTCATCACTCGCTCTAGTAAAGAGTCCCAATGCAATTTTTTGGCTTGACACCTCCGTGATCGGGTGTAGCCTGCTATTGATTTTTTTTTTTTTTCAATACGCGAAAAAGAAGCCTCGAGTGCCAATGGATGAGCGGTTATGATTCCATACACGATGGGGGTCATCCCAGTTTGCCCCACTCTTTCTTGGCTTGAGAAAAAAAAGTGTCTTATGAAGGAACGCGCCAGATGAAAATTTTAAACGGACGGAACGCCCTTTCGTTCCTCTTTTGAAAGCAACGACGGCTCACTGTCGTCTACACTTTTATCTCATGCCCATCGCTTCCTCCCTCTAGCTATGCCATCTCTCTGAGCAGCACGCTCCCACCCGCCGCGAATAGATCATGTCACCGTGTGGCCGATGACCTTTTCAGTTGCATTTCTTTCCTTTTACTGCCAATGATGGATGTAGAGCATACGCATCATGTATTCTAAGGGAGGCAAAGAGGACGAGAGAGAGTCAAAGAAAGTGAAGGAGAAAAACAATAAAGTATCTCTCCATAAGAGGCAAAGCTTTCTTCTGAGCTATAAAGTAGAGGAGAGAGCCCAGGACATGCGTTGTACATGGAGCACCTTATTGGAATGTTCTTGAAACAGAGATACGAACCATAGCGTGAATTCAGTCTTTAATAAGCATCCTACATTGTGTTGACTAAACTCACACACAATGTACTTTTTTTCTGAATTCTTTTCTCGACAAAGTCTATAAAAAAAATTGGTTTTTTTTTTTGTCTCGCTCTATTGAAACCAGTTTCACTTTATTTTCAACCTAGATTATCATTCTTAAAAAGGAAACCATAAAAGAAAAAAAATTTTTTTTTTTTTTTGCACAATGATCACAGAGTACAGTGAATGAGAATATGGAGAGTTGTTGTGTCATTATTATAGTGATTTTATTATATAGACATAATAAAAAAATATAAACTTCTAATAAAAAAAAAGCGAGAGTGTATATATAATGTATAGGAGAAAAAGGAAAAATGATGATTAGAAAAAAAAAAAAAAGGTGAATCAAGAGAGGTGTTAATGAAAAAGGGGGGGTTGGGGGATGGAGAGGAAATAATAGTATTAAACAATTGTCTATAAAGAAAATAAAAAAAAATATACATGAATTGAAAAAAAGAGAAATTATTGTTGTTGTTGCAAGACTTGAGCAGCATGAGAGGTTTGGACAGAAGAGAAACGACGCATTTCCTTGGGGTCCATCTTCTTACCACTCTTACCAAGGACCTTTTGAGCAAAGTTTTGAGGACGTTCGAGAGAACGAAGCGACTTGGTACGGTTAGCATAGTAACGAGCAGAAGAGGTGCCAGAGATAGCCGAGGCACGACGAGAGGCAGCCGCCTTACGTTCTTCGGTGGTGTTGGCCTTGGGTTCAAAGAAGTATTGCATGGCAAACTTGACAAGATCCATAGGAGCGAACCAGACAAAGTTCCAGATCCAGACAATACCGACCCAGCTCCAGCCACAGCCTTCGATTTGAGTGAAGCCCCAGTTAGCATAACAAGCAATGAAGGTAGCGACGAGCTGAGCAATGATGAAGGAACAGATGAGGAAAATGGAAGGACGTTCCATGAAGAACCAGCCACGAGAACGGGTAATGAAAATCAAGGCTTGAGAGATGGTGGAAACTTGGAGATAGACAGCCGAGTGGAGCAAGAAATCGTTCGGGATGTCAAAGGTCTTGACGCCAAACTTGCGGTGGAAGAAGGTGGTCTTCAAGGCAACGGCGACGAAAGAGACGGTAGAGGCGGTGAGATAGATACCGTAGACGATAGCATAGGAGAAAATCTCACGCAAGTTCCAAGCATCCGGATACGGCGAGGGACGGACACGATCGGTGGAGATGGTCATAATGGTACCGTCGTTCAACATGGCGATAATCAAGACCATGAAAGGAGGGAAATCGAATTGGAAGGCCCAGATAAGGATGGAGAAACCGACGACGATACGAATGGTCACGGAACAAGTATAGATAGAGTAGTTACGCATACGTTGGAAAATTTGACGCGAACCAATGATGGCTTCGACAATGGTGGAGAGACCAGGGGCCGTCAAGACGATATCGGCAGCTGAACGAGCCGCATCCGAAGCATCAGCGACGGCCACACCGACGTTGGCCTTGGAAAGAGCAGGCGCATCATTGACACCATCACCGGTCATGGCCACCATGTGGCCCATGTTTTGAAGACGTTCGACAATCTCGTACTTGTGTTCGGGATAGACACCAGCGAAACCGTCGGCATGAAGGACCATTTGATCGACATCGGTGTAACCAGAGCCAGCAGGGGGACCTTCCTTCAAGGTCTTGGACAAGAACATGTTGTCACCCATACCGAGACGACGACCAGTTTCCTTGGCAATGGCAAGTTGATCACCGGTGATCATCTTGACAGCGACACCGAGAGCTTGAGCACGATCGATGGTTTCCTTGGTATCAGAACGAGGAGGATCATAAATGGGCAAGAGACCGACCAACTTGAAACCAATGCCTTCCGCGTCGACTTGGCCTGAGGGGATTTCATCAATAGCTACAGCAAGAGCACGCAAACCACGACGAGCGAATTCATCGACATCATCGTTCAAGGCTTGGATCACGGCCTCGGTCTTGTCACGGGTACAGAGATCCAAAATCTTGTGAGACATACCCTTACTGACACGGTAGACCTTACCGGTCGCATTGTCCTTGTAAGTGATTTCAGTACGCTTGATGACAGGATTGAAAGGCTTAAAGTCCATTTCAGTGACACCGTCACGGGCCTTGGAGGGATCAGGAAGAGAGTTGACAATACAGAAATCGATGGCGTCTTGGTTTTCAAGACGAGAAGCGTAGGAAGAGAGACGGACGACATCTTCACCGTCAAAGTCAGGCGTGTAGGTCTTGATGGTAGGCTTATCGACAATCAACTTGTTGAGGGTAAGGGTACCGGTCTTATCAGAACACAAGATAGTGACAGCGGCCATTTCTTCAATGGCGGTGATACGCGTGACGATAGCCATGTGGTCAGCGAGTTGCTTGGCACCGATAGCCAAGGTGACGGACAAGACAGTAGGCATGGCAATGGGGATACCACCAATGAGCAAGACAAGAATGTTATCGATACCACGACGGTAAGTGTAATGGAAAGCAGCATATTGAACAATGATGACAATGACCATGAAGAGAATAATGGTGATCAAACAAAAGTTACCAATCTTGGCAAGAATGGCTTGCAAGTGACCCGAATCTTCACCCGCTTCACCTACAAGCTTGGCAGCACGACCGAAGAAAGTGTTGGTACCTGTACCAATGACAACTGCTTCGGCTTCACCTTGCTTTACAGTAGAACCAGAAAAGACTTCATCACCGGCTTCTTTACCGACAGGCAAAGATTCACCCGTAAGAGCGGCTTGATCAATAGAGACATCACCGTGAGCCTATGAAAATGAAACCATCAAGGAAATTAGCACATGGGTTTTTTTTTCAATTTGTTGACAAAAAAAAAAAAAAAAAAAAAAATTTTTTTAAACAATAGATAAGACGCGCCATTGGATCCCAATGATGCTGGGCTGAGAGAGAAAAAAAAAAAAAGGGCTCCCACTGGCTCTCTGCTTTCTCATCCAAAGCCATTTTTTTATCTACATGACACGTCTCCCTCCCCCCCTCCCTATCCTCTCAATGAATAAAACAAGAACTTACAGTAAGTAAACGACCATCAGCAGGAATAACATCACCAAGCTTCACACCGATGATATCACCAGGAACCAACTCGGAGGCTTCGAGAGTCTTCCATTCACCATCACGTCTCACTTTACATTCAGGAGCAAGAGAAGCCATAAGAGCCTTGACGGCATTACCAGCTTGACGTTCTTCCAAGAAACCGATAGTAGCATTAGCAAATAACAAAAGGACGATACCGATGAAATCAGGATAATCAGGAGCTCTGTGTTCACCGTTGGAAAGGGCAATAGCGACAATAGCAGCAGCTTCCATGACCCAAGAAAGAGGATTCCACATGAAACCCAAGAATTGCATCAAAGGATTGACTTCCTTGGTTTCTAGCTTATTGGAACCAAACTTTTCTCTACGAGCAGCTGCTTCCGTTGTAGTTAAACCTTCAGGTTGTGTCCTATTTGAAAAATGAGAAAGCGGTTAACAATAAGCCCCAAATAGACCATGGAAATGTAAAATAAGCACACGTGATGAAGTCAAGGAAAAGAAAATGAACGATGCCCTTTTTTTTACTATTGTTGTTGTTCCCATCCACTGTCGCTCTTCTCTTCTGCCTTTTTGCGCCCAAAGTGGAAAGGCAAAAAAAAAAAAAAGAAAAAAAAAATTTTTTTTTCCTGCGGTGTGTGTTTACGTCTGTGTGTCTGTGTGTCATTGTCATACCAAAATACAGTTATCTTATCTGCGTGTGTGCCGGGTGGGTGGTGGTGTTGGAAATTGAGATTGAAAAAAAAAGGCATCGAATTTTTTTTTTTCCTTTGACCCATTCACTCTCACTCATCTATCAAAAAAGAAATACGTACTGTAAGAGTTGCATGACATCTTGTTGTTCCATAGTGGAAAGATCATATTTGTCTTTGTCGTAAAGGTCTTCTACGGTGATGTTGTGGAAATCACCCGTGACCTTGGCTTGAGGTTGTTCGTCAGCCATGATCAATAAATTAGATTAAGAGAAAAAAATAACAGGTAAAAAAAAAACGAATGACTGGGTTGAATTGAGAATGTAAACTAAGAGCTAGTTACAAATTCTACGAGTATCAAAATGATATATTAGAAAGGAAAAAAAAAAAAGAGGGGGAAAAAATAATAAGTTTTATATACAATGGATTTAACGAATGAAAGGAAAAAGAAGAAATCACAAAATCGAAAAAAAAAGACGCCAACTTGAACGTAATTTATTTATACAGTTTTTTTTTTTTTTTTCTTTTTTTTTTTTTGTTGAGGAGATTGAAAAAAAAGGAATAAGTTTTTTACAGGCTTGTTTGTCTTAGCGGCGTACCCGAACAACGGAGAAGTAGAAGCTTATATCAAATCTTTATCATTTTCATTTGTGATCAAGTTGGAAATGACTATATTCGGCAAAATGTCTAAGAAACAGGTTTCAATGTGTCAAAAATTTGACATGACGCTCAGAAGAAAAAAGTAAATCGATTCAATGTCCGCTTGATCCAATGAAGATCAGTGAAAAGATGATATTTGTGTTTTCCTCCCCCGCACCCATTCGCTCTTTTACTGTGCTCTTAGAGGGGAAAAATAATTACAAATGCCGGTCGAAATAGTTGGCTTATAAGGTTTTTCCCTCTCCGAGTTTGGCTCGTCATCTCATTTTTGGTGTGTTGTTTATTGGAGCGACATGATATTTCTAGAGATAATGGGTATCTCTTTGCCCATGACGGGAATGGAGAAATGTAAGTGGGTGTGTCTCTACATGTCATCTCTCTTTATGGCGTGTATCTACGCCGCGGGTGTGTCTGCATGTCTATGTGTGTGCGTTGGAGATGTATGAGATCGCTTCATTGCAGGCCCGTTCCTTTATGTCATGTCATTTGCAGGTCTGACTTTTTTTTTTTTTTTTTCCACACATCGGGATGTTCTACATTACTATTTTCCTTTATCAAAAATCTTGGTTTTTTTTTTTTCAAAGGCGTCCTCCTTCACACTTGGCTGCTGTGTCACCACAGAGCGCATGTGTTTTTTCTATGTTTTTGTTACCAAAAAAAAAAAAAAAAAAACCAAAAAGAGGAGGGTCTGTGCTTTTCTGTAGCCAACTTGTGTGTTATGTCGTTTGACAAGTAACACAGTTCTTGATGTTGTTTGTAAAACGCACCCTTCTCATCCGCTGTCTACGTACATCAAGGAAAAGTAAGAACCAGGCACCGGTAGATAAGCCATAAAAGATTAATCTGATCATCTCAAAGAGACAAAGAGCACGTCACCCACGGGTGCTGAGAGCGTGAGGTGAAGGGGTGAAAGGGGGAACTGGGAAAAAGACAAAAATATTATCCCACGGCAATGGCCGTTGTCAACACATTGTTCTTTTTTTTTTTTTTTCTCATTTTTGAGTGATTTGAAAAAAGCTCAATCGTCTCTTTCTTTCTTTCTTACATCATTTTGACTTGTAGAAGCCTTTGATGGAATAGAATACTGTTCTCTCTATGCTGTAACACCTTCGAAAAGGTAACCAAAGGCTTTTCTTTAAAGACGGATACAGAAGGCTTCATGAGGGTAGACTCCGGTATTTCCATTATCCGTCCCATTTCTTCTGATAAGGCTATCCCCTCCCCGCCCGTCTTTGAAAAGCCCACAATAGCCAACACACAACTATTTTTCTTGATTTTTTTTTTTTTTTTGGAAATGATGACAAATTTGTAACTTGTGTCTTTTTGGTCATTTTTAATTTTTGCACCCTTCTTTTCAACCAATCGGACTTTTCCATCCATGTTCCTATTTTAGACTTTCCTAATGATGAATGGAAAATTTTAGAGATAACAGGAAATTCATTTGTAACAGATACGAAACGAAATGAAACCGTAACGGACACAAACCTATTCACACTTCCATTCCGTAGGCTTCATCCATTGAAACTCATGACGCGCAGCTCTCTTCCATCTCAAGAGAGCCCTTTTTTTTTTTTTTATCAACCTGGGCTCATGGACGAAAAAGAAAGCTAGCTTTTTTTTTGGGGGGGATAACTTTTTCATAGATAAGAAAAGAAAGAAATGAATTGTTCTGTTCCCATCGATCGATGACATCGTGTGCATGGCAACCAAGATTTTTTTAACCTTAACCTAATTGTTCTTTATGTATTTTAAATTGCTGACAAAAATGGCAAAGCGACTGCTCTGTTTCTTTCATCATGTGTCATAAAAATAGAAAATTTTTTGATCTCTAAAGGACGTGGATCGAAAACGTCTATCGTTATGTTTTCCTTTCTTGCTTTTTTTTTTCGTTCTCCTTTATTTGGACAAGTGAGAGTGGACTTGTAAAAAAAGACATGACAATGTGTTGTGTTGTGTTTGTCTCTCTGTCTGTCTGTCTGTCTGTCTGTCTGTCTGTCTGTCTGTCTGTCTGTCTCAATCGATGATGCTGTAGATCAAAATAACAATCTATGTTTAGTGAGTGTACACACAAAAGAAAAAAGAATAAAAAAAAAAGTATTTCCAACACCGCTTCCATCGGGACTAGAACTTGCGTGATTGTATTTTACAAAAAAAAAGCAAAAAGGAGAGTGAGCAAAGGATGTCTCTCTCGCTGAAGGAGGCATCGTCTCTTTTTCATTGTCTGCCCAGTTGTTCACGTCCCACAGCGGAATCACACTCAAAGGATGAATGATCAACGCGCTTAGTGGGAATGGACAATAGAGAAAGTGTTTCGAGCCACTTTTTTGCTATCGATGTAGGGGAAACGACATTTCTGTCTTTGAAAAAATTCAAGGGAAAAATTTTACTGACAAGAGGTCCCTCGATCACGATGCGCGCGCGTCTGGGTCATTCAGCCATCTTGATTCGTCGTTGGTTTTTTTTTTTTTTTTTTTTTTTTCTTTTTTCCCACCGTTCATTCTTTATCGATTCTCTGCTTGATCTATACTTGTTTTATAGTGTCGTTTTTTCATCATGCCAACCACCTACAATAAAGTTCTTGAAAGTGCACGTTATATTTCAGAGGTAAAAAGAACAAAACAACTATACCTTTGCCATCGCCCCCAAGATCCCCATTGTAGACATGAGGCTTTCATGGCGGGTGAACATGGGCGCCTTTAGAAAAGATCAGTGTGTGAGATGACTGAGCTCCTTTTTGTTTGGATTTACTGTTAGAACAGTCAACATGTCTTTATTCCAAAGCAGAATCTTGATACAGCAGCAAGAACGGTAGAGTGATCCACTGCTTTCTCTCTATTAAAAAAAATAAAATCTGGGGCTGATTTATAAAAAAAAAAAAAAAAAAAAAAATGAAACAAAAACACCCGTAGATCACAGAAAATATGAAAACAAAGCAATACAGTACAAAGACATGGAATGAACACACTTTGCATCCCAAGACCTTGACAGCTAAAACCGTGGATTGGTAAAGCGAAAAAAAAAAAAAAAGAGGGCGGGGGGCTCTCTCCTTTCTGAGTGATTAACCAACGACGCATGGGTTTTTTTTTGTCCTTAGGATCTTTCTGGTTGATTTACTGAATTTTTCCTTTTGGAGTGATCTGGACGTGTCTGATAAAAAAACACCTCATCCAGATCGTTATGCCATTCACTATCAAGGACAATCTTACACAGGCTACTGGTCTCTGTGTGCTGCCATTCATCGGGGTAAAGAAAAAAAGAGAGTTTGACATGTCTGTTGTACAAGAATCTAACCCCGTTTTCTCATCATGAAAAAAGCGCTCGATCAAGGTATTCCTATCACAGATCCTGCATTTTATGCCAAAGCTTCAGATCAGCAAATGATAGACATCTTCAAAAGTGATACCAAAGAATCAGCACCGATGATGGAAGAAAGAATCAGAGTCATGAGAGAAGCCGGCAACGTGTTGTGTGAGGTATTTCAAGTAGATACACACACACCCCCCAACCCAACCCGTGCCTTCTTTTTCTTACACCGTACATTCTTTATAGAAATTCAACGGTTCTTTTGTCCATTGCATTGCTCAAGCGCAACAATCAGCTGCCAAATTATTAGATATCATTGTGGAAAACTTTTCTTCTTTTCGTGACATTCACGAGTTCCATGGCAAGAAAGGTAACTCTTTTTTTTCCCCTTGGCCCCATGCATAGACAACGCCCAAGACTGATGCTTTGATTTTTTCACCAGTCTACCTCTTGAAGCGAGCTCAGATTTTGATTGCTGATGTGTGGTAAGAAAAACCTAAAAAAAACACCTTTTCTCTATGGCTTGTGATTGACTTTGTACCCAATGGTAGGGCATGTTTTGATGGACAAACCTATGGAGAGTTTCACGATATTGATTGCATCACCATGTTTGCAGATTATAGGTAAAAAAAACAAAAAAGACTCTCCTTATGACCCATTGATTCATGTATCCATGTCTACTTTAGAGTACCTCAAGTAAGAAGCCAATCCCAAGCTTTGTTTATTTTATTTTATTTTTGGCTGATCTTTTTTCATAGGCGCTCTATCAACTGGGCTTATTGGAATATTCAGATGAACTCTTGAAAAAGCTGCACAATAGAGACTACTTTCCTTCCGGCTGCGAACAAGAAGTAGAAATACGCGGCAACTCCATTTGGGCTGTCGAGTTGGTTCGAAGGAAAATGCTCGACATGGATCCTTCACTCCACGTCAATGCTATCTTGATTGATTTCTACGTGTGGGATATGGCCAAAGATATTCAAGATCAAATGACCGTGCCTACGCATCGTACGAGAAGTTGTTTCTATTAATGTCATTAAACAGTCCTTTTTCCTGGTTTTTTTTTTTTTTTTGTTCTGAAACCCGTGTCCCTCGTTCTCATCGTCTATCATCTGTTCCCGTTCTAGAAACAGGAGGAAAACCCGCCTCAAAAATGTTTATGCCGTTCTCATCGGTTACTTCCGATGGCTGGCAGGCAACACTTAGCAAACAAAAAACGGATAAATGATTTCACGGCCAGGGTCTTTTTTTTTTTCTAAGGGAGAGCAAAAAAGAAATACGGGGTAAACGATAATCTTTGCTCGTTTTCATTGTGATGAGTCATGCTAAGGGTCTATTGACTAACATCCCCGTCAAACGCCTCTTTTTGCATGTTACTATCCCTTCACCGTCCTCTTGTGACCACGAGTCCGGTAAATTGGATTACCGGGAAAAAAAAAAAAAAAAAAGAGACATTGTCTATCGATGATGTGTACCTGAAATGGATGACGACGACGGTCTAAAAAATGGTTTTAATCGAGTCAAAAACATGATGGCATTCATGTCAACTATGGATGGGGGTGGGGGGGGGGGTATCACGCTTTTATATATTGGACCACGTTAATCGAATGACATGATCTGTCTTTCGTTGTGTTGGTTTGATGAATCCTAAAAACTGTAATTCTGCTACAGATCGTATAAATCGGGCTCTATTATCAAAGAGAAGGGGGGAGAGGTTTAGAGAAAAAGCAGGGCCTATCTATTGACAATGGCCATGAGAAAAACTTACTGCACTTCATTCTCTTCCAGCTTTTGCTTTATCGGTCGCTGTTCTCTTTCAATAATACAACCAAACGCGATAAACCAATCGTACAAATTAATCATACGCCCACATTCAAGGTAGAGTTTGTATAAAATGCAAGTATCGTGTTCTGAAAATAGAATCTGATCCGCTTTGTCCATACGACAACAAGAGCAGCCTAAATAATGGCCTGATTGCGTCAATGCTGTTTGAATCGTGGCTCTCGGTTGAGCTGCAAAAGCCTATCGACAGAGAAAAAAAGAAAAGTAAGCTTCTGCATCTATTCATCACCTCCCACTCCCCCTCCCCCTCCCCCTCCCCCTCCTCCTACCTTCTCGTGCAAGCTGATCGTGTTGTAATAGATCAACTCGTGTAAGGGTAAAGTGGTGTAGGGTCTCAAATACAATCTATCCCATAAAGAGAGGCCCACCGATGAGTCCACACGTTGCTTGTCATGAGTGAGGAAAAAAAGGGGCCATCATTTTTTACCTGAGTGTTCTCTCACACCAATCGGCTATGTCCATGGCCAATTTGGCTATCGCTGTTCCTTTATTTCTTAAATGCTCAATCGAGTTCTCCTGCACTCTTTGCGCCGTGGCTGTCTGTCTCGCTGTCTGTGCGCCTGGTAAAACAAGTCCTTCCAATAATCTCGCTTTCCTATCCATGCGCGCCACCGTGTCACGATCTGCCTGCGCCAAGTGTTCCAGTCTCACTTCCCAGCCGAACAATTCCTTCAACGCAGCTTCATTCACCTCTCGATAATCCTCTTTTTCAAACAAGGCTCGCATCTGCTGCAAAAGCGTCCCTATATGCTTTTCACTGATGCCGCGGATCAAAGCAATCAACGCTTTCGTCAGTTCTGACCCTGCCATCCCCTCCTCCGTCGTTGCTTGCAACGCATCGAGAAGCAGTATCCTTTTGCTCTTTTGACGATGCGTGGCAAAAAACCCAAAGTTGGGAAATTGAGACTGGAGAAGCTCGAGGAGATGAATGCCCAACTTGAATTGGATTTGGTATGTTTTGATATCCGTGAGAAGCTCGGGTACAATCGCTTTCATGACATAATCATCGTCCTCAAGTACTCGCATGGCTTTCTGGACCTCCTGGCGAGCCACAAGTGACTCGACGTACGACTTGATGGAGCGGAGCATTCGGACATGCGTCATATGATGCTCGTTAAGGATGCCTTCCGTCAGCCACTCGGACACGGTCGACGCCATGGCGTCTTTGTCCAGTTCGAGTAATGGAAGAAAGAGAGATAACGGATTTCCATAGAAATGATGCATGAACGCATACTGATGCGTTTTTTTTTTTAAAACCTAGAGTTAGTTTTCTTTCTTTTTTTCTTTTTTTTTTTTGAGGACCATCCCATCACCCTATTTACCTTGACGCTTGATGTTACTGTACTAATAGAAAAATCATATAAATAAAAGTGATCCAGCAAGAATTTATACGCTCGCCCACCGAATTTCAAGGAACGAGTAGAATCCAGAAAAAGCTGTTCAAGCATCTTTGTGTCAGTAAGATAGAAAGAGAGACAGCAGAACACCCCCCCCCTCCCACTACGTTGCATCTACCTTTTCAATGACTCGATTGAACCACACTTCACTTTGCTCTAATTTGAACTTTTCGATTCTCAACAAGCTCATGGTGGCTTTACTGAGCGTCTGATGCAAGATCTCGATAGAAGTAGCAATACCCATAATACAAACAAAGGGCAACTTGGACCGATATTCACTGCAAATGCTGAGAAAATCTTGCAGCATGCTAGGCTCGAAGGATTCAAAATCCTGTAGGATAACCACCAAATTCGGCTTTCCCTTTCCATGATGTCTCTGTTGACATTGATGTTGGTACCATCCTTCTAACCATTGCATGTCAAACGGTAAGCATTTACTAGGCTTACTGAAGCTACCCCCCAGTTGATACCCTACCGCCCGTCGCTTTGATAGATATACATAGACAGAGTCAGTCCACTGCAAAAGATCCCCCCCAGAGGCAGAACATGCTATTTTACCTCAGTGAACCGTATCATGTCTTCTTCATCGCCCTCCTCCTCCTCCTCTTCCTCCTGCGCATCCGTGGTCGTGTCCTCAACAATATCCGTCTTTTCACTTCCGTCCTCCTCTGTCGCGCTCGCCATGAAGCGTTCTATCATCGATTTCATCATATTTTTCAGATTCATACAATCTTTGGACTGTAACAAAGCGACATAATTCTCTTTCTTCGTCCCTGTCTTTGCTCGTAATTGGGTAGCTATGTATTCGAACTGAGTGCTGTGATCAGGTGTATTAATACCGGCAAACACAAGCCCAGTAGGAATCTCATGAAACGGTAAACTGATCAAGCTTGAAAAGAAGAAGAAAAAAAAAAAAAAAAAAAAAAAAAAAAGAGCCATGTTATTACACAGAGGGTCCTCTATGAAAGCAAAGGACCAACGTAAGTTACCTATGGTGGGTCATATCGTGATCCTTATTGACAAAATCACATATTTCCTGGATGGCGGCTTGGTTAATGCCCAACAATGACTCCTAGGGAGTAGAATCGATCATTTTTTTGCATTTAGAATTTTTACTCCTTGAGTGGTACTCTGTAGAAATAGAATAGTGTACTGTACATTGAACAAATCTTCCACTGTCTTCCAACACGTACTCAAAAACTCTTTTCTTTTCAGCATGGCCTTCAAAGGCTCTCGACCATTGTAGAGTAATTGAAATCCATCATGTTGCGATTCTTTGCTTTTCCATTCGCTGCGATGCGTCGCCTTTATGCCTAACCATGGTGTCAACCATCAGTTTCCGTCAGAAAGCTGGACTTTTTAGCAGTATGAAAAATAGAGAAAAAAAAAAAAAAAAAAAAAAAAAGAACTTTACTTGTTGCTTTGAGCGGTTTGGCTCGTTTGGATTTAGGTAAACTCGTGCTTAGTACTCTGGATCGCTTTTTTCCAGGCATGACCAGAAAACAGCCCTATTTTTTTTGGCATGACGAGAAGAAAAACAACGGTGAAAAAAGACGCGGCTGTCAATAGTGTATTCTGTCGTATAATAATGCAAAGAGAAACTCACTTCTGAAACAGAGTCAAAATTGCCCTCCAACAGACTCATCTACAAAAATACAACACAAATCAACAAAAAGAGATCTATGTAAGAAATTTTTCTCTATTACTATTTTTTGTTCTTTTGGCCCACAAAACACCCTCCTGTCTGAGATTCAATGGTTGCCCGCTTCGTGCCTGTCCTTCAAAAAAAAAAAAAAAAAAATCGAAATAAGCGGGGAGGAGGGTGAGGGAAAAGTAAACCCTTTTTTTTTTTTTTTTCCTGCTCGATCACACATTGACAAACGGGACAGTGGTCACTTGTATACAGCACCATTCCGGCAAGAAGAACAACCCTTGATTCTATCCACCATTGAAACACACAATGCGCTCACTTATCTGCAAGCGATTTTACTCAACACCCAGCTACTTTGTTCAAAGAACGACCAACAAGGGTCTCCCTGTATATACAGATTATAAAAATGGAGGCACTCGTGTTTTAACCGTGATTCGAAAGGTGCAGGGAGACACTGCAGCACTAATGAAAGACATACAGAAAGACTTTCCCGAGGCTGTTATGCAGATCAACCACAGAACACAACATCTCTTCATCAAGGGCCGATGTATGAACGAAATGAAAGAATGGTTAATAAGTAAAGGTTTTTAGAAAGTGGAGTACACTCCCACCTGCTACTTTACAAGAGAATGGATTCCCGACGCTATTCTACTGTTGACTTGCGAAAAACATCCCTCATGAAAAACCAACCTTGTGTATAAAAAAACTGTATTTATTTTCCCCTCCACATGTATAGCTTGCAAAAAAAAAAAAAAAACCAAAACCAGTCCTCTACTCCTTCCTAAGGACATCTATCATTGGATACGAACATTGTCAATAAATGAAAAAGAACAACCTACGCTTTCCTTTACATCTCGGTATGATGGAATGAGAAGGTCATCATCTGCTACTATCATAAACAGTTTGAATAGGAATAAAAAAGACCCTTTTCAAGACTTGACATGAGATAGGTCATGAATAATCCACAAGTGTCAAAGTGGCGTCTGTTCAACACTGAGCTTCTCATTGTTTCAGTGTGTACTTGTTATTCTGGCAAACGTGTAGACATCGTTCATGTGGTATACTGTAGCTGTGTTGCTAGCTGCTTTGCATGTATCTATCGTTGTTAAACAAAAGCATGAAGCAACTTTTTAAAAAAAAGTCGCTTCTTTTTCTTTCAAAAAAAACCCAGTTATAGTCATGGGCTTCTCTTTGACATCCCATCAAAAATCTCATTGTCGAACCTATACTGTAAACGTCGTTATCTATCCAAAAAGACAATGCAAACAACTCATGCTATTGTCCGGTGGGCAAGAGTTCAATTCTACCGTCGCAATATTGCTATTCTACACCGACCATTTTCTCTAAACTCCGGAAAGGTGCGATGTAAAGGGTGGAAAGGACCGATTCTGGCACGTGGCTTTTATTTATTCATTTTCTTGTCATTTATTTTTAATTTTTCTAAACTAATACGGGTGCGGTGTTATGTTATAGAATATGTAAAATGAAATATCAAACGGTATATTCTAATTGTCCTTGTAGAGTACAATCCAAATATAACTAAAATAAGTACCAAGTTCCAATAATATCCAAATCCAAATGTAATAAAATATTCAAGATCTTTTCAATTAAGGCACAAGTAGAATTTCCGTTTTTATCTAAAATAAAATATAAACTATATAATAAAAATGAACTGACTAAAGATAGAGATAAAATAATTATAATATATAGATGATATGCTTTATATACTAAAACGATAGAGATCCTAATGATCTGCAAGAAGAACGATTACCAATAAGGAAATACCCTTACTAAATTTGGAATATTCACTAGCTACTCGTGATCCCAACCGGTCATTTTTGATAAGTCCGACTCGGACCAGCAAAATCTTGCCTGGGACTGTTGTATCGATGAAGAGATCACTGCTGAATATTACATAATAAAACCGAAGTACGCTTCGTTATTGATAGTTATAATTAAATGGCAGGTTACTTCACGTACATGATCTATTGGTACTTCAGTCTAGAATTTACATTGTTGATTGAGGTGACTTATCCAGTTTCTATTAGCCTCTATAACTATTACCTTATAGAGTGAGAGGTCTTTATTTGCTATTCCGCAGACATTATTCTATTCCAGACTCCACCTATTAAAGGTCGTAGAGGAGGTACACTAGATTCGGTGATCACTTTATTGTAAATTTATAATCTTCAACACGATTATGGTAACCATTGAATGCCCATGTCGATTATATCCTCTTCTCTACTGGTTCCTATAATGGACGCTATTAGTATCATTCAGAACCAGTCTATATACCCAATCACTTGTTGTCCGATAGGGCAATCTTTATATTGCCCGATACTACTAAGTCCGACCAGTCAGGGTCGAGTTACACATTTCTGTTGCTCTCTTTCGGTGTTCCTGTCGCTGGTGTTTATTGGTCCTTTCTCCGGGTTACAAGATCAGTTAACATAGTCCATGGTGAATAGGCCTGTATACCCACTCCGTAAAAGATATAAATACCAGTTGATTCTGTTCATCTAGACGAACTTCATCTTAATTTTAAGAAAGAAATAAACTTGAACCTTCCAGAGTTTTCACAGACTTGTCACTGTTTATTTCCTATTTTATTTATATTTTGATCTTACCGATCCAACAGGGACAATTTTAACACTCCACTCCATGTATCAAAACTGATATGGATTATATCGTAAATGAGAATTTATAAAGCTCTGACCAACTTTATAGTACAAAATTATAGATGGAGAAAGGCCCTGTTCTATTTATTATACTTCATCTCATTAAATACCCCAGATTAAGCTATTACTACATACTTCTACTCTCCGATTACTCTTAGATACACCCTCTTCGGTCCAGCGCTGCTTATAAAATCATGTGACCGGCTTTTTCTTAAATTTACTATGACAATCTACGTTACGCATAACAAAACGTATCAGTCCTCAATGGTCCAGTGGCTAGGATCTGTCGCTTTCACCGACATGGCCGGGGTTCGATTCCCCGTTGGGGAAATTTTTATCGTTTTTTAGCATGTGGTGTGAGAAGCTTTTCGTTTTTTTTTATTTTTTGTTCCTGTTGCCCTTGTCGTGCACAAAGCGACGAAGACACGAAGTTTAATGATGGGAGAAAAAGACTGGGGTTTTATTCTTTATACAATTGTTGCTTATATATACTTATCCTAAGTTACATCTAATTTATCTAAGGATAACACGACACCCTCTCATGGTGTTGTCTCTGGTGTTCTCGCGTAAATTTGAAGCATTACATAGTTGGAAGCAGAGTATCTGCTTATAACGACGCCACCCTCACTTGTGTATATCGTGTTTCTGTTCAAAACTGTGTACAGCACTATCGAATGTAACATAAGCTGAGAGTTTATTCTGAACAGAATGTTATTCAAAAGGGCATGGTAAAATGTAGACTGTATTCATCATGTTTAACATTATTATTTTTCAAAACTTGAACCATAAAGTGGAAAAATAGGGCGTCTGCTCCTTTTTTACATACAGCTGAATCTTGTCCATTCCTTTGTTTCCATTATGAAAGCATCCGCCTGAGCTTAATTAATAAGTGTTTCATGTTGGGTTGCAATCTTGAGAGAAACCATATAAAGCTGCAGGAAATAGGCTCCTCTAAAAGCCATAAACAATAATAAGTGTATCAATGAATTCAACATCTATTGACTGAAAGAAAAACATAAAAGCAAGACGTGAGAACTGCTGATTCATCTCATCCAACATTGTTTATACTACATAGTTATTTTAAATGCAGTAAACTCAAACCAGCAGGCAACCGTTATCATTTTCAATTAAATAAAAAAGGTCAATGAACTTCATCCTTTTTTTTGGGCCTTCATTTTTTCGGCTAATAAGTTACGTGAGATGTTGATTGTTTTTCTAACTGTTTGCATTTGTGTCCATATGAATAGAGTTGTCCCATGTATAGAACATAGAAAAAAACATCATATAAGGCAAAGAACAAAAACCAAGCAATAGAAAAAAATGTTGCACCCTCATTAAAAGTATCTCAAGGAAAGCAGAAAACGAGTCTTTAGAAATACTCATGAGTTAGCAAAGAGCTAAAACCTCAAAAAGGATGCATCAACAAATTTATACCCATGCTCGTTATAGACATGAATCACATCGGACAAGAAACAACTTCATATACTAAAATAAACAGTCTCTTTGGAAGATGAATCCTCATAAGCAGTCGTAGAGAGGCTTTCTGTCGTAGTAGTGGATGGCGCAACGATCAAAATGAGAGCCAATAGAGCACTTGAAATCCATAGAACAACGTGTATTGAGTATATTTTCAAGCATCTATCCTGGGCGAAAACAGCGTATCAATGATGTGATATAAATAATACAACAACAGCGCTTTGCTTTCAACTTGCAGTGAACGAATGGATGAGGGCGCAAACAGTCATTATCAACTCCTTGGATGAAAGAATAAATATCAACACACAGTCTTTCTTCAGCGGAGTACATTCAACCAATGACGTTGGAAGCTGGGTCAACCCAAAAGGTCCAAATTTATTTGGAACTGACTAACTTTTGTATTTTTAAGGCAACAACCAACAACCAACAACCTTCGCAACTGTGAGAAGCGGCAAAGATGATGAACAGTATCAATAAAATCTCGCAAGAAATTCTTGCGAAACTTCCGCTCTTCAGGTTGAAAGGCAAATATCGATAACGCTTTCCCTCTACTGACCACAAGAGAGACATCGCGCAATGAAGAAGCTAATCTTATCAAAACTTGGTTGTCTTTTGTGACATTAGATCTCATCAAAGCTGTCAGAGCCTGTAAAACAGCTGCAGAAGAAAGAGCCGTAATACAGAAAGAAAGTGCCAATATTAGAACAGCATTTAAAAACGAGAATCCTGACACTCGCCACACGAATGTGGCTAAACTGTTGTACATTCATATGCTGGGCTATCCTGCTCATTTCGGACAGATGGAATGCTTAAAGCTGGTAGCCAGTCCCAAGTATGCTGATAAGCGTCTGGGTTATTTGGGTATTATGTTACTCATTGACGAAAAGACAGAGGTTTTGACACTTGTTACCAACAGCTTGAAAAAGTAGGCAATGACATAGATGCTCAATAAGTGTTACGTATTTGAGGCTTCCAGTTTTTCTAACGTGTTAGTATGATCGTTATTTTTTGCATAGTGATTTGAATCATAGCAATATGTATATTGTTGGCCTTGCACTTTGCACCATGGGTAATATCTCCTCGTCTGAAATGGCTCGTGATTTATGCTCTGAAGTAGAAAAATTAATGGGCAGTTCAAATACATATATCCGTAAAAAGGTATAAAAAAAAACAAAAAAACCACAAAACAATGCCACTTTGTTGGATGCTTCTTCATCTAACCCCACTTTGTATGTTACGTTCTTCAAGGCTGCATTATGCGCTTTGAGAATCATTTCAAGAGTTCCTGAAGTAGCAGAAAACTTTATATCCAAAGCAAAGTCATTGCTGAACGACCGTAGCCACGGAGTTCTCATCACCGGTATCACTTTGGTGACAGAAATGTGTCAACAAAACCCAGAATACATTTCGATCTTTAAAAAGGTACATTCCCCCACATCACCATTCAAACACGTGTTTATCGATCATGGATGACCCACGCCTATTTTTTTGTTTTTTTTTTTTTTTTTGGGAATATAGGCAGTCCCTCTTTTAGTCAGACATTTGAAGAACTTGGCAAGTGCAGGGTTTTCCCCTGAACATGATGTGACAGGTATCACGGATCCCTTCCTTCAAATCAAAATCTTGAGACTTTTACGTATATTAGCCAAGAATGATCCTGAGGCGTCAGAATCCATGAATGATATACTCGCCCAAGTCGCCACAAACACAGAGAGCAACAAAAATGTCGGCAACTCTATCCTGTATGAGACGGTTTTAACCATCATGGATATCCAAAGTGAAGCTGGCTTACGTGTATTGGCCGTAAATATCTTGGGTAAATTCTTAAGCAACAGAGACAATAACATTAGGTAGGGAGGAAAAGCGACAAAGCGATACATTGGGTTTTTCTTTTGTTTTGGAGGGGAAAAAAAAAAAAATAACATTTTTTTGCAATGGCATAGATATGTTGCGTTAGAAACCCTGAACAAAACAGTGAATATTGAAACGCAAGCGGTACAAAGACACCGTAATATCATTCTTGATTGTCTTCGTGATGGCGATATTTCCATTCGTCGACGTGCTCTCGAGTTGAGTTTTGCGTTGATTAATGAAGGCAACGTCCGCGTATTAACCCGCGAGCTATTGGCCTTCCTCGAAGTAGCCGACACAGAGTTTAAGCAAGGCATGACAACCAAGATCTCGCTTGCCGCTGAACGCTTTGCCCCCAATCGTAGATGGCATATCGACACCATGCTTCGTATGCTGAAATTAGCAGGCGGATACGTGCGTGAGGAAGTACTTGCAGGATTTATTCGTCTTGTTGCACAGACTTCCGAATGGCAACAGTATACAGTGCAAAAATTATATGCAGCCTTGAAGCAAGATATCTCTCAGGTAAATCTATAGATAAGAAATGGGAAAGCGACGCGTCCAGTCAACATGCTCACTTTATTCTCCACACACACATTGTTAGGAAGCATTGGTTCTAGCGGGTGTTTGGGTGATTGGCGAGTATGGCGATGTATTGATCGAGAGCGGTCATTTCGACGAGGAAGAAGGAGTCAGCATTGAAGTGTCTGATATTTTGGTGGTAAGGTTATTAGAATCCATTTTGATGGGCCCTTATGCCAATCAAGTGACACGTGAATACGTCATGACGGCTTTAATGAAACTTTCATCACGCTTGAGCGGCAACGAAGCGCAAGCCAAAGTGAAAGAATTACTCAACCGATATACTGTCAGTATGGAAGTAGAAATCCAGCAACGATCCGTCGAATATACCAATCTGTTCTCTTATGATTCCATTCGCCCAGCTGTGTTGGAGAGAATGCCTGTGCCTGAAAAGAGAACGATCATTGAATCTACGACATCAGCAGATACGGCAGGCGAAGCATCCGGCAACGGCGCTGCAGGTCCGTCTGATCAAGATTTGCTCCTTGATCTGATGGGTGTCGGTACCAGCGGAGGCGGAGGCGGATCAGAACAAGCGGAGGCCTCAACGAGCATGCCTGACAGTGGAATGCACACGACCGCTACAACCAACACTGCTGCTGCTGCTGCTGCCAAGACAAACAACGCCGATTTGTTGGCTGACTTATTTGGAGGGGGATCTACTCAGACAGCCTCCACAACGACGACCCGTCATCCTACAGCCTCTGCTGATACATCGAGTAGTCTATTGGATCTATTAGGCGGCGATGGTAGCAGCGCTGCAAACAATCAACCCACCACCTCTCCTTCTATGTCCAATCACAGTAATATTCTTAGTAGTCCATCAAGTCATAAGAATTTATCTGCAGCATCCTCCCCTGTCGTGTCTACTTTATACCAGAAACAATCCACCAACGCAGCAGCTGGTTACGAGGCGTTTTCTAAGGACGGCTTAACCATCCGACTTTTACCTTCTCGAGATCGATCCAACTCAAATATTATCAATATTCAAGCATTATTTTCGAATAACGGTTCACAAGGAGTCGTTCGTGATTTACAATTTCAAGCGGCTGTACCAAAGAGTCAACGTCTACAAATGAATGCACCAAGTAATACAGAAGTACAACCCAACACCACTGAAAAGCAGTTGATGAGAATAAATAACCCACAACAGGTAAAAAATGATGCAGAATAACTCTACTCATAGTGAGACTGCAGCATGGACTGATTTTCATCTCTATATAGACTACTGTCAAACTTCGTTTGCGTATCTCTTACGTGGTCAACGGAGAAAAGAAGGATGAAATTGCACAGTACGGACCGTTCCCCGAAGGAGCATTTTAGCCCAATGTGCTTACCTGAACCCGCTTGAAGAATGCATTCTTTCATACACAAACCGCCACTCATAATCAAAAAAGTATGCTTATACGTCCCCTCCCCTCCTCTCCTTTTGTACAACATAAAAATAAATAGATGCGTTAGGTCTAAAGTGGCAGAAATGCTCCTGGTTTTGTGTTTGTTCTTTCTTTAACGACGGGATGTCGGAATGTGTTGATACTCTAGACGTACGGGTTGACCGTACACATATTAGATCGTAAAGATGACAAAAGAAGGGTGTAACTCAGTAACATCTAGGTAATCAATCCAACCCTTCAGAATCCTGGTCCTTTGTCGGTTTTGCTTCACATTCCATTCAGGTTTTAAGCACACACGAGCCATCGTCCGTGGCCAAAGGTTGTGTGAGGGTGGTAAGACAACAGCAAGCGGAGTATCAATACAAAGAGAGCAAAGGCATGATAAAAGTACTTAAAAAGAAAGCCGTTGAAGTTCGAACTCACCCAATAAACCATAATATATTTCACACTTTCCGAAGGGTCTTTGGTAGCTGTCAAAAGTGTCAAAACATTCTACACAAAAAAAAAAAAAAAACCAACAACAAACGTTTGCTTGAAATACAAGCGAAACCGTTTCAATAGTATTCTCAAAGGGTCCAAAAACCTTCTGCCTTCCTTTTCCCAAAAAAAAAAAACCATCCAAAATAATACAGTAAAGCTGATCGTGAAAAAACTTTTTTTTTTTTTTTTTTTTTTTTTTTAAAAAAAAAGGGAATCGCGAAAATCTCGTGTCGAGTTTTGGTTTTTTTTTTTCCCTAACAGAAAAAAAAAAAAAATAAATAAAAAAAATGCTAAATAAGGAAATGTACAATTTTGAAACCAAGAAAACGAAGATGGGAATAATTTATTGTAAATGTAGAGGCTCCTTTATCATATTAGAATCTGGGGGAGGGGGGATCATGCTTGGCTTGCATACGATATAGATAACTCTGATGAGTCTGAGCGCTGACGATGATACTGCTTATACTCATCATTATTACTGTTGAACATTAAAATGGCTTTTGCAGCTGTTGTCGTAGGAGAAGAAGGAGGACTGATATGAAGTTCTTCATCTTTAGGTTGAGTATTGCCTTGCTCCTCACTCATATCCATTTCATCGTTGTTTGTGGAGATGCCTGCGACGGATGTGTCCATAGGAGTGGGTTCATCCTCTTCGTCAGCGCTACTGCCTGGTATAGGACTGGTGCTCCGTAGAGGCTGTGAAGAATACTGAGCCTTGGGTGATGTTAGTGGCGCAGTAGGATGTGTTTCATTGTTTTCGGTCATGGCGATGGCATAGGATAAAAAGTCAAGCGAGTTGCGGACGGGTGGTTGTGGAAGTTCAGGAGATAAAGGCGATGATTGGACGGAATGAAGAGTAGTACTGATGGGTGAAGAGATACTGAAGGATCTTTTTCCGTTAAAGGTATCTGTTACTCGCCTTGATCTTGAGCAGTGACCTATCGTACCTGTTGCTGCATCCAATGCTGCTTCTGCTGATGATGACTGTTGCTCTTGACTACATATTAAGTTCTTTTTTCTTTTCAAATGATACTGGTGTTGATGGAAATCATTGGATGTGATCGGGCTGGAGAGGGCCCGTGTGAGTCGTGCTTTTTTAGTTTTGGCATGTTTAGCGCCAGGTGAGGGTATATATACACGTTTATCAATAATATCTCGCTGCGTGAAGCGAGGTTTCGGTAACTCATCAATTAATCTTTGCTGTCGTTTCTTCCACAACTGCTGTACATCACCAAAAGTTGAGCTCTCCCAACCTTGATTCATCTTGAACCTTGCAAGGCCGAGTCGGGCTCGCAACGATTCCAAATGCTGTGTTATTCGGTAAAAAATTTAAAAAAAAAACCAATTTGTATAAATAAAGCATGTATGTCAAAAAAAAATGTACGACTATGACTTACTTTAGAAATATCCGAGTCGGATAAGGAAGAAGTAAAGTTTACTGCATTGTTTGTGAGAATAGCAGAAGAAGGGGTATGTTTGTTATTGATATTCTTCAACAATGTGGATGTGGCGTCATCAGGGCTGTTGTTATTACTATTGAATCGGCAGTTATAGTTACTGTTGTTCATAGCCGTTGTAGTAGTCACAGGCAATATTTCATATGGCATCTTAAAAGCGCTATGCAGAACAATGATGAGGAAATATAGAGGAAAAGAAAAAGAAGGAGTGATAGAACGGATTGCCCTGATCAGTTAATGCACGCTGTCTTGATTTTTGTATCGCGCCCCCCCTTTTTTTTTATTTAAAAAAAACCTAAATTGCACGCGTTTCAAGAGATCCATTTTCGGGGCTTCAAAGTAACTTGGACGCGTTTTTTTTTTTTTTTTTTTCTTTTTGCTTTCCCCCCAATTATCATTCCCGCAAAAAAAAAGTATATCTTTTTCCAAAAAATTAGAACAAAAAAAGCCATTCTCGAAAATGTAAAAAAGAAAAAATTCCAAATGTATTGAAAACCTTCCAAAAATGGAAGTCTCTCTATTGCAAAAGTGTCATTCGGTATTTCAAAAAAATAGACCCTTTTTTTTTGGCACTTACAAATGTTGACTTTCACAAACAGAAGCATGATCCTCTGCTTAATTCTTTTTCAAAACGTTTTCCGGATGATCATAAGCTTGAGCTACAAACTTATTGTGTCTGCCCAAAGCGACTACAGTAAAAAGAATAAAAAAAGTTGAATAAACGAAGGGTGATAGCGTCATATGCATATCCTGTGATATGAAAATCCGATGAAAACAACTTATTACCCAAGCGACCGTTACTGTGCAGTTCAACTGTTGTAAAGGCCAAAGTTTTGCCCAATTTGTCAACACGAGCATCTACAGTAATCTTTTCCCCTTGTTTAACTCCAGAGATATAGCTTATGTTTATATCTGTGCTGACACCGGTAGCATACAAGCCCTTGGAAGCAATGGCTAAAGAACCACCTATGTCAACCTACAACACTATGAACATACGCATTGCATACACACACTGTACACATCTTCAATTCGTATTTACAACAGTAGCTAATAACCCGCCATGTACAGATTCAAGCCTATTCTATTTCAGATGCAACCAGGTTTATTCAACGTTAGAAAGCTATTTAGCAAAACGCAAAACGTCTTGCGTTATCTTTACCAAGTGCTTCTTTTCAACTTCAAACTCGGCTTTAATTCGACCGTCCGTACTATCAATGACGCTAAGCTTTGATACTCGAGGTTCAGTAGCTTGTCCTATACCGTACGTGGCTGTTATTCACTTTACCTTTGGCAATACAACTGCGTCAAATCCTCCAGCTGCCATAAAACTCTTTTGATATACAAATATCGTTAGTTGCAAAATGGTGACAACGCTATGCTTCTCTCTCCATTCTCACCTTTAACACTTTTTGAACGGTTTCTGTAGATCTCAAAGGTAAAGTTGGAATCATACTTTTGAATCAATTTGAATTTACCCCAGAAGAAGGTAGAAAAAAAGAGACTCCCAGTACCGGGTTGAAAAGGGTTACCAATAACTTTAATTTCAGCGGTCTTTATGAATTGTCATTAACTTGGTTGTGTCAGTCTGTAATAAAGACTCACTTTTTTAAGGATAGTTTATACACATTAAATCACAGTCTCTACTACATTAAAACCGTTGTTCTTATTATGACTTTTGAAAGCAGAATGAGGAAAAAACAGTCTTTTTTTTTTTGTAAAAGAAAACTTCAATATCTGTTTTTTTAAAAAGAGTAGTCTACGAAGACTACTCATTAGGGTGCATTATGTTCTAGAATAGATTGCCTATTTTAACGTCGAAGTCATAAATCACATTATGTCAAGTGTGTCATGATGATAAGAACTGTACATGAACAACGTTTCGAACATTCAATGCCATGAAAAAAAAAGGGGGGGGGGTATTCGCTCTATTGTATTGCTCCTCACACATCCAGTTCATCCTCTGTATCTTTGCCTGCAGAAGCTTTCTTCTTTTTCAAACTAGTCGAGTCCTGTCCTTTCAGTTTGCGCTTTTTTTCTTTCCTTGCTGAGACGGACGAGGAATCCTCTTGACTAGAATCCTGCTCTTTTTCTTCTTTTTGTGCTAATGCCTACAAGCCCAGAACATTTACATTAAAAGAGCGCGTTAGGCATTCATTTGCTACGAAATCCCTTACTTTTTGGTACGTTGATGACGATAACGAAAACAATCTATCTAATTCTGTAAACTTTGGCTTCCTGCGATCCATACGGTTTGACAAATAGCCGTCGAAACCACGTATGATGTTGCCATTTTGTTGTGTATCTTCTAAATAGGACCCTTCAAACAAATAAATTGCATTTTCCAGATTCACCTAGACACACTTGGCGTTTAAAAGAAAGGAACATACCATCCCTCCCCCCCCCAAAAAAAAACTGATCAAGTGAACTTACCAAGTTTGTATCCACTTGCTTTTTCCTTGTCAACAAAGCTTGAAGCTCACGTTTCGCTTCTTCGTATTTTTGTCGAGTGACTTGCGGTGGTTCTGTTGGTACAGAACTTGTACTTGTTACAGCATTATCAGTTGCGTTATGGCTATCGTTTCGACCGCTAACGGCAGGCGTTGTCGATGCTGTTGTCGTTGAGGTTGATGTCTGTACTGTGGAGCCATTCAAATTCTAGTGGCATTTTTTTAGCTACGACCATCCTACTTGATTAGATTGATTCTTTCATTTCTTACATTCATTTCTTTTGAATCTGCCATCTTTTGCCTGATTTAAATTAGTAGATGCTTTGCTGAAAAATGCTAACTACGGGAAAAGGGAAGAGGAGGCGGAGGCCAAATTAAAAATTGATGAAGAGCAAAACCCATTTGACAATTAAAAAAAGCCCAAAGCTTTATTTCTTAATTTTCTGTTTCTCATAAAATTAAATAACTGTCATGACGGAAAGCGAAGAACAGACACCATCGTCATGTCCCGTCACCATCACTTCAAGTGAAAAGGATAGGATGGAAGCAGGTGAAAGTCGGAGAGTAACTGAGGATGAAAGTATATCATCTGAAATGTCACAAAGGACTGATAATTCACTTGTAAAGGACACAACAGAGACATCAACTCTTGCCAACCCTCCAAGCCAGACAGAGGAATCCAACAGGATCCACAAAGCAGCAAACGATGAAACGACTACGGCTTTTGCATCCGGTGCTGTTAAGGATCGTTCTTCAATAAGCTTAGAAAACGCTAGCAAGGAGCTTGGACTTGAAAATCCAATCATCAATTTTTATAAAAATAAGAATATATTAATTACAGGAGTTACTGGATTTATTGGTAAAGCCATTCTATGGAAACTGCTTGACACACTCCGTGACGATATCGGCACTATTTTCCTTCTGATTCGGAGTGGGAATGTGAAGCGAAGTAAATTAGGACGGCCAGCCGACAGATTAAAAAGTGAAGTGATCAACAATAAGGTAAAAAACGCAATTCATTATATTATATTTTTACAGTAGCATATTCAACCACAGTTTTCAAAGGCTTTCCAAATATTAAGGCAAACCCTAGGGAAGGAAACGTTCGATATCATTGTCAAAAATAAATTAGTCCCTGTTTCAGGCGACCTGATTTCCCCTGATTTATCCATACCCAACGCAGATAAAGGGAATATCATTGAAAATGTCCAGATTGTCATACACTGTGCAGCCACACTACACTTTACGGAACGTTTGGATTTGAGCTTGGAGGTAAAGTAAGCAATTAAGGACAGTCTAGACTTCTAGTATTCCCACCATTCTGCAATAGACAAACACGTTAGGTACCTTACGGATGATGGATTTGGCGGATGAATGTAAAAGAATGGGTAAATAGCTCGCGCGTTTTCTTGCTTTGTATTGCCGTGGACTTTTGAGCTAATGGGGAATTGATTTTTAATTGATTTTTCCTTTTTAGAAAGCTTTATCCATTTGTCACCGGCTTATTTGGATTCGCACCTCCCTGATGGGCATATTCAAGAGAGAGTGTATCCTATGCCCTTGGGCGATCCCGAAGAATTGCTGTCGCAGATTATTGATTTAGAACTGCAAGATATACCGAAAATGACGGAGCGCATATTAGCTCACTACCCAAACACTTATACTTTCACCAAATCACTGACAGAGCACTTGATATTGAAGAGAGTGGACCTTAACAGAATAGAAGAGGTTCAAGGCGGTAAAGTACAGTGGCCTATCGCCATTGTCCGCGCTACTCAAGTAGGCGCTGGAGCATTTGAACCTTTACCAGGCTGGTTAGATGGCATCACCGGCGCGAATGGTACCGTTTTTTTAATGAGTAGAGGCATCCCAGCGCTACGTCCGGGCATGCATCATTCCCTCGCGGATATAGTACCGATAGATTACGCCGTTCGCATTATCCTCAGTGTAGGCGCCTTCATGCCGTCTCCAGGCTGCCACTTCATCTTGCCCTATAACGAACGCGTGAAGGAAGACGAACCACCCAAAGTAGCTTCCAACGTTACTTATTTTCCTTATTTCTATCAAATATCAGCTTGTGGCATCGATGAGACAACTTGGTATCATATATACGATTCAGTACGTTTCTACTGGCTTCGGAACGCGTCCTTATCAGCTTCATTCGGCGACAGCAGTGCTGCTGTCGCTGCTGCTGCTACGGCTGCTATTTCTCTTCCTCCAACGGAAAGCTATTTCGCTGCGAATCGAACAGTGATCAAACCAAAAATTTTCAGCAAGTATAGTGGCTTAACGCGCTCATTGAGTACAATGACCACCACCCTCAGTGGGAACCTTCACAACAAGTCTTCCGCTGCGAATGCCATTAGCCGTACATTAGAGGCCGCTTCACGAACGGTTGACGCTATGCAGCCATTCCTAGCACGTCATTGGGTCTTTGACCACGCCAATATCCGGACTCTTGAGCAAAAAACGAACAGTGACACACACTTCAACCTAAGAAGCTTCCGACATATGGATTGGCACACTTACATGGTGAATTTTGCTTATGGTATTCATTCTTATGTTATGCCCAATCCGCCTTTGAGCCTGAGAAATATAACAGTGCCAGAGGGATGGGCGTGTGCTCTTTATTTGCATCCAGGAGCCGCACAGCACTCGATCATAGATCAACAAATTGAATCTGTTGTCTTTAGTGCAAGTGATATTCGTAAGAGAACGGAAAGGATGGTGATCGGATTAATAGCGTCCCTAGAAAATGCTGGGTACAGTGCTTTGAAAAATAAGAAAAGAATGGAGCAATGGATCGATGATTTTGATGCCAGTTTGGATGACTGGTGTCACGATGATGCCAACCTATTGAAGAACATGGATGATATGAATCATCTAGGGCATTGGTTGAACACATCCTCATCGTTATCAACGGATACTTCCTATGAAGAACATATCCGTATCGAGGTGCTGAATGACATAAGAGTTGGGCAAAGCGTTAAACAAGTAGGGCATCCACCGCTCCATTTTTCCTTTTTTTTTTTTTTTTTTTTTTTTTTTTCTTCGAGCAAGGAGGCATCTGTTTTCTCTAATAAGAATTGCTTGCTTCTTTATAGATTGTTGAAAGTTCAGGAGTCCCACAGCATGTGGTCGTTGGGGAGGCACTTAAAATTTTTCAGCGCATGAAGGAGCGAACACGATTGCCTTATGTTTGGTCAGCAGGCGCTTTTTTAAATGTTCTGTTTAAGCGACTTTTTACTACCTTACGTATCAGTCGAGTAGATATTGCGCGCTTGAAGGAACATATCCGAGGGAAAAATGTAGTTTATGTTCCTGCATCGAAAACCATCATCGATCAGTTGATCATTTGGTATATATGCTTACGCTATAAGCTGCCAGTACCGGCTATTGTATGCGATGAAGGTTAGATTTATTCTTGTTCTCTATGTGAATCAACAGCTGCTGAAATGAGGGAATCATGATCGCCTCATGTCGTTTATCTACTTTATTATAGCATTGGCATTGCTGGGTCCGATTTCTGATATACTACGTATCGCTGGAACGCTCTTTGTGCGTCGCGATGTGCAAGCACGCTCTCCGCTTAATACTGCTGTAGCAGCTGCTTATATCAACGTTCTATTAAAGAAACACAGCGCCTTATCCATTACTATCGAAAGAGCGCGTTCTCGAACAGGTAGAATTCAACCTGCGTACCATGACGGAGTGTTGAATATGATTATAGAAGCTACTCATAGCTGCTGTCAACAGTATCTGCCCAAGGACGATGCAGCCCGCAACATAACAAACACTTACTCAGAGAGTCATGTTGATAAAGATACAGTATTAGTACCTGTCAATATTATTCATGAAAAAATTCCAGAATTGAAGACAATAGTAGATCAAATCCTTGATCAGAAACCACCTAATATAACCCCAGAAGCAGTCAATCACCCATCTGTTGATAATGCTTCTCCATTCAAAAACGCTTCCACGGAAAGTGGCCAGTATGGTCGCGTCTTTGTCGGATTTGGCGACGTCATCGACATTAGACAATCATTAGAAAGAAGAACAATACGTGAAGAAAATGATAACAAAAGACTTAGGTAGGAACACAAAACTTCTTCAACGCCATATCTCCGCCGCTATCGTGTGAAACACTCTACTGATCATCGCGGTTTTCATTTAGTACAATTCCTGTGAAGAATGAAAATGCTCTCGCTGATATACTAGTACATAAAATACAACGCAGCCAGCATAACGCCATGATCATCAGTCCCGTAACGCTTGTTGCGGCTACCCTGCTTTTTGGGCGCCTTTCAAATGGTATTACCTTTGGAAAGCTCTATCATCTTGTTTCCTGGCTTCATCAAGAACTACTCGAAAAGCAAGTGCCAGTGGATTGGCAACACGATGAAGACGTAGTCACAGTTGTTTCTTATGCTTTCAAGCTATTAGACGCTCAAGAACATGTTATTATTGATGATAAGCGTATCACTGATTATACTGTGATTCGATTGGTTGAGCATGCGGATAATATTATGAAATTATCATACATGTCAGGCCCATTGATTCAATTATTTCTTCCAGAAGCAATCTTTTCAGTGGTCTATCTTTCTGATCGTGGTAGGATAACAAAAGCTGACCTATTAGCTCAGTTCACTTTCTTGGTTCGACTCCTCAGACATGAATTTATTTATCCTTGGAGCAGAAAAGAGGTAAAGAAAAAAAAAAAAAAACCAGAAAACACTCTTTTGTTCACCTTCCCAACCGCCCTATTTCTCTATGGAAGACATTTGACTTCTTGTTGGAATCGTTCGTTGAAAGGCGTTTATTTGAAGTAGACGACGATGGACAGTATCAGAGATCGATTACCATGGAAAATAATGAAACGGAATATACCCAGATCTGGTTACTGGCGTCACTTATTTATCCCACGTTGGATGCTTACTGGATCACCTCTTGCTCTTTATCGGCTTTACGTGACTTACCATTTATGCCTCGCAAAACAGTACCTGTTCTCTCCCAGTGGATTGCAGCGCATTTGATCGCAGGACGGAGAACCATTTACCGCGAAGTGTTGTCCATAGAAGCGAGCCAGAATGCCATCGACAATTTTTTAGCCCTTGGATTCATAGATGCAGTTCATCCTAAAACAAAGCTTTCACCAGATGCGCAAATCCTCTTACTCGAATTGGGTATCACCACAAATGATGACTTGGTGATGGTATCGAGCAGAGATAAGGACAAAGACGAGAGCAATCACTCTAGTTTTACAGAGCAAGTATGTATCTGCTTTGACGCTACCGCTTTGTTATTATGATGATTTAACCGATGTACTACTGTCTTTTTGATAGCTGAAAGATGATTTAGATCTGCAAAATATCCTGACGGAACTGAACGATATTGCTTCTTTATGCCACAAAACCGAACAGTATAGATATACGGCTGATCATAGTGGGTTGCCGCACCATAACAATGCTCAAGTGTTCGAGAAATGCCAAAATCAAATTCGCTCTATTTTGAGAGCTGACGAAACCTATGCTTCTCAACGTGGAATGAAATTAAATAATGAAGAGGAACAAATGATTCAACTGGTTTACTCTCTCAAAACAGCATCTGAGATGCTTTCTAAAAGCAGACTGGATAAACGTTTCCGGAGAGTGTCTCAGGCCTATAATTTACAGAATTGATAAGCTTGGATTTCGGGATCTTTAGCATAACCTTAGCTTGACAATATACTCAAATTGACTACCTAACAATGAATTTGTATACTGTTAAAGAAAATAATGGCCATTGATCAATTGTAGACTCAGAAAACTTGCTACCCTAAGCTCAAATAAGACTTGCATTTTTTTGATTTTGTTAAATGACTAATAGCATAGTCTGGCATTCTATCAATCACATGTCGTTGAAGCAAATACGTACCTGAGGTGCATCACAAAGAGACATAACTATAAGTGCCCTCTAATTGGCTGGAATCCTGAATGTTACAAGGCATATCTTTAATTATCGTCTCATTGGTCAGACTTCTGAATGCAAATGACCACCAAGGTTTATAAACATCATAACAGACACTAACAATTTATGATATCAATACATCCCAACAAGGCAACGATTTTATAACAATAAAAATAAAAGCCTTCTTAATATCATTATTACAGGAGTAGAAGGGCAAGGAAAAGAGGTTTTTTTTTTATAGTTCTTTTCTACTCTCGTTAAAAGCATTCATAAGAAAAGTACTCTATTCTTTCATCCTTCTTGCTCTTTATGACTGTCTTCAATTCCGCTTTGACCATTCAAAAATCAGAGAAAGTGCTGTCTATTGCCTGCACTGTTGCTGCCATTTATCTAACTCTCGGCTGTGTTGAAAAACTTTTCGAAGGCAATACTAAGTTATCCGATGAGTTTGAGCTTATACCTTCGCCGCCAGGTGCTCATCGAAGTTCTGGTAAGTTTCGCATATTGTTTAGTCTGTCATCAGTTTCTCTACGTCATCTAAGCATTGAATAGGGCATGCTCATCAACTTGGTAGAAACCATGCTCACACTATTACAAACTGGCAGCAAGAGTTTGGCAGCATTATCCGTTTGAAGTTGAATTCAAAAGATTATATTTTTCTCAGTGATACAGCTGCGGTAAAAGATCTCTTTGAACAACAAAAGTTTTCGCAAACAAAAGAGAGGTACGCTAAAATTCTGATGAGAATGCTATTTAATCCACTCAAACGCTTCATTGATAGGGACACCGTTGTCTCCGCTAGTGACGATAAATGGGAAAAAATACGGAAACTTTATAATGCTGACCCTCTCTTCGGAATCGATGACATTTTAAAAAACGAAGCAGACCAATGTATCAACAAACTCATTGAAGGGACGGAGAGAATGAAAAACGTGGTTCCATTATGTTTTACGCGTTTGTATGCAATCAATGTCATTCTTACTTCCAAGCTTGGCATTCCTGGTGTAACAACTATAAAGGATCCTTTGTATAAAGAAATTGTCAAGACTGTTGTAACAAACTTACAACCTTTTTGGGAGACTCAAAAGACCCATAGTGATTCACATACTTTTTGTTCGTTTTTGAAAACAGCATTTGAGAAAAAGCAAGACTCAAAGCAGCTGTACGAAAGTAATGCTACAACGCTTAGTGGTCGCTTAATCAGTGCTGCTCGTAGAAGTCAACAGGACAATTTCATTCGAAGGCTAGATACTTATAAACTAAAAGTCAGTATCGCAGAAAGTGACATACAGATGTTTCTGAGTAAGTAGGATCACTCTCACAGAATAAGAAGGAAATGAAAGCAGGTTGAGTGGATGGTTATGCCAGCATGTATCCTTCAGAAGATAACACGTTATACATCAGATAGAATCATGACACATGGTGTTGAAAATATTGCAGTTGCTATCTCCTGGACTTACGCTATCTTATGCTGTCATCCAGAAGTGCAGACAAGGGTTGCTCTGGAAATCGATTGCTTTTGCATAAAGCACAATCGTCTTCCAAACTTTGAGGACCAAAGGGAATTACCGTACTATGTCGCTTTTCAGAAAGAATGTATGCGGTTTCGTCCACCAGAATATTTTACTGAACCGCGTCAAGCCTCCACAAATTGTAAGTGTTGATAAGATGAGCTCTTTAAATAACCATATTCTGTATATTTCTAAATCACTCTATCTATTTTAGTCATCTACAAGAACTATATTATCTCAAAAGGCACGACCATCGTTGTCAATATTCATGCAATGCATAACAATGAAAGAATCTTTCCAGAGCCTGAAAGATTTATGCCTGAAAGATTTTTCTCAAATAGAAATAAGAAGGCCGCTGTAGATCAACATGTTTTTGGTTGGGGAAGGCTGAAATGTCCCAGTATTGAAATGGTGGGTAGTAAGAAACATAGAAGTTTATAAAAACACTAACATTAATTAATTCATATAGGCAGAAAAGATGGTTTTCTATGCTGTAACAAGACTTATAGCAAAATGTATCATTGAACCTCAAGGATTGAAAGGTACTACAGAGTATCCTTCATTGGAGGTGAACCAACGTGGATCCTCTGCTGCACCTGCAGCATTTCAGATTCGTATTGTGAATCGTGAAAGCGTCTTGGATTGCTAATTAATCATTGTTCTTTCAAATAAAACAGTGTTTCATGAATAAGTTGTAACCTTTGTTTGCCGTTTGTCAAGTTTAATGGATATACGGGGCAATGAAGGATTCTCAAAAGCCAAAGTCAAAAAAGCTTTTATCAGTAGACTTAACAAAAAAAGATATGTTTATAATGCCGTTTAACTTACTAAGTGCGATCGGATACTATCTTCATACCATCTCCAAATTTAGGTAGGCTGATCATTGGTATTTTGCGGTATTTCATAATGGATAATTTTTAGTTCAACTTGATTAATAGCGTATCCGATCTAGTAAGGCTCTAATGTGGCATGCCAGTCATATCTCAGATCTGTTAATTCGTGTTAAACGAGAATCATATCACAATGTGCTAGACCTAGTTTTGATTGTTTTCTCATCAAAAAAAACAAACAAAAAAACCCTGCTCTTTTGCGGAGCGAAATGAAATTTGTGGAGAAATGAAAAGCCAAGGAGCTTTCCAAATACTATATGGACACAAGTAGCTAACTGCTAAGATAAAGATAGAGGCAATGCCAGCCAACAGACGTTTAGATGACGCAGCCAAGCAATACGAATGGCCATGGTACAACGATAATGTCAATACCAACTGCTAGATTTGATCTCCGTTAGCAGGGTAACTCTCGCAGCATCAGGCTCTAGCCCATGGTGTATTTTTCCATAATTGCAATCAAATGCATCTCTTGAAGAATTTCTTTGATTACATCGTAATAGGCGGTGGTTCTGGCGGTCTTGCTTCTGCACGTCGGGCCAGTAACATATATGGTGCTAAAGTAGCTCTTATTGAAGCCCAACAAAGATTAGGAGGAACATGTGTCAATGTTGGTTGCGTTCCCAAAAAAGTGATGTGGAACGCTGCTTCCGTAGCTGAAGCTTTGCGGGATGCTAAAGCATATGGTTTTGAGAGTAATATAAACGGCAAATTTAATTGGAGTTATTTCAAAGAAAAGCGAGATGGTTATGTTCGTCGTCTGAACGGTATATACGAGAAAAATTTAAGCAATGATGGAGTAGAGCACATTCAGGGCATGGCCTCTTTCAAAGATAAGAATACAGTCCAAATCTTGGGACCAAATGGAAAATATACCAATATACAGGCGAAGCATATATTGATAGCCACAGGTATTGAATAAACTGTATGGGTATGATATAGCATAAGTGCTAAAATATATTCAACAACCCTACTTTTCGAAAGGAGGACATCCTACAATACCTAATATACCAGGAGCTGACTTTGGCATCAACTCAGATGGCTTTTTCGACCTAGAACAGCAACCTCAAAATGCTGCTGTTATTGGCACTGGTTATATCGGCATTGAGTTGGCTGGTATTCTGAACGCTCTGGGCACTAGAACAACTATATTTTCGCGTACAGAGCATATTCTTCGAAACTTTGATAATATTATTCGTGAAAACTTATTGAAAGAAATGCAGTCCGCAGGTGTCCACTTCGTCTATAATGCCAGCGTCAAATCACTGATAAGAAAACACGACCAGTCTCTTACTACTGTTCAATATGAAGCAGATGGGTTAACTGGAGCGCAGCAGTTTGATACGGTTATTTGGGCTGTTGGCCGCTCACCAAATATGAAAGGGCTTCAATTGGAAAATGCAGCGATTAAGACAAGTGAGAAAGGATATATCCAAGTTGATGAATATCAAAATACTTCAACGGAGAATATATATGCACTGGGCGACGTTTGTGGAAAAGCAGAATTAACGCCTGGTACGTTTAATTCACCATTAACAATTCTACAATTGCTAATATGATCTCTTAGTCGCTATTGCTGCCGGTCGTAAATTGGCTGATCGTCTATTCGGCGGCAAGGAATACCGAAATGCAAAACTTGATTATAAGGATATACCTACAGTTGTCTTTTCGCACCCTACGGCCGGTACCATTGGATATACTGAAGACCAAGCTCGCGCTAAGTTTGGAAATGATAATATTAAGGTTTACAATAGCAAATTCGTCAACATGTATTTTGCTATGTTGGATCACAAGGAACCCACTGCGTATAAGCTTGTATGCTTGGGTCCAGAAGAGAAGATTGTTGGTGTTCATCTTTTCGGTCGTGGCAGCGATGAGATTCTACAAGGTTTTGGAGTTGCTGTACGTATGGGCGCCACAAAGGCTGATTTTGACGCCTGTGTTGCTATCCATCCTACCGCTGCTGAAGAGCTTGTAAGTGTATAATTTGAAACAGTCCATTCTACAGTTATTGATTTGATTTTCTAGGTGACCATGCGGTAATACTTGGTGATCAAAATGAGTGTTTTATGTGTGATTTTCCAACTTTAAAAAAAATGCCAAAATGACTGACGCTGGGAACAGTGGCCTTTTGCTTAGTTGTCCCTAACTTATTAACAGCAATAAATAAGAGAATTATTCCGAACACTATGTAGAGATTGAAAGAGATTACACTTTATATTGCTATTTTTGATCTTCCAAACGGCCATTACGCAAGTAATACGCTAGCTTTCAATGAGGATATAGTGTAAGATCACTAGATTTGATGACTTAACTGAGCTCTAAATGTGAAGGCCTAACATATATTGTGCCAACCTATTCATCTGGATAATTCATAACGTATAAACAATAATAGTAGCAATCATTTGACTCTCTTCTTGAACAATTGTACAAGCTGTATATTGTGCGGCGAGACTCAAAGAGAGGGCCTTAATTAAAGAAATCATATACCTCTTTGTGTAGATTTAATAGATCTGCTTCGTTTCACTGTTCAAACACTAACGGTATTTAGAAAGAGGATCCTCAATCTACTTGCTGCTATCCACCTAAATGAAAAAGAATTAGTGATCACATACCATGAAAAACAACCAAGTTCTTGTCTTAATGATTGGTAAAGGAAGATGAATGAGGGTTAGTAGAAAACAGTCCGTTCGAAGCGTTGATAATTATATTTCGTTACTCCCACCAAGTGAAATACAGACAACGATTGCAATAGCGGGAAAAGGTAGCCGATTGCATTAATAAAATAATAGTACCAATATATACATGAACTTGGTATCTATTGAAAGCATATTAGTCAGTAATGATCGACGGATTTGAGTTAGGTGTAACAGTGGCAAAGTATGTGGCAGCTGTACACTGAGCTCCAACAATGATTAAACATAAAATTGTTTGTGCCACAAAGAAGAAAGTGACCTAAAAAACGCGTAAAAAACGCTTAATTAAGCGCACTCTATGCCACCAATAAAACATGAAGAGCCAAATTACGAAATAGATTTACATACGTTATAGGATGAACTAAATCATTTATCTTACGTCAAGATAAAGAATTATACAATTATTTATAAGTACGCAATGAAATTTTAATGACTCGACTGGACTCTTTAGCTCTACTATTTTCGGTCCTGCTCTACTTCCCATCCTTTAATTTGTTGTAAAAAAGACAGAAGAATTTAACCTCTTCTTAAACGTAATACTATGGCTGTAAAATTGTATATGTGACAGTCATCAATGAGGATGCGAGTAAGCTTTGCATAAGAAAAAGGTTCTTATTGTCCTGAATTACGTTAAAAGAAACACATTTTGACACCGGGTATTGTGTGCATGATATTTTAATGTACTGCTTGCGATCAATGATTATCAATAATAATCATTTAAGTCAAAAAGTATACAATTAGTATTCATTGATGTTCGTAATTGCGATAGCTACATAAGCATCCATCAGTTGAACTTACATATTAGTAACTATTTAGACTTTAAAGAAGCTCCACAAGTGGGGCAGTGGTGTCCTTCAGGCGATAATGCTATTTTACGAATTTGATAGCACTCTTCAGTCCAGATATGGCCACAGAGAAGTCGAACGCTCATTTTTGCTTGGCATGGTGTACAAGGGTCACAGCAACGGCGAGTACATACGTGATTGCATTCTAGTACTTTGTCACATCTTACTGTACAGCGATATTCACTATGATCATACGGATGGCACTTCAAATTACACTGAAACGGCCTGTTAAGTAAAGCTTACATTCAAATAAGAAGACTAGATTATACTACCTTATGACCACATGGCAAGATTTCATCACACATTTCGGAGCAGCCCCCTTCCGGAACTTCCGAGAAATCAACTGGCCATTGTAATTCAGTTTTCCGTTGATGCTTTTGGCATTTTAATACAAGCTTTGTACCAATCATATGTTCTGGTTGATCCTCCAAATTCGCGACGATTTCATTCCAAAGGTCGCTTCTCTCACAGAGCAACCGTGCATTTCCCAGAATATATAAACCCTAAAAGTATATCGCGTTAGAACCTTCTACTACTATTAGCATCATAATTAACCTTACATGCTGCGCTCTAGATAAAGCTACACAAACACGATTTGCAGTTCTCAAAAACCCAATCTGTCCGTTCGAATTGCTGCGAACAAGTGACAAGATGATGATCTTATTCTCTTCACCTTGGTACCCATCGACACTGCTAACGTGTATCAAGTCTAGATCAATATCAGGGCGTCGTTCGTCACGCAGAGATCTTTTAATGAGCGATTTTTGTCCAGAGTACATAGTAATAATTGTTATGTCTTCTGCTTGGTAACCTTGAAGCATCAGGTAAACACATAGTTTAGCCGTAAATTTAGCTTCATGCTCGTTAACCTTAGAAGCTGATTCACTGATGGTTGTTTCTTCTTCATTATGTGCCAAAAAGAATAAAGATTGATCCATTCCACGAATGGGAGGATACGACAGTACTTGAGGATGATCTTTGAGCGGTGGATCTTTATATATAGGGTTGATTAACGTACGTATTTCAGGGCGCATACGCCGCTGATGAGAAAGACGGGTGAAAGGGAATTTGTTTATAACTAAGCGCTCAAATAAGGAAACACTTAAGTGATGATTTTCTGCCAATTCGTGCACTGCTGTCGACGGTCTCAACTGCTGATGATCACTATCGAATGGAAACAAGGTCAACAATACAGATTCTTATAGCAAATAGACAAGCAATATATTACCCAATAAGAATTAAATGCTCCAAGGAATTAGTCAACGCAGAGATAATATGAGATTCAAGCATTTCTGCGGCTTCTTCTACGACCATTACTTTAGGGCGGATCTCGGCTAGTAAATCGTGATACTTCGCCTATCAGAAAGTTAGTATTTTCAGAAAAATCAGATAATAAAAACTCTACCGTGAAATTGTAAATGTACTTACTGCCGCAGTACTGGTCATACCAACAACACGATGTTGTCGACATATTTTTGCTTCATGCGCTGCCATAACTTTACGGATTTCCTGCGACAATCCCAAATATCGCTGCATTAAATTGTTCAGTTTCAACTCTAAAGCCATATTTCTTTGATCGATCCAGACTTTATGGGCCTTCAAACGAGCAGGTAATGGCCATAAAGACACATCATCTTCTTTCATCCACCGTTCAAGAGAAATGTTGGTGATGCTCTCGTCTAATTCACTTTCGTTCACAGTATTACCGAATATATTAAAGTTGCCAGATTCAAGCATAGACATTGGCTTGACTTTCTGATAATTGATAATTTTTCTTTCGGGTCGTTCGCCTATAGCCACTTCAGTTTGCCTTATATATGCTTTGCCAATCTGTATAAAGTCATCCTTATATTCATTCGAGTCCGTATCGTCTCCTTGATAACCTCGCACCACATCTTGTAACTCTTCTTCTTCGATTATTTCTTTTTCATCTATAATATCATCGTAGATCAAACCTTTATCCTGCTCTAAAATGGTCTGTTTCAGCCGTTCCGCAATTGTAGACATATTTCTTTGATTGTCAACGTATTCGATTGCGTCTCGCAACCAGTATTCTATTGGATTGGTTTGCTTCTGCTTGTTTTCTGATATATGGTTGGGATTTCCACCTAACCAATCATTATTGATTGTATTTTTTTTGTTTCTTTTATTTTTGAACGATTTTGTGGGTTTGACTTTAGAAGGTGTCGGTTCAACAGAACTGATAACCCAATCGTCATCCGAATCATTACCGACAGTGTCAAAAGATTCATGTTCCCTTATCTCAGACGTCCCTTTTTCCCTCTCACCAACTCGTTTCAACGCCTCAATCTGACGAGGCCTCAACGCATTGATAGAGGCTACAAAGTCAATATCCACGCAAGGCTCTTCGTATAGTTCGACCAGCGTTTCCCGTATTTGTTTGGTGATTTCATCCCTGCTTCGATATAAACGACCGATACCACGAGGTCTTTCGTGTGTTTTCTTTAGTTCATACATGGTATGCTCTTTGAGCAGCTCTGATTTGGATCTTCCGCCAACTCTTACAATCTCGTCGCAGTGACTCAATATGTGCTCTAAAAATTGGTCCAGAGCTGTATTCATGGTGTTGTAAGTTAGCCTGGCATTTGCTTGGGATTTACGCTTTTAATGTTACGTACCATGATTTGTTTGGCATATACAAATAATTGGTCCAATTGAGCCATCAAAATTATTTAGAAGAACTCTCATGGCGTATGTACCCACGAAAGTCTTACCCGTTCCCGGAGGACCTGAAGCAATATATCTTAGCGATCAGTAATGAATGGCAATCTTTCATGATATACTTGTATTGTATACCTTGAACAATAGAGAGATTATGAGACAGAATAGTTTTAAGAGCATCCATTTGCGTCCTGTCCATGCCAATATTGTAAAACGGCCATTCTTGTGTGATATCGACAGGCCAACGTTCATACTGACTTCTTTTGTTCACATTTATATCATATATCCGTCTTCTGGCTGCATAGTGAGGAACCATAACATCGTTTGATAAATTGACAAGGTATTGTGAAAAAGGTAAATCCCCTGGTTTGATTTTTTTGAAAACATTCAGCACATGTCGATAGGCTTCAAAGTAACCATCAGTTGCTTCGATCATGACATAGGAGGTTTCTTCAAGAGATAAAGGATCTCCAAACCCAAGCGGTTGTTGCTCATTGTCTCTTTCCAGATATATATCAATCATGTACTCAAACCTACTAGGGCCTCTCATAGGTTCATCCTCTCTGTTAACTACTGTCGCAATTTTTAAATCCTGATCAAAATTATCCTTTGACAATAAAACCAAAGAACCAGGTAATAATCTTTTTGACTGTGTCCAATTCACTCTGACATAATATGGTAAACGGAAACTAATTCTGTACAGTGGCTGCCTACTACCAAATACAATGGCGTTTAAATGTACCTGAAGAAACCAGGTATAAGAGGCAAAATTGATACAATGATATACTTGTGCTCCGAACTTACATGCTCATAAAGACGATACGGCCTTTGAGCCGACAATCCTTCCATTGACAATGAAATGTCTTCTTTATCTTTCACAAGGTCGTAATCAGCCTTATACGCTTTTATAGCTTTTTGCAAAGGTATTAAGAAATCTTGTCTCATTAGTTCAAAGTGAGTGTAAAGGTATTGTTCAATGGAATCGTAAGAAGATTTCACTTTGTTGATGGGTATGTTCGGTAACGGGTCACGAAAGCTACGACCTTCATTTTCGTCTTCTTCTACTATAATATCATCAAAATCAGGTATTACTTCCTGTTGACGAAATGCAGTATAGTCAATCACTTCGCTGAATTGAGGGTCATCATCAACTTCAGAGTTTAAGCGAAATGTAGCTGTTGCACTCTTTGAACTGAATTTGTCAGTTGGCACAGCCTCAGTTTCCTCGAACGACCAAACACTTGCAGCATTAGGAGCTTCACCCCAGCCTTGCTGAGAGGTAGATCTCGAAGTTGTGGATGTGCGTGAAGACATGTAGTCAAATTTAGAGTGAGGTCTGGTCTTTCTTGCCACATCAAACTCATTTGTTAAGGAATTGAGTGTTGCATTGACGACAGCAGGTTTATTTGAGCTGTGAAGTAATTCAATAAATCAGTACGAGCCTACTGATACAACAGTTTTGTTTACAGTACAAAGCAGAGTCCCAATCTATATTCTCCCAGAGTTGACGCGACTTTTCTTTTCTCGAATTCATTGATTTTTTTAACGGCACGAAAGGGAAACAAAAAATCAATTTATGACAGTAAAGCATATCAATGGCCTTTAAGGCACATAGCGGAGCTTATTTATTTTTGAAGTCAGAGTATTTTTCTAAGATTTGTCTAGAGTGTGTAATTATTCATTGCAGAAATGGTAGTACCCAGCTTAGGAGTGTTGCCTTCACTGGCCAAGCTCGTCCAAAACTCGTCATCGATAACAAGGTTTTGATCTATGTCTGTAGGAAAGAATGCTGATATTAAGTTGTGTACTTCGTTCCATCCATCGTTACTAACAGATTGCGGATGACTTTCTGTCAACTGTTCGAAATAACTATCCGTGAAATACAGATGATCTGGTATTCCATCCAATTGTATTCCATCCACAATATTTGGACCGCACATTATCAAGTCAACATTATAGTCAATACTGGTGCTATCCGTAGGCGAATCCTGCAGGCTTGATATTGCTTTTCCAGTGTTTGTTTCCTTTTTGATATTGTATTCAAAATTGGGATATTTCAGCTTGTGTAGTCTTCTACACTCTATTGCTTGCTTAATATAGCTATCCTTGATGTCCTTATTAATGGATTTCCACATAGCACCCAAAAATTTGGATGCCTCACAATTGGTATACTTTGGAAATAAGGCTTTAAGCTTCCTTCTAAGGGCGTTGCTATATAAAATGAAGGCGTTCGTGGGCCGTTTGGTTTCGGATAATAGTGGTTCGACCAAATCATTCCACTCGTTAGAGTCTGTAGCTGCAGTACAATATTGTATAGAAAAGTTGTGAATTGCTTCGAGAATTTCGTTCCGGAGTATATACGCATCATTAGCCACTTCGAGACGGTCAGACTTTTTCTCGATCATTGAATACAAATCCTTTGAGCTTACAACAATGTTTGCTGGAAAGATTGTGATTAATGTGTTGTCCTCTGTATCAAAACTCAGTGATATTATATCTACTTGCAATTTTGTCGACATTAATTGCGTCTTTGGTTTTATCAGTCTTTTTCTTGCTGTGCAGTCTGTTCGATTGGAAGCTTTCATTTTGATTAGATTTCTTTAGAATTAAAGAGAGAAAGAAGCAGCAGGCTTGCTTCAGTCAGGTACTGTATTTAAGGAGAGCAAGCTTTCATTGGATGGTAGATCAATCTCGCATATTCATTATGTTATACAATGACAAGTCTCTAATTTCATTGTTCGTGACTCTTTGATATCGTCAAACGAGGGAATGATCAAAATGTACCTCTTACTACGAGAATGAAGGTTGAAGCGTCAGTAAGACTTTTCTATAATGCTCAATACACTGAGGTTGAATAAGTTGGGACACGTAACACTATTGGGTAACAAATGAAGAATATCAATTGTATTCTAACACCAGATATTACGGTGACCCTCGATTCTTATATGGAAATTGATTCTACCTACAACTAAGAGGAGAATTGACTCTTTTCAAGTTGATATGATATAAGAAAGACTCGACTCTGATCAAATAATAATATCGTAAACGATGGATCCGCATGAAGACAGAAGTCATCAAGCGAAGTTGCGAAAAAGAAGAACGGCTTTACTGATCCCTCTCCTTTTAGGAATAGAAATTTTAGCTCCGCCAGCCAGATGAGCAGGGACAGATAATGAAATGCATTCATTGTAGAAAACGACGTGTACAGTCCGGCCGGTGGATATTGTAATTGACGATTATATAAAAAATGGTTTTCGACTAATAGAAATATAATTTTTTAGACTTTTACAGAAAAAATTCAGCCCTACAAGGTCAACTTCAAAGCCTCTTCTTAAGGCGGCCGACTTAAAACTTACTAAAGGCGAGCAAACAACTTGTACGACATGATAAATAAGGTCATCTTAATTTTAAATGCACAATAGAATTACATATTTTCATTTGCTAAACAGGCTAAACTGCATAATTGTTTATCTGGCCATGATTACAGCTTTCTTAAAGAAGTAAACACTATTCGTCGTAATTCAATACTCTGCTAACAGTTTTCTCAACATCAACTGTTATTGATCTATTTCGCCCTTTGATCATTATATCTCTGACTTTATCCTATTTTTCAAATGAAATAGCTGAGAATGACAACAGCTCAAACCAAATAATCCACTTATATCGATCTTCAATAGTAATTGGGACGCTTGTATGGCGACGTTGGATGTGAACATACATCTTGAGGTTTGTTCCATTCAAAGATGTAGTCGAAAGTATCGAATACTTCGCATTCAATTGAATACATGCTGCTTCCCATTAGCTGACTGGTAAAAAATTGACGATTATTGTTTTCCCGCACCACCCTATCAATCATATCTAGACTTTCGACAAGTATCCGCGTCCTGAAATTTGTTCATACTCTCAGTGATTGAGTAAATGAGAAATAGCTGGGCTCAGAAGATAACTTGCCGAAGATGCGTTCATAAAGTCGGGAGCATAAGCTGCTCTTAATACCGATTCCAAAAGCAGTTCTCCTGTGAAAGTTTGATACGCATCTGGAAACATTTCGTTGAAAAAGTTTTTCTTCCTCACCTTGTAGTTAGTAAGACGTCTTTTGTTGGTTTTCTACTTTCTACGAAATCTTCGCTATTTGCCTTATCCAATTCTATCTGGAAGTCTTCTTTATAATCTATTTAAAAGGTAGAAGGTGAATACATACGATCTTTTTGAGATATTGGAACAGAACTTATTGCTCTTTTGGATAAGACAATTGTACGAACCTTTAGCTAATTGGCTTGCTACCCACAGTGTTTGCATATCGCTGTAAAGGATGACTTTAACAGAACTGAATGTACCAGATGCAGTCTGATAATGTTTGTTTACTTCTTTCGACTCGAGCTGTTTGATTTAAAGCTTTTCTTTCTAGTGGTCTCTGACTTTTTTGGCGGACATTGGACACTATGATTATGCAGGAAAAAAGAAGGACATGATATGAAGACCCTTGTATAAACATACAACGGTTTCTAAATAGGATTATAGAAGATTACAAGACAAGCTATAATTCACTATCCCATCATGGGTAGCTAAACATATCTCTAAAAAATATGCGACAATGCTATTGCCAAAGACTACCAAAGACACGTCTTAATCAACTACAGATTATCCTTAAATCATGCAATTGCCTAAATCCACGTAAAAAAGATTTATAAATATCTGAGTTAGACTTTGATTGATATACAATAAAACTGAAAGTGTCTAAAATAAATCAGATACAGTAGTAGTAGTAGTATAATGTTATTGAAAATCATTTCTGTAACGCAAACAGCAAAATGTTAAGATATTACACGTAGTGCTAAGGAAAATAATAGGGTATGAGCAAATAGGGTAAAGAAAGTTGATAATAAAGGTTTTACAGCCAGCTGCTAAATGTTGAAGTTATTGTTTTACTGGAAGAAGTAGCCTGATCTTTTTTTGGAAGCACATTTATCAGCCTTTGAACAGTTATTTCTTAATGAACATTCCATTATGCTTTGAATTCCGCTGCAAATATTGTTCCCTTCGTCAATTGTTACCTGTGGTGCGGATCCGTCAATCCGCCTTGTTTTGTAAAGCAGTGATTTCTGTTGTTGCTGTCGACGCATTCGTTTTTCATGAACTTCGTCTTGTTCTCTTTCAGTCATGACGGCCTTTCGATATTTTGTACCACCGCAGCATTTACCCCCATTCTCCTCTTTATTGATGCCTCCACAACAACCGTTCTTTCCTTTGTTAGCAGGTGAACAGGTGTCTTTGCTATGATTGCATTGGCATTTCGTACGTCCATCCCCTTCTTGCTCTCCCTCTTCAGCACTATTTTCCAGTAATGCTTCTTCAATTACCGTTTGTCGGCTTTTGTGGTCTTCCATTAGATTGCGAGAATGTTTTAAGTATTCTTTTTCTGTTAAGCTTGGTTTATCAAGAAGTACAAGCTTAATAAAATTACCAAAATCACAAGCGAGGCCCGAACCATCCAGGGGAATAATGTGACGCACAGTAGTAAATGGTAAATTCTCGCTTGCTTCAAGTAAACTGCCGTCTTCCTCATTATCGAAGGAAATACCCTCATCCAGCTCGAAGCGTTTTTCTGTACGAGTTTCTTCTATTCCAGAAGTACATGCATGGATCCGTCTGTGACGGAGCTGTTGATGAGGGTCTTTGCTAACATCATATTGTGCACTTGGTTTGAATAGGCTTAACAAGCTATGCTTCAATTGATGTGTCGAGTGTTGATCGGCATCCTGTTCAATAGCAGCACTGCCGCCTTGAGTATCTGATAAGCGATCATCATCAAGTATAAATGACTCCACTGGTATATTTTTAAAGTTGATTTCACCATCTACTTTTGAAATAGCAGGGTCATAATATTGTAAAGAAGCAAACCAAACTTCCCATTCTCCCATTCGTCCGGTGGTCTTTTTATGTTGCTTATTAGACTCTTTTTGTGTACGTCGAACGCCCGCTAGTATCTTATCACAAAATACAACGCCCCTCCCGCCTGTTTGTTGTATTTTCCCAAGAAAAGATGGTTTCAGCACGATATTGACGTCTCCGGCTAGTTGTTCGATATCCAGTAGTTCCATAGTATTGCTTTCATCAGTCATTCCATTTATTGCGGAGGTTTCATTATTGCGTTTCCGAGCTGTCGTTACTGGCGAGTGATTACGTTCATTGTCATCAAGACAGCTATCTGTTTGATGTTGTTGCGCTGCTGTCTTTCTTCTATTACTCCTACTTTTCCTACCATCATGAGTTACTCCTGTTGCTGGTATAGCTGCTACTGCTTTATTAGCCACATCATCTCCTCCACTGCTGCTGACAGAAAACCTCCTCCTTCCAATTCTTCTTGTACTTCGGTTACCGCTATTTGATTTATATTGCTTACGATGGTAATCCTTTGTACATAGAGTACAAGAACCTTCATGTCCGCTAGAATCAGCACGCTCTAAACGCCAAGCGTGCACTTTGTTATCAGCACCACTAGAGGCAATCAAGAATCCATTGCCGAAACAAGTATCACATCCGCGACAAAGCCCTGGCCCATTCTCTACTTCACAATATCGAGTGACTGTCACTTGCAGAACAGCACCGCGATGGTCTGCTGCTGAAGTAAAGCGTCGTTGGGAGCGTGTCGTACCCAAGGCTCCTGAAGATGGTGTTGACGTAGCAGATGAAGTTGTGTCACCTGAAGAGACATAACTGCTATCAAACTCTTCAACTTCTTCTTCTGATGAGGCTGAAAAGCTGCTTGTGGCTGCTTGCGAGGAAGTTTGACGAATGGGTAATTTAGCAAATTTACGAATAGGCCCGCCGATGGTACTTTGATCAGCGTTCCTACTAGAAAGGACTGTTGATGCATCTGCTGAGGTTTGCCTACCACTCAGTTTACGTTGGACAGCCCTTCCAGAGGATAATGTACATACATATTCACCGGTTTCGAAATTCCAAACTTTCACTGTACCATCACTACAACCAGTCACCAAAATACCCATTCCACCTACAGGCGTTTCGGTAGCAATACATGTGATTGGAAAATCAAGTTTCACTGTATAAAGCACAGACCAACGGGTTACTTTTTGTTGGCTCAACTCTTCCATGTCATCAACTGCTACGATGGTATTTTTGATAGATGTCGCTGATGTGGCATTGCTGCCACTATTTAGATAGCGCTCCCAGCAATGGATAGTGCCATCTCTGGATGCAGTGAAAATCCAGGTCATGCCAAACTTTCTTTGAAGTGCTTTTGATTCAACAACGTGAAGTTGAGTGATATCCTTCAAATGCTGGGTTTTCATAGTGTGAATACATTCACCTGTGAGTATATCCCACTCACGTAAAGTACCACTCTTATGTACTGATAAGAGAAAATTTTGAGATATCTCGATATCCGAGCATCGAGCAGCAGCTTCGGCAATAGATGGATGGCAGAACTCGGGTATGGTACCAACGAACTGTATGAATAAGATATGATCGACCTTTGTTTTCTTCCGCCTTACGGAATTTATGCTCGATTGTGTAGTGTGTGAGTTGCTACTGTTAGCAGAGGAAGAAGAGTGGTTTTTACTTTCCAACAGAGGAGAAGACAGTTTTTGAGAAGAACTACGAAAGCTAAAACCGGCTTTTCGAGTGGACATTGAGTTGGATGAGAAATGATTACCACCTACATCAGTAATGGCTTGTTCCTGCTGTACTTCAACAGGTCGTGAATGTGGATGAGCGTCTAACTCGCGTACGAGTAGACCGGTACCAATATCCCAAACTCGAATTACTCCATCATCAAAGGAAGCAGCTATCCACTTATTCCCTTGGTCAGTTTTGACGCAGCGAGGTTTTGAAAGGTTGCTTTTGGATAAAGTGATGACATCTGAAAACTTTGTTGCTGATGAGCTCTTTTTGTTCTTTTGCTGTGTTAGCAAATGTTGACGCGTTGTAATTTTAGATGATGCTGCTGTTCTGTTGGTGTTATTCATACGAACATTATAAAAATGCGGGTTTAAGGTAGCTCGTAACAGTCCACCTGCTTCTATTTGTAACTTATCCAGTCGAGCCATCCAGGCTGCTTGTTTAGTATTCCATAAAACCATTCTGCCATCTTGACCTACGGATACTAGACTGTGCTTTGCATTGGAATCCATACCTTGGATATCGGTCGTATGCTGGTTGAATAATGTATGTACTTGTACTCGCTTCACATTTGTTCTATATTGCTGCTGATTGAATATATTTTGCATTGTAATAGCGCCTCTGTGATGAATACCATCTGCGTCGTATTCTTTATTGCTCTCTCCCTTTCCAGAATAAGGCTTCTTTTTTGTGAGATGCAACATGTGGTTGTACATTCGCTTCAAATAGGGCGATGGAAACCAGCGTAAGACAGCTAGAAACAACCTAATCAAGAGAGGTACCAACCATCTTTTCCGCCATTTTGGTGTCATCCAGCTGACAACACCTGCCATCGCCAAACATAGAAAGAGCATTGGAAAGTTGATACTAATAACAAACTCAAATACATGCTGTAAAGTTGACAAGATAAACAGTCGGAAGAGTGAATGATGATTCTTCGCAGATGTGTATTTTTTGAACCCTGCTGAAGTAAGTTGATAAACATGTTGCAAGTGCTCGAAATGCCATTGAACTTCGGTTATGTCATTACCGTAAATAAATAGGTGTGTTGGTTCGATTTGGAGCCAGGTGATGTCTTTCTGAGGATTTATGATAGACCAAAATTGATCTGAAAGTTGCTTCACTTTAAGTTGTTCGTGAATGAGATCATTTTTTTTTGTTAGTGATAAGTCATGCTGTTGGTATGTTTTTGGTCCAAGGACTGTCAGAGTAAGGATGATCAAGCAAATCTAAATAATGATAAACCGTAAAATGAGTATCAATCACCATACTCGAAATTTAAAAGCAACAGTTACCATAAATGCATTAAAAACGCGATGGGTTTTGAACTCTTTGCATTCAGCACAAGACTTTGCATCTTCTTTGTTTACAGTTTCTTGAATCGGGCAGAAGTCAGCTGGAAGTTGCTGTTGTTTTTTTGACCGAATTCCTGCAAGCTCATGCAATCTTTTCGACACTTGGCGATCATCCAGGTCAGCCAGCTTTTAGAAATTTGTAATGTTCTTTGTAAGTATGGAACTTGTCATGATTATTACACTTTGCGATAAGACTTACCTCTACTCGCCTTATATCAATCGCTAATATAGCAATGACAAAAGTCATCTGTAGGATATAATCGACTACCAAAGCAAGCTTCGCGAAAGTGCACAATTCTCTGATTAACATCGAATCCATGTAAGTGCCAAGCGTTAAGATAAATAGTTCGGCAATTAAAGTTATTGTCATAGGCATGCCAACGCTTTGCAAACCTATGGAGGTAACGGTTAGCATAACAAATTTGGGACTCCTTTCAAGCAATGGCTTTGAAAGCTGCTTATTATGTTTGTTCTGAGCTTTACCTCTACTGATTTTCTCTACAACAATCATATCACAGCCAGCATCCAAAACGGCGTTTGTAAGCAGAATTATGTTTTCCAAACACGCGATATTCACAATCAAAAGTAACAGATACCATGGAACTGTTTGAAATGTTGACGTGCTGAACTGGGTAAAAATTCCAAGAGTGGTGGTAAAGCAAGCGATAGACAAGAATACAGCTGCTAAAGCAAATGTATAGCCTGATTTCACTAAATTCGACTTTCCGAACTCTAAGGAAACGAGGTAGAACATGATCGAATAAGCTACAATGGAGAGTTGTACCTTATACGATATATCATAAGAAAATAGATTAAACTGAAACCGTTTTTTTTTTAAAAAAAAAAAAAGAAAATGTTTCAGTTTTGACATTTTCTATTCAGTGATATCTTTCTTAAGTTTTTTACTTCACCTTATATTCTATCATTTGGGGGATAGCATTTGCTGGACCAGCATAGAGCATTTCATCTTCAATATCATCAGTTACAGCTTGTTGTAAAGTCGTCTGCTCGTAAGACGTTTGTAGGTCCACTATGTTATGTTTAGTTTTTGCTTCTTTCAAAAGTCTATTCCAAATTGAAAGGCTGTCACCATATTGAGTAGTGTGATTTAAAACAAACGTCAAGACAATGGCATCTGCATCAATGAAATTGCCTTGAGAGTCGAACTGTGGATTAGCGTAAGTTACAAATGGAGTGGTAGGAAAGTCTTTACGAACATTTGCGAAACTTTCTCTGTGTGTTAACTTTCTCCATTGCTCCTCATTCTCGAAATCATAAAAAGCTGGCGATTGAATCAAACAACGACCATTGTATTTAAAACATATTGTTGCTAAAGAGATAGGCTGTGTAGAATATATACCGTTGAAATTGATTATAGTGGTTGTCAGGCTCTCCAAAATTCTTTTTGCTTGCTGAATCAATTTATAGTCAATGCGCCTGTTATTGGAGTAGGATAATTGAATCTGTTGTGCTAAGTAGTAATTTTTTGGTGCTTGTCTGCTAGTTGTGAAATTGTGAAATTGCACATGAGCAGATGCGTGCCACGATTGTGTGCTTAACAGTGATCGTACTGTTTGAACGTCCGAATTATCTATTGATACTGCTGCTTTTGTGTTAGTCGTAGTCGTAGAATGTAGCTGATGATGCTGTAGTTGATTTGGTATAACTATGCTACCAGTGTATGTTCGAATGACTGGTAATGAAAAATAAGTTATAAAGAGTAATGATGTTATCAATAACAAGTAGGCTCTTGCGGCCACTGCTTTTCCATAATTGTAATACTGATTTGATAATTTATTAACTATCGTTTTAATTGCCCTTAATGGCATTTTGTGATGAGGCAAGGGCTGAAATGAAAGGAGAGCAAAGAAAAAAAAATAAAAAAAAAAATGATGCTTTTCTCTGTTGATTTGATAAATGAAAGGAGAGTATTATAGGTGAAGAAAGATGAATAGCTGAGGAAGAAAACAAAAAAGGAAGAGCCTCTTTCAATCGTTACTTCTTTTGTTAACCTATTCGGACTTCAGCTTCAGCCAATTGATCCTTGCTTATATCCATTCTTAGTGCTACTTTCAAATTACCTTTGGTTTATGACAATATGTACCTGGGTTTTATTTTCTATTTTTTTTGCCCCTTTCTGTACCCCACTTTTTGCTTTTAAATCATCTTTACAGTTTCAGCCTCCGAAACCATCCTTTTGGGACCAATGGGAGCGCTTTCCACTGTCACAAATCAGTGTACACGTTCATGATTCTGGTAATTTTCAGTAGCTCAATTAGCACTTTGTCAAACTGCCCTACAATAATATAGCAATGATGTCTCGTCATAAAAAAAGAGGTATAACCTTGTATATATTTTGAACACTGAGTGATATGTACGAATTCTGTGGAGTACTGCAGAGAGCTGCTAGCTGCTTTTTGTATTACCATCCGAATTCTGAGTTATACGATCCGAACAGATGTTGTTCCGGACCATAAAATCATGTGAAAACACGTAAAATGAAAATATATAGCTGTTTCAGTATCGTGGTATAAAAAAAGCCGGTGTAGTATAGACAAATGGGTAGGTTTTATTTAACGTGATATGTTTCCGGATCCCGGCAGGGGAGATTAAAGGATACCACTGGAGCATACTTAGATAGAAATAAGAAAAAGATTATATGGAGTAAAAACTTAAGACTATATAAGAGGTAGAGAAGTATGCATAAAAAAGACAAACCGCATGAAGCAGTTGGTTAAAAAAAAGGTTAATAGTCGCGTTAGGTAAAATGCATGATCAGATCAGAGTTTCCGTTGTAGAATAGAGGTACAAGTGTAGCAGAATTCAAAGTCAGTGTCGGGGTTGATTGTTTGGTTCTTGTCGGGTGGGACTTTTTTTTTTTTTTTCTATTTTTTTGTTGTTTTTTGTCTTTTGTTGTTACTATTGTGTTATTGAGGGCATATGGAAATTATGGTGTATTAGAATCGGCAATAGTGATATACCATTTCAGCAGCGGGATACCAGTGGTATTTAGGGCAGCTCCAGTGAAGGTTTCAGTAGGATGGCAGATTTGGTCAATCTCCAACATAATCTCGCAAAGAATCGGCCAGTGAGTGACAAGAAATTGTTGTTTGGGTGTGAGCGGTCGAATATGTTGAGAAGGCGCAGTTGCTGGTTTTTTCGTTGGTAGATATTCATTTAGGAAATAATCGAGTGGGTTAGGTGTTGCCGTAGGAGAGATTTGTAGGCGGTTAGCAACGTCCAGGCAATTGATTAAATGTTGACGGGAGGCATGAGCTGCTTGACATCGATTGCAACTTATGGGGCGAGCAGGTAGCCAACCCATGCGCCATCGGAGAAGTCGACTACGGTCAAACGTAGTCATTGGCAGATAGAGAATCGGATCGATACCAATATCATATCGGCATGCCGATAACAGGACAGGTGGAGGAGGGGGAGTGCGGCTGAGTATATCCTCATGGGCAGATTGTCGGTATTGACGGTAATGTTGGTCTTGTTGCGATGATTTATTGTAGATCTCTAAGCGGCGTTGTGTATCAGTAGGGAGACTGTTCCAGAGTATACTATATTTGAGGAGTCGTGGCCAGCGGTAGTTAGCTGAGGTACAGTTAGATAGAATGGTTTTCAATAAAGTTTCGTCCGGTAGATGGTACACCCGGCAGATCATTTTGAAAATTAGCCGTTGGACTCTGTTTTGCATGGATGGGGTGTTAGTCATATGTTTAAAGACGGCTGTGGAACTTTTCGAGTGACCACCAAAGACGATACGAAGACAGTGATCTTGAGCTTTCTCAAGCTGGAGTATTTGCTGTTTGAGAAAGATGGATATTGCTAGGCCATATTCCATGACAGGGCGCACGAGCATTGTATATAGGCGGGTTGCTGTAAGGCGGCTAAAGGAGGAAGAGCGGAGGCCTAGAGGCTGTAGGACAGTACGCATGACATGGAGAGCTTTTTGAATATTGCGTTGGAGAAGGAGGGCAGGATCTAGTTTGCCTCGGTGGTTAAAGGGGACGCCAAGGTATACGAAAGATTCTGCAGAAGGTATAGCTGTATCGTATAAGATCAAAGGTGGGTTCCCTAGGGAAGTGGGGGAATTGACAATGATGCACTTTGCAGGGTTCCAGCGGTATCCCAGTTGATGAGAATGAGTTTCAGCTTTTTTCAGTAGTCTGGGCATAAGGTCAGGAGAGGCAATGAGGACAACATCATCGGCATAGAGTAGGCTGTTGATCCAGGTACCATTGAAACGGCGTTGGATTGGATGGTCAAATGCTCTGTTGGGTGGGATACGAGCTGTTCTCAAAAAGGCTGGAAGACTATTTATGTATATCGAATATAGAAAGGGGGAGAGGATAGAACCTTGAAGTACCCCGGTGACCGGATGAAAGCTAGGAGAGGTCGTATTTTGCACTAACACTTCAATATGAACTTCATCAAAGAGGCTTTGGAGTAGGGCTAAGAGTGGGGCAGAGATGTGCAATTCGAGAGCTCGCCAAATAATCGCTCGATCGACAGTGTCATACGCAGATTTAATGTCCAAGAAGGCGAGGACGGGTCGCTCACCATAGTGGTCTTTTGCATGTTGTTCACAAAGCTCATGGAGACAAAGAGCTTGGTCTAGTGCGCTTCGGTTGGCGCGAAAACCACCTTGTACGATATCGAGAGGGGGAGCAGTTGAGGTCAACAACTCTTGGATACATAACTCGAGTAATTTGCGGAAAACCGAGGTGAGGCTAATCGGTCGAAAATTGCCAGGCTCAAGAGGATCGCCTTTCTTATATATGGGGATTACTTGAGCAATAGTCCAGTCAGACGGTGCACAGGCCCATTTCCAACATAATCGAAACAATAGCGTAATAACGGGTGTCAGTGCTTTTTCAATAGGAAGTAGAATTTCCGTGCGGATGTGATCTACTCCAGGGGCTTTGTTGCGAGACAATTTTTTCCTTATCATGGTGGAGATTAGCTTTTCCTGGAAAGGGCAGTCATGTTGTGGTTCTTCAGCAAAAGTAAAAGGATGGGGTCCAGTTGGCTTGGGAGGAATTGGTTGGCGGTCAGCTGGAAGATGGTCACCAGCAAAAATATTCCTAAGGTGTCGGGACATGGATATAGCCGCTTGATCAGGGCCATCAGGATGGTTAAATCGGGGTGTGGTGCTGCGGCTTCTTCGTATGCCGTTGATAGTCTTTACCGTCTCGAGAAAATTACTTGTAGAGAGTTTGTTGCAAAAAGCAGTCCAAGTGCGCCTTTGTCGTTTTTTACATTCGATTTTGAAAGTGGTATCTAGCTCTATATATCGGTCGTAGAGTCGCACTTTTGAAAAACAATCAGATGCGGTTCGCCAACGAGTACGGGCGTGTTCACGCTGATCTGCTAGTCGATAGAGCTCAGGTGTCCAAAACCATGACTTGCGGGCTATAGTATGAGGACGACGGCCAATGGAGTCATCTAGGCAAGAGTAGATAATATTGTTGAGGTCGGTTGTAAGTTCATTAATGGTAGCTTGAGGTGAGGGAAGGTCATCAAGGGTAAGGATTCTTTGGAGTTGAAGCTTAAGTGGGGCTATACGATTTTCAAAAAGAGAAGTGTATGTACAACGAGGTTTGGTTAAATTACCAAGTTTCCATAATCGACGTGGATGGTTGCGTTTAGGAGGTGGTGAGCGTGGATTATGGAAAGTAAAGGAGATAGGGTGATGGTCAGAGCCGGCGCTAATATTCGTATGAACAGTAAGCTCGGGCTTTTGGATATTGTCGGTAGAGATCAGAAGGTCAATGATACTCTGAAAAATGTTGCCATTAGAGGTGTTACGTCGGCAGCAGTAGTACGTAGGTAGGCCATATGTAAGTTCGGCATTCCAGCAGCGTAGGCCAGTTGCTTGGATCCATTGGACAAGGGCATAACCTCGCTGAGTGGATTTTGAATCGCCTAATAGTTGTGCGTGTCGAGCATTGAAGTCGCCACAGAAGATTGTGTTGGTGTGATTGCGACGAGGATTAATAGGTAAGGAGCGTAGTATTTCAATTGCGTCGTCGTCGGGCATAGATGGCGGGAGGTAGAGACAGTGAATCAAAAAGGTTGAGATTTGGCATGAAAGAACATAAGGGGATGATGATGGTAAATGGGTGATCGGATATGAACAATTGGGATTAACAAGTAATGTAATGCCTTGCTGGCCCCTAAATCCGTCACCCTGGACGGGAACGCCATAGGTGTGGTATTGTTGCCAGGAGGTTGGATACCTATATGGGGGAAGTAGCCAAGTTTCAGTTAGGAATATAAGGGTGGAGTGCATAAGTGGATCTGTTATTAATGATATTGTATGTTTGGCAATGCCATTAGCATTCCAGCATGATATAGTCACCGATGGACTACTCATTATTGGTGTAAGGCAGGTTCACCGGCACCTGAAGGAAGAATCGCAGCGGGAGTGGATATGTTAGCATTGTCGTGAGGTGTCATTTCAACATCATCTGTGGTAGGGGAAGAAGAGCTGGTAGTGTGAGAGATATCAATTTGTTGTGTTCGGGGTAGGGCTATGGAATCTTTGTCAAAGAAGGGAGTTCCGGCTACAAGCTGTTTGATATGATCGTCTGTAATCCAAGAGTTGGCTAAAAAGGTTTTAGCTACTGCAAAGCTTACGGGTTTGCGAATGAAATCAAGAGCGTGGAGACAGCGGTTAAGATGGTACTCGCGGGCCTTGGCGGTTTTTTCGGTGTCAGAGAGGGAGCAAGGTTCAGGGAGATGGAGAACATTCGCGGAGAGGGGATCAAAGTCATCAATGGTGATAAGCCGAGCCTTACGGAATCGGTTACGAATAGTAGGTGCATAATCATTGTGGACGAGTAAGCCAACGATCTTTTTGGCAGGAAACTGTATATCGAGAATGCGGGAGGTATCGATATTCAGCTTTGAGAGTTTGGAACGTACGACCGAGAGAGGCTCTCTAACGCGGCTGGGGAGATAGATGTATTGAAAGCCTTGATTGGCTGATTCGGCTTGGAAAGAGCGAGCTGCAGCCCTACGTGCAGCTGGGTTCGGCTTTTTCATACTGGATTTTTTAGCAGTGGTGGATGCCTTGAGGCCGCGATGAGCTGCTGCCTGATACGGTGTCATTTTGGTAGTAGTAGTAGTGCTAGGGGTAGCGGCGGGGACGGTGGCATATTTGGATGCTTGAGATCCTTGGGTTGTTCGAAAAGAGGCGTCAGATGAGGGGATATCGGAAGGGATTTGGGTGTGACAGGGTAACTTAAAGGAAAAGTCATTTGGTTCTCTAGTAGGAATATCGAGTAGCATGTTATTATTTGCATCATCGTCTACTACAAGAGAGGGTGTGGGGCGTTTTTCGCGTTGGAGGAAATGAATTCGTTTTTTCAGCTGCTCATTTTCACTTTTGAGCTTAGTATTCTCAGCAAGGAGAGCTTCCAGTTGATTGAGCCTGTTGTTTTGGGCTTGAACCAGTTGGAAGAGGTCAACGATGTATGCAGGAGCATCGGCTGGCAGGGTTGTTGGTGGGGATGACGTTCCAATAGGGTGGGTCTTACCAAAAAGATTAGGGTTGCCTAAATCAGGATGGTGTTCCACGATGGCAGGCTGTGTATCACCTAAATAGGGTGTGGATTTTGGTTTCTTTGTGGGGTTCTTATTCATTTTTCCCATGGGCATACGAGATTCTTCGTTGTCTTCTGAAGACAGGGTAGGGTAAACTTCCGATAAGCGTCGCTTAGAAAATTTAGCGGAAGGTAGTGAATCGGTTATAAAAGTATTGGAACGCTTCTGAGTACGCTGTGCTGACTGGAGGGTGTTGGTGGTGGGAGATGTTGGTTCGGTGTTTTCCTTGGCGGATGCTTGATGGTTGGCGATCGCAAAATCGTTTGCACTTTTGTCGACAATGGAGGACGAAATTGGTATCAAACTACTTGTTGATGGTTGCGGAACTGATAGTTCTGTCTTGGCTCCTTGGCTATCGACTTTTGCTTGGGTTTGGGTGGTAATGGTAGATTGACTTGCTATTAAAGTTGTGGTCACGTGTTCTAGGGTACCTATATCGTCCAAAAAAAGTGATGGAAAAGCGGAAGAAAAGGTGCCGGTGTAGTATAGTGGCAGTACATCACGTTGTGGCCGTGTCGACGCAGGTTCGATTCCTGCCACCGGCAAATTTTTTGCTTCCTCCTCGTATGTAGTGCGTGTATCATCATTTTTGTATCATTACAAAGAAAAATATAAAAAAAAGAAACCAACATTGATTTCCACACTGCTACTGTAAATCAATATAGTTTAAAGGATTATAGTGGATTAAGTGAAGTAGCGAGACTATAAAAAGATATTGATTGCCTTTATTTTGAGTTACCATTTAGGGTTTTTTTTTTAATATATCTTTTGGAACGAAAGACCTGTTTAAAAAAATTGCATATTGGAGACCTTATGAGCGGTATGAGGAGTATAGGGAAATACACGTAATATAGATTAGGTGAATTATTGCGTATAATTAGCCTAAGTAATTATTAAAGACATCACAATTGCCCCACATTTGATCTGAGGGCTTGTGAGCTACACCACTGCTAGCTCGCTTTAACAACGTTGTCAAGAATTAAATTAGCATTGCAAGGTAAGATAAGTGAGGTGAAGTATATAATTATTCAATGGTTGATTCTTGTTCAGTCTACTATACTGAGCAGTACAGTATTATATGATTAAAAGCAACGCGTGGATACTGTATAAGACAAAAGAGCTGTGAAGAAAGATAGCAATACAAGAAAACTATAAGTGATGAGTGTATAAACATTTGTCAATGAATACTCTGTTTACGAGAGTCAATAAAATAGTACCCAATTCTCCTACAATGTTTACGAGATGAAAGATTTTCCGATAGATAGGAAAAAAAACCAAAAAAAAAAACCAAGTATGTAGTAGGTTGATATATGTTCTAATGCTAAATATCTCTCTTGAGTGTTGTTTAACCAATGATGATGACTCGTTTAAAACCTGACCATCATATCAAGAATTATACACATTATGGCGATACGCAACGTTTCACTAGCACAATTTTATCTGTTTCAATCCATGCTTAACAACTTGAGTTGCGAATCAATTTTACGAAGAAAAAGGGTTTCGATTGCTCAACGGACGTGAGACTTACTGCTGGATGAATTAGAAGATGCCATGGTCTAGGGTTTCTACGGATGCTTCTACATGTGCACAAGAAGGTTACAGCGTCAAAACCTTATCAGAACGCTCTTACCCATTCTTTCTTATTCTCTCTCTCTCTCTATAACAATTCAGGAGACTGCTAAAAATATCGTAGAACGTATCCACCAGCCTATAGGTAAAAGAAAGAGGGCAATGCAGTAAGGTATCAGCGGCTCTTATCCTGCAGTTTTGTTCGGGTATGTTGGATCGGCAGGATCAAAAAAAGTACAGTATCTTTTACAAGATGGGTGTACAGGCTTGTTTACAATAAAGATATGGATGGGTCTGACCTGCACTAGTAACCAAAGGAACGAACCAATAAACGCAAGCGAGAGGAGCACTGAACAAAAAGGAAAGCGAAAGTGCGTAAAGCCTACGCTATTCTTGATTGGTGGGGCATTGGTAATTACCGTCAAGTTGAGGATTGAGCTACAATAGGATAGGAAGTGAATGGGTACAGACTGACTTTCTGAACGATCCTGTAGCGTATATTGCACGTGAGGTAGCCTGCTATTTAAGTATAGTATCATTTAAAGTTTACCTCCGTTTTGTCACCTAATGTTCAGCAGTAATATCCTCCTATGACAATGAACAACTATCGGCATGACAATCGACGCACCATTCCCATGAGTGTTCACAGACACAAAGAATGACAACCTATAATGCATTTGAATGCTTGAGTAAACATTTTTTGCTCAAGGGATTTATTGTAATGAGGGAAGAACATGTGTGGGCATTCCAAATGACTATTTCACAGCTATCGAAAGTATACCTAGCCAAGTATTCTTTAGTGGAGGTGCACAAGCCAGCCTTCAAAATGTTGTTTTTGTGGAGGTAACGAAAGCTAAAGCTTTAGAGTACAAATAACCGAATAGGATTAGATGTATGCGGATGCGCTTGTGTTTGTGCTTGTGCAACAGATGAACATGAAAGGATAACCATAATACTGTCCCAAAAGGGAAAATCTTACCATTTATCTTTTCCATTACGTACGAAGAAATACTCCGGCTTGCACACATTTTACCTTTGCGAAAAAAAAGGAGTTGCTTACATTTAGTTAGTTTAGCAATGTTAACTGAAAGGTGTAAAAAGCATAAAGATAAAGTAACAATCAATCATTCAGTGATCTCATATGCTTTGATGATTTATGTATAAAGAACAGTATAATAACATAGATCCATTTTCTGGCAATTTTATTGCTACTGCAAATAGAACTTAAAAAACAATATGAGAAATTACGTGTGCATATAATGTGTGGTTAAAAAAAAAAAAGAAAAAAAAGGGAAAGAGTATGTTTAATGGGTAAAGGAAATAGTAGTTAGTAAGAAAGTAATGTTAATAGTAGTGGTATTAATAACGGGATTAGAGTCAATAGTAAAAATCAAATAGCGGGTCTGTTTTTTTGTTAAAGCTAAAAAGTTAAGAAAATTTACAGATGAATAGGAAAAAAGAAAAGGAAAACATAGAAGCGAAAGGTTTGCTTTCTTTTTTTTTTGATTTTTTTTTTTTTTGTTACATAAAATCATGAAAAGTCATTGTACCTGGTTCCAAGTTAGCATTGTCGGATGCTCCCATTACCGTGGTTTGATTATCAGTAGCAGTAGTGTTTGTAACCATGCCACCAGTATAGGATGATAGCATAGCATCCTGGTTATTACTGATATTGTTATATGCTGAAGTAGAGGACGACGGAGACGTGGTAGTAGAGGGTGAGACGTTATTGTATTTGGCTGTTAAATAGTTGGGATTTGGCGTGACCCATTGTTGCTCATTCAAGCCTTGCTGAGACGAAACAATAGGCTGGTCTTGTTCGGATTTTATCAGTGTATTATTGTTCGTATTATTGACAGAAAAGTAAAACGCATGATTTGTAGCATCGTTACTGAGGTTACTTTTAACGTGCTGTATTGGCTGATGATATAGAGGGACTTGATTGGCTGTTGTTATTGTAGGTGAAGGCTGATGAAAGGGATGTCCATTGATTGTTGTTGTTGTTGTTGTTGTTGGTGTTGCTGCTGGGGTTGCAGTAGTACCATCAGTCACCATTGGGTTTGTGTTTATGTAACCCAAAGAGGGTGGTCTCACAGAAATAGAGGGTTTTGATGATGATGATGATGATGCTGCTGCTGCTGCTGCTGCTGTCACTGTGATACCTAAAGCACTTTCTAATTGTTGAATACGTATTTGCTGTTTATCAATTTGCACTTGAGCAGTGTTGAGCTGCTCTTCAAAAAAACCATGCATTCTATCGTACTGTTTTTTCATATGAAATAATTGCATTCGTAGATCAGGTTGATGATACTGGCGGTGTTGTTGGTGCCCTAAGGGATGCAGTTGTTGTTGTTGTTGTTGTTGTTGTTGCTGTAAAATGAATGGCTGTCCCTGCGTTATAGCAGTAGATGTGGAAGAATCGGCTTTATTATCTGATAGAGGCTGATCCTCGTTCAGTACACCATGAACTGGCTGTTGAATGGTAGGTGTCAAAGGGCCGTAAGTGGTCAGGAAATTGCTCATAGAAACTTGATTCGTCATGAGTCCAGATGTATCTGTAAGTGGTTCTGTAGTGTAATGCAGTGAATGGAGATGTTGTTCTTGAATGGGTGGAGCAGTAGCAGGAGTAATAGGTAGCGCACACGGTGCTGTTGTATTTGTAGTAGTAGTGGTAGTAGTAGTAATAGTGTTGTATGCAGTATTCGTTGTGGTCGTGGTATTTTCGCTGGCGGTAAAGTCCATAGCTCGAACAGAAAAATTAACGGACGAGGCCGAAGAAGAAGAACGTCGAGGTTGATCATGACCGGTACCTTCCATGATAAAACTATTATCATGTATCATACCGGCATTGGTTAGCAGTGTATTATTGTTGTTGTTATAGTCGTCTTCTGCTTCTGAATCATCACCGGAGCCTATATTGAGGATCGTTTCAGGATCTTCGTCCACGGAAGAAGTCATTGCCTTGACTCTTTTCTTTCTAGAATAACGAGTAGCCTTTCGTCGTATCAAGTGAAATAAATCGCGTCTTCCAGGTCTAAAGCATGGATGAAACCAACGACAAGATTCTTTATCTTTTGTATCCTTGGATTTTCTTGCATCTGTATCTCTTTGAAAACCATAAATCTGTTTTACAGAATTTTTTTTTTTAATTATTATTATTAATATTATTGAAATTGGGATGAGTACACATTTAATTGTAGTCTGAAAACAAAGGGTTTCAATTCGGCTTGATTATATTAACTTACATTAAGCTGACGTACAAATGAAGGAAACTTGCAATGTTTGAAGAGTCGCGGTAAGACAAATTCCGTAAACTCTAGACATAGGGAACAATTGTCTTGCTGTTAGATGGATTGTATGTCACTATGACTGTTTCATGCAGTAAGTTTTTTTTCTTTTTTTTCTACCTGGTATATTGTCAATGATGAACATGTCTTTTCCATCATGTTTACACCACCGAGCATACTTCTGATTAGCATCATTCGACTGTAAACATCTATATAGACAAGAAATAAATATGAAATATGATTAGAATAAATTCAGGGGGGCGGGTTTTTAGTTATTTATGTATAAGGAGAAAAAGATACGAGACAAGAATAGGCACATAAATAACAGTAAATAGCATACTATATATATATGAGTTTTTATTTTATACTTACTGATATAACTTTGACACAAAACCGGCGATACCACGTTCCGACCGTGCTGCATTTTGTATTCTTACTGATCCAGTACCTGTGCCTGCGATGGTTGATACGTTAGAAGTTACCGTTTTAGGATGATTGGCGTTGAAATAAAAAGAGGGTTGCTGATGCCATTCTGGGGTGAGCACCAAAGATGCAGTAGGGTTTAACGAGGGTGAGCGTAACATCAAGTCATCTTCATAAGTATTGCCAGTATGATTCGTGGTATCCAAATTGAATAAGTCGTTACTATTACTGTTTTCTAAAAACAGTTGATGAAGATGTGATGTTGTAGCTGTATTATAATCATGATGACTGTTGTTATCCATCATAGTAGTAGTAGTAGTAGTTGTAGTAGCGTCTTGTTGATGCAGACTGCTCTCCATTCACACTTTGTATCTTCTGTTTAAAGAAAGTGAACAATATAACTGATAGCTTGCTAACTAGATAGTTAGATTACAAGTATATATTTTTCTTTTTTAAAAAAAAGCAACGAAAATAAGGGTTCAATTTATGCCTTTTGTTGTATAATTTTGCAAAAAAAAAAAAAAAAAAAAAAAGACCCCTTTTTTTTTTTTTTTTTTTCCACAGTCTTTGTTAAAAGGAATAAATAATAATAACAACAATATTCCAAAGAAATATATGTTGATATGAAAAAAAAAGGCAAGAAAAAGGGAAAAAAGGAAAAAAAAAGGCGAAAAAATGAAGACTGGCCCCTTCCTTTCCTTTTTCTTAGCATTTTTTAAGCTTTCTGAATTTAAGTATAAGGATCCACCAGTTACATCTTTTCAGTCGTTGCGTATTTAGTGATCAATTTTCATAGGTGAAAAGCCTGATTCTGTAATATTATGGGTTTTTTTGCACTTGTTTGCTCCTTGCGTTACATCAACTCTAATCCCGTTGTTGTATACAAGACACACAACATACACAAAGGATGAGAGACAGAGAGATACACAAATACACACAGATACACACACACACATATACATCTCTGCACCTTTACACACACACACACACACACACTCTCTCTCTCTCTCTCTCACACACACACACACACACACATACACATACACATACACATACACACATAGCAATTTTCACCTTTTCAAATTCAGTACGAACAAAGCTTACTTATTGTTGTACGTTAGTAACCTAGGGAAGGAGGAGAGTAATGCTTCGGTTGTTGACCTGAGCGCAATTCGTAACACCTTTAAGTCTTTCCTTGATCCCTTTCCGCGCATAGCCCTATCCTCCCTATTACTTTCTCATCCTCATTACTGTTTCAGTGGAAAGACTTTCTCGAGCCACCAAATATGATTGATTTACTTTGCTGGTGCACGAATGACGTGGTTAGCTTATGTTTAAACAAAAAAGAAAATTTTGAAACAATAAGATCAGCTGTTGCAAATTTCAATTTCTAAACCCTTTTTTCTTTGTTCTATTCGACATAGCATTTTCCTTTAATCATTCTCAACAGAAAAATCTCCTTATCGGAAAAAGCCACTCTATGACATAATCATGGTGGTTGCACTCGATATTACGTTTTTAGGTACTGGAAGTGCTCAGCCCAGTGCCACCCGCAATCATCAAGCCATCGCCTTACGTACGGATGGGGAGATCTGGCTTTTTGATTGTGGTGAAGCAACACAGCATCAGTTTCAAAAAAGTAAACTGAAAATGGGAAAAATTACTCGCATCTTCATTACCCACATGCATGGCGATCATTGCTTTGGATTAGCTCCTTTACTATGTAGTATGACGGATAACCTCAATCCTGCCAACCAAAACAACAGTCAGGACGAGCAACGCATACCTATCGATATTTACGGTCCTTCACCACTGCGATCCTGGCTTCGAACAACGTTGACGTCGACTTATTCTAATCTGGGTCGACCCTACCGCGTGCACGAGCTGTTATTCAAAGACGACCCTGTAGATCAAAACCTCTCTCTGCATAACAACGAGTTGCCCGGTGAAAACATTCACTTGAACAGTGACCATGTATTTGCATTACCGCTTTTTCACTCTGCTTTAGAAAAAGGCTATCGTGTACAAGCCGCTCCCATCCTTCATTCCATTTCCTCACTAGGCTATGTTATTACGGAGCCTGACTCACCGGGTAAACTCAACGCTCTCATCCCCATCATAAAAAAGCACGCCGCTGCCCTGAAAGAGCAGCATCACCTGTCAAACCCAATGACCCTCTTGGGTGACTTACAGCGTACAAATCAACCTTACACCTTGCCAGACGGCACCCAACTCTTGCCACCGCCACGCCGTCCAGGCCGTCAAATCGTCATCTTGGGCGACACCTACGATCCTTCCGCCGTGGCCAAGATTGTCACTTCAGAAAACCCCGCCGTATTAGTGCACGAAGCAACCAATGCATTAACAAAGTTAGATTTTATGATTGAAAAACAAAACAAACGCACGCCATACTCACCTCCCACATTTGAGGACGTAGAGAAACGGGCAAAAGAGCATGGTCATTCCACTCCTCAGATGGCAGCAGCTTTTGCAAAAAGAATCAATTGCCAAAAACTGATATTGACCCATTTTAGCGCAAGATATCGAGGAGATGACTCACCCGAGGCAAAGGAGGTGATGGAAGAAATCAGAAATTTGGCAGTAGCTGCCTTTGATAATAGAGATCAAGATGTCTTTTGTGCACGAGATTTGTGGACTTTTGATGTTAAAATGACAAGCTAATATATTCAGCTTTTTATTTATTTTTTATTGTAAAAAAAGGTTTATATAATAGTATTGATATTAAAACTGTACATAGATCATCAAAGAAAGGAAAGAAAAGGATATAAGCAAAAACATCATAGACTATTACATTCTCTTGCAAGGTGCCCAACCTATTTATTAGAAAAAAAAATGGATTCAGTACATTCTTATTCCCCACCGTTCAATAAAGAAAAAAACACACACACAAAAAAAAAAAAAGAGATAGCTACCTTATTGCATTTATAACAAGTGAATGGCTGATAGGGTTCTCGTCGATTATATGTTTTACTCTTTGCCCGTCTAAAACTCTCATATTCATCTGCTGCTTGCTGTGCGGCTGTTCTACTACCTAATCCCATACGCTTATTTTCTGCTGTTACCGCTGCTGATGCTGACGGTAATGCGCCCATCATACGATCAAATCCTACACCACCACCACCACCACTGCCCAAGCCAGCGTGCGGGCCCATATCACTACGACCTGACCCTAGACCGCCCCTTCTATCGACGGCTGATGGACTATCCTCTCTTACATTATAATTTCTTTCCGATGATGTATGACCTGAAGGTGGACTGCGACTTCGGCTTCGGCTTCGACTTTGACTACCATAATATCGTTTACTTTTTCTACTATTTCTATGATAGCTACTGCTGCGGCTTCGATCCGACCTTCGACTCTTTCTCCTGGGTGATGGACTCTTTCTACCGCGATGGCGAGGCGGAGGCGATGGGCTTTGACTATAGCTGCGACTTCTTCGTGATGGGCTAGGGGTATGATAGCGATGATAACGGCTACGGCCTCGTTCCTCTTTCTCATACCGATCATGATAATGACGGCTATCATTGTACTCATCGCGTCGATGGGTGGCTCTTCCTCTGCTACGACTACGACTGTGGCTATGGTATCTTCGTCCTCCTCCGCGGATCGGACTCCTTCTTCTCTCTCGACTGTAGCTTCGACTTCTACTACTTCTACCTCTTCTTCTTTCATGGCTACGATAAGAAGACGATCTTCTTCGATCTCGGCTGCCTCTCCTCTCGCTTCTGTACCTTTCTTCTTCTTCTTCTTCCTCTTCTTTCCTCTTCCTTTCCTCTTCTTTCTCCTTCTTGCGCTGTGCCATCATGTGCATAAACTCATCTAAATACCCCTTTTCCCAGCCTTGAGCATCCAAATGAACCGTTGCTTTCTTTTCATCCAAGATACTGACCACTGCATCATCGTCATCCATGGCAGACATTTCTTCAATACCTTTGTAAAAATCATCCATTGCTTTCAGTAGATCTTCAGAAGGTTGTGGTGGTAAATGGATCGGTTTAATCTTGGAAGTATCCATCGGCCTATAATCCTCACTCTAAAAGAATAAATAAATAATTAAAACCAATGATCAATTTTTCCTGAAAAAAAAAAAAAGCTTTCGTTTGGGCATCATGTACCAGCCCTGCCCCCCTCCCCAAAAAAATTTAAACAAACCTTTGCTAGAAGCATAAGACCTGCAGGTAATTCATGATAGGGCTTGGAGGGTGGTGTGAGTGGAGCAGATGCATGAAGGTGACTACTGTTAGCTGTCACCGGCTGTTGCTGTTGTGCTGGAGGCATAAAATGGAGCGGAGGTGGAGGCGGCCTCTGCGGAAACGGTAGTTGTTGATACATGGCAGCAGCAGCAGCAGGCGGTGGTGCGCCAAATGAAGGCGCTGGATAAGGCTGAAACCCAAACGGTGGAGGAGGGGGGGGTCGCATATATTGCTGTTGTTGTTGTTGTTGTTGTGGATGTGGAGGCGGGAAATTGAGCGGTGGACGCATCAGGAACATTGGATTGGGTGGATACGCTGGCTGTTGCTGTGGTTGTACAACAGGAGGAGCATGCATGGAAGTCGGAAACGGATGAAGTACTGGTGGGTGTTGTGGCTGTGGCTGGGGCTGTTGAGCAGGAAGCCCCGCATGCGTCGTCAATGGAGTAGTAGTATAGGGTGAAGGTATGGGCTTTGGCTGTTGTTGTTGTTGTTGTTGTTGAATATAGTTTGTTTCTGCTGGAAGGCCAGCAGCATGGCCACTGACAGTTCTTTTGATATTACTGATAAGTTGCTGGTCCAAAATACTCTTGTCACTCCAAATATTGATCACCTATGCATGATACATCATTAAACTATGCTCATAGAGGAAGATGAATCTATCGGACGAATACCTTCATCACTTTGGCTTTGTATTCTGGAGAGTCTGCTGCATCATACGCTGACTTTACTATAGGCACCAAGAAGGGTACCATGGCTTCCTTCATCCAATCCTTCTGCTTGCGAGTCCTAATTGAACCAAAAGGGGTGGTTTGTTTTTTAAATTTGGTAGAAGGGAAAATTCGAATGGTCAAACAATGCAATCTCAAAAAATGCCAAGTATCGAATTATTGCAAAACAAAATCACTGTACGAATGATATAAGACGTCATTAACGAGGTAAACCATATGTATTCTGTCTTTCTGCCCAGATCGGGATAAAGCCAATGTCTGGATATATTCAAGCATCGCCGACATGTGTTGAGGTGTTTGACAGTGATCAAAAATCCATATTTTACCTGCCTAACAAGTTGAGAAATAGTGTTTAGCCCCTAAGAGGCGTCCTTAGTTTAATAAATGAAAAGCATTACTCACTTCGATATTCGCTTTCGAACAATCGTGCATGATCATGTGCAGAATAACACGAAAATCTTCAATGTTCTGCTTCGTTATGCTCTGCGAAGAGCCGTCAAGCAATTGTTGGCATAATTTTTGAAAGCTTGCTGAAGGTGTGCTCTCCTCCTTTGAGTTGTAGGCGTAGCTACTCATTCCCAAGAAAGCAACAAACCTATTTTATATACAATTTGAAAAGAGCAGTTCCAATTAAAAAAAAAAAAAAAAAAAGGAAAGCTTAAAGAAAGCAGGAAAGGTTCTAGATCACTTTTTATTGGCGGACGTGCGCAAGGAGGGAGGTGTCTGAGATAAAAGAACACAAAACGCAAATTTCCTTACCATCCATTATCAGATATGTCATTGAGCAGAAGGCGACAGCCAGCCTATTATTTAGCGTCTATCTGGCTTTCCTGATGAAATCACCCTTAAAAACCATTCATGTCACCTTATCATGTATCTGATGTCCTCTTCCTTCGTCAAGCACTTTAGGAAAGCCATTCGCTTCCACCAAAAAAAGTAGGCTGATGCCTATGTCCCTTTCTTTACAGAGTGAGCTAGTATCTTGAGCCATAAACAGTGGTTTCTTTACTATGATGAAGCGACTTGAAATAGATAGTACAGGGTATAGAAAATCAGAGCGTAGAATGATAATACTGGTGCTATTGACTACATATATCTATGAGTAGTAGTACTACTCTTTTACAACCCACCGAATACGCTAGTAGGATGACATCCTTGATGTTAGAATGATTATCTTAAAACCAAAAAATAATCTATGCAACTCAATGGAAACAATGGATGAAAATCTCCAAGCAAGTATTATAATCTGCACATATCAGTCCGTTGCGGTATTATCTTTATTTATAGGTATCGTTTTAGGCACTTCTGGAAACTGTAATGTCTTTAGCTTTTCGCTGGCCTCTTTCTTTTGTTGTTTCTTCATATATTCGCGTTGACGCAAAAAGAAATAATCACGTTGAATGACAAAGCGCACAGGCTGTTGAGGTGATGAAGACGGCGAAGGTGACGCTGCTGGTGACTTTGTCACTGTCGAAGTAGTAGAAGAAGCGTCATCCTTTTCCGTTCCTTTTTCCTTTTTCTCATTGTCCTTCTCATTATCATTCTCTGGCTTTTTGTCGTCTTTTTCCTTCTCTTCTGCTTCGGACTTTTTTGAGGACGAAGCACGCCATGATTTCCATGCAGACCCTATATTGGATACCAAGTCTACAATACTGTCACTTTCAGGTGGTCTATTGGCTAACGAAGCCTCCTTCTTTTCTTGCTGTTGTTTCGCTGTTGTTTTGGGTGAGGTTCCACCTATTTTTGAACAAAAATTAAAGTCGCCTAAATGACTTTTACAGGTGTAAAACCAATCGGCATTGCTACCATCGGCTGATGTAAGAACAACATGAGTGAATTTATTGCATACAAAACAAGGTCTTTCGCTCGTCACTAATCGAGCCACGTATAAATTTTGTAAGCGCTTTTCTACCATGGTTGATGGATGAAATAGTTGAGTTTTATGCAGTGTAACTTTGTGCAAAACAAAAAAGTTGGCTTTATTGTTCAATGGTATGAATAAAACTCCAAAAGTAGAAAAGAATAGGGATGCATTAAAAAAAAAAAAAAAAAAGGGCCGTTCCCAGTTGAGCACTGACCTTCAATGTTCTTGTGATCGAAGGGCGAGACGATACTAAAAACGGATATTTTGTTAGAAGCCAAATAGGATAAAGGTGATCTTCTCTTTCCAGCCTTTTCACCTTCTTTCTTTCTTACTTCCTCCCTTCTTTTCTTTTTTCATACACGCATCATTTGACTCATTACCATACAGTAAACAGTATGAAAAATCAGCTGGATATCATTGACATCCAAGATAGATTAGGCTATGTTGATACAGGGTCAATAGATGAGCATGAAGCAACACCACCACTACGCACCATGGTGGCTTCATCTTCTACTGCCGATTTAATAATAAAAGAACCGAAACCACAAGTGCCTTATACAGCTTACACAAACCATATGAGACGAGCGAACAGCAATGGTAACGATTTGAATAATCAGAAAGGGAGTCAAAGTGAACAACGTAAAGGAAAAGAACCATTGCTGAATAACAATCGTCAGCCACAAACCAGGTCGTCGCGGTTTATAGCCGTAAATAGTAATGGTAATAACAACGAGGACCCATTAGGCAAGCCAAAAGGAACATCCACATCGCTGCCTGCTACAGCCGCAGCAAGCCCGCAAAACGAGCCATATGAAGTGAAGGATGTCATGGTGTCAAAGCTAAACGAAATAGCCGAAATGTTAAAGCTATTGACAGTACAACAACATCAACAACTATCAGCACCACCGCCACCACCACCACCACCACCACAAGGGTATTCCTCTTCATCACCCGTAGCATCATCCATCATGTCGTCTCAACAACCGGGCAAACCGACCTTATCGAAATCCAATGTTTTACGCAGAAAGCCTAGTAAAGGAAAACTGAACGCAGTCTACCATAGCAACGGACCACATTATCCTTCTCCCAATAGAAAAGTGCTTAGTACAGTCTACGGGAATCTTGGTTTGGAACCTTCAACTCCATTACCTGCGTCCACTCCATCTTATCCTTCTTCCCAGCAGCACAACCCATATGCGTTGGCAACCATCGCCCCTCCAACCATTTCCACCCATCATTATTACAAGGGTAGAAAATCAGCAGTTCCGTACTATAGATACAATGGCGAAGGTATTGCTGCAGATCAAGAAGAGGAGGATCATTATCAACAACAGCATTATGACCATTCATCCTATTATCATCAGCATCACTATTATCAACCCTATCTTCATTATTACTATCAGCAACCTCCCCCTGCTGCACCAACACCCGTTTCACATTATCATTATGACTATACGGAACAGAATGAGCCTTCTGTGTTTGATTATTATGCACCCCCTTCTTCTGAACGGCCACCCTTTCGTCAGCGTAGAAAATCTTTAAGTAGCCTACATGAAACACAAGTCAATCCTACGGCTTTACAAAGAAAGAGTTCTCAGAAGAGTTCATTGAGACAAAAGAGACCGACTTCAGCCATGTTATATGATCTTCCAGCAGCATCGAAGCAGCAGCAGTCATTGGCCTATCTTTATCCACCGCAATACATGCAGCAGCAGCACTATCAAGCGCCTGTTCCTGTCTCTTCTGGTTTACATCACGTCCATTCGAACCAACCATATCAATACTCACCAACGAGGCATCACCCATATGGATATTACATATAATTTAATCTTTCTTATTTATTGTTACAGCTTATAATACACAAAAAAAAAGAAAAAAAAGAGAAAAAAAAAGTTCGTTTTTAATATATATTTCTATAATTGTACACTTATCTACATTTTTGTTTTGTAACATAGTATTATCTATATTCTTATTATTATTCGTTTTTTTACTGGTTCTATCATTGATCTTCAAGATAATCCTTCAAACTAATTCATTATTTTGAAAACAAAATAAATTTTTTTTTTTTTTTTAGAGTCTTTTACATTCGAAAATAGATACGAAACGATAAAAAAGTAGTTTACCTCGGTGCCACACTCATTGTCTTTAATAGCGCTTCTTTCCATTCTTGTTCAGGATCAGATAAGAAAGTAACAGCACCACCGCCGCCTACGGAAACCTCTATACCCTCTTTTCTATCCACAACGACAGCCGTTCTTATCACCACATTGAAATCCATACTTCCGTTTAACGAAAAGTAGCCTAGACATCCCGAATATACTCCTCGCCTCTGTCCGTCCTCCAGCTCATCCAATAGTTGAACAGAACGCAATTTGGGCGCACCTGTCATTGAGCCCGGTGGAAAACACGTCTGAATCGCTTTCACGCTATGGACGTGAGGGTACAATGTACCTCGAATCGTCGAAACGAGATGGTGCACCTTTTCATAGGTTTCAATATGCATCAATTTAGGCACATAGACAGAGGAGGGCTCACACACTTGTGCCAAGTCGTTGCGGATCAAGTCCACAATCATGAGGTTTTCAGCGCGTTCCTTCACATCTTGCCAAAGCTGTTGTTTGCGTGCCTGATCTAGTTGCATACGGTAAGCTTCACATTGAGGGCCTCCCCTATCGCATTGGGTGGTATCGTCACAGACACAACCGAGCGCGCGGCGAAGAGTACCTTTGATAGGTTTCATTTCGGCTATACGGTCCTTTGTAATCTTAAGGAAGCGCTCAGGGCTTGAGCTGAGGATACCAAGGGGCTGCTGCGTGGAGGATAACGAAAATAGCAAGAGGGCTGAAAAAGGAGCAGGATTATTTTTCCGTAAGTGTCGGGTGTAGAGTTCCCCACAAAGGGCCACGATATCTTCTTCATGTTCTTGTGTTAAATCCCCTGAATTCACTTCAAGATCGTTTGAATTCAAGTACACTTTTTGCTTTGCTGAGGACAAGTTACAGCGAAAACGGGTGGTTAAGCATAATTCGTAAGACTCGCCTTCTCGAATAGATTGAATGCATTTTTCTATGTTTTGGATATATTGCTGATGCTCCGCATCCGCTGTGAAGAGGTTGTGAGAGAAAGGAGCGATAGGAAGTGTGGGTGTTGTACAGGTGGAGGAGACGGGTGTAAGGCCTGTGAAGTTATTTAACAGCTCTTGTTTACGTAGCGTTTCGAGAACATCAAAGACTTTTTCTTCCTGCTCATGAATCCAAGACATAGCCTTCTCATGGTCATCAAAACCAATGACATCTTGGTGATCCTTTGCATTACCAGAGTTGACAAGACAGCAAATGTATATTTGTTTTTGAATGTGGTCAAAGACGAGGTATCGATCTAAAAACTGAAATGCAGCATCCGGCTCTTCCACGCAATCACAGCAATTCTCATGATGGCTATCGCCGTTCGTGTTTTGATGAGGGAGACTGTGTTGCAAACATGGACATTTCTGCTTATCAGGTGTAATATATCCATCCATACTTTCTCTTTTCATTTCATATCCAAAATATCCGACTAAACCACCTTCAAATTCCAACGCAAGTGACATATCAGATCCACTTGGATGGCTGACCCATTGCGGTTTGATTTGCTTCCGTTGCTCTTGCTCTTCAAGTAAATGAGAAACATAATCAAAAAATGTCTTGTCGTTTGGTAAAATTTGCTTTTCCATGGCTCGGTCTTTTCCTCTTTTTAGTATTCTTACTTCCCGATGTAGTGTGGCATAAGTCATAGTGAGTGCTGGATCTACTGACAAGATAGACATGCGAGAATAGGGTGAGGACTTTCGGCTACTGTCCAACCACGCTATAGAGCTTTGATTGAGCGAGGGATTCCTTAAAAATTCATTGGCAAGTATTTCTGGGCTGACATATTTAGAGCAAGGTTTAACGTACAGTTTTGTTGTTGGCTGTGATGAAAGTGTTAATGAAGGTAATAAGGCTGGTTTTGGTGTGGCTACTGAATACGATAAAAGATCCGTACTGAAAGGTTGTGTTGATAACGCACGATGACCCTACAAACCGATCCTTTCTTAGTGCTCCTACTACCGAAGGGAATATGTTGAGCGCGCATGAATGCTTACCATTTCTACCATCCATCGATAAGTCTCATTTTGAAAGTTTGCCATCATTTTGCGTCCATGTTCGGTAGAAACAGATTCTGGATGGAACTGAACACCCCACAAAGGTAAGCTTTTATGCTGAAAACCCATGATTGTTATTTGAGCTGGATCCTTTATAGCCAGCTGCTCTACTTCATTTTTTGTTGGGTGAGGAAGGTAATGGTGATGCAAATCGCTCTTTTCCGTTATTGCCTGCTCTTCACCCTTATCTTCTAAAAATGTAGCATTTCTCAAAGCATCCACATCTGAGTCATCTTCATAACAATAGGCTGTTATCGCCAGGCTATAGGGTATAGCTGTATACAGTAGGATAGGTAAGCATGTCTTTTCCTTTTAAGCTTTGATGGCTTACTGAAAAAAAGAAACTTACAATCTTTATCTACTACAAGAGAATGGTACCTGACGGCCCAGAATGGCGAAGGACAGCCATGAAGTACATCTTTGAAATTCAGTTGATTTTCATGGTAATAGATTTGTGACATTCGGCCGTGCATGATTCTAGGGGCGTAAGTAACCTTACATAAGGATTCATTTTAATGGCCTGCATGCAACTGCATGTGCTCGTAATCAAGTTTACCTTTCCACCTAGTAAGTAACCAATACCTTGATGACCCAGACACACACCAAAGACAGGTCGATGATAGTGTTGTTGCGACGGATCTAATTGTACTTTTAGTAATTGAGTACATATACCAAAGTCCTGGATAAAAAGAAAGGTTACAAGTCAAAAACTGCAGGTGCACTCGATACAAATTCGATTGATGCTTTACCATAGGGTGTTCAGGCCTTCCAGGTCCTGGTGATATAATAATATTATCTACAAAGGGCAAAATCTTTTCTGTAAACTCTTCCCTACAATCAAAATGTGAACCATGACATCGATGAGCGAAACGATGCTCTTGATCTAACTCTCAAAGACGCTTGATCGATCTCTTCCCTTGACTTACCAAGTAAATTGATCGTTTCTAATGACAATAACATTTTTATCGTTGGGGAATAGTTGTAATATATTAAAGGTATATGAGTCGTAATTATCGATAATGAGGGTTTTAACGTGCTGCTGGTATGCCGCCATTCTTTCTTTTCTATTGTTAGCGAAAGAACTACAAATTTATGCGGGGTTTTTTTTTTATAAAATGGGAAAAGATTTGAGATTTGCATTTGATGTTTTGATCTTTTTCTGATTGGATGATCCTATTCGATCAAAACGATTTGCCCTGCCAACGACTGTTCGTTCTTAATTGAGAAATCGCATTTATTTTCATTGAAATAATAAAAAAAGAGTCAAATGAATGATAGAAGATTTTTTTTTCTCTAAATACACTAGAAGAGAAGAAAGAAGAGAGAGATATGAACAAAAGGTAAAGGGATTAAAAAAAAAAGAGATAGGGCAATAGTAGAGGGAGATGGGGACAAATGATTGGCTAAAAGTGTATCCTACATATGATAACGAGGATTAAGATGGTGGAGTAGGTTCATAGCTCCAAATTCTAGCACGATTATCACCAGAGCCCGTGGCAAACAAGGGTCTTCTACCAGGACTTGTTGCAACAGATATCACCGAGTTCTTATGACCTTGCAACATAAACTGTGTTTGGCCAGTACGTGGATCCCAGAATTGCACGCTTCTGTCCTTGGAACCTGAGATAATCCAACGATCATCAGGTGTCGTGGCAACTGAAAGGACAAAGTCTTTATGTCCCGTGAACACTTGTATGCAAGGATTCTTTGTTCCTAACTGCCACAATCTCAAGGTTTTGTCAAGACTACCACTCACCAAGGTTTTGCCATCCGGCATGAACGCGACAGAATACACACTGTCTTTATGACCTTCTAATCTCTCTAAAAGGGTACCATTTACAGCATCCCAAATACGAATGATTTTATCCAAGCTACCTGCAGCTACCAAACGGCTGTCAGGAGAAATAGCAATACTCGTCACACCTGGATCACTTTGTTCTGCTTCGTTGATACGTAATGTATGCATACATTTGGCGTCGGCCCAATCCCAAATCTTTGTCGTACGATCGCCAGAACCGGAGACAAGAATGCGTCCATCGCGACTAAAATCGAGAGAATAAATATCTTGCTCGTGGCCAGAAAGGACACAGCGGATACGGGCTTTTGCAATATCCCAGATACGAATACGACGATCTTCGGCACCTGTCGCCAAATACTTGCCGTCAGGACTGAAACTTACAGAACGAATGTATAAATCACCATCTCTACCAGCTGTTTCATCCTGAAGGACCCTGTTATACATAGCATGCATGTGAGACATTTCCAATATGTGATTGAGCAAAAAAAAATAAAATAAAATAAAATAAAATTATACAACAGTGAAAACTTACGCTACACGAGCCGAGTTGAAGGTATCGTAGATATAAGTAGCTTGATTACAACCAACGGCCAGATATCGACCATCCAAACTGAATTTAACACAACAAACGACACTATCATGCTCTAGTGTATGGATAAGATCAATTTTGAGATATCGTGGCACTTTGGGATTAAATAAAGCAAACCAATCTTGTCCTTCTATTTTCATATTATTAGGTACATTATCGGGATCAAGATCGTTTAAGCCAACATTACTGATAGCAGCTACCGGCTGTTGTGCTGAGGGAGGTGGAGGTGGAGGAGGTTGCTTATTATTAGCAGAGGTATTATTGCTGTTGTTGTTACCGGCATTCGTATTGTTCATTGGCTGCTGTAGTGAAGAAGACTGAGATGGAGGTGGAAGCGGCAGAGAATGCTGCTGCTGTGGTTGCTGTGTAGGTGGAGTACCGAAAGGTGGAGGTCCATTAATCAATGGAGAACCAGTTGAGTGTAGGTTAGGAGGAGGTGGAGGGGCTCCATTAGATGCTTGTGGAGGAGGAGCAGGACCACCTGACTGCTGCTTCATATCTTGTGGTTGCGGCTGATAACCATGTTGCTGCATCTGATCCAATTGCTGCCTTAACCGAGCAATTTCCTCTTCATATCTATATAATTGTGTAAAATGATTACGTAATATCATATTTTTATGTCAGCGAGGGGGAGGGGTAGAGTAAAGGATTTCCATGATACAAAATACACAGAAAAAAAAAAAAAAAAGGAAATGTAAGAGATAAATAGAAAATGTCACGTAACTGTTTCTTTATCATTTGCTGCGTTCTTTCCAAATCCATTAAAGTTTGCTGGAAAATGTTCATTTCCTGAATTTGACTATTCACTATTTTTTTTTTTTTTTTTTTTTAGAAAAAAAAAAAGGTCATGTTACAGTGAGTGAGTGATGCATGCGTTTACATTTTAATGTAACTAATACGTTATATACATATACACGTAAAAAAGGTCACTGTGCATACAACACATTACACTTGTATATAACTATATCCAAGCGTCTTTTTAGGAATATTTACCTTTGTGTTCGTACTCATCTCTTTGGCTTTTTGTTACTTGAACATCTTGCGTTAATTGATCATACTCAGCTTTGACTGCATCTAATAATTCCAATAATCGGGATTGGTTTGTTGGGATCATAGGTCGATGATTATAGACCGACATTGAAGCTTCTCCGTGTTCAGCGTTTGTGTTTGATTCAAATTTGTAAGAAATGAAACTCTAGAGACGTTTACAGACACGAAAGGGTAACAAAGAAGGTTTGAAAAAAAAAAAGAAAAAAGACTTATGAGAGGAGGATGAAAATAAAGAAAAAAAAAATGTAACCGACCCATCCTCCTAAAAAGGCAAAATGTCGTCAAAGCGAGAAAACAGACAAGATTTTAATCAACGACAAAAATAGTAACTCTTGTCCAATTAAAACCCGGGATTAACAATGCAAATCATTTGTGTAAATGAAAGCCCTTTTTCGCTGTAAGTCCCTTTAACAGACCGAACTTCCGTCATCAAGTTGATTCATCCATATACACTTCTTCTACCGGTGTTCATTCTCTTGCTTGTACGCACCCCCATTAGGTTTTTTTACTGCTTGTAGAATTACAAAGTCTGCATAGTTATTTATACTTTATTTAGTTGTATTGAATGCCTTAATACATCAAGTAACAATATATGCCACTCAATCTTTACTGACCGCATCAATGCTTTATTAATGGATTAATCATAGCGATAATTTAAACTGAATGTAATGGAAAGGTATAAATCTGCCACGTAGGTTTCTAACAGATTGGTATTGTTTCTCTTCATATCTATTCTAACTTATCCAAGTGATCCAGTCTTGTTAGAACCACATTTTTGCTAGTTTCTTCTATTTCTCCTGCCAAAAACACTTCATCTAAAATGGCATAAACCTTTTATTTTTTCCGAGTTTCAAAGATAGTTAAAAGGTCAGCGATTTCAATTGGGATGTTTCGTAACTGAAGCTCTGTCTATCGTTTTTACCTTGTAAAAATTGAAGACCAAGTCCAATTCGCATACGTTTCCAAAGAATGCATCCAGAACTTCGACAAAGAAATGGATCGCTTCCAAGTAAGATAGTTCATTGTCGTTTGCATCAACACAAACACAGAAGAATAGGCCAGCGTATCTCCTGTATACAATTTTATAGTTGCGAAACTGAAGTAAGATAGTTTATAAAGGTGTCGATTGAGTTATTTTCGAACAGTAATAAGGAAACGCTTACAAACCATCAAGTGGCTTCCATTACCTCTACAAAGTTACTTTGGTGTTTTTGATCTCTTGGTGCAATAAGTCGATGAACCTCGCCTTTGAGTTTTACTTTTTCATCGTCTTCGTAGGGTACATACCATTTCGCCAATCTAGTTTTGCCTTGACGATTTTGTACTAAAATGAATCTAAGCTGAAAGACATAGATTGGTTTCGCATAATTTAATATTTTCCGTATGGTGTAAGGCACTGTGCCGTTGCTGTAGGATATTAAAGTTTACCATTTGATTCAATCAGGAGTGTAAGTTGGTACGCTTGAAATAAGTCAAAGGAGCTTTGATGAAGCTTTGTATTTCTATTCCCTTAGCACGATTCTTGTTCAACAGGCGACTTATTCCGCCACTGGGAATTAAAATATAAATTTCGTCTAATGATCAAAAGAGAAAAAGTTAGAATACGTCTCTCGGTCAGATACTGTCTAAAGAAAGGTAGCGGCTGATACATACGTGTTTAGTATTGTTGACATTCTTCATTTTTCATTCTACAAACAAAGTTTTTCGCTTGGCACACATATGGAATATTTGGGGGGTTTGATATGAGTCGCGTGGCGTTGAATGTGATGACTCAACGTCAAGTCTCAAGATGTCCTTTTTCTCGTAACGATTGTAACGGTCAAAGCCAACAGGAACGTTCCTGTAGCATCAGCGAGGCAAAAAACTGAAGAATTCTATGAAACCGGTTGTTGCAATAGCAGGTTTGTCGTGGACGTTGAATTTGTAAACAAACAAAATGCAAGTATTTGATAAAGAAAGTTTTGATTGAAAATACACAAGAACAGCAAGAACTACTGACTTTGTCAACTGTACAATAGACAACTGTTTATTATCGGCAAAGAATGTAGACAGAGATATACTTGCTACATTGGTTAACCTATTGATAGCCATTTTATTTTTACGAAATTTGAACAAAACAAAAGTCTTTTAAACCATTACGAGATGGATGCTCAGGAACAGTAAGAACAACAAGAAGAAACTTCTCGTTATAGAGTTTTCTCAGTTCAATTACCTATGCGTTTCGTACTGTTTCCGTTAAAACTATGGAGAATAGATGAAAGCGGTATTTTTCACAAACAGTGAGAATACCAACCTAATATATTGCTCCTTTTGCAAAAATTATCAGTTTATACATTATGTTATTGAAATATATTTACTTTACAGTCAGCAATGAATGGTTGCAACTGAAATGAGTACGTTTTTTTTTTTATCGCTATAATTTACCTCGAGTTGCTGACTTCCTTTACGTACAGAGAGCAGACAGCTGGAACAAACATCTTTATAAATGCGGAGCTGATATATTGCACTTAATAGAACCATTTGAAGAATCATTGCCTATCAATGCATGTGTTCCAAAAGCTTCAAAAAGTTCATACCAACTTAACATACCCCAATACGTTTTTCTTATGATTTTGTTCAAATGTAGATCAATTGATTTTCATATCTTTGCTTTGAAGATGCAACATTGTGATACTTTTGATATTACTACGGGCTATTACTACTATACTGTATTTTACTATTAAACATATGAGATGTGATGAAAGGGTATTCAAGTTGAGAAGCACTTCCTCGAAGAAGATTTATGGATGCTAGAAGAGTAATGAGAAAGGGAAAATGCAATGATAGTTGGGCGAATGTCTGATTTTAACAAACAATAAAATTGATTTGAGATTTATAGGATGCTTAAACCTTTTTTGATATGCGATTATTGATGTAGTAGGGTGCTGTTCTTGAGCGACCATGGTTTTTCCTTGCTGCCACTGTCATTGAAATTTTATTTGATAATAGCAGGCTCTCTTGTTGTTGATTTAACATAGGAACAACTTTCAGTTCGTTCAACTCCTGCTCAAATGCCTCCAATAGCGGCGAAATAGGTATTTCTCGAAAGGCGGTTTTTGGCATTGACATATGATAAAGCATTGATTTGATTTCTTTCGTCACTTCTCCATAGGATTTCTCTAGTTGTTTTTCAACTTGTCTGTCATTGTCCTTGTTCTTTCTTTCAGCACCTTTATCCCTGAACAGTTTGACGACTGCATAACATGATTCGTTCAATGCTGGTTTCGAGGCCAATTCGTTTGCAGGAGCATAAGAGTCCATTTGAACGCGTAAAGGAATGCCTTTGACACCTTTTGTTTCGAGAAAATCAGTAGAAAGACACATAAATTTGATGTAAATCGTAGCACCAAAACGCCCGTTCCAGTTGAACGAAACCAAATTACTGCTGTTTCCTGGAGAGCTAACAACAACGTCAGACACCCCAGCACTTTCTTCGAATTCTTTGCATACAAGAGAAAGGAAAAAAGGCGACGTCAAATTTATAATGCAGTGGTTGCTTGCTTACATTATCATCAGTATTTTACCTATATCGAGAATGCGAGTATCTCCTTGCTTAACATGATCTGCTCGAAATTTCCATTTCGCTTCGGCTGTTTGTCGATGCTCTGGCAGATGAAATCCTAAGGATAATGTACTTCTGATAATTTCGTTCGAGCTTGTAGTGTCCCTTAAGTGAATGGCATACAGTTGATTACGATTCAAATAGGTGACAGGACAAATTTCTTTCTTTGATGTTACAGCAGTTTTAGCTAATGATAGATATAGAATGAGTTGAACAGGGTAAGATAGAAGATAACATTTATCATCGAGCAAAAATGTTTACCCTTACCTTCTAGTATAATTTCGAAACGCAAACTTCTATAGAGATAAAATGTAAGTTAGTTATCCTAGCCAACCGACATATGATGCCAAAAAGTTTTGCTTCCGCTAAACACTGTGCAGCCCGCAAAACTAAGAATACACACATAATAAAAATAGTATTACAGAATCTGATAGATTACTACACCCGCCCCCCTTCTAATGTTTCTCCTCCTCCTTCACTGCACAAATCCCTCCACCTCCTCTGCACGAAAAAAAAAAAAGAAAAGAACAAAACTGAAGATGCATATCCTTTTTTGGCAGCCCCCTTTCTTTACGCATCTCCTATTCTTTCTTTCTTTTTTGCTTTTCCCTAACATTTGTCATTGCCACTGTCATATCGGTTTGTTACAAAATTGATAAAAGAAAGGAAATAGACGCCGAGTCATGCACAGTTTAAGAAAAAAAAAAAAAAAAAAAAAAAAGACAAAAAAAGGTTCATACCTTTGCCGTGTCTGTAATAATAATTGCTGCTGTTGTAAATGTTGTGATATATTACTGCTATTTGTATCATCGTCAATGACAGCAGCAGTCGCTATGAGAGCGTTCATAGGAGCAACAGCTATTGAAGAGCAGCGACTTGGTACCGTTGGTGATTCATTAGATGAGGCATATTCAATCGAGTCTGTCGGAATAAGAGATTTATTTGGATCTTGCCTTGTGGCACTACTACCATTTCTACTACTACTGCTGTCACTACTATGCTTACTGCTATTGCTACTATCAGAGACCGAAGATGATAGCGATAGTGCCGGGGGAGGATGTAATAAAGAGTTCTCATTTGTTATAAATGGTGTTGTCTGTAATGATAGAAAAGGGTTGGTAAAGCCTGAAGAGAGAAATGGTGTTTCTGTTATCGTGGACATAGGCGCATAAGTAGATGCTCTTATATGTTTCGTGGCAGCCACTGTTGCAGTATTGCCAGTAAGAGAAGTAATACTATTTGAAGCAGTAGCTGATAGTTGCTGATGGTAGAGATAGTTGCTATTATAATTATTGACACTTTGATGGCGTGCACGATCAATTGCAAAAGGGGTTTGTACATAATGGATGCTAATATCTGCTTGTTGTTGTTGTTGTTGCTGCTGCTGCTGCTGCTGTACCCAACAGAATGAATTGGATGGTATAGTATCTAATGACAAGGATATCGTTGGATCCACGTAATTCTCTGTAGACAAAGGCATAGATAGATTGGAACTACAGAATAAGTTGCCATTGGTTGAATCATTGTTTGCTAACGTACACGCTTGCTGGTGTTGCTGTTGTTGTCCCCAAATAGAAACAGGTGTTAAAATTTCATCTTCATTATTGGGCGTGGTTAGTGGAGCTCCGGTTGCTACATACGCGTCCGAGTTTGTTGTACTCGTCTGAACAGTATCATTACTAGCTGAAGTCTGCTGACGGCTATGATGATATGGTTGCTGCTCCGCTGATTGGTTCCAGGTGGATATGGGTGCTAATGGTTTACAATCCATACTTGCGACAGTAGAAGCCATTACCATGCTGGCATTACTGTCATTGTCATACGTAGGCATTGCCATATTTTGTAGTAGGTAGTCTGAACAATCGGTCATACTTGATGCAATTTTAGATTAGCAAAAGGAGCTATTCTTATTATGCACCATTAATCAGTTTATACTTACTTCTTTGATAAATAATGCTTTTACTCTGTTATTAGCGTGATGATCAAATTTAGAAAGAAACAATGAAAACGCCACGCGAAGGCAATTAAGAAAAAATAAAAAGAAGCAAAGAAAAGAAAAGAGAGGCAAGAAATAGAAGGGATGATTAATTTATAGGCACACACATAAGTGATGTTTATCGCTTTTACTTTATGTTATGTGATTGGATTATGCCCGTTTCCCTCAGAAAGAAAGAGAACTATAGCCCTCCAATGCTGCTGTACCCTTTCTATGTAACAGTATTAATGACACAGATGAAAGTCTTACTTTTAGTTAGACTTTTGTAGGGGGTTGATTAGCTCCCCTTTATAACTATATAAATATCCTCACTTCCGTATAATAAGTTTTGGGGAAAAGCGATCAAGAGTAAGGGGGAAGAAGTTGCCGACTTAGTATGGCAAAAGACAAGAGTTTATATATTTTTTTTTTGTTTATGTATTCAAAAACGTTATGCTTCGACAGACATTAAAAAAAAGAGAGGCATTTCAAGCTTGCCGATCCAATTTCTTCAAATTGAAGAGTATGGGTGAAGCTCGTATATAGAAGGGCGAATATCAAAGATGATAAATTCACATATAAGTGGCATGTGCAGTAACTAAAAGAAGTAAGGGATCTTAGTTTATCTTTCTTATTCTATCCCATAAAAACTTTGGTATGCATTGATATATAAGAAGATATTTTTAAATACTGCGAATGCTTCTTCAAATGGAACAATGGAACGAATATGGACGTACTACTCAAAAGATCGTACTTCATGAATACCTTGCTTTTGATTATTGAATCATACTTCAGGCTCTAGTCTGCAAAGCAGTTGAAAACAAATTTATGAACGTCTTTCTCTTGACAGAGTGGTGGCTGACGTCGCGTTCATATTACTATGTGAAGGCATTCTATGTCAATAACAGTTCACTTTTGCCCACGACGTATTTAAAGTGACGAACATAAAATAAGATTTGGGCGAATAAATGCTAGCATATTGTCTCTGAAATACTAAGCTTTCTAATTCAAAACCTTTAGTTCCAGTAGATAGGTAATAGGGGTCTACTAAATATGAGATCTGCCGCTTTCATCGTGTGCAAAATGTGCAACTGATCTTGTCCTACGGGTGAAGTTCTTCTTTTTACATCTTTATTTGTCATGCTGCATACAATAGCAAAGAGCACAGAACTGTCAAGTTTCGATAGTCAATTCAGACATGACGGAATTCCTTAAGAAAAAAGAAACCATTATTACATTAACAATCAAACGTCGAGACTTGAAACCTTAGCAATGCTGACAAAAACAGAAGATAGGATGTTGTAGATTAGAAAAGAAAGAATATCTGTCTACACTGTCTTGAAAAGAATAGAAGGGGGAGGGGGAAAAGGAATTCGGCTATTGTAATGTCATAACAGTTTATAACTAGGGAGTGCAAGTCAATAACGTACAAATGTAGGACCCGTCAATAAACTTGTAATAAATCCTGTCCTTTAATTCAAACTGACAAAAGGATAGACGGTATACTGTTCTAATAAACCTTCGCGACATTATTTGGGTCAATCGTACTATTACTAGCTGTATCTTCTCGTTTCATTATAGCCGATGAATGAGCACACTTTTCGAGACAGAAATTAGACGTTGATAGCGGCTGACAAATTTTGTAAAGAAGAATTGTCTTTCTTCCAACTGTGGAGAACGTGCATGACGGTAACTTGACAGCAGCGTATTTGTTTATAAAAAAATATGGAGTAATCTGCATGTCTCTATCAATTCCCTGTAGAAAAGGGGGAAAGGGGAACACATAAAATGAACGTCTGAATTACTGTTTATCACAGCTTATAGTTTCAGTATTACTAAAGACGCGATGACCATTTTCTTGTCCGTGCTATTATTTTGTAGTCTACTTAGAGTCGATCATCATTCTATTATGGCAATGGTAACAACAACCGTGAGGATGATCTTTGTAACTTTATTATAAAAAGGAAAAAAAAAAAGGTATTCGGATGCAAGGAAACTGATTAGAAGGGGAAGTCGCATTGACCAAATACTTCACGTACAGAAAAAGGAACAGCTGAAGTACAACAGGCACAGGAAAAATATATAGCTACAAATACTGCTAAGTATAAAGTTTAAGAAGAGATGAAGACTGGCATGGGTTTAAAGATAGAGGCGTTTGCATCATCTTTTTTTACATTTGTGCATTATAGTAAAAATACATATATTATTAAATGTCAACATTAATGTATTAATCGAGAATTATCTCATCATATACAGGTACTTTCTCTATATCATATTCTACTTATCGATCTAAAAGACTCGAGCATATAATCGAACCGCTAATTCCAGTCAGTGCCATCGAAGCCAACGAAGCCCTAACAGTAAAAAGCAGGTTATAAGAGTCGGTTAGTAAACATCGTAAGCAAAAAGGGAAACGGTACAAGAATATCGACACCTACAGTCATTAGAAATATAGGGAAGAAAGGTTTTTTCTCAATCGTTGAACACCCTATGCAACAATCAGATATAAGTAAGAACAACAGATCCTGCTGTTTCCTCGGATTTAGAACGGATCACTTACAATTCCACGCAGACGTGAGCCTACCATCTATGCAACTACCAGCATCATAGTAGTTATCGGCTCCAGAACCATTGAAGCCAAATCTGAAAAAGTCATCTATATTTAATACAAAAAAAGTTAGTAAGCAAGTAATGCTTCTTTACATTCAGATGGATTAAATCATATTACGTAGGATATCCTTTCTGCATTGCTCAGTCCCACCGTATTCATTGTCAATATAGTCAGCCAGCACTGGATCATTTCTGCCTAATGTTTCCAGTTTATCCAGTGTGCTGATGATGGGCGTTAGGATCCGTGCCACTTGATTGTATTTGTCAATAAACATAAAGGCATTCGGAACATCTCTGTCACCCAAATGGACCACGCTACTACCTACCCACGACCCACACTTTTTATGCACGCGGTTGAGTATTTTATGAACAACTCTAGAGACATTAGGACAAGGTTGGATACGTTGTAAGCCTTGACCTGTATTAGTAAGTCGGTAAGGACTGCCACTGGCCACAAGGTCGTCGTCAGCCATACACCATAATAAAAACATTTCATTCATGATTTCTCGCCATAATGTCAGGGTTTGATGTATGTACGTGTATTGTGCGGAATGTGAGTGGGTGAGGCGGTGACCGTGGCGGCCGGCCTGTATAGCTAGTGAGTAACCATGATCGTGCTTGGTAGGATTGAAGTATTTTTGAAGATATCTGAGCATTTTATCGCATGGATCTCTATAAACGCCATAAAAAATGCGTATTAGGAGGTTTTTTTGCTCAAATTTGTGTACTTTCTTATTTCACTGCCCCATGTTACCTATTCGCCGCTAAGAAAGCATTATTATCTGACATAGATAATAAGCAACGTTCAATTTCATCCTTTGAGATATTTTCATTTGCGTATTTTTCACAAATATTTTTAATAGCCACTTGTTTACGCTGCACTTCAGTTGCTATTTGATCACGCGATTTGAAGTCAGAGGTAATCTCGCGGGTAGCTAAGACAATATTCTCATCGTGCAATACTTCAACACTTTCGCGACTCTTCAGAAAATCATATACTGTTTTGACCGCAATAACGCAGGGAAACCCAAGGTAATCCTGTACCTCCGGTATACTAGAGTCCTATACGAACAAGCAGAGAATCGAATAAATATTCCAACTTTTTTTTTGGTTACCTTTCAAAATGATTCTCTATATGCATAATACTGACCATAAGCATGTACATCAATTTTCCGTACGTTGATCTCATTTTTTCAGGGTTCATAATTTTATGTCTAGCGAAGCAAGTTACAATTGTAAATATTTACAATTGTTGCAATTGTTATTTTCGTATCCTTTCGTTATTACCGTCTTCCAACTTCAAATATCTTCTGTAACGTCGTTGCATTTTCGCGAATAGTTTTATCTGCAAATAATTGTGAGCCATTCTTATAGTCCCCGCAAACCACTAAACCAGAAATGATGCAGCAAAGATCTTTGATTTGCCCAACAATTCTTTTTGATTTGTTTGAATAAGATAAAATATCCACCCTATCTGTATATTCTGACACATTTAATGCTGCCTCTAATCTATTGGAAAAAACTGACGTGTAAGCTTTTTACTTTTAACAAGCTAATATAGATTGCCCTACAGTTTCAAATATTGTCGTTCTTCGGCATCTAAACGTAGTGGGATTGTTTTCGATCTATTATACCATCACGTGAAAATTGATCAATATCAAGTTCTCAACTTTTGGCATGATAACACCAAACTGGATTTCCCTTTTCTTTACCGTTTTGTAATATAATCTCCAAATGTGATACCGTTATTACTGCCATTATTAATAATCGTTCCATCGAGTTCCATAGCATTTTGCTTCATGACTAAATTTTCTTTGTCATCCTTTCCTCTCTAAATATTGCGAATGCTTTTAATTTTAAGCCTTAACGCGCCGTCAGTGAGTGTAATGACCTACCTTTTCGAAATGACTGGGTTCCGTAAACGCATCTGCTTTCACTTCATCAGTACATTCATTGACTGATTGTCGCAAAGGCTTCAAATGTTTTGCTGTATGTTGTTTACGATTGCCAGTACGATGGAGCATGCCTATTTTTTCGTTGTGACAACGGAACGGATCGTGTTTTATAGAATGAGCGGCTTTGCCTTCAAAACATTTGCAACTATAACGGTTGTCTTGAAATTGCTCATAATTGTTTGGGCTGTTGTCTATTATTTTTACCATGGCAAACTTCACAAAAATCTTCATCGCATTGCTCACAGAATATGGAAGCCTTTTAAAAAAAAACGCACTTTTATTTTAGATCCCAACGTTCATGCAATATTTCTTTCAACAATTCAAGACATTGTTACCTCTTGATCGGTACATTCAACGCAGAAAATTGGCTTATTACTATCTGAAGTTACTAGATCTTCCATTTCGTTCTGTAAGTAGTAGAAAGTGAAAGGATTGACAGAATGCAGATTCATGTTGCCAATCCTTTGCTGAGCTTCAATTTTGATAGCGATTGACTTCCCAGAATATCTGGATTTGTAAAAGTGCTGTCTAGGTTTTACATTGGACGGGTGCATTTATTGACTTGATCAAATACGATTAACGGCTGTAGAAGGCAGCCAAAATTTACACGTGTACATACAATTGTTCCTCATTATCACATTTACACGGGTGAAGGTATGCCAAACTATTCATTATATGCATTATATATACGTCGCTGATTTGGCGTCATACACATGCATTAGAACAGCTTTTAACATCAACACTATGACCTGAAAAAAGTATTATTTGAGCATTAAATTGAGTAAAAAATTTCATCCTTTCAATGACAAATTGAACCAATGTATTACCTTTCAGGCATTTGATTTTCGGGCCCAAAAACCAAAGTACAACTATGATATTATAGTTCCTCTGTTATATAGAAGCTCTTCATCATCTATTTCTCAGTATTTCCGATATGAAGAAGCAAATATCATCTGTCTATTATTTTTTCACGCTCTCCACATTAACGCATCTTGAACACATATTGCATGAGCCATCTCTTTTCTGAACAAATTTATTGTGATAAGATGTATTTGTCTCTTTTATATGTGCATTTTCACAGAATACATATATAACTCGCTTAAACTAATAGAAAATTGTATAAAACAACATTGAGAATAATGAAATATGTGCTAATCGGTTTGCTTGCCCAGTAAATTTACTCAAATTGCAGGATGGAAAATCATAGCCTCCTCTGCAACTATTGCAAGCTGGTAACATTTTATTTCGAGCAAGTACAATGGAGAAAAATACTTAGAAAGCCTTCCATTATTTTGACCTAAGGTAGTAGTAAGTGGTATACGTCAGTTTGGGGTGCTTTTTTTTTGGTTTTCTGTCACTTCCTTGAGTGTATGCATGGATACCGTACGTCTCATACAAATAAGAAATCTAATCATTGCAAGATAAATTGAGTCTCTGAAATATATTCATACCGTCTTAAGAGCGTAGTATATGGTTATAGATAATTAAGAAGAAGATTTCGAGTACAAACGTCTCAACTTTGCACTCTTTTATTAGGTTATGGATCGAATCGTTTATTTAAGACATAGCGAGCTAATAACATTGTTTTTTGGTAGTTATACATTGAACCACCAATTAGGAATATTTATTGCTTAGCGATTTATTACACTTTCGTTAGCTTTTACTCTGCTTTTCGAATTTTTTTTTTTATTGATGTAAGACACTAGTATCTTACTTTTCTTACTACCACTTCATCAATTAGGAAGAGAACGACATTTCTCTTTTTGCTTCAAATGATTTAAACAGAGCATATATTTCACAGGTTTACAAGAACGTATAAATGCCCATTAACAGAAGCCTTACTTATTACTACAACCATGCTATATATGAGCCCAATTATAGCCCATTTGCTCAACGCTCTTGTTAAGACTATTTTCTATTGTGAGAATACCTGTCAGTGAATTCAAAATGCGTAGTCCTGGCCAATTTCATATTATAGTGAAGGGGTACCGTCAAAAGATACGGAGTAGATATCAAATTTTGAGCATTTTGAAGAATGTAAAAGTGATTATTGCCTATTTTGCGAGGTAACATTCGACCCGCACTCACGAAAGTTGCCAGCGTTATTTCAAGAACTCTTTGTAACGTGATATTGTTCAGCGCAATTACACTCCCATCCATATTTTGAACTTCTTCTTACTTGCTTTCTAAAAGAAGGCTACAGTTTGTATTAAAAATCCGCCCTTACCAACACCACTTGTACATTTATAAATTCTTTAACCTTTTCAACCCCATAAAAGCATAATTTCGCTTAAACCGCATTTCAACGTTCTTCAATCTAATTATGCCGCCTATAAGACCATTAGAAGACGCTTTCTTGGCTCATCTGCTAGAGCCTAACGAAAACTTATCTGACGACGTACTCAAAACCAACATTAATATCGAAACACTTACAACGACACTGCAAAAACTTAACTCCACATCACGCGTACTTCAACAAGAACTATACCAACATGTTCTACAGCACTTTGAACCATTCTCTCGTCGGTACAACAATAGCCAAGCAATCCACTCTCACATGTATAGTATTACACAACAACTGTTAAACACAGAAAGTAAAGTGCAAGATGCACGACAGAAGACCACCAAAAGCATCGAGGTGTACGAACAGATGTGGAAAGCATCTCGAATCAATAACGCAAAGTTGAATGCCTTGCAACAGATAAAGCGGCTACTGCAGGAGGAAAAAACTGTGCATCAATATTTAGAGACAAACCAGTATTTGGAAGCAGCAGACCATTTAAATAATTTGCTCGTACATCTTTTACAACAATGGGAGCAAGAGGAGGCGGGAGACGGACATATCATCGATATGTTCAAACATCGATTGGATGAACTGAAACAAACACTTGTAACTAATCTTCAGGATAATTTACGTACTGCTATACAATTTAGCCATGGCTGTGTCAAAGTTTTTCAAAGTTTGAATCCATCATCACCTTCAATGAGTGATAGTAAAAGCAGCAAAACAGTACTTATTAGAGATTTATTTTATTGTCTCCATCAGTTAGGACTTCTGCCGGAGGAACTGATGACAATACAGCATTCCTTATTTAAGAATATCTTTAATATCTATTTTGAATGCAAGGATTGCATTGTCAGTACTGAAAGTGTGGAAGAAAAATATTTAGGCGAAGGTACATTATTGAAGGTCAACGGCAGACATCCTAATAGTGGCGATAATACATTAACAAAAAATGGAGATATGGACGTGGAAAATCAAGTCAAAGCAACGCATACCGAGCCATTAATCATGTTCAATGATATGAAGTCTATTTTAAGCTTTTTATGCAATACTTTCTTCGAAGACGGCGATGAACAAAAGAACAACGAGATGAAAAGAATTTTTGGAAAGTTACTGATGCCGGACCTAATGACGATGATGATTGACGAAAGCATCGCTCCTGCTGTGCCCTCTAATAGATACAACTTACATGATTTTGAGCCTATTGCAAAAGCAGCCACTGAATTTGAAAGACACTGCGAACAATATTATGGTTTTGATGTGATCACAGATAGTGATGTGACAACACTGAGATCTTACATCAACAACATAGATAAGCATTATGCCCTAAAAAGGAGTGGAAAGATCTTACAGGAAGGCAGAAATGTGATGGTCCGTCGACTTTACGATACTGATAAAGTCGAAGAACAAACAGACCGCCACACTTATAAGTATCAAGTTACTCAAACACCTCAACTGCTCAGTGTGCTTATATCGGATACATTTTCCGAAGCTGCTACTTTACAAGCAGACGGTCATCTTACTTCAGCTAAAACACTCATTGAGGGGATACGAGATCTGCTGGATATGTATCGAGCAATCATGCCCAGCTTCCACAGAACACATTACCTATCTAGTGCTGCAAACTCTCTCATTTTTCGAAACGATTGCTACTGGTTAGCAAATCAGCTCACCTTTTCTATTTTGAACTTGCCTGAAGCACAGCAACAACATTTCAATCAATCGATCACGTATTTGAAGGATGCATCCATATATTTACAAGAGTTGGGTAACGCATGGTACGAGCTAGCACTCATGCGTTGCTTCCGCACTCTCCAATCCGTTTTGGAAACGCTCGACGGCTTCACAGGCATGGCCGAAAATATGAAATTTCAAAAAGATTGCGACCATGCAATGTCCAAAATCATTGAGCTAGTCGGTTCTTATGCAGCGGAGATTCAGTCAGTAGTGGATGAGCAAACACTCTTTTTGGACATCTTAGGACGTATTGTAGATTATGTTCTCAATTATCTAATTCAAGATATTGAATCACTTGTTGACATTGGAGCAGACGAATCACACATCATTGCGCAAAACCTGAATAGATTAATGGGTTTGGTGGGTGCATTCGATCTACCTGGTCAAGACGCTACAGAAAACTTAATAATCAACTTAGTACCCAGCTGGCAAAAATTCTGGCTGCTTAAGGATATTTTGGAGATGAATATGCGAGACATCATGGATGCTTTTAGGAGAGGAAAATTACATATGTTCGAAAAATCGGAAATGATTGGATTGTTGTGTTCGCTATTCGCAGATACTGAATTAAGAGAAATGAACATTAAGGAGATCCAAGAGGGCAGTTCTTACTCTACTAGATTAGCAACGGACAATGAAAGCGCAAACTCAGGCCTACACCCAACGATAGCAGCAGCTGAGGATCAAACGCTGCCGACGCCAACAACAGGAGTGTCTCCACCTACTAGCACTATTACGTCATATAGACCTAATATGACGACTGCACCAGCGACTTTAACAGATACCAAACTGCATTTAAACTATAGTCCTGATGATATGGATATAGATGCAGCAGCTGAAGGATGGGGAATAGATGATGATGACACTTTGTTCGACAACCAAGATTTACCAACAGGTTCTGCTGATAAAATAGATGAAGAGGAGAATGATACTAAAAAGGCCGCAACAATTGATCACTCTACAATATCAAGTTCTTCATCTTCGGTGTTTCCTCAAAAGAATCATCTGGCAATAATGGCCGGGGAAACGGATATTGAAGAAGCAACTGCAGATGGTTGGGCAGATGACGACGACGATGATCTTTTTCGCGTGGAAAGATATCTTTGTAAAGATGACGATGAGGAAGACACCGATACAAAAGAGATTAATATTTCCAAACAACCTAAAATCGCAGTTAAAGAGCGGCCAGAGACAGCAATGACTTCTTCTTCACCATTGACTATTCGAGATGATATACAAGACGAAGAAGAAAATGATGGCTGGGATGATGACGAATTGCTTTTTGATGAAGAAGATTTAAGATAATACTTTTCCTTCATCTCTAAATCAAACTAATTTTACACAGCATATTGTACATGTAACCAATGCTTTCAATCTCTTAGCCTTTAAGAAGTATAACAACCATAAACCTGTAAATATCATAATTTAACCAAATGTAAATAATATATGCATATTGCAAGAAAAGACTTCTGTTGCTTTTATTACAATTTTTTCTTGGGTAAGGGGACCTTTATTCGAAAGAAAATCATAGGACAAAACAACTGAGGAGAAAAAAAGGGAACAAATATACAGGCAAAAATGAAATTATCTGCGACAGGATGTTTATATAAGGATGTTGTGATCTTTTGGAGACGATTTGGTATATAGATAGGCGATAAATACTCGAGAAAAAATAAAATAAAATAAAATAAAGTGGCATAGAATGAAGAAATGATCGCAAATAAGCAAATGGTATATCGAGGGTATGAAATATTAGGTTTATCAGCAGGAGGACCGGTATCTTCGAATATGAATTTTTTCATGTCTTTTCATATCATATTTCCTTGCAAAAGGTCGAGTACAATAACTGCACAAGAATGATTTTGGCCTGTGAGGATTATGCGTCAACATGTGTTCAATAAGGTTGTGTTTACGCTTTGATCTAAACAAAATGCAAGGTTATAATTTGACTACTTTAACAATATTTAAGCATGTTTTCAAGAACTTTACCTATGATTACATATGGGACACACATGCTTTTTGTCTGATGCTGCATCAAGCAAGCCCTTATTATTAACTATCTTAACATTGGCTGTTGCTGCTGCTGTAGCAGCATTAGTCGTTGGTCTTGCTGCAGCACTATAACTATATTGTGACGGTTGCTGATGGAATGAAAATGTTGTAGGATACGGTAAAGCATTTCCTTTCACGACCGGCGCGATCAGTAATCCATTATCGGTAGTAACAGAAATATCGTGATAGGTATTACGACGGCTAAATGCAGGTTCACTACTACCGCTACTGCTATTGCAGCCATAGCTTGAAGTCAAATTAGACAGTTGTGGAGAGGGTGTTGCGTTTGACAGATATGGAAACAGTAATGGCCGTTGTTCATTAGTCGTTGTATTTACTCGCGTAGATACTGTTACTGGTGATTCTGTAAAAAGACTATTATTGTTATTAAAGTCAGTTGCTGTAGCAATAGAGAAATTATCCTCTTGCAGAATGTAAGAATGTGTGTATGCCAAATTATTGCCGTCACTAAGGTTATTATTGACAGTACTAGCAGTTCTGAATGGTGGCATGGGTGTTTGTAATTTGTCAAAGTAATAAGGTGGTGTGTTAGGTTGTAAAGGGGAAGGATAGTAAGCATCAGTACTCAGGTCATTATCAACAGTACATAAGTCAAAATTGCTTCCGCTGCCGTTGATGCTGTTGATGCAGTTGCTAGTTATCTGTTGAAGACAGCTGTTGTTACTGTCATAAGCTGCTGTATAGTTTGGAACATTTGGAGGATGCGGTATAAGTGTGTTGGGATTGACAGCTATGTAGTTGTACAAATTGAAGTCAATCTGAGCAAATTCAGGGCTTATAGTATCGCAAGACATTTTTTATGGCTATGTATATAATGTGTAACGTATATGTTCAAATAGTTGTAAATATTTGTTAATTATGTCAAAAAGCGAGTAAGTTGGAACTTGAAAAAACAGGCTCCAAATAGTTTATATTTATATCTTTTCGGTTTTGGAATCATGCTTATACAGTGATCCCCAGAAGGACCCGTTTTTTTTATTTTAATGTAAACCTATATACCAACAAACTGCATGTCATCAATTACATTATGTGTATACTATAAAATATAGGGGAATTTATTTTTCTGGAAAAAGGTTTTTGATGGCAAAAACTGGATTACATTTTTGGAGGTTTTGACCCTTATCTATTTTGATGATGCGATCAAATTTTAATCTAGGCAAAGAAGAACATTTGAATTTCATAAGGGGCCTGTTTAGGCAGGTGGTGGTTATGAATAATAGGCATAGGTACCTTTCCCATAGACGTAATACTGTCTTCCTAAAATGGAAGATTGCATCTTTCGAAGCCCCCCAGATTCAATATGGACATATTTCATAAATCAATTATTGAATACTTTTTGCTATCTGTAAAACATTAAAACGAGAAGGTACTTAATAGTAAGTGTTCCTGAGCGCAAAACAATCATCTTATTTTGATCTTAAAAGATCGAGCATTAGGCTAGAGCGCATTGTATACTTGATAAGACCAAATGAATTGAGAACGATGATCTCTGGATAGACCCATATTTCGGCAAACTTCTTTTAATCGTCGTTTACGTGTTTATCCTTTTTAAGCTTAAATAAATCTAACTTTCGATACATTTGCACTGAGCACAAAATGAAAACGAATGTTTTCAATCTGCTGTAAAAGTAGTGTAGAATAACCCAATGTTCGATAAATATTACTTCACCTATCAATATTCATCTCGAAAATGATGATCAGAATAGTCATCTGAAGAGATTATTCGGCATTACACATGGAATATCCTGTTCTCTGCTGTATCAGTTTCTATGACAAGGAAAGTCTCTAACGTGTCCATTATAGAATGCAAGGAAAATCTTAACTGATAGAAGAATAGATGGCAAGGTTCTTTACTGCTTTTGCGAGCACTGCACGTCGTGTTAAACGCTGTCGTACTGTTAGTATTCAAAGTATCGTTGTCATATACCAATAGCATCTAATTATATACTATTGTTTGTTTAAAAAAAAAAATCTTTATTGATTCTGGTAGAATCTTCACGTTAACAATAAATCCGAATTCATAGTCATTTCACTGTATTTCCTTTACCAAATTACAGAGCCGGTAAAAATTGGCCGAATATTACAAGCCAAAGTGCCCTCTTCACGTAACAGTTAAACATTATACATATTATATCGTACTGGAAATATACCACTATGAATCTACCTTTTAAAGTGAATTGTTTACAATACTAAAAAGACCTCATCCTATTATTGAACCTTTGGTGTTCTTCTCCGTAAATAGTTGGAAACTGTCATGTATTTAACTTTGCGTTTATCCTTGCATATCTTATGATTACACCACACGAGGCCATATTCCTTATTGCTTGCATATAGTGTGCACTATGCACTGCAACTTAATGAAACTTATTGCTGGTACAAAACTTTAGAGATAATAGTGCTTTATTTTTTGAGTTGTTATCTCTTAACGATGTGTAAAATTCTCGAATAATTTTAGCCTGAAGGTTGATAGAGTTGGGCAAAGTTAGTCTGCGCAAAAGACCCAAGAAAAAATTAAGTTGAATCCAAAATAGCCTCAAACAACAACCCAATTTAGCATGTCTTAATTGACTTTTGACCGAACAATGTGGTTGATCTTGTTCTGCCAAGAACTAAAAGCTAGCGGGATTAGAAAATGTTACTGCTGCTACAATTGGGAGAAGCTCTACATTTCATCGCTCTGCACATTTGCATTTTTCTGACACTTTCAGTTATCTTCATTTTTTTTACATTATAATAAAAGAAAATTATGAAGAAAAAAACTTTCACAAAGAATCAGATTAAGAAAAGTATAGTAAAAAGTATATACAGGCAATACAGTAAAATAATGGTCCTTATCCTTTCTGTCATTTTCAATAATACTAGCATTTACAGATCATGATATTACAGATTCGGGAATGATAGGCGGAGAATATCTACTGAAAGCACTGGTATCCCTTAATTTGCCTGCTGAAGAATCAGATCTGCCAGATTTACTCGAGTCCGTGGGTCGAGAAGAGGAGGGTGCTGTCAATCTGGATGATTTTATTGATATAGTCACGGAATTGCAGGTATATTTATGCACTTGAAAGACTGAGATCGCTAAAAAAGGACAGACCCTTATTATTACGTTATGTGCATTAAGTAACCAAACTTGATGAATAGGAGGTGGATGAAGAAATGGAGGGGGATGAGGAGGACTTTGTTATGGAAGAAGTTGAAAGCGAAAAAAAAAGTGCCACGGTAGACCGAGCCTTTCAGATATTGGCTGATCCCGCAGTAAACGGCATCACAATTGAGGCTTTAAAGAGAGCTTGTGCTGCACAAAAAGAGAATTGGACAGAGCCGCAAATCTTGGAAATGATGAATGAAGCAGATCGTGACCATGATGGAATAGTAGATTCGAAAGATTTCGAAGCCCTGTGCAAAAGAGCGGGCATAATTTAGTTTTCAAAAAGATGATAATATTTTAATATAACCCCAAATTATCTTGCTGTGACATTTAAGCGTATACCCTTAGGAGGTTGCAAAAACTTTGCTGTGTTAAATGGAAGAATAAAAAGCACATGCTTGTGCATCAAAATATGTTGTGGTAAGGAGAGAGGATTCGGGCATTTTCCATTTATGGCTTTACGTTTACTCTGTTTGATCAAAGTAACTGCCTGTTTAAATCAATTTAAAAGTCTTCATAATCGTCTGTTGTGAATATACAAAGAGTTAGAGGAGCCATTAACATAAATTAAGCGAAAAGATACCACAAAATAGATATTTTTTTCTTACCTTCAATGCCATTGATAGCGTGCAAAAGGAACACCACGGCATTAGAGGTACATTGCATTTGAAAACCATGATATAAACCTCTAAAGCTCCAATCTGTCAACACTCCTCTTCCTCTCAGCAGCTTTTTATTACTATTCTTTGCCTTCTTCTTCTCGCAATTTGGACGCCCGCCTTCTTCCTTCATAATACTGCAAAGAGCATCTATAATACCTGCATAAGGAACAGGTCGTAATGCTACGACCGTTTCATATTGCTTTTTTCCAGGTGTTCGTGTTCGAATTTGACATTGAAGGCGTTTGCGTATGGTGTCCAGTGGTAACATGATGATAACATCTAAAGTGTTTAGACACAATTCCGCAAAGCTATACAAGAAAGGTGATTCGTTGACTGAAATGTGAAAGACTCGATCAATAATGAGTGGGATAGAATTCTGAATAAGTGGCGTAAGTGTATGGTAAAGGATGGTTGGTAGTAAGTTATGATTAAGATATAGCCCCTTAACACCGCCTTCTTCTTGTATAATTGTTCTTAAAGCGTGAAAAGGGCCTTTATATTTTCGCTGCAACGGTGATGACGATTGAACTTGAAGTCTATCGTCAAGAAACTTTTAGTTTTTTGAGCAATTGATGGGAGTGTACAACTTATATCCATTTCCGTGACTTTTTACCTTGTTCTGATAAGCTCCAATGGACTTAAAAACACACCTACTAGTAAATTACTCGCTACCAATGTGGCCAAATTGGGACCCACATTATCTAAATGTACAAGCGGGATAGTGTCATCGTATAATCCGAATAGATCATTCAAACTTCCTTCCAATGTCGGCTGTAAGAATAAATGTGAAATGTCATAAAGCCAATTGGTATATTGTCCTTTAAACAGTGAGCGCCACCCTTCGTGTGGTTGCTTCATGAGTTTCTTTATACCGCTCCATACGCCGCCTTCAATGGGCTTCATTTGATGTGGTGGTCGTGTTGACTCGTCATAAACACTCGTTTGAACCACATATCCACTGGCATCCACGTCCATTTTTTGCTTGAATACAGGGTCATCCACATTTAACGTTGATGAATTCAAATTGTCATCGTCCGAGTGATGTTTTCTTCTTCTATATCGAGCATTTTCAAAGAATTCTTCTTCGATGTCTTCCTCTTCTTCCTCGCCTGAGTCACTACTAAACTGGAGAATTTGAATAAAAAGGAAAAGTATAGTGTTTCGAATAAGTTGATGAATACAAGTGCCAATCCATAATTCATATATCATATGCCAAACACTCTTTTACCTGTTCTTCTTCATTATCTGAGTAACCCTTGTCAGAATTGTTCGTTTGCGAAAATGAAGACAATTCTTTATTTCCACGCGGCATATATTGCACTTGCAACAATGTTCTGGACACTTCGAATGGACTACTGACAGCTGAAGTCATATACTTCAATACTATAAAATTAATAAGCTCCCGAGCTGCAGCTTTGGAATCGATCAAATCATCATAATTGTTGGAGGCGTAAGGCATAGCGACGCTTTGAGCATCAGGTACAGTAGTGTAGTTATTATTTGTGTTTAGCCCCGGGGTGTAGTATGGTCGTAACCCATTTCCCGCTACTGTTGTGAAAGGACGAGGCGAATTTGTTGACATCTGCTTATAGCGCTAAATGTGAGTATAAGAATTTGAAATACGTCCGTTGATAGAAAAGAAATTGTTGAGTGTTCAAGAATGAGGGGCACAACCCTAAAGCCTTTTCGATCAATGTGACGTGCTGTAGAGCCCAAAATTGTCTGTGTGAACAAACTCCACTTTTAAGACAAAGCTCGCTCAAGCGCAAAACGTCTTACTATACATATGGGATATTTCACTGAATGAGCGGAGTCCTGCTCCGGAAATCTTTTGTCAGTTACGGAAAAGAGTGGAACAATAACGAAGGCACCTCCGCAAACCATCTATTATGTAAACATTATAATGATTGCGATGATACCATTGCCGGCATAGGACGCCTCATCGGTGACAAATGTCCTTTCTTAACTGGCCGTGGATATCGCCAACGAAAAATCGCATAAGTTACGTCAATGCAAATGTCAGCGAAGATTGTTTACGTAGCTTAATGGCGTCGGATTACACAAAGCAGTTCAAATTTGTTTCACCGCCTCCAAATCATAATGAATATAATTTTTGCATCCATAAAAGGAAGAGAAGGAAGGATCGTAACAGGAGTTTTAGTATGATAATGTCATTGTGAGTATATCATGCACTGATGTAAATGTCCTTTCAAACATATGCTCTTTCCAACTTCCACTAGGAGAATAGAAAGTTCAGAAGTGACATTATAGGCATTTCGACCTAATTATACTTGAAACAAATTTTTTGCAAATAGACTTTCCTCCAACTGGAACACAGATCAACGAAAAATGATGTCGTGTTTGCTCCATCATAATGAATCTCAGTCCTTTTCAGTTCCTTCATAGTAAGGCTATTTTTCCTATGGTTTCAGTCTTTTACTGAGAGATTTCTGATTTTGTTACAAGCAACAGTATATACCACAAAGCAACTGCAACGATCGATACATATTTATCAAGTTACCCTGATTTGGCAAATATTCCCATAGCAGTGTCCTATGAGGTAAAGGCAAAAAAGTAAGCCTTCTATTGCTAATGTTTGAAGTACCGCTTTTTCGCAGAAAACTTGTCCAGTTCTTTTCTTTCCCTTTTCCATACTGCTGATCCTTTCACGTCATAATGTGCTAATTCTCTTTTCCTGCTTTTTGCATGAAAAAGTGTGTTCATTCCCGTTTCTTGAAAAATAGTATAAAAGTATTTTGAGATTCGGATATCTTATAATTGTTTCCTTTGAATTAACATTAATTTGCTTAATATGTCTGCCTTCAATAATAACAGCTCTTCAACCTATAATACCGGTTTGGATAAACGATCTAATCGAGTAATGGATCAAGCCGCTCCTTCTCATGGTCTTGAATCGAACGAAATGAACTCATCGACCTATAATACCGGTCTGGATAATCGATCTACTCGAGTAATGGATCAAACCGCTCCTTCTCATGGTCGTGAATCGAACGTAATGAACTCTTCTGATAACACCGGCCTGAATGATCGATCTGCTAGAGTTATGAATCAACAGGTTCCTTCTCATGGTCATGCTTCGAATGAAATGAACTCTTCCTATAATACCGGTCTGGATGGTCCATCTACCAGAGTAATGGATCAAACCGCTCCTTCTCATGGTCATAAATTGAATGAAGCGTCTACTTTCGGTCATCACAACGCTCCTACCCGTCATACTGGTCTGGATGATCGATCTACTAGAGTAATGGATCAAAAGGCTCCTTCTCATGGTCATGAATCGAATGAACTAAACTCTTCCTATAACACTGGTTTGGACGATCGATCTACTAGAGTAATGGATCAAAAGGCCCCTTCTCATGGTCATAAATTGAATGAAGCGTCCACTTTCGGTCATAACAACGCTCCTACCTATAACACTGGTTTGGACGATCGATCTACTAGAGTAATGGATCAAAAGGCCCCTTCTCATGGTCATGAATCGAATGAACTAAACTCTTCCTATAACACCGGTCTGGATGGTCCATCTACCAGAGTAATGGATCAAAGCGCTCCTCATGGTCGTGAATTGAATGAAAATCATGGTATTGCTGCAACAGGTTTGAATGAACCTTTTAATCATGCTAACGCCCCTCGAACTCAAGGTACTACCGCCGAACGCAACTTTGATCATAATGATATGAATTTCTCTGGTCCACGTGTTGCTACCAATACCGTCGATCAAACGAAAGGCAACAAGTTAACAGCTGGTGAGCAACCTCATAATGTTCATCACCATGACGAACTTGGCGGTAATGCTCATACACACGGTAATCACACTCACCATCATGGTGATCATCATAATCAACGACACGAAGTCAATGATGGTATCCACCGCGGTACAGGTGAGCACAAGTATAGCTTGGATCGTACTGGAGAACATGATCTTCGTAACGCCGGTGCCAAAGAAGGTGATCATGGCGCTTCTCATCATCAAAAACACACTACTGATAAGAACTCTACTAGTCTCGGTCATGCCGCTGCCCATCCTATTGATACTGCTAAAAACATGACTTCTAGTGGTTCCGGTAGTGTTGGTGCTACTGGTGCTGTTCCTGTTCGTCAGACTGAGAATGCTGATACCACTACTTCCAGCAATCGTCATCACGGCTCAGGCGCTACTGGTGCTGCTGCTACTGGTGCTGCTGCTACTGCTGCCCATCCTCTTGACAGTTCTAAGCATACTACTAATCCAGCCTCTAACAACCATCATCATGGATCTGCTCTCACTGGCTCCACTGCTACTGGTCGCGAACATGGTGCTCCTCCTCGCAAAGAAGGTGTATATGAAGCTGGTGGCGTTGGAGGCGCAGGTGCTGCCAATGGTGGACTCAATATTAGTGTTCCTAAGAGCAATGCCCAGGGTGCTGAACGCTATTATAGCGCTGGTGGTGTAGGTGGTGGAGTCGGTTTTAATTCTGACGAACGTACCAATGCTTATCCCGAACAAAGACATGCTGGTGAACCTCTTCATCCTGGTGTTAATGCTGGCAAAGTGCAGAAGGAACACGAATTAGCAGATAACCATAATGACAATACTGAAACTGGTAGGAAGCCTTCCACAAGTGATAAGATCAAGGGTAATATCGAAAAGCTTGCTGGTAAAATCACAGGTAATGAAGCCAAAGTTGCCGAAGGTGAAAATATTGCTCATGGTCGTGCTTAAATAGCCCAAAACCCTATTTTACTTTATTATTCCCCTTTTCCGGTAAATCATCGTATCTTTACTCATGATTTGTTGAAAATTTTTTCTGTACCATATGTATTATATAAATTTATACTATCTATCTGTTCTAATAAATGTATAAGTACTATTATCTATGACAAAACTCACTTTCTTCGTATGAAATGACTATAGCTCGTTAACTGATTTAAGAAACGTAGGTTTAATCTTCAGCTTCGCCTATTTTTTCTTGTCTCGAAAACCTTATCTACTCCAGATCCTCTCCTATTGATTCACAATCTTTTAAAAGGATTGTGCCAAGCACTATATACCATCGAAAAATGTATATTTTCAACTTCACATACAATTGTAAGATATATGTACAGTCCTTCCACTTTCATTTTAACGATACTTTGAAAATTAAAACCATAATTTGCTCGTATGTGTGAGGTCAATTGATCCAGCAAGAAAAAAAAGTGGTTTGAACAACTGTTTGAGTTCAATTGCCCAGCTTTTCTAAAGTAGAATCGTCTTCGAATAGGATCAACAATTCTTTACTATTTTTTTTATGTCCGAATGGTGCAAATATATACTGGTTTTAGAACTTATGGATAATGGTGCGAAAGGGATCAAACGGCAGGTGAGGACATATTACTCTAATAGAGTAATAGAGGGAGAGATACATAAAACTATAAGTTAGTGTGGGTTCATCTTTATTTTTCAATTATTACTGCAATTATTCATATTTTTTTTTTTTCTGTAAGTACTCTATTGAATTGTAAAAGGATAGTGTTAACTTGGTTTTGGATATGTATCATGTTTGTTGGACATAGTGATACATTTAATCTTCACATATTTTGTATTTTCAGAGATAAACAATACAGTATTTCTTCCATTTATCAGTTTGAATATTTGACCTAAACCATTGAATAATATTAAAACATACTTATCTACCGATATGTATTTGTGTATCATTATACATTTCTGTGTAATTTTGCCTTGCTATATTCCTTCATAAATACTATCTTCTTTTTCGTTCGCTTCTTATGTGAGATCAGAATCAGAGTATGATTTTACAGCTGAAATGTATTCGTCAATTCAATAATTCTTCTTTCGATGCGGTTTTCAGTCCCTTCTTTATGTTGTCCATTTTAAAAGCTGAATGTCTTTCTGTACTCCGTTATCATGGTTCAATATTAATGATCATTGACTAACGAATCACGATGAAAAAATATAGAGAAGACAAAAGCTAAATAAACGCCTTCTAAAGTAACTACAATAGTTTTAACTGATTTCACTTAGCTCAACTAGGACAAATCCGTTCTTAACTTCATTTGCATTTGGGTAGTTAAATGAAGCTAATTTTCGGATAGTGTATACTTTCTTATCAATAGTATTCATATTATACACATTGCAAGTTAGACCCATAACCTGTACGAAAGGAAAAATAAAACGTTTAATAGCAGATGGGGGGGTATGTATGGCAGGCGTCTTAAAGCAGCGTTCAAAAGTACCTTGGTTGATAAAGTAGACTTCAAATAGTCGAAATAGACTTTGTGGGGGCGCTATTGCAGATTCGCGAGCAAATTCTCCAGTTAAAGTGTCTAACGCTTTGGTATTGATATCCTTGATGATAATTCGAGAACCCAACTTAAAATGTAAGTACGACAACAACAAATGAAGAGACATTGTATCTCCCCTATATGAGTAGCTTTCATTAGTGCGTATGAATTCAGTTATTGAGTACAGTTTATAACTTACTACTGGACAAAATATTTGATTTCGACCAAAAAAAGAACTCTATCATTAGAACCCAGAACTTTGCAAGAAAGACATCAGAAAATTGCTTTTGAGATACTGGAGTGGATAAGACCGATTTGTTTACCAATTCGTCTAATCTATGTGAGATATTTACTTAGTTGCTTAGAATTGGTAACTGTGTTGAGTCGATGACTGTGAAGTTGGCCGATGGAATTTATATTACGGTTAAATAATTCATTTTATTGGATAAAATTTTTAATGACCTGTGAGCACGTAATGCCTTCAATGCATTGGGCCTGCTCTGGCCAGTTCCAGTGGTTGTATAGAACTAAAAACCCTTTTAAGAAACAAAAGGTGAAAAGGAAAGGAAAAGGAAGAGGGAGAAGGTAACAGTCAAATAATAAACAGCTATGATAACAATCAGTCTATAACCTACGCCCAAAGAAGTTCAGCATCAGCAGAATAACAATGAGAGGGAAACATCCGTGCGTAAGAGCTCTGAAGAGCCCTAAATATTGTGATTATAGCCTCTCAAACAAGAGAACTTTTCTTTAAACACAAGATCGAAAAGCTGATGTCAGTCAGGGCTGCTGCACTTCAGGCAGGTGTTGAAGAAAGCACTGCGCGCACCTGGTGGAAAAAATACGAAGAAAACCCTGAATCATTTGTTCTCGGCAAGAGCACCAACCGCCAGAACAGACCAAAAGCACAGCTTCAGGAAACGCATAAGGAATGCGTGAAGCAATTTTACGACGAGAATCCTAATGCTTATATCCAGGACGCTGTTGAAATTCTCACGAGCCAGTTTGAAGGCCTTGATATTAAAAAGTCTAGAGTGCATGAATTCATGAAGACCGAATGTAACTTGACCTTTAAGCAAACGACTCTCTGGTCTGAGGCAAGAATGAGCACGATTAAGATACGCTACAATTGGGTTGTTGAATGGAGTCAAACGGACATGAAATATTCCCAAAATTGCGTGTTTATTGATGAAGCCGGCTTTAACATTAACATGAAGTCTAGCAGATCATGGGCACCAAGGGGCCAAATGGCAGTAACCACTACATCTACGACAAAAGCCCCCAGCCATACCATTCTTGGTGCTATTTCAGTAGTTGGCGTAATAAATTTGAGTATACGTGTTCCAAGACAGCCACCAAAGGTGAAAAAAATTCAAGGTGGTAAGAAAAGGAAGAATTCTGAAGCAGTCGCTCTTTTCAATGAGCCTAAAGAAGGAACTACCACCGAGCATTATTTGAGATTCTTGAGAGAAACGTTGGATAATGGATAGGTACGATGAAATGAAGGGCTTTCACCTCATCATAGACAACGTTCCTATTCATTCGCGTAGGGAGGTCAAAAGTTTAATCGAGGGACGTAACAGAAATTATAAATGTGTCTTCATCCCTCCTTATTCTCCAGAGCTCAACCCCATTGAACAGTTTTGGGTTCTAGTTAAGCGTAAGGTTAGACGTCATAGCCGGCGAGATACCGAAACACTTGAAAATAGAAGCTGCTCATGAAACTCCTATTGAGCATCTGAAGAACATTATTTTGCACTCCAAGAATCAATTGAATAATATACCAATCTAAGCATTTTTTCAAAATAAACTTGGAACAATCAGTTGATTTTTTTCTGTTAGTCCCCCCATTTTTTGTTTGAACCTCCGCGAATTTATTTCAAAAAATTCTCGAATTGGAACGACTGTATTGTGGGGACGCGTATGCTAGTCACTAATTTCAGGTACAGATGCTTGATGTGTGATTATTATACTTAAAGCCATTATTTCATTATATGTTGTAAATAACCTATATTACAGGCAATATAGATGGAATGTATTCTCTACCCGGTTGTACGTACTCGAGTACCGTAGTTGTTATCTCACCAAACACGTCACAGAGTACAGCCAAAAAGAAGACCTAAAATTCATGCTACTGATGAAATTGTATTTGGAGGTTTGAAAGGCACATTAGGGGAGAAGACTCTTTCAGTGGGCTATGAAGTGGAGATCAATAGCTGTAAATCAAAGTGTATTGCATTGTTGTCTCGCAATGTCATCATCGACTTCAGTGACGCTGAGCAGCTGCAATTGATTGGTATCAAACTAAATCAATTAAACAGTAGATTCCAGTTAAGCATTGATGGAGTGGAGCGGGACATAGCAGAATTACACAAGGGTACTTTGAAGGTAATATACAAACAACACAACTTACTATGTAAAAATCTGTACAAATACTAGCGAACAATTTAGACCGAAGAATGCTGAATCATACCATCAGAGTAATTCGAATGAAAGAGGAACAAAGATGATATATGTACATATGTAGGTTCTGTAACACTATAGAATACAGACGATATACTGATTCAAGATTCACGCTACCTAGCATGGATCAAATTGTTAACAAATCAATCTTATTCCATGGTTCTTCACTAAACCAACTATCGGAAATGTCATTCCTGGTCAAATTCTGGGGTCCAGTGATCGAGCTTTTTTTCGATCCCAACAAATACCTGATACAATGGTAGATTTAAATCCGAATTCTTGGTTAAAAGCATGCATACTGATGATAAACACTTGCGTAGGGGCGACACAATGTCACCACATTTCTCTGTGAGCAATGTGCATCTATCGGCCACCAGTTGTGTAGCTCAGATACTGTGGGAATAATTCTAAATGTTAGCTAGGAAGAGATATTCGTGCATGGTGTTCTTTTGATTGGCATTTCAAGTTGGACTTTAGACTTATCGTAAAGAAAGGATTTTAATAATGAAGACGTGGTTGTTACGACTGGAGAGCTGGCACGTCATTCATCAACAACTGCGGTTAAAATGAACAAAGATTTTACAAAATCTGCGCTTGCGACAAAAGCCCATTTGAACGCTGCATTGAAAAGAATGTCATACATTCCCTCCAAAAAGTTAAAAACGTTGTTGCCCCCATAATTCAACTTATGGGATTATCTTGCATCGTGTACGACATGAATATAGTTGACAAAAAAGTTTATACTTTGTAGAAGCTATATTCATTCAATTATCCCAGTACACTTCGTGAAGTTAAAAAAGGTGGAATTAAGGCATTGTTAGAAGGATTTGGCCTAGTGATAGTAAGTGAACTATTTTAAAACCTAAGCTTCATTAGAGAAAATGAGTAATTTTTTGCTTCTCTTTTTCGTTCTACTATTTTTCATTTGATCCTGCTAGTCAATGATCAAAAATATTGAAGCGATGATCATTGAGTACAGTAGAACACCTCCTAATAACATGCATGATATTAAGAATGGGAAAAAGAAGAATAAGATTGCTGCTATGAGCAATATTGATGAGTATATCTCTGCCGTTATACAATTTTCCAAAGAAGAACAAGAAGACGAAGATGAAGAAGATGGTGAATAAGATGGTGAATAAGAAGACGGAAAGCAAGAAAGTGGAGATGATTTTGATGTTGCGTGGTGATTTCTATTATGTATACAATCAACTACCCCTTTATAATAGCTATTGCTTTAATTAAAATATGTCCCAGAAGCTTCCTGCATTTTTAACCCATCCAAGACAGTAATCGGGGATAAACATTTTGATTGCTTCACTTATACAAGGAGAGAGCTCGTCACCTTTCTGAGGAGGGTTTATTCTGATGCTTGCTTTAATTTTAACCCAGCACTCCTTGGTAGAGCTCAATAAAGGTAAGTATGGAGGTATAAACAATGTTTTATAGCCGCGTTTGTTGATTGCATCAATGACAAACAGGGCATGTTGAATTCAACAATTATCCATCACGATGAAATACCCTTTCAGGTCCAAAACCGTACACATTATTACTTCCGTAAATCTCACATATCATTAGGCAGTAGTACCCTTGATCGGCTTTTTGGGAAGATCTTCACTATTGGATTTCCTTTTCTTTGTGTGGTGGTTGCTGATTTCGATGTTCGAGTTTTGCCACTTCACTTATACGCAATTATTGCACCTTAAAAAAGTCGTTAATGCCTCAAGCACAAATGCATCTGATTAGGCTCAAATTGATTTTGAGTCATGACTTTGACTGCAGCGTATGTACCACGTTTTGACCATGCGCGACTCCAACATAAGTTGTGTGTTGAAGCCGGCCTCATCTACAAAAACGCAGTTCCTGCAAAAATCAACACCTGCGGAAATCCATTCGTTTACGATAGTGAAACGAAGCTCAATGATTCCTGGTGTATCTCATTTCAGCTTTATACTTATTTGCTCTTTTCAAGGATAATGAGCACTTAGTAGTCATATGCTCCTAAAGGCTAGGGATTGGAATGCTTAAGCCTTCGAAATAAGCACAGGCTTCCTATCTTGCAATAACTATAGATTTTAAAGAGTTTGCATCAAACAATGCTATAAGGAACTCTGTATGCTCAATTAAGAACCTATATGCTGTAGACTATGGAATATCGCATTTAGCCGCAGCTTTAGGAACAGTGAGTCCTGCTTCCTGAATCAAATTAATTAAACGTCTGAAGCTTTGCTTATTATACATCTCGTATTTTTTTCAGCGTAATGGAGACCCATTCAGTTCTGCTGCTTAGATTGTCTATACTTTCATCCTTTGCAACAGCAACAGCAACAGTAGCATCAGACTGCTCCTACATTTCTTCGAAATCAGCGAGTTTTTCGGTCTGACCGAATACGTCCGTTGACGGAGATGAGGACAAAAATGTGGTAACAAGCTCCAAGAGCCGCGCTTTATTTTCCTTTTATGGTTTAAAAATTATAATAAATTCAAACTATACTCTATACTTTCCCTTTTCCCTTTATACCTTCAAAAGGCGTATCAGCTCAATTTTTTATTTTTTTCTCTAAGACAGGGAGGGCAAGATTTAAAGCTAAATTAAATGATTTGATTCTTCAACCAAGAAAACCAAGTAGGGTGGGTTGTTACCACATTTTTGTCCTCATCTCCGTCAACGGACGTATTGTTGGTCGTGCCTTCAACAATCCTTGTTGACTGCGACTCGGACTCCAATGTGGTACTTTCTCCTTGTGAAGAAAAAATTGAGTTGGCTATAATGGTACTGTTGTTTCGTTGAGCCGTTGGCTTAAAATAGTGTTTCTCAAAGGTGTTGGATCGATGACTCCAATTTGCATGTTGTTTGACTTGATCTATTGAGATTCCATTCTCGACCGCCTTGGTGCTGGATGCGGATCGGATGGAATGTGGTTTATAAAGGTTAGTATCAATACCAGCTTTTGCCATGGTTGCAGAGATCCATGTGGCGACAGTGGAGGGACTAGCGGACTTGACCTTATCAGGTTCATTGAGGTATGCTAGAAATAGTTTATGATTCTCTGGTAAATTACTCCTAAGGTGACTGGATTGTTGGATAAAGCAGAACAAAGTCGACACCAAGCACATATTGCGGTCTTCAACCAGTCCTAGTACCATTGATTTAACCTGGGCTTCTTTCGCCTCTCTAAAGTGTATCATCACTGATACCGGTTCGTCATCACACAGTTCCAGTTGTACATCGCGATATTGTACACGGCCAACGTCGGATCGGGGTCGGGCCATGGTTATCAAGCAGAATAGGATAATTGTTTTTTGTTGAAGATCATAAAGATTCAGAGATTAATTATCAGGCCATTCTTTTTTGATAAAAGCGACTAGCATGTTGGTATCCCATGTCTGTAGTTTCTGTCTCGTTGGAATTTTCACCTCGGAACGTTTCTTAGCTCTAAAGAATTCTAATATGCATTCTTGGCTTGCCAATGGTTCTTTCGCTGGATACAGAACCTTGAAAACGGATGCTATAGACGAGCGTAAACCATTCAGATACTGATATGAGAAATGACGATGTTCTAGCAAAAAACGTAGCACAATGTTTTCATCGTAAATCGTAGGTGATGTACGTTGTGGTTGAGATGCGCACCATGCTGTCCATTTTTTCCAGCCAGCATTGTAGGTCCTGTGGGTATTGTTGCGTTGTGCATGGGATAGGAACTCGATAGTGTCTTCTCCTAGGTCACCAACGGTTTTCCTCTTGTGGTAGATAAGTGCCATGCGGCCATCTTCCATCGTTGTATCTTGAACATCAAGGGGTTGTTGATGTGTCGCATCTTCAGTAGTGTTGGAAACCAAAACTGAGTGGGCCAATATGGTGTATCAGTACCGCTTTTTGTATCTTCTGCTGTTTGATCATTTGAATGGTTTTTGGGATAAATTTCCAAGGCGGAAACAAGTACATGCCCTGTTTCATCCAAGTTTGTTGGAAAGCATCTGTGGCGGTTGCTTCCGGGTCCGGGCGAAGACTCCAAAAATTCGGTAGTTTTGTGTTCATTCTGTCCGCAAAAGCATCTATCTTCAGGGGTCCCCATTGCTGATTGATTCTTTGGAATACTCTTCGTGGCATCTGAGCATTGTATATCAGATTTGTCGATGTTTGATGGTGTTGCCTGCTCAGCCAGTCGGCTTGTATATTTTCTCTTCCCGGAATGTGTTCGTATTCCACCTCTAGATGGTAACAGTTGCATATCTCTTGAATCTGTATTGCTAGATCTTGTAGAACTTTGGACGCTGTGCCCCCCGATTTGTTGCTGTATTTGAGCGCTGTCATGTTGTCGGTGAACAATCTGATTTGTGATTTGGGGTGTTGTTTGGCATGGAGTTTTAATGCAAAGTAGATTGCTGTGAGTTCTCTCGCGTTGATCGATAGATTCTTCTCCGTAGCTGTCCACGCTCCGGTTGCTTGTATTGTGGAGGAACTTACTCCCCATCCCAGGTCCGATGCATCCACATAGATTTTCAATTCTTGTTGCCTGTTGCAGACTGTTTTTCTGATGGGTAGACCGTTCTTCTTGTTCATCCATTGTGTCCACCAAATTAATTCGTTCTTGCTGTCTGTAGATAACGACATCGGTGCATTCCAATTCTGATAGTACTTGTTCAATGTCAACGCTAAATCTCTCTGCATATGTCGAATATGTAACAGGGCTTCGCCCATTGCTGGTATCATCGAGGTCATTTTCCCCATCAGACCCGCGTACCACCGGCAATTGTATTGGTTGTGTTGAGCTTTGAGTGCTTGTTTGATTCGGAGCATTAGTTTTTTTAACTTCTTGCCAGGAACCGTGATTTGCATCTTCTTGGTGTTGAAGGTGAATCCTAGGAATTCCTGTTGTTGCAGAGGTGTTAAAACGCTCTTCTGGAAATTGATCAAAAATCCCAAATTTTCCAAATGTGATAACACTTTGTGGGTGTGATTCTTGGTCTCTTCGATTGTCGATCCCAGCACACATATATCGTCTAAGTAATACACCAGACGAATGCCTTGCTGCCGTAGAGGCTCGATCGCAAAACGCATCATTTTGCTGAATACCCTTGGGCTTACACTCATCCCGAACGCTAAAGTTTTGTATTGGTATACAATTCCTTGGTTCTGAAAAGTTAGATATTTCTTTGAGTTGGGGTGAATCGGTGTGACCACATAAGCGTCTTTCAGATCCAGTTTGCAAATAAAATCGTTCTGCTCTATAATCTCCCTTAGAGCTGGTACTCCCTCCATCTTGAAATGTTGGCATTGAATATATTTGTTGATTTGTTGACAATCCAAGATTGGTCGACGTTTGGTGGTTTCCTGAATGGTGAAAAAATTGGATAGATATTCCGTGCTCTGCGTGGGTGAGATCTCTATGATCCCTGCACGAAGAAACTTCTCCACTGCTTCGTTGACTGCTAATTGCTCGATCGGGTTCAAGTTGATCCGACGTAATTTCCAGGGTGTAGGTTTTTTTATTAGTGGAATTTGATAACCCTCCTGTACGACTGATAAAGGCCATGGGTGTCTTGTGATGGCCTGCCATTGTGGAATAAATCGCTGTAGTCGTCCTCCTGGTGCTATTCCATCGGTAGGAATGCTGTAGTTGGCTGTGTCCGTTATTGGTTGCTGGGGATGTTGGAGGTGTTGTTGTTGGCGTGGTGAGGTTGATGGCTGTTGTGTGAATTGTTGGTGTAACTGTTCGGTTGATTTCCCCAACTCTGAGGGGTACCCTGGCCAAAAAAAGACCCTCGTGATCCATTACCTCTTCCATATCTGAAGCCTCTGCCTCCTCGGTGGTTACTTCTGGAACCAAATCCATTGCTTCTACTACTTCCTCGGTTTCCACTGGCTTGTTGAACCAGTTTCTGTTCAAAGGTGGCTTGATGGAATTTGTTGAGGAATTCATCACTGTAAGCGTTCTTTGTTTTGGAGTCCTCTTCTGTTGATTCCAAATGTCTAATGCTGACTGGGAGGTTAAGAGCCTTGTCGGAATACTCTTTTGCTTCTCTTTCTTGGGCCTTTGCCGTTGCGAGCCCAAAGATCGCCAAACGTTTGCTTTGTTCCCTACATTTTTCGATGATAGTTTGCACTTCTGCTTGGTTGGTAGCTTCTCCTAGAACGTATTGTAGTTGTTCAAATATGTCCATTGCCACTCTGGCTTGGAACCTGGTGTTGTCCGTGATCTTATAGATCGTGTTGACAACCAGTGTTGTTTCAGTTGAATGTCGTTTGAGATAGGGCATGATGGTTCCATTAATCTTTTCTGGAGTTGTCCATTCACCCAGGGCATACCTTTGTGTTTCCCGCTTGAATTTCTTAAAGTTCTCCTGGAGTTGATGCTGTGGGGTGTTGGCCAATGCATCAGAGATTTCCACTGGTATTTCAGTTCCCTGGGCTCTCTCTTCTTTTTCGACGTCGATTTGTTGAATGACGTTTCGGATAATTGCTTCCATCTCACTTTGTGTATAGGTTCGTTCGTTGTTGCCATTGATGTTAATATCACTCATAATTTGATCCACGAATGCGCGGCTTTTGAAGGTATAAAGGGAAAAGGGAAAGTATAGAGTATAGTTTGAATTTATTATAATTTTTAAACCATAAAAGGAAAATAAAGCGCGGCTCTTGGAGCTTGTTACCACATTGGAGTCCGAGTCGCAGTCAACAAGGATTGTTGAAGGCACGACCAACAATTCAACAATGTCGTCAACCGAATCCAAAAGCATACTCAATTTCAATCAGGATAGGCTCGTTTACGGGTTTGTAACCGATGTAATTCATACTTTATAGGGAAGTGTAAATACAAAAAACAAACGTCATCCATTTTTTAATGCTACCGTCTACAAATGAAGTCTACAAATGCTTTCCACAAAAAAATAAAATAAAATTGGAAATGTCTCGTTTAAGGTACTGGACTGACTGAGTCCGAAAAATCATGGATTGGTAATCACTCCTTCATTGGACGAAAAGCATATCTGACGGGAAAAAAGGCAAAAATGGCCCTGGCTGCCTATAGATATTCTCCAACTAACTTCAAGTGCTTTGATATCCTTCAACTCGTATAATTTGTTGAACAACTAGACGAACATGGCATCAAAGCAAGCTCTTTCCAAATTCTCTAAATCATTCTTAAGGAATAATAGAGGTTTGTTGGTGAGTAGTGTTGCGAATTGCTCCATGCGCCATTTGCCAAGCTTCGTTTACCCGCTGACAAACCTATATTTTTTCTAGTCTGGTCGCACCTTTGCAACAACAACGAGCTTACTTCCTACCTTACGTAAAACAATACTACCAAATGGTTTTACAGTAGCAACAGAAGAAAACCCTGCGTCACAAACAGCTACTGTTGGGGTTTGGATCGATGCTGGTTCTCGTGCTGAAAATGAAAAGAACAATGGAGCTGCTCACTTTTTGGAGCATATGGCTTTCAAAGTAAGTTATGACTACGGAATGTCAAAGCGAGCAGTTTTTGGAAATGGTCATTTACACCATTTCCGCTGTTGTAGGGTACTAAATCCAGAAGTCAAAGAGATCTAGAACTTCAAATTGAAAACATGGGTGGACATCTTAATGCATATACTTCAAGAGAGCAAACAGTTTATTATGCAAAAGCATTCAAATACGACGTACCGAAAGCAGTTGAAATTCTCTCCGACATTCTTCAAAACTCGACGTTAGACCATGGTGCCATTGAAAGAGAGCGTGATGTGATTTTAAGAGAGCAGGAAGAAGTTGAAAAGCAAATGGAGGAGGTTGTTTTCGACCACTTACACGCTACAGCATTTAAAAATGAATCTTTGGGTTTGACGATCTTGGGCCCTAAAGAGAATATACAGTCGCTCACCCGTGATGACCTTTCATCTTACATTAAGACGAACTATACAGGTGAAAGAATGATTCTTGTTGGAACAGGTGGTGTTGACCATGATGCACTCGTACAACTAGCCCAAAATCATTTTGGACAATTACCCAATAAGCTTAATCTATCTACCAGCAAAAGTGCCATGAAAAAGGCTGTATTCACCGGTGATGATTTCAGAATTTACACTCCTGAAGCTCAACAAGCACATATTGCTGTAGCAGTTGAAGGTGCCAGTTGGACGTCACCTGATTACTTCCCCCTTTTAGTCATGCAGTCAATTATTGGATCCTGGGATCGTTCCTTAGGTGCAACAGGTCATCTAGACTCGCGCTTATCATCAGTTTTGCATAACAAGCAGCTTGCCAATTCCTTCATGTCATTCAATACTTCTTACAAAGATACAGGCTTATGGGGCATCTATTTGATTACTGAAAATAAGGATCGTCTTGACGATTTATTAGTGTCAACAAAAAAAGAATGGATGCGATTAGCTAATTCGGTGACAGACGAAGAAGTTCAAAGAGCAAAACAACAACTTAAAGCCGGCCTTTTATTAAGTTTAGATGGCAGTACTCCTATCGCTGAGGATATTGGCCGCCAATTGCTCACTTCAGGCGAACGTATGTCGCCGAAAGCTGTCGAAGATCTTGTAGCTAAAATTACTGTGGAAGATGTTAAACGTGTAGCAAAAGATTATTTACAGCGAGATGCTGCTGTTGTCGGTATTGGCCCAGTGGAGAAAATGCCCGATTTCAATCGTTTGTAATCAAGTTTTCATATTTTTCTCTGTATTTGTCATACATTTATTGTAGTATAAAAATTCAACACAATAACCGAAATATATCACAATTTTGTATTTATTTGACCACTCTTTCTACATGAATAAATTCTACTGATTTCATGTAAACATTGGCTTTTGAATTTAAATACACCTCTGCTTCATTTCCGAAAGACAATTCGCCGTTTAGGTTTTGAAAGAAGCTGATAGGGATGCGGTTATGTTATCCTGTTTCATTCTTAGCGAAAACTATTTATTGACGTCTCAGATCTTTAACTTTTCCGCTACCTCCCAAAATGATCGTCAGTTTCCGACAAAAATTTGTCGTCATTCACATTACCACGAGCGATAAAAAGCTAGCTAAAAAGTACGAGATGGCGCTTATCGTAAAGGAACGAGCCACATGCAAAACAGCCCTAAAAAGCATACACGATGTTGTGAATCATTTTATGTTAGCCGGTAAGAGAGAACCGATAGGAAATTGATAAAGGCTTTGCATTACATCAAGAGAAAGCAGAACAAGAGACCAAAGATCTGATACTGGCTTACATTCGTCTACAACGCCAGCAAAATCAAAAAACGGTTCGATTTGGCTCTTGAGGTGAATAACAGTGACTATATTATCCTTCAACAACAACAAGTGCAAAGCGGTAGCGATGCTGTTTTTTACCCGGAAGGAACTCTTCGAATAAAAATAGTAATTGTGGATTGTCCAGTATCTATTTGGATAACAAGCAACGAACAACAGGAAAATTATTGCGACAGCTATGTCAATGCAACTGTTTATCTTTTGAGGCTCCTCGATTATATTAATGACAGCTACAACACAGGTAACCATAGTGACCATTTATTTGATATTGCTGGTGCTGCAGGATCTACCCAGCTCTTTTTTTTTTTCTAATCAAAAGGAGATACTGTTAATGCAAATCTAATTGCTATAACAATGATAAAATAGATAGTACCACTGATCTTGCACTTAAAAATCCCCCCCTCCCCTCAAGATCTACCGTTGATATCAAGTGAAAACGACCGACAAGAGTATGCAAAATCCACTGCCAGTATCGGAATTAGTCAAGGTCTCTCCTATATGACACCAAATGACTTGTTGTTGGGGGAGGGGGAGCATGAATCCGAGACGTTATGACTTAAATGGACGATTCTGTTTGAAGATGAATTTATCAATCTACACTGATTATAAATGCCTGATAAGCTACAAAGATAGGAGTATCAAAGAAGTAACAATTCATTTTATTTTGTGTCTGATGAGTACAAATGGACTTGTAAGCCGGAGCATGACTATTTCCAGAGAAATTCAATTTTAAAATTGTACATGTGTTGAAGTACCTCACTAATCTTATTATAGCATATACAGTTAAAGATAAAAAACATTTTTAGGTCAATAGAATGTAAAGTAGCTCTTTATTAACAAGTAAAGATAAAATGTGTTTGAAATAAACAACCAACTGCACTCTAATTATCTGAGTGAAGTACAACTCATGAGGGGGAATATAAGCTAACTTACAGAAAATGGCTTAGCAGAGTGATAATATAGTTACACTAGTGAAATAGTTGAACGTTTCTTAAACATGGTAACGCGTTTAACTTTTGGAATGATGTGTGATGGCCGTAGTGTTTGTTAGTTGATGAGGTTGGATAGCTGCCATAGTGACGGCAGTTGTAGAAGTAACAGCATTAGTAGATACTAGAGGACTAGAACTGTCTGACGTGATAGTAGCATTTGAAGAATGTTGTAGTTGTTGTTGGTAGGAAGGATGGTGATGTTGAGGCAAAGTCAGATCACCCCACCTTAACCTGTACATCTCTAACATAGACTCGAGCTCAGTTACTCTTTGCTGGTATTGATTCAGTTTATCATGGAGTAATCTAATATGATCTACAGACTTTCTTAGGATGGTTCCCTTATTATTTTTAGTGGCATCTCTCTCTGGCAGTAAGGTTGATAGTTCGTAAATACGTTCGTTTATATTATCGCGTCGCCGACGTTCAACAGCATTATGAGATTCTCGTCTTTTTCTTTTTTTATCAAAGATTAATTGCATGCTATAAATTGTATATATTGAATTCAGTAACAGAAAAGTTGGTCACATGGTTGTGTTTTAGTTCTGATTGAAACTGTAGAATATAGGAACAGAACGAAATGCATACTATTCTTTTTTTGATCTTTCATATAATGGCTATTACTTACTGTCTTTGTTGTAGTTCCTCATCTAAAAGCTGCTGTTGTTGTGTTATTGCCATAGTAGCGACGTTGCCAGTATTGTTAGTATCAGTATTTCTGTTGATATGGCTATCATTTTGCTGAACCCAAGCAGTCCCATTTTGAGTGTAGACTGCCGTACGCATTGCTTTATAAGTAGGTGTAGGTGTTGTTTCGTAGTTCATACTAATGAATATTTGATGATGCTACTAGTGCTCGTTACGAAAATTCAATCAAATGGAGACTTTGATAAACAAATTTGAAAAAGAGAGGGAAAATAATTGGGGAAAAGGTACAACAACGTTAGACAATGTGATGCAAGTATTTAAAGGGACTTTTAAGCCATTTGCATTAATTTGTAACAGTCCGTGCGGAAATGTCGGCTGGATCAGGCGGTTCAATTTTGATGGTAATTTTGTGTTTCCAATCCTAACACGAAGTAACTTGTATCCCTTGATACTTTAAACCCTGACTACAACAGTCTGTATTGAGACGAATCCTAATAACGGTTTGATAATGATATCAGCTCAGAAAAAAAAAAGTTTTGTAGTAAATTAAAGGATGTATCTTGGGTTTGATTTTATTCAGTAAGAGGCAGAATGACATACTGTCCCAAGTTATTAATACACTAAGGCACTATAAATCGAAATTCTAAGAAGTAAATATGCGTGTGATACTCTAAGTAACTCTAATATCATGGGGGGAGGGGTTTCAAGAAAAAGTTATTATTTGATTCTGACATATTCGTAATATCTAAATTTAATGAGTCCTTCTTCTTCGTCTTCCTTCTCTAAATCCTCTACTTTTCTAAGTAAAAACTGATTCAGCGAATCCATTTTGGACTCGAAATGACGAACTTCTTCCCAGTGTGTCTCTCTCAGGGGTATCATAAAATAAAATTCATTTTTGGCTAATTTGTTGATGGCTGGCGGTAAGTATTCGGCATGTTCCAGCTCATAGAGAAGATCACTAGCAATGACAATATCATACTGTCTTCCATTATCCACGATCTCCGATTGTGCATCATCCTTCTCTTCTTCATCCGCAGTGCCTTTCTTGGCAAGTTTAATGAAATCCAATTTTGAAACTTGTGCTCTTGAATTGTTCAAATGGATGTTGTAAGAGACGTTTTCAATCACACGTGGATGATAATCAGTCATGTGCACCTCCGCTGCACCTAAGTAATCGCATACAATACCAACCATACCAGTACCTGTGCCAATTTCTAACACTGTGCAATCACAGATATGAGGAATAATGTTGTTTTGCAACAATTTTCTACAAAAAGATGACGGGGTCGTGTCAGTGAATTTCAAGACTCATTTCATGACTACCAAAAATCGTAGAAAAAAAAAAACTTACTTAGCCATCATTGGGGCAGCACCCCATGTTTTGAAGCCTAAATCATTGCCTACATAACATGGCTCATGCAAAGGTAAAAGGAGCTCTTCTTTTTCACCATTATCATTAAGGTACGGAATGTGCCAAATTCGAGTTATTGATCCTGCAGCTAAGATTTGATTGGATCAGAATAATATGTAACACTTCCCTTTGAATATTTTATCTGCAACTTTACCTCCTCTACCAGACATATGAGCCAATATTCTTGATGCTCTTTCCATTCTGCTTTCGTTTTCATCCTCATCCTGTTTGTTGTCCGGGAAACTAATTTCCGTGGAAATCAACTTCAACAAAATAGAAGCTGAATAATCCTTCGCTCTTAACAAATCATCTGGATGAACGATAAATTCACTACGCTGCTGCTCTTCTTCTTCTGCTGGCAAATATCCCTCAACATCTAAGCTAAGAAATCGATCGGCTGATAATTGAATAAGCTGTTCTAAAGCATTTAACAGAGAAAGGATGTTTTGCTTTGCCTCGGCATCTTTTCTTTTGTACTGAAATCTAATTAAACTAGATAGTTCCTCAATTTCTCGCAGAAGCTCTTCGGATGTTTTGTGAACGATCATGGTACAGTGAGCTTTCGAACGGATAAATGGGCAGCAGAGTAGGTTAGAGCTGGAAAGGCGCGACAGGTATTGAAAAAGGAGAGGATAAAAGAAAGAAAAAAAAAAAAAAAAAAAAAAACGGATCTGGCCCTTTGATTGCCCTAAAAGAAGTCCATCTTGCCTTCTTCTGTTATTGTTTTGCTTTGATTCCTGATCGTCGAATGAAAACTACAAATTTTGATTGGTTTTTCACAGCTGTCAATCGAATAGAAATGAAACAGACCTTAATTTGGTGAATAAGGGATTAAAATTTTTTCTACAAGTTGATAACGCACAGTAGTCTAGCAGCCAAAGGTCCTTGTGTATTAAGTTCGACTACGTAGCAATAGTGCATAACTCTCTCATCGGCTCCTTTGCATATAAATAATACTATATAGACTTATAATGTCAACAAAATGACTTACGATGCTGCAACTAATGGCCTCCAACCACATTGAGGAGCTTTTCAATATTTCTTAAGTGTCGTCAAATATGATTGGTCATATCTGCTGTGGTGAAGGCTTTAGACTGTTGGCCTCGTTTTGTGGAATCAATGAACAAACTGGAAGAAAGATTGCAAAATGGCCCAATTAAAGGATCGCAGTCTACTATTGAGTGTTTATACACAGTTTGTTTATTTTTATTTTACGATTATTGATTATAATGGTTGTATGTTTCTCTTTTTGTATATCTATAATATAATACACTAAAAGATATTGAGAGTTGTAATAAAAGTACGAATGGTAATGTCGGCCAACGAAGTTTTCCATACAACATAAAGATTTTTAATACAGGTCGTTTTGAAAATTATCGACGCAGAAGCCTTGATTGTGCAACACTTTACTTTTGATCTTATCAATCCTTTCCTTTGCTTCGAGCTCTTCACGCTGTGCGACTAGGATATCTTCCACTGGCACCTGCCTTAAATTCATCTTTAAATTCATCTGCTCTTCCTTATCCGAATCCTATTCAACATACATTAAACGTTGAATAAGCATTGACTAATCAACTTTTCTGCTCGTATCCTTTTAAAAGCATCTTCACTCACAATTTCCCCTAGCAGGACAACATTTTCTCCTCTTATCAAGAATATGCCTCGTGGAATATCACCGTAACAGTTACCCACGTAAATTCTTTCGATAGTGTCTTGCAAAACTAAATTAGCTGTGGAGTTTGTTTACGGGTCAGAAAGAAGATTTTAAGTTGTAATGTCAGTCTTTTTTTACGGGCTCTCATAATCTGCCATTCAATCGATGTATTCTACCAAAACTAACCAAACTGATCGAACGACCGTAATGTGCCGATTAATTTACGGCCATCTCTCAAAACCACCATCAACTTTTCTACCGGGTACAAATAACAAAAAGGACATAACATGAGCTTATGTTAAACACGGCTATTTCAATAATATTAACATTCTCTGCTGAACTTTACTATCGATACTGTCTATTAGCCCAGTTGAAGTTGTGAAAAAAGGACCACTTGTTATCTCCATTTTGTAAAAAAGTAGACGTCTGTTATGTTATGCTTTGGTCAAAAGAATTGGAAAAGTGAAGTTGTCTGCAAATCTCAACTCATATCCAAACCTGTGACTTGACGAGCTGCCAACGTCGGAGAGAAAACTATCACTGATCTACTTAGGAGCTGCTTATTGAGCGACTCACGTTCGTGGGGGGGGTTGTAATGATAACTTTAATAATGACTACTTTAAGCAAAACAATACTTGTCTTGGATGCGTTACTCCCGAAGGTATAACTTATTAGCGGGTAATTTTTCAGTAATAGTCAAAGCTGCAATATGAAACGGACAGAACGAACCAGATTTTTTGAGACGTTTGATTGGAGTTTGAAAACCGAACTACACCAAGATGGAGACGTTTCCCTGTAAAATCGAGCCAGTTTCGTTATTATAGGAAAAGGACCAAAATCTTGTCTTTCGGCTGAATTCGTTGGACGCTCCTTGTCTTTCCAAATAGAAATACTGATAGCCATCATGTTTTTTGCTGCATTGACATCGCGGGTCTATAATCTATTACAACTTCTACAAACAAGGATACTACAGCCACGGACGGTGTCTAATGCTTCTAATATGTTTGACCGACCAAATGGATTCTTTTTAACCTTATCTTGCGCTTTTCTTTCACAGGTATTACTTTCTGTATAATAAAACTTTTGTACATGAAAAGGGCTGTAAGTCGCAAAAATGCGAAATACGAAAAAGAAGGAATCTTTTCCCCGTTTACATAATCCTCTTCATCATACTATAACTTTAACAACAAAAAGCGGGAAAAGTCTTGCTGAAAGACATTAAAGCATATAAACCACTTTTCTTGCTTATCCGGAAAAAGTGATCTAAAAGAATGACGAGTAGGGCTTAAAAAAGTTCTCTTGGTTTATCTAAAAAAAAAAAGCTGCAAATAAACTATAAATGTGTCTAAAAAAAATAAGTAGTTTGTCTAGAACTGTATTCTTATGTTCCGACTCTGCCATTTTCAGAAAAATATTTTTCAGAAAAACTGTTTGTCAAAGACGCGAAGTTTTCATTACCCGCGAGTAGAATAGGACGCGATGATCCAATTAAAATAAAAAAATCGCAGAGACCAAAAAGAAAATGGGTAACTACGATCTGTCGTTTTATCTTTTTCTCCTTCTCTTCTCCATTTTTTTTTTACTGTGGCACCTACTCAAACTGTTATCTATTCTTAAGTTCGAAACATTTTTATAATCGTACATGAAAGACAAACTACCATTATCGCCTACTTAGTTCAAATTATTCAGCTTTAGAAATGAGAAAGAATAAATTGACTCATATTCCAAATAACAATTATAAGGAACAGTTGGAATGGTTTAAAAAAGAAATACAACCCAAGATATGCGTACATCATCAGATATCGAATAACAGTAAAGTGTAAGCAACATTAAGGCGTTAGCAATGTCTGTACATTAAAAAAAATTTTTCCTCTTTATCTTTATGCTGCTCTTTAGCTGCATCCTTCTTCCCTTGTATCAATGCCACACCACGATCTTTAGCAGCAGTAAAAGCCAATACCACTGCTACTAAACCTACGACTGTTACTAAAGACAAGAATTTGAAGAATATGAATGAAGAGGAAGATTTTAACTATTTCAATGATGTGGATATCACCCTAGAGGATTTGACGAACATTGACAATAATTTAAGACATGGCTCGGCCAAAAATCAAGCTCAACATACCACTAACTTTATAGACACAACTAGTTTGAAAAGACGAGCTGCTGAATTAGAAGATTATGACAATCAACAAAGTGCATCTACATCGTCGACTTATATCGATTTAACTGATAGTCAACCCATGGCCAAACGGCCTAAAACTTCCAGTGACAGTCCCAACAACTGTGTTGAAACTGCATCTGAGAACATAAAATCACTACCAGCATCCACTGACATAGTGATGAATAATAACAATTTTTATTACGATCATGATAATTTTGGTACCAATAATATTGATGCGAACTTGGATACAGCGCCAGAAATAGATGAGGAAGATCCCATAGAATCATTTACTGATGATCTCTGCGATTTTTACGAAAATAAGCGACAGCACGACATTGACCAAGACCAGATTGAGCTATTCAATGATACACAGGAAGGAGTAGAATTAAATGGACAAACAGAAGATATAGAAGATTTCCTGGATGATTCTTTCATTATCGACGAAGACGTAATAAAAGATCTGGACAATATGACAGCTGCATCGACGTCCCTGTTATCAAAACAAAAAGAAGGGCTTACAGATAAAAAGGAAAAAGAACGAAAAGAATTGGAATCTCTTCTGGAATCATTAAAAGAAAGACAGCAGGTTATCAACAATCAAATCGCTGAATTTGTTCAAGGAGATAATCCTGGCGAGGAGGAGCTACCGAAGCTGATAAACGTGAGAAGGGATCTTATTATGCAAATCAATAATATTCAAGAGAATCTGGACAATAGCCATGCTATTCCAAACGGTGCAGTTGCAGATTCAGTCATCTCGCCTTCTGTGTCTACTGCAGCACAAGCTATTGCTGAAAAAGAAGCACCTATAAACATTGACGATATATCAGCTGAAAAATGGATTATTTTGGATGACGAAAACGATGAGGAAATGGAAATGGAAATGGAAGAGGAAGAGAAACAGGAAACTGAGTCGTTATATGAGACTTTGGAAGAAATGGAGCAGGAGATTGTCGAAGTTTCGCCATTCTTCGCACAATCGAATGAGCCTGGCAGGACATCGGCAATCAACACCACAGCAGCTAGTGGTACCAATGATTCGTCTCAACAAGCATCTGCATTACCTCCTGTTTCAAAGGAGCCCGACTATCCGTGGAGCAGAGACGTTCGAAAAGCACTAACTCAGAAGTTTAAACTATCAGAGTTCCGTCCTAATCAATTGGAAGCTATTAATACCACTCTCAATGGCAAAGACGTTTTCATATTGATGCCAACGGGTGGAGGCAAATCCCTTTGTTATCAACTACCCGCTATTATTCAACGCTATGCACGTCAGGGAGTAACTATGGTTGTCTCTCCTCTCCTTTCTCTCATGCAGGATCAGGTTGAACAACTGGTGAAAGGCAGAGGGATTGCCGCTGCTATGCTCAATAGTACAGTTGACGCTCAACAAAAGGCTTGGATTTACAGAGATCTCAAGAACAACACTACACCCACCATTCAACTGCTGTACGTAACACCTGAATTGCTCAGTAAATCAGCCTACTTGAAGACCATTTTGGATGATCTGTACCGTCGAAATAAATTGGCACGCTTTGTCATTGATGAGGCTCATTGCGTTTCCCAATGGGGACATGATTTTCGCCCCGATTATAAGCTACTTGGCTCACTGAAAGATGACTACCCTACTGTGCCTATTATGGCATTGACGGCAACAGCAAATGATGCTGTACAAAAAGATGTCTTACACAACTTGAAAATTGATAATTGCAAGGTTCTTCGTCAAAGCTTCAATCGTTCCAATCTAATTTATCAAGTCGTTAAAAAAAGCCATAAAACATTGTTGTTGGATATTAACAATTTCATCAAAGAGCAGAATGCAGGAAAATCGGGTATTATCTATTGTATCACGAAGAAAGATTGTGAAAATGTCGCTGAAAGCTTACGCAAAAATTTTGGCGTTTCGATAAAGCACTATCATGCCGCCATGACAGCTGCAGAAAGAGCCGAGGTACAACGTGAATGGCAAACGGGTGGTGTGCAAGTCATTGCCGCCACCATTGCGTTTGGTATGGGTATTGACAAGCCTGATGTTCGCTTCGTAATTCATTATTCCGTACCAAGCTCTGTCGAGGGTTATTACCAAGAAACAGGGCGTGCAGGGCGCGATGGATTACCAGCCGTCTGTCGTCTGTACTACAACTATTCTGATACACGCACACATCACTTTCTAATTGAGAATGGAGATGGTAATTGGGAGCAGAAGCAACGACTGAGGGATAACCTAAATCAAATGATGCGTTACTGTGAAAACGAAACAGATTGCAGACGACAGCAAATTCTAGCATACTTTGGGCAGAAGTTTGATCCTGCTTTATGTCGAAAAATGTGTGATAATTGTAAACGTATGCAACGCTCAACCCGTGTGGTGGAGGATATGTCGAGTCATGCAGTGACACTCGTCAAAATGCTGAAAAATATCACCAGTGTTCCCAATGGCTATATTACGATGCCACAATTGATTGATATTTATCGTGGATCTAAAATGAAGCGTTACATAGAAGCAGATTATCATTTAATGGAAGGATATGGTCGTGGAAAATCAATGACAAAGACAGAAGTCGATCGAATATTAAAAACTATGATACACGATGGCGTCATTCGAGAAAGGACAAAAATGAATTCAGGAGGCTTCCCTGTAACACATGTTGTTGTAAGTAGAGCTTATGTAGTCTGTCTTTGTTTGAGTTTTGTCAAGATTAATTTGTAATTTTCGATATAGTTGAGCTCTAATGCGGATAATGTGTTGCGTGGAAATCACAAGCTCCTTATCTCATATACCAAGAATGTGGGTTATCTTGTTACAACATTGTATTTTAAATTGTAAGTGTTTGGTTTGCTAACCGTTTCGAATGCTTATTGATTAGAACCAAAATGCGCCCCGTATCCGCATCCAGAATGGTATAGTCGTAGCGTCAGCAACTACTACGACTACGGGTACAGGTACAGCAACAATTAGGAGAAGTAGAGTGGCAACCACTTCTGTCGCTCGAACAACGCCTACCTCCCTATCAAGAGCATCCACGGTAGCTTCAACATCAATTAACACTTCTTTACCCGCCAGGCAGCAGCAGCAAACAACAATAGAAAATGATTCAATACGAAAATGCTATGACGAAATGAAAAAGTTACGGCAGGGTTTAATGGCTAGATTCAACCTGCGTACTCCAGGGCAAATTTTGACAGATAGCCTTTTAAGGCGCATTGTATGTTCTTCATATGCAGGTTTTTATTTTATAACCATGTTAGACTAAGCGACCCAATTTCTATTTCATGTAGGCAACACAGCTACCAGTTAATCGGCGAGAGTTCTTGTTGGCCACAGATATGAACCCAGGAGCGTATCTAAGATTAGGCGAACCGTTTGTTAAAATTTGTGTTAAATACGCTAATGCCCAAAAATAATCTTAGTCAGGACCGATATGAACACATCAAAAACGATATGGTCTTCATTATAAGCCATATAAATATACCCCATTCTGCTAAATTATTTCTTTGCTTTCAAATCTCACAATGTCAGTACGTACTTATGCTAATCTTAATTCATCTTCATTCCTCTAATACCCTAGCTTTTTTAAGCCTTCGTACAGCATACTTTTTACTCATAAACCTGGAAAGTGTCATCTGCTTCTGTGAAACAACTTGAAATGCAGGTCATTATTTTGTCGAAAAGTATAAAATGCACCCTAAGCTTTGAGGCAAGAATAAGTTTTTTTCGCTCCCATTTAAAAACTTCTTTTTATTGTCGTTCTTTTCATCAATTTAACGACAAATTTCTGTACGGTAATGTATAATTACGGCTCGTCGTCGTCACCATACAAACACCCCCCCCCCCTTCCAAAGAGTAGAACCGAACCTCTTTCAAAACTCTATAAACTCCTCTTCTGCAGTTGAGAATAAAAACACTACCAAAAGAGAAGCATGACCATTTAAATACTTTAGATTTAGCAGTAGCATCCTCTCATACCGGATAGCTGATTCTCCTCCGTCTTACTCCGAAGCTACAAGCCCTACAGACCCCAGTGCACCACTTTTGGAGCTACCTGCATTTGAAGGTAAGGATGGAGGTGGGTAATCCCCACTTGTTATTTGCTGTTGTCCTTGTGGGCTTTGATAGGCCGGCGAAAAAGGGGAAAGTTGACTGGCTAATGCCTTCTTACCAAGTAAGAAAGCAATACTGGACCATATGCTTTAACTGAATGCTTTTCTGACATAAAATACTGCAATCGGGAAGTTGAACCAAAGCGTAGCTGCTCCAAGAGATTTCTCGGCTACTGCTTGACAATTGCACAGTTTATCTGTTCCATTTTATATCTTGCCAGTACAGACTCTTCCTATTGGGATGATGATAGCTTTTATTATTGTCCCTCAATGACTCATTCATGGCAAAGCTTTCCAGCAGGATTTAGATTCGAACTTTGAGGTGGTTCCATTCTTCACATTGACGGACCTGGATCGTCTATTGGGTGTGTTAACATTGTTCGTGCGGAAGAAGGAGCATTGTCAAAAGGACAAGTGAATTCCACCATGTCCTTGCCATCGTTATCTGCTCCTTCTCACGGACTGAAATACAACCTAAAACAGTTGCAAAACGGTACTACATTTTTAAGCATTTATATACCTGCCTCTGTTTGTATCGACTTGAATACTATCATTATTTTAGCCGATAACCAAACAGTCGAGCTTATAGATATTCAACTTTACAATTCCGCTATTGCTGTCGATATAAGTGATGATGATTGTGATAGCGACACGATGATGATTAAAAAACTTTCGCTCGAAGACTTCCAATAAAGCCATCGACATTAACTCGCAAAGAAAAGGTGGAAATATATGGCTCGAAACATCGAATGCTCACATAAATATACTTAGCCCAATAGTGTTAACAGGTAACCTGTATGTCACAACCGCCAATGGCTACATACAATTCAAAAGTCCAGTCAAAGCACATTCAATTATAGCCAAAACTACGAATGCCAATATTGACACAATTAAAACTACTTTACCTACGGAACAATTACATGCACCAATGTTGAAGGCTTACGGCACTGTTGATCTTACAACAAGAAACGGACACGTGGTCGTCAGATCAATAATAGCGAATTAATCTTATTTTTAGTCTTCTAAAGGGCCTATTCATATATACGATGCTGCAACTCACTCCAACATAAGCGTCAAGACGTCACATGCAATGATATCGTTGTCTGCAGTAAGTAATCCTTAAATAATACTATATCAGGTTTTGCCAGTAAAACTAAGAAACACTTTTGGCTTCAACTACAGTTTATTAACTTTAGATTTGGACAACACACACTCTTATGAAACCTAAAATACAGTAATAGCCTATCAATTTTGAAGGCCCGTTCCGGATAGATACAAGTCGGATGAATAAGCTCGAGGTTATTGATCCGCTCATTTGGATAAGGATAGACTATGCTCGCAAAGGTCAAGTAATAGGCTATCGACATAAGCCTGCTAAAACCATTACTTATGAAGCGCTCGATGATCATGGTGAATTAATGAATGGAGTGGGTAAAACAGGCAGCATTCAACTGAAAACAAGTTTTGCTGCTATTTATCTCAAATTTGGTACAAACGCCAATGATCATAACTAAATGAATATGCTTCTATTCCCGCATGAACTTTCGTTAAAACTCTGCTAAATTAGCGAATTGTTCTCTATTCTTTGTATTTCTCTTTTCATGATTCTTCGGTTTGCACAGAACTGTCATTTCCGTTCAAAGACGGTAAACATTTCTCCACAGATCGAAAAGAAACCACTAGCGATTAAAGTATATTGAAAAGAGCACCAAATTCAGGAAAGTAAGAGCAGTTTTCTAGACTTGTCCTTCATTCTCGATACTTTTGTACAGAAATATTTGAAAATGCTGAAAGATGAATTTCTGTATTGCAAGGTAGAATAAAGTGATTTGAGGCTTCAATTAATCAAGACATAACGGACAAGAAGCAGCCAATGTAGCTTAGATCTGCTGAATTGTAGAAACAATGAGGAAGTTTGCCGCGGAGGACATGCTGAGATAGTGGACGAGCTAGCAATACTGTTTTTTCGCTTGACTTTCGCACGAAATGGCTATTAAATTGAGATTATCTTACAATTAAATTCAGACTAATTTAAAAAATTATTTAGATGAAATGTATAGTTTTTCAGATCATACCTTTTCTGTCCAAATGCTCAATGCCAAATGTGCGACCTACTCTTACTCAAACAAGGTAAATATACTGTGCCGAAGCACAGAATACCTACCATGTTAGAGTATGTAGTAACGTCAAGCAGCATTTAATAAAAGCTTCAGAAACGTACAGTGAGAAATTTCACAAGATGAACTCACCTAAACGCGTAAGTATCTTTAAGCCGCCTGGTTCGAGGAACCGACAGCACCGTCTTCGCTACGGCGATTCTGTGGGGTAAACTGTGAGGGTCTTCCATGACCTGCCCAAACTGAAGTGGCAATAGTCATCATATTCTTTGAAGCATCTATATCACGTTGCCAAAGTATGTGGCAGTGTTTACAAACTTTCGTACTGTAACAACGTGAACCAGCACCGATCTTTACACTTTCCATATTTTTGAGCAAACAGTTGTTGCAGACCTAATATTTGATTGTGCATGTATAAGTAAGGAATGTAGAAAAACGGCTCATAGAAATACGGCATATATTGCACAGTATAAGGGAAATGTTAGTTACCTGCGACGTGCAATATTCATCAATGTCGACTACCGCAACAAGTTGTTGCTTCTGCCTTTTTAATAAGATTTTATAGAGGACACCTGTGACACCAGAGATTTGTCCTTTCATTCTTACTGTGTCTTTTCCCGACATCCCCGTCCCGAACACGACAAGAGGAATGACTAGCCTTTTGTCCATAAACTGCTCTTGACGCCAGATTCTCCGTCCATCTTCCTTGTATCTGTATCAGAAGTAGATCTTTAAGTGCCTTAAGAATAGCCATCTACCACCAAAAACGCTTACCTGCATAAGTCAACGTCTTCTTTTCTCTTCGGCTCCTCTTTTATTGTTTTTTTCTTCTTTTCTTCTTGAGCCTCCATACGCTCCCGTTTTGTCTTTTTAACTTTACTTCTAATTGTCTTCTTCTGGCCATTCTTCAGTCGTCTTTTCCTTTTCTTGTTTCTGTTTGTATGTTTTCTTTTCCTCCTATTATACTTGCGACCGCCGTCGATTAGCACATTAGCTACCTCAGCATCTGCCCGTTGTTTGCCTTGGTAATTGTTGAAGTTGAACTGGGCCGATTTGAAGCTGTAGAAGTCAAATAGTGTCTGCAGATGTTGCAATGTGTATTTCAAGTACACAATATAGGCCTCTTTGGACACGACCTTCGGTGAAGGCAGCGACGACTCAATGGACGTTATTCCTTTCTTTTCTTTTAATTTCTTCGAATAAGTACTTCTCCTCGTGTAGCCCGCAAAGTTGGCTCTTTCACTTTTGCTGCAACTGCGTATCTCGTGATTAACATTGTTAAAGCCAACCGCAGCTGTAAAAATTTCATTCCGCCCAGGATCAACAGTAATTGGGTGGAAATACTCACCCACTTCCACGAGATTGAAGTCGTCTAGTTGTAGTAGTGCCTTTGTATTACCGGAAGTAGCCTTTCGTCTGACAAACTGTAGTGTGATACCATGTCCATCGCTTTGGGCAGTGCATTTTAGCTTTATTTCACGATCGTTAACAATATCATCGACGGAACTGTATCCAAACGTATACAAGTTAAAAATGCGGTGAAAAACCTCAACCTGTTCTCTGTAGGTGTTTCCAGGATACTTTTGGCTCGTTATAATAGACAGCGTTTTGTGGTTGATATGGATATGGCGCCATTTCAAAGAGGGCATTGGAAACAAAGAGAAAAGTCGTGGCTTTTTTTGCTCGTCTGTAGTAGCTTCGGAAATAGACAACACCTTCTGCAGCATCAAGCCTAACGCTGGTAGGAACATAGACCCGTTGGCAGTAAGATTTTCTATGTTCGGGATCGCGGGCAGTACGTCTTCAACAGCTTTGCATATGGCATTAGCCTCCTCTAACCGCTCCAAACCGGCCACCCCGTTTGGCCATTCGTAGTCCCCCTTCATTATCTTTTTGAAGCAGTATTCGTTGGCGATTCTGTCGATTTCTCTTTTCTTATGCTCCTAGAACATAAATAAACAGAACTTCGTGAGACACTCTGCTACTACAGTTGTTATGGATGCGATCATGACTTACAGGGAACAGATGCTTCAAACATGTTCGAGCGTAGTGCTTGAGCCTATTTTCAAAATTCTCTACTATAAAGTTTGAATAAGTAGTGGCCAATGTCACGCAGGCTGCTGCCAGCGAATCGCTGTATCCTTTCATGGGATGTGTCTTCAGACTGTAAACGATTGTAGGAAATTTGCTTTTAAAGTCATCAAAGGCAAGCGTGACCGACATGTCCATGTATTGTCGATTTCTGACCCGCTTCCCTAATATAAGCTTGCAGATGCTGTACCAGAAGTTCTGCTCATAAAGGTATGGGTGACCAGTCGTTGTTTCGTAGTTATCAGTAATGTAGTAGTTCACAAATAGTTGGGCTCTATACACCACTTGACGGGTAAATTCTGCTAATTTGATGATGTTTTCTGTAGCGACTTGAGCAAACGCTGGTCTCATCAGTGTGGTTAGAAGCAGTTTCCTGCTGTAGACTTCATGACCATCTTCGAACAGCTGGCGGAGCAAGACATCCTTTGGGGGCTTGTAGTTCAAGCATAGTGGTGAAGATGATCTACTGTGGCCTGCTTTACCGCAAGAGGAACAAACAACGTCTTGTTCTGCTCGTTTCTTGCTGTCTTCCAACTTCTTCTTTTTTCCTCTAGCCTTTGCAGCCTTAGTCTCGTAATCATCCTTCGCTCCTGCTTTTCTTTTTTTGGCTTTAAAACGGGTATGGTAAGAGATCTGTTTACCTTTCATTCGGAAAGTGATAACGCGGCTTACATGCATCGTAAAGCTGGCATTTGTAACTTTTTTTGTTGATATGACCAACTTCTCCACAGTCCTTACAAATTCCTACATTCGTAAAGAGTATTGAATTGTAAAACTCTGTAACTGACATAAGATAGCAAAGACATACCTTCAGCAATTTCTCTTTTCTTTCTTTCTAATTTTCGCTTGAGATGCCTCTTAGCTTCTCGAGAAGGCATAATTACATAAGCTTATAGAAGAGGTAAACAATAGTAGAGTGGGAACACTTTCTCTTGTAGAAAAAGAAAAAAAGTGATAAAGTTTTAGATGAACAGAGATGCCGAACAGTCAATGAAAATGCAAAAATATGAGTCATTTACATAGAATACAACTGGTCGCCTAGTTGTCATGGCAATTAAGAAAAATGTACGTAATTAGTTACAGACGATCACACTATGACTGTTTGAGAGAAAAGGCAGCCTGTTTTGAACCAGATACGGAGTAGTACGACACAGCCTGTGCTTATATCAATCGAATAGTACGTTATCGTTCAGAAGCTTATGAATAAGAAGTTTCCTAAAATGTATGGTCTCCAACATTTAAAGAATTTATAATGGTAGAAAAACAGATAGAAACGGATACCATGACCATACCTCACTTATTAAATATGCCATCAACAAAAGCAGATATAGGCCGCTTTTTCATCCATCTTATTTACCAGTTGTTGATCCTATAAGTAAGCGCTTGGCTAAGGATAAAAATAACACCAAAGGCACACCATTAGACAGCAATAAGCTCTTATACCACGTATTGTGCAAGCCTGCAAAACGTTTATTCCTTAGATCAGGCATGCTGAAGGGAAAGATACGTACAGAAAGAAGAGGGCCTAAGATAGTTTATTGAAAGTTTTTTTTTATTTTTTTTTATTTTTTTATTTTTTTTTTTGTAGATTATTTTATTCAAAAATAAATAAATTCGTCAAACATCTCTGAGGGATGGGGCATGGAGAAGAAAAAGACACTTTCTGTGGTGGGTAATTAATCTAAGGCAGCCGCTTCCAGCAAGAGCTGTGAAGAAGACAGGCTCAATGAATTAACATTGTGAACTTTACTAAGGATGGATTGGCGGGGGGTGTCAAACGGAATGGCATACAATATCATTCGAAAAAACGATGTCCATATTTTCCAATGGATATTAAAGCAGCCGGTGAAAAATCGAGACTGTTCAGACGAAGGTAGGGATGGGTGGTGGATATACTGAAAGTGTCCGAATTTTGGAAATAAGTTATCGAAAAATAATTACTTGGATTGTCTGAATTAGGTTATTGAAAAAATCCAATTTTGATAGAAGAACGTCTAAATCAAAACCGAAAATACTGTAGTGTATCGCTCCCACGCAAGCGTTCACTTTAAACGAGTTCTTCATATCTGAGGATACGATAGCGCCCTTTCTATTAAATATCCTCCAATTAACCTGGAAATGGTCCTATACGCCTAAGTCATGGCGCATTGCCCAAACGATTCCGATTTATAAGAAAGGCCCCCCCCAACCGATCCAGGTAACTACCGTCCAATTAGTCTTACATCTATTTTTCGCAAAATTTTAGAGCGATGCATCCAAGATTACCTTTTGGCCAATAGTCCCCCACTCGATATTGCGCAGGGTGGATTCCGTATTGCCCGTAGCTCCTTAGATCAAGCTCTTTGTTTAGCGGAAATCTGCAATATTTTGAAACGCCAGCACAAGATCGAACCAGTTCTAGCTTTCCTCGATATCAAATCAGCGTACGATACGGTTGACCGTAACGTCATATGGACAGTGCTTCGTCCCCATATTCCAGTACCGCTCCTTGCCCTATTTCAAAACATGTTTGACGATGTCAGCATTGAAGTCCTCCAGAACAATGCCAAGTCAGAACCTTTCAGCCCTACTACTGGTGTCCTTCAAGGATCCATACTATCTCCTATACTCTATTCATATTACATTAACGAACTACCTACACTGCTCCGTCCAAGCCCACTGGATCTTTCCTTGCCTGTTCCGGAATTGATTCTAAATATCAACTGTTTACTATATGCCGACGATGTCGTCTTGATTACTGATAAAGATCATCTTCAGACCCTGTTGCAACAATGTGAAGCTCATAGTCTTCGGCTAGGCTATCGCTGGCATCCGAATAAATGTGTTATACTAGACAGATCAACGCACCCTATAGATTACCAGCTTTATGGAGTTCCTCTACAACGTCAGCTAACTTTTCCGTATCTAGGGATACCTTTTCAACCAGGTGGTAGTATAGATATAAATGAACTAGCACGTACTAACACATTTAAGGCCCTTACTACGATGAATCAATTAGCAGCAATCGGTGTCAATCCTGGTGGATTCGAAAAACTGCTGTCACTACGGTTATATGCCCAATTAGTCCGCGCAAAGATGGAATACGGACTGGCCATTAGCCCCCTAACCGCGAAGCAATATAAACAATTCGAAGATACCCAGAACAAGTGTATTCGACGAATCTTTGGTGGATCCAGTAAATCGTCTGCCCGACTTATGCTCCACCTTGCCAATCTGCCCACCATGAAAGAACGCTCCTTCGTCCTACAAGCTAAGTTCCTATTACGTTCTACCTCACTGCCTACTGATACTTTAATCTCGATACTACTCCCATATATAGGCCAGCAACAAAGTAAATCGTTATATTGCAAGCTTGCTCGTTCTCCGATCTGGCAAGATTACACTTCTTCTCCGCTCAATCAACGATCTGAATCAGCTGCTCTGCGACGCTGTATTGCTAACTTCCGCACTAGCCTCCTTCACATCAGTCTGTGATCCCATATCCTATGTCCTCAACCGTCTTCCTACACATCCGATCAACAACCCATCCCAAATACAACACTGGCATTTTCTATGGCCAGCACTTTGTCACATTTTGTTTGAACTCGACTACTTACACCACTATCAAGAGCCGCCTACAGCTCCTCGGTTAGGGCACCTATTGCTCGACTGGTTACCCTCTCCCCCTCCCACAATCCTTTAGTACATAATCCTTTTGACCCTTGAGCCCTAAGGGGTTTTTAGTTTCTTTTAAGCCTTTGGAGCTGCCCCGGGCAATTTAGATAAGTTTAATATCTCGTGTCCATTGGGCTTTAAAAAATTAATATTATGTAATAAAATCTTCGTTTAAACGTAGTGTATCGCTTGCTGGAAAGTTTGAAGATTCTAATTTTGGCAGATTTAAACTGAGCCCATAATGGAAGCAAAATAAGTTGCTGTGGAAGGCTGATGTCAATGCAAATTTTGGGAATAATTTATAGGCATGTAGAGTGTATTGCCGAAGAAAGGGGTTGCGAACGGCTATGTCAATGTATAAGGATGTTATTCATATAAGCTGTGAGTAGCATTGTATTCATGAAAGAACTTTTAAGCGAAGTTACTGTTTGTGAGAGTCGCAAATAAAAATATAATGTGCCGGGTGGGGTTTTGATGACGATAAATTCAATGGTTTGCCGTAATCAAAATGGACAAATATTTAAAAGGAAATGAAGGACTGTAAGAAGAAAGACATATTGGAAATTAATGGTAAAGTTGAAGTGACCGAAAAGTTTGTAGAGCTGGAAAGTTTGAGATAGACTGTATGTTGACATGGTTGCAAAATTCAGGTACAGAAATCAGGTGTTGATAGAGGTATAGAGTTTTCTGTAAAACATGATGGTTGAGTTGAAATGACCTAGAACAATCAGTATCAAATCCTGGCATAGGCTTTTGAGGTCGGTTTTTCTGCCAGACAAAAGTGTTACTTACAAGAAACAACGGAAAAAAAAACGTGATTGTCCGCTTAACGTTGAATTGATGACTTCAATGCTCGTGCGCTGATTTTCGTCACTTTTGTTCACTTTACTGTCTTGTCAGGGCCAACCATGTCTTTTTCTGACTTTAATTCTTCTTGTATTCGCTACCCGTCACATTCGAAAAAGAAACCTTATTTTTATGTATTTTCATATAAAAACTGCGAAAAAAAAAATTACCATAAAAAATTTTTTTCTTTACAGAGTGGAACCTCTTTTGGTAATAGACATGTCTTTAACAACGAAATTTTTGCTGACCCCTTCTTCTGTGGTGCGTCGGGCCTTCTCCACGGCTATTGCGCGTAATGCATATTATACCAGTTCTTTGGTATCTGATAAACATAAATTGGTTGATCCAAAGGCTAAATTGTATGATTTCCGAAGTGATACTGTAACTGCCCCTACTGATGAAATGTTTGAAATTATGAAAAAAGCCTCGAGAAATGACGACGTCTTCCAGGTAAAGATGAAAATATCCTTGAGATAGCAGTTTGAAATACTGATATTGATAATTTACATAGGAAGATAAGTCTGTAAATGATCTTCAAGATTATGTGGCTGAATTGACCGGTCATGAAGCTGGTCTATTCTGCGCTAGTGGTACTATGACCAATCAATTGGCCCTTCGTACTCATCTGGTTAATCCACCACACTCCGTAGTCTGCGATCATCGCGCCCACGTCTATTTATGGGAAGCTGGTGGCATTGCTGTTCATTCTCGTGCCTCGGTGTCTCCTGTCATTGCCTCCAACGGTGTGCATCTTACTGCTCAAGAAATTGAAAATAATCTCCTTGGTGATGATATTTACTCTGCTCCTACGCGTGTCGTTTCATTAGAAAATACGCTGAACGGTATGATTTTTCCTTACAATGAATTATCTGAAATCTCTGCTATGGCTCGTCGTCGTGGACTTGCCATGCACCTGGATGGCGCTCGTTTGTGGAACGCTTCCCAAGAGACAGGTGTCTCCTTATCAGAATATGGTAAGCTCTTCGACTCCATGTCCCTTTGTCTTTCCAAAGGCGTTGGCGCTCCTATTGGGTCTATGGTTGTTGGCTCTGCTAAATTCATTGATCGTCTTCGTCATCATCGTAAGATGTTCGGGGGTGGCTGGAGACAAGCTGGTTTCATGGCGGCGGCTGCTAAACATGCTATTGATACCGTTGTGCCTACCATGAGGGATACACACAAATTAGCGAAATACCTGGCTGAACAGCTCGTATCTATGGGTGTTGACTTGCAAATTCCTACTCATACCAATATGGTATTTATTGATACTACCCGTCTTGGACTACAAATTGAGAAGGATTTGATTCCTGCTTTGGCCGAACGTAATATTAAGATGGGTGGTATGGGGCATAAGGCTCGTTTGGTGTTGCATCATCAAATTGATCGCGCTGGTGTGGATTGTCTATTAGAGGTTGTTAAAGAGGCTATTATAGCGAAACAACAAAAAGAAATAGATAACGAAGACCTACGGCTTACTACGAGCATCTAGAATAATTGCTTGAAGTATACCCTCTTTTCCTATTTCCGCATTTCATTTTCATAAAAGTAACGTATGAATGGTTTGGAAATCTCATTGTATATACAGTCTTATAATATATAATCATTAAAAACATAAACTGTTTTCTCACGTTGATTGACTATGTGAAGCATGGATGCAGTGCAGTTTTATTTGATGAATGCAGATTCTATGCAGACTCTATACAGATTCTATGCAAATTCTATGTTGATGTTTGTTTCGCTAAAATGAAATATGTATGTTTAATGACGATGAGTAGGAGTGAATTTGACATCACCCTCACCGCCGTTCAACAAGGCCTTGACCTTCTCAGAGTACATGCGCAAACCTGAGCCCATTACTGTGATTTTAACTTGAACATCCTTCGTATTATCAAGTGTATCTTCATTTTCAACAGGTGTCAACGTCCAACGTCCAAAAGCATGGTTAACAATCGACAATTTGCCATTGTCCAAACGAATAAAACCCTTAATACGATATATATCCTCCTTGGGCATTGACTTTAAGAAGGTTTCGAATTGTTCGAGCGTCAAGGGTCTGTTGTTATTTTCACCAACAGATTGCAAAATTCGAAGTAAATCGACTTCATTCTCTTGATGCTTGGGATCAAACACGGATTCTTCCAAATGTTTATCATTCTTATTATAGCCAACCTTGAAAAGTTGTGTGTCAAGACCGAAGACTAAATCTGGAGAAACGCCGTCCTTATCACATTTTACTTTGGGAGTATCTGTGTTCAGAACGTTGATATGATCGATGACATCGTCTAATTGTTGTTCGTTGACCAACTCGTGCTTATTAAGCAGAATGACATCAGTATATTGCGCTTGTAATTTGGCAGTATAGCTGGTATCTTCATATCCTTTGAAATTCTCGCAGTCGATAACGGTGATGATAGAATCCAAAGCAAATCCTTCAGGTTCCATTTCACGGATTTGCCAAGCAATAGGAGCTGGTAAAGCAGTAGCGTGGTTTCTATCTGTTAGATAATGAATGCTATTGCAATAGAAATAGAAAATACATGCTACATACCAGGAAAAGCAGAACCACTGGTTTCAATGAGAATTCTATCCGGATTGAATTTTTCTAAATGTATATATATGTTACTAAAGTGTAAACATCTGACAAATATAGACTATCTCGCCAACATTACCTTTTAATTCTTGTAAAGCTAACTTCATTTGACCAACAAGAACGCAGCACATGCAGCCATTAACCATCTCTTTAACACCGATATTTGTTTCCTTGGCTAGCTGACTATCGACTATATGCATGTCACTATACATTAATTCTTCGTAAACCAAAACTAAGGCTTGTCGAGGATCAAACTTACCAGCAATATCACCAAATTCATTTTTTAACAAGCAAACTTTGTATTCCTCGGGTATACGACGCAAAAGACTTAATATTTGAGTAGTCTTGCCTACAAATTTTTAGCAATTGATGAATAACTCATAAACAAACTCAGAGGAGTATTAAGAGAATTTGATACTCTACCACTGCCGAGAAAACCTGTGAAGACAGTAATAGGGATTGGCTTTTCAGTAGCGGTGGGCATTTTCTTTGGAACTATTGTTTATGAAGGAGGATAAAAAGAGTTACAATTGACACTTTCTGTATTTTTTTTTTTATTTTATTTATTTATAAGCCGGAAAAAATGAGCCGGCATGAGTTCAAAAAGATAGAAAAAAAGTGCCAATCAAAAATGTCTTGATAATCCAACTTGTATACCTGAGTGATTCGAGCAGTAGCATATCGGATAATACTTTATTGCAGCAGTATTGTATCTTTTTCTGATACAGCTGAAGTTGTATATGACAAATTATTTGAGCCATTTGAAAAAGTAGGAATATTTACCGAAAATGAAGGTTCGCTTTACTCTCGAGCCACCTTTTGCAACCTATCCATGTTGTGATGCATAGTAATATTATGAACGGGAGCGGGATATTGTGGCTTAAATAAAAGGCATGAGATGACGAATAACTTATCAGTACAAGAAAGCAGCCATGCCATTCTCTTGAGCACCTGCTGACTTCATTTTATTGTCCGTTTATAAAACGAAAGTGAGCCCTGATACGGATCTTTTTTCTTTGGATGTGTGCATTATGAAAGGCAGAATCCTTTCAGATGGATAATTCCCCCGTTCACAAAGTCATTCTTAACGCTATGACATTTTTTAAATTTCAAAAAATTGAATATGTTTCTGAACCCACGTCTTTGTATGTTTTCCGCAGACCAGCGGGCATTAAGGAAATACTTCGAACCCTATGAGAGCGTCTTTTGCTTATTTGCTCTCAAGATGTTGCATAGTCAATACATCATCATATGGAAAGAGTCTTGTGCATCGCTTTTCCTGCGTAAACATTTCGTTACTGATAAGTTGATATAAGCCCCCCGAAGGATGGAATGCGGTCCGTTTCAATTGAAAGAAGCAATCAAATATTGAAATCGGAAGACCGTTTCCTAAAGCACGAAAAAAAAAAAAACCCGTACAAAATGGTGCTGTCTTGATGGAGGTTCTTTTTTTTTAATGTTGAAGTTACCACCAACATTCCGTAACAAGTGAAAGCTTATCTATCGTCGTCCCAAGCCCTTTTTCATTTATAAAGAAGAGCTTATTGACTTTCGACTTTGACGAATATTTTGTTCATCATTTTCAAACATCAACTTACTGAAATAAAGTACATCCTTTCATTTTACTATGGTTCGCTTTTTATCTATTGCACTCTCAGCGTTGCTCGTCGTTGCAAGTGTACATGCAAGAGGTCGTGTTGTGATGCCTCCCCATGCTCCTCATCATGGCTCCCACAAAGGCTCCCACCATGGATCCTATCATGGTCATGATCCTTTTATCCCTCCTCCTAATCCTCCTGATCCTGGTAACCCTGTTCCTATCATTCCATCTCCCATAACTCCAACTCTACCCGGTACATGTACTGGTTATGGATTAAATAGCGATGCTGTAAGTATTGAAGGAAAAAGAAAAAAGACTCTCCTATTTGTCATGAAATGCCATTTCATCTATTAACATCATCGTCTTCTACAGTTCAGCCGTTTCAATGGCATCTTCTTTGGTAATTTTAGAACGGGTGGTGGTTCTGATATCATGGGCCCTCTCGCTGTTGGTGGCAATTTCACTGCTCCCAATTATGTTGTTAACTCCAGTCACGGCTCTAACTGTGCTGCCAATCCTTCCTCCATCGGTTCTATGGGTCTTGTTGTCGGGGGAACTGCCATTACTTCCTATACACATGTCCACGGTAACGCTTTGATCGCCGGTGGCGGCACCCTGGGCCAAATAACAGAGTTACAAGCCGGCTGTCAGGTGACTGACCAACTTGGCACCGGCGATTTCGATTTCTTTGCCGTTCGAGAAGCTGCCCGAGATAACAATGAAGGCTATGCTTCTATGGATCCTACTGCTATCATCGAACCTAACGGCGCATTTACTCAATTCAGATCCGATCCTGACTACGAGGTTATCACTTTTGGCGGATGCGGGGGAATGCAATGTAGTCTTGACCCCAATACGGAATCAGACCCTTCCAATATCCTTTTAGGCACAGGTAATTGGAACGGTTTCCAACCTATTGATCCCAATAAGACTTATGTCTTTAATGTAAGTAGAAAAACGCTGTTAATTATTCGATGCCATTCGTCCATATGCCTCTTTTAACCCCCCTCCTTTTCCACGATACATAGATTCCTGTCATCAATCGTGGTACCCTCACCCTTCGAACCAATAATCCTCTTGACAGTCTCAATCCTTGTAAAGTCATTTGGAATATTTACCCTGTTGATGACCGAGGCGTCTACCTGCGTGAGGGTGAAATCACCGTTTACCGTGCCACTGCTTCTCAGTTGGGTGGTTTGACCATGGCCCCTGAAGGTAAGCCAATCTTCTGCTAATAGACGTGTATGAAAATAAGAAAAAAAAAAAAAGCCAAAAAAAAAGCCTAATAACTCTATTCTTTCTTCTATTTCTAGCCCACATTATTGATGGTACTACAGGTAACTTTGCTGGTACCGTCGTAGGTAGGGACTATACTTGGTTCAACTTGGGTGCCGGTGTTGAAATCCACGATTACCACGCTATTGGCGGCGCCTGCGATGCCTTCCAAGGATGTAATCCCCACCCAGATCATAATGCCAATGATTGTACCAATACTTTGACAACTACCTCTACTGCTACTACTACACAAGTAGTCCCTATTACCATTACATCGGAAGTGGTCATTCCTACAACCACTACGCAAGTACTTCCTGTTACCACTACTGAGGAAGTGCCAGTTCCTACTACCACTACGCAAGTAATTCCTGTTACTACTACTGAGGAAGTGCCAGTTCCTACTACCACCACAGAAATAGTACCTACTACCCTCACAGACCTTGTACCTACTACCACTACTGCAGTTGTACCTACTACCATTACTGACCTTGTACCTACTACCACCACTGAGCTTTTCCCTATCACCACCACTGATTTTGTACCTACCACCACTACATTAACTGCTATTGTCGACCGTCCTACTACCGTCACCAGCATTGTGACTGAAACCGTCGTCATTAATGATAGGTATAACAAAAAGAAACACTACGGTCACTATGGCAAGGATGATTATAAAAAGGGTTACCACAAAGGTGGTTATGGCTGGAAGTAGGCTTAAAAGTACATTAATAGACACGATAATTGAAGAGCAAGGGATATAGTAACTGCGCACATGTGGTTCTTGCTCTCTTTTTTAGATAAGCACACTATTTTTTGAAAGGCTTTCTTCTCTTTTCACCAAAAGCTTTTTGACTAATTTATGTGAATTTGAAGACCCTTTCAAAAGATATCACAAACTAGACTTTTTTTTTTTTTGTTACTTTATTCTATTTATTTGCTAATTTAGACCAGCCATCCCATCTTAGAAGATGAAATAAAATTTATTTAGACTATACTCTTTCTTTTTGATTGGCGTATCATTTATACATTGGTCATTGGGTTTGGATTCTAACAGATGGGTTAAGCTCAAGAACAAACGCTTTCCATTCAAGTTCAGATGTCTCTTTTGGAAATAACATTCTTTTGTCTTCGTCATTATGCCTCTTTTTCCTCATTCCTTTTCCATTCTCCTTGGGAAGGTCTAAGATACCGCAATGCCTAATAAAGAAGAGGGAAACAGTTTGCACAATATCTATCCGGGAATATCAATATGAACAGTTACTTTACCCCTCCGTCGCCTCCTTCTTTGAATGATAAACACCAATTCAATCGATATACCTCCCCGATCAACCAACAGCAGCAGCAACCGTCAAGGCAGCAACAGAGACGATATGCGACACGCGAAGAAAGTGAAGCAACTGTACCTGTTTTCACAACACCTACGGATATGTATATAAGAAGAGAGCTTAACCCCATACCACGGTTTACTTCGAATCAACCTTTACATAGTTACAACAACCGAGAGTCAACCGCGCCATCTACATCAACATCACCATCACCATCTACGCAACAAGCCTACTCTACACCAAAAGCTCAACCGCTTACAAATTATAATAGTTTTCTACCATCCTCACCTTCATCCCATCTTTATTAAGATGCGGCGAGTGGTGCATCTGATCCTTTATCAAAAGAATATCCTTCAGTGCGTCCGACTTCACCTATAAGGTATTCAGAAAGCGTTAAGCATGATATTATCAACCGGGTTATGACCTCACAACTAACTGAAACTCCAAATGATTGAATAGTGTTGGATCCAAAGTACCTTTATCAAAGGTAAGAAGAATTGTTGGGTTGAAAAATGCCAAGGAATAAAATCTGATGAAATATTCTCTCTTCTTTCTCAGGTAGAACCTCTTCATGCTGACTCTTCCAAGAAGGGTACTCCTGGAAGATCAAACTATACAAATGTAAGTAAGCTGAAATCCTAGAATCTTTTCTTTATTGCCAGTCATCATTTATAGATTCCCCGCACTTAGACAACAAGCTTAAGCTCAGTACCATTAAATGGAACATCAACGGATGATAAGTTTTTTGCACAATTGGTAGATATGGGTTTTGATGTAGAGGCGATCAAAGTAGCGATGATGGCGAGCAAAAACGGGAATTTCCAAGAGATATTAGACACGTTACTTCAAAACACGACCACATCGGGACCATCGAAAGGAAGAGCTTATGCCAATGAACATAGGACACCTGCACAAAATGATTCAAACAGCGCTGATGTCTCTTCAGATGAGGAGGAAGACCCAGTAGTGCTTAGGGCGCAAGAAGAGCAATGGAGAAAAGAACGTAAAGCGCAGAAAAGAATATGTAGCGCAAATTAGACGGAATAAACCAATCCCACCCACAGCTAATTCTGGCAACAGGAGCAGTAATGACCATTGGAATGATAAACAACATGATACACCCTACATGGCTTTCCCGCCTCCCCTTCCCCCTCCTCATGCACAGTCTCAGCCCACGTCCGCCAAAATGTCTTCCCACTCTACTACATCGTCATCCTCTCACGTCAGTACGCCTCCACCTCCGCCTCAGACGGATCCCCTTACTGATTATGCGGATAAAGAAAGAAAAGAAGGCAATTATCTGTTCAACCATGGACAGTTCGCTGAAGCGGAAGCTGCCTACACGCTTGCAATACCATCCCTACCGGCGGATCATAGTGATAGCGTCTTGCTCTACAACAACCGCGCTGCTGCCCGACTCAAGCAAGGCAAATTCCAAGATTGTTTATTGGATTGTATGCTAGCTATTGATTTAGCTCAAAAACATATCAACAGTAACAGCTCACCGAGCAAAATCATGAGCGCTATGAATGCAAACATGAAATCACAATTGCTAAAGTCTTTGCATAGAAAACATGTGCGTTGGAAGGTCTGCATTCTTTCGAAGCAGCTTTCCAGGTTTATGAGGGATATATAAGGATCAATGGTGAAGAAAGCCCACTCGCTGTACAGGGTATCAAGCGATGTCAGCAAGCTATGCTAAATGGATCGTCAGTGAATAATGCTAAATGGAAACCATCATCACCATCATCAACAACAGCTAACCAGAGCAGTACGAATAGCAGTGCAACTGCATTCCCTGATATTGACTTTAATATGTTTATGCCACCCAAAAAAGCCCATTTAACAGACGCTGAATTAGAGGAAATCAACAATAGCAAAGCCGTAAAAGCAATGCGTGATAGAGAGAGGCAAAAGGAAGCAGAAGAAGCGGAACGATTAGAAAAGGACGACAAAATGAATTCACAGATTACTATTTGGAAAGCAGGCAAAGAAAAGAATCTGCGAGCATTGTTAAGTTTTTTGGATATGATCCTATGGACAGATGTACTATGGAAAAATGTAACTATGTCAGATTTAATTGAACCTAGAAAATGTAAAATAACGTATATGAAAGCTATTGCTAAAGTTCACCCTGATAAGGTAAGAAAGACCTATAAAAACGTTTCATTTAATTTGAGTACAACTATAGCCATAACTAAAAGGCGTATACTTTTTTTTTTTTTCTTCTTTGGCAGCTTCCTGCTACTGCAACTGTTGAACAGCGTATGTTAGCAAGCGGCATCTTCACGACTTTAAACCAAGCCTGGGATACATTCATAGCAGAGAACAGCTTATAATTTCCTTTTTGATACCCTCATTCCTCTATACATAAAGTCTCTTTCAATAAATTGTAAATTTTACATATCAGAGAATTGCCCTGGGCAGGCCAAAATACGTGCAGGAATTAAAAACCCTAAAAGGTACTAGAAAAAAAAGGGATAAAATAACATATGCTACAGCCTTTTCGGTTCAGTTTTGACAGCGTTGAGTTAATTTTCAGATCAAAAGAACAAAAAAATTGGAAGTCTTGAGTACAGTATTTTGGGATATATTTTTTGATAAAATGTAGACTTATTACCTGTAGAATCTTCAAGGGGAGCAACCATACTGGGGATGGCGCTTTGTTAAGTGGTCCGAGGATTAGGTCGGGTGAACTCACAGGCTTTCTTTCTCCCGCTCAGACGGCTTCAGAAATGCTAAACATATTCTTCGCCGCATTGACGTCACGATTCCAATAAACATTACAATTGTTGCAAATCAATATCGCATGAATCGTCTGTCCGTCGGTGGCAATTAAGTTTCCAAAGTCCTCCTGTCTACATGAATTACAAACCTACAATCTATTGCTAAAAACAAATTCTAAGTGAACGAGTGGAGATATTATCTTACTTTTACAGTTCTGAACTTATCTATATCCAACAGACATAAATAGCCCTGCTTTTCTTTCACCTTCAGGTGAATATATATAGCATTGGAGGCACCATGTTGAGGACCGCGAAATCGTAATTGCTCTTTTCCTCGTAAGCCTGAGCCAAAGACAGTCAAAAGCATTTTTGTGCGATCACCCTCGTCAAATATTCCTGTACGCACGTCCAAATGTTGTGGGTTGCTCTAAAAGTTAGTAAAACTTTCTTGATCTTTGTAGCATTCCCACTGTCATGGTATTTACTTAATTGGAACCTGGGCCTGTAATCTATTCCAGGGTTTCTCCTATTGTTCATTTTTTCCCGCTTCCTTCTGTTATGGCTCGTTCTAATTCTCTTTCTTTTATTGTACTTCTTCGAGCCGTTCAGCAAGATGTTCACAGCAGTATCTTTTGCAACCTGAGAGCCACGAAAGTTTTTCCATTTGATTCCGCCGTCCTATAATCGTAGAAGCTATAGAACTGATCCATATGTTGGCACTTATACCCAATATGATTGCGATAGCCATATCATTAGCAGTTTTTGTAGTCGGTATGTTTGTTTCGAGCTCTTTAACTCCGACCCTTTGCTTGCGTTGATCCTCTAATTTAGACCTTCCAGGAGATCCAGAGATATGATAACATTCTTTTGTAGAGAGTTTGTGAAATTGTTGACCACTGTAGTATGGGACATAAACATCTCTACGACCAGGGTCGACGGTAACAGGACGGAAAAATTGATCAATCTCATTATTTGTGAAGTCTGCCAACTCAGGTTGTTCCGATGTCATAGAAACTTGTCTGGTTCAGGCGAAAGAGACCCTACAGGTGTAGCCATCAGTGTAAATGCTGTTCAGAAACATCCTGCCTTTGGTCGTGGGAAGAACTTGCAGATCATGAGGGCTGATGGTATATTATTGAGTAGTAATTCTTGTAAAGATATGCTAAATGTTATACTCACTCATCGATTCTCAGCAAGGTAGAAAAGTCAAAAATCCGGAAAAAGCATCTTATGAAGTAATCGAGCTTGTTCTCACTTCTGAGTTTTGTGTGACGTTCATGCCCAAAAAAGTGAAAAATATTCTCTGGATCAATTTTGATAAATCTCCATTTAAGACCTGGATTTGGGAACATAGAGAATTTGCGGGGAGTGCTTAGTTGCTGGTGACGCACAGTTTCCAAGATATAATGAAGAAGTGCAATATCTTCAGCACTAATTTTTTCATCGTGTGGTACAGGAATACGATCAACAAGCACTACTTGAGCGTTTGTTTGAGCAATTTCAAACGCTCAATATTCTGTAGGAGTTGGCGAAACAAAGGTATGATTGTTTTAGGGGCGTCTATCAGAATTGCTTTGGTCAAACGAATTCTAGACAACCTATTGCGGGTTTGAGTTGGATGTGTATGAGTAATACCTGCAGTCGAAGAAGTACAATAATATCATTATTGTAAACCATGTTCGGAGTATCCTTAAAGCGTTTCCACTCAGCATTGAGTAATAAATAATCCAGTAAACGACCATAGACAAGGTCTTTCATCGGCGTTCATTCTGATATTCTATATAAGCAGTCAGGCTAAAATTGATTGTTCGGTAGTGATAGACACAATGAGTTCATGTACTCAAAGGGAAGGTTGCTTTAACAAAGAAAAGCAAGTATTCAGCAATCAGGTCCTCGAAGTTTTTAACATAAGAATTCTTATAACTGGTTGCTAATGTTTCGCATGCTGAAGAAACGACCTGGCCAAAGTACCTGATAGCGGGTTTGCTCCACTGTCAACGTCACATGTGGATGAAGTCGAAGTTGATTGTAGACTGGCCAAAATTGACGAGGGCAGGATACCGATCCTCGATTTCATTTATGTTCACAGCACCGTAACCAAAGTGACATACTGTGTACCAAAAATTCTGTTCTAAAAGGGCATGCGTGATGTTGGCTGGATTCGTCAGAATGTAGTGATTTACAATGTATTGAGCCTTGCTTATGACCTCTCTCAAAAAATTTGACTTCTCCGTTATTTTCTCCAAGCACTCATTGTTCCTTACAAAGGTTTCTAGAGGAATGGATAGCGTATAGCTTTCATAATTGTTCCCAAGCTTGTAATTAATTGACTCCTTTAAGGTAACTGGACAATCCAAGCTTCGACTTGAATAGTGCCCTTATCGGCCACAAGAAGGGCAAGGTCGAATTGCGGTGCGCGGTGGCGCTGACTCCTTTTTACGTTTTCTCTTGCGTTTCGTTTTCTTCTCCTCAGCGGTTTCTTTGCTTTTTCGACCTAAATATGAAGCAAGTGATATTGTTAGAAACCTTGAGTGTATATCATCTACTACAGTGACTGATGAAGCGGATTCTATCGATACCTCTTGGTCTTTTTCTCTGTGTTGCAGCGGCGCTTGTTTCTGGTTGATTGCCCTCTATGTCATCATCGTCATGGGCTGCTTCTAGCCTTGTGCGCTCTGCTTCTGTTTTTGCGCATAGTAGCGCTTCTACCTCTGGGAATATGGGACGTCTCATGAAAGTCTGGACACAAAAGGTACTGGAAAGTGAACATATTCAAAGAAGAAAGAAATAACTAAGCCCCAGTTCTCAACTGCAATTATTTATGTCCAATCTATCATCTGGGCTATGTGTCGTAGATACGATATTAAACACTACTTGTTTCTCCCAACGAGTGAGCTCTCATTATGGCTTATTCATATTCTGATTGCATTTGTATTTAACAATAAGCCAGATGCCATGAATATCATCAGGCACTAGGCCATCTAGTAACAAAGTTCTCAACTTTTTTCTGTTAAGATTCCCTAATATGAAAGTCCGTTAGGTGAACTTGATAGTTGTATTGATTTTAGTGGCGAAGAATACGATATGATATACCGTACCCTCCCAGGGACCACTACAAACTGTTGTTGTTTGGTAGTCTTCACGAGACGCGTTACTGGTGCTCTATTGTCAAGGACAAAAAGAATTTCTCAAAGACCCAATTAAAGGAGAAGTGTTTCGCTGGTGTAAAAAGTGTATAAAAGAAGCGAATAATACTCAATAAGAAATGAAAACAAAAATTAAACTCAATATGCCATTAAGTTTTTTTTTATTTACAAACGTCTTTGTCTTTTATTGTATGCGTACTAAATGTTTGTTGTCACTCTCTAAAATACCGCAATACTTCTTTGCAGTCAATGAATTAAAGAATCTTTGTTTCAAATACGGGCTATATTTATTACAATTTGCGAACTTTGGTGCCGACCTTGATTTATATTTTCATCTCTTATACTCACACTTAATAATTTCTCAACGTATACAAACGAAAAAAAGTGCAATGTTTATCATATGTATTGACCAAGCGTTACATTATATTCGGACCTCTCGTATCATACTAAAGATAATAGATCAGATATATACCCAAGAGTGTTACTAAAAACAATATGTTTCTCACGTATAAACCTATAGGCTCATTAGTCTCGAGTATTCATAGGAGTATGTTTCCTTTTTGGCGTTGTGTTGCTATTCACTTCTGCTTACCTTCTAATAAACAAAGTTACGAATTCAATGCCTTATTTATTTCGACTTTTCTTACATGAACTTCTAAATAGACTTCATTCCTTTTTCATAGTCAAAGGTTAATTCTTATTGCTGGCCTTCGTCATTCTCTGCACTAAGTTCATCAAAAAAAAACTTTTCTTTTTTCCTCTTGTCATGTAAAACGAACTGTGGTGTATATTCCAAAATGCTGCTTTTCGATGTATTCTTGTCCATCAAAAGATTCAGGATTTTCCATATTAAGCGCAATAAACATTAGTTACTCGTTTTAGTTCGTTTATTTAATAAGTTCCTGATTGAGAATTTTTGTATGCGCATCAAGAGATATGCGATATAAAACAATAAATGTCGGGTAGATATTTCTTGGAGCAAAGATGCAGTGAAGTAGCTTAGCTTTAAAAAATAGTCTAAGAGCAACAAGTGGATCTAAATTAGAGTTCTTGGTAACATAAATTGGTTATCACTAATATTGGCCCATTTTAATAAGTCCGGTTCACCTACTTTTGAAGGCTGTTCGTCCAAGTCTTCTACAATATGTGAGTTTTTTTTTGGGGGAATAGTTTTCTTTTTAAGGATTATTTATTGAGAAGTAACAAATTAGTCACATATCACTTAGCGGTGGGACATGGAAAGGATGAAGACAATATCTGTATCAAGAGCAGCCGCTTCCCGCAAGAGCTGAGAAGACAGGTTCAAGGGGATAACATTGTGGGCTTTACAAAGTACGGATGGTGTGAGATTTCTTATAATCACCTACGCCAAATATACACAGTATTTACATAAGCTACATTATGTGTATCTTCCTATTCTCCCATACTATATATTATAACGGTATCAGACATATACTTTTTCTAAATCATCACTCATTGTAATAGAGTATTATCTGTTTTCGAGCGCTCAACGGAACCTGCAATTGCAGAGCTTTCAGCTCAATAAGATCTATATTGTATCCTTTCCAAAGGGATTATGAAGGGAAAAATATGTGAGAGAAGGGTTGTTCAGACTGTTATGCTCCCATTCCTAATGGTGTTCTTGCACTGAACGACTGCCATCAGTCCAATTTTATCTCAAGAAAGCGTCTAGAACAGATTGCAATATTAGTTCCATTTAATTCAAAAAAAAAAAAAAAACCAATGAAGTGCAATTTATTTTTCTAAAATTCCAAATCTGAAGCGAAAATACTGTAATGATGTTGTCCGTCCAAGCCCACTGGATCTTTCCTTAGCTGTTCCGGAATTGATTTTAAATATCGACTGTTTACTATATGCCGACGATGTCGTCTTGATTACTAATAAAGATCATCTGCAGACCCTGTTGCAACAATGTGAAGCTCATAGTCTTCGGCTAGGTTATCACTGGCATCCGAATAAATGTGTTATCCTAGACAGATCAACGCATCCTATAGATTACCAGCATTATGGAGTTCCTCTACAACGTCAGCTCACTTTTCCGTATCTAGGAATACCTTTTCAACCAGTGGTAGTATAGATATAAATGAACTAGCACGTACTAACACGTTTAAGGCCCTTACTACGATGAATCAATTAGCAGCAATCGGTGTCAATCCTGGTGGATTCGAAAAACTGCTGTCACTACGGTTATATGCCCAATTAGTCCGCGCAAAGATGGAATACGGACTGGCCATTAGCCCCCTAACCGCGAAGCAATATAAACAATTCGAAGATACCCAGAACAAGTGTATTCGACGAATCTTTGGTGGATCCAGTAGATCGTCTGCCCGACTTATGCTCCACCTTGCCAATCTGCCCACCATGAAAGAACGCTCCTTCGTCCTACAAGCTAAGTTCCTATTACGTTCTACCTCACTGCCTACTGATACTTTAATCTCGATACTACTCCCATATATAGGCCAGCAACAGAGTAAGTCGTTATATTGCAAGCTTGCTCGTTCTCCGATCTGGCAAGATTACACTTCTTCTCCGCTCAATCAACGATCTGAATCAGCTGCTCTGCAACGCTGTATTGCTAACTTCCGTACTAGCCTCCTTCACATCCAACAATCGAACAGCCCCAACTCCAAACTGATCTTTCAATGCCGTTCTCGATTAATAATCGACCCGATCCTTTATATTACAATGTCAACTAATGAACGCAGCCGATGTATCCGATGGCGTATGGGTTCGCTTCCTGGGGGCCACCGAACCTATTGCATTAAACATCCCTCGTCATTACTTACAAAGTTCCACGCTATCTCCTGTTTAAACATGCACCACCGCCTACGACTCCCCACATCAGTCTGTGATCCCATATCCTATGTCCTCAACCATCTTCCTACACATCCGATCAACAACCATCCCAAATACAAAATTGGCATTTTCTATGGCCAGTACTTTGTCACATTTTGTTTGAACTCGACTACTTACATCACTCTCGAGAGCCGCCTACAACTCCTCGGTTAGGGCATTTATTGCTCGACTGGTTACCCTCTTCCCCTCCCCAACCTTATAGTCCATAATCCTTTTTACCCTTGAGCCCTAAGGGGTTTTTAGATTCTCCTCAGCCTTTGGAGCCGCCCCGGGCAATTTAGATAAGTTTAATATCTCGTGTCCATTGGGCTTTAAAAATGTCAGTAATAAAAATCCTTTGCTTAAACGTAATGATGTTGTCTCCTTTCCTTCTCTTCTTAAGTCAAATTATTCAAAGTTTCGATATCTCCTTCTCCCAGAAGCTCCTCTTCTCTCGTCGATGTTTTATCGCCCTTCTTACGAAGTGCAGGATATTCCTTTATATTCTTATTTATTTGGCCTTCTTCTGCCTCATATCTCTGACTGTAGTAGGCACTTTTGTCTTTATAACCGTGTAAATTCCTCCAACTAGATGTATTCGCAAATGACAATCAATTATACCAAACAGTTTATAAGAGTGGGAACTCATGTTGCTAATCAATTGTTCTTATGCCCAGCATATTACCTTTGTTTGCTATCTCCCAGGCAATTTCAAAAAATAATGGAGCATAAACATTTTTAAGCATGGGCATAATTGTATAATTGTAGAAGCAAAAATCGTGTAGAATGACAACGAAGGGAGCTCAAAATCTGTTGGCCGATGGGACGCAAATAATACCAACAAAACGTTGGCTGTGTTGTTAAATGAACAGAAAGCTAAAAAGAGGGAAGAAGTATAGCTATTGTGAAGATACTGTGAATCAAGAGCTTTTTCGTCTTAAACTTGTCAACAAACTCATATCTATTGTTGAACTTGTTGCCAATAACCACATTCTTTCATGCCTTTAATTTGTCTTTTCCCAATTGTGTAATGTCCATAGATAGATACAGTAAGGTTTATTTGGGGTTTACGTCCATACATAAATCTGTTGGGTAAAATAATCAATTCCACGTTGAACACATTCATTTAGAATTATGGATCACATATGCATTAGAAACCACTCTTAAATGGATTATGCCTCGCTAACTAAAAGATGAGTATAGATAATGTTACAAAGAAGATTTAGGGTTTCTATTAACCATTTCTTGTAGGTTAAATGATTATGTACTTTCTTGATCCAGGTGATTGATTATGGAAGAGGTCTAAAAATGAATTATGAAAATGGTACAAAAGTTCATCATTTTTAATGGCTAAGTAAGCCAACAGCGGTAACAATTTAAATATAGATAAATAAAAACCTATATTGCATACTCACCTAAGTATACACAGATAAGAGCAACAAAATATCCATACTTATAACTTTTTAAGAGTCGAAGAATATGCGTCATGTATTTGCATCCGAAGGCATCTTCCTGATTTATACTTGATACTTTGTCAAAGATACATTTTTCTGTAATCCAAGATTTTGTAATATCTATTCTGAAAGATCCTCTTTAGCTGAATCAATAGCTCACTCTCCTTTCTACTCAAGCCTTGGGAAAACTGCCCTCTGCTGTACTATTGTTGAGGAATTTCCCTCTCGCTGGTGACTATTTTTCCGCGAAACAATAATGTCAGCTAACCTCAACTTGCTCGATTACCCGAAATTTCATCCTTTTATTTTTTTTTTCTTCCTTGTGAATAAAAGCCAAATTGCAGATGAATTCTGAAAAGTGGGAACAGCTTAAGGTAACACTCAATTTCGATGAAAGTAAACAGTTTAGGGTAGCTCTCAATCTTGATTGGAGTAAAGTTACTGACCAGTTTGCAATTATTTAGAACGAGATTCATACCAAATGCGTTGCATATGACTACAGTGACATTAATGGTAATGTTGTTGATCCGTTGCAAAAGCTCTAAACTATCTATAATAACACTTTTATGGACATTTTTTTGACAGACAGCTCACTTGCTATCTTCATTACAAACTTGGTTCGTGTTGGAAAGACATTTGAAGAAGTGAACAGCGAGTTACTCTCAAGTAATTATTCCTAATTGCATTTGTGAAATATAACCCAAAAATAATTAATATTTTTTCGTGTTTTCTGTTATTCACAGTGATTGGTGGAGATTACGGTATTGTACAAACATTTGAGATATGCTTGCTGGCTTCCATTAACTCTTCAACACTCTGAAATAGATTCGAATGTGACAGAATGGTTGTTTAGTAGAAAAAATGAGCTGGAAACTAGCGGCTCAACTGCGGAACAATCCAACGGTCAGGAGCTCCCAAATCAAAAGGAGCAAGTTTTATCTGATCATGAGGAACTAGTTGATTCAAGCAAACCAGAACAGACACAATTCGAACCGCAGCAGCTGAATCAGAAGCAACCAGAAGAACAGAATGAGGAACAGCCAAGAGATACCTCAACGCATGTTGAAAGACCTAAGAGTAGGATTTTTAATCATGCTATTGGAGCGCTAAACCCAGAAAGACGTATAGAGCAAACCACAAACAAGAGACAAGTACAAAGTCGTCATGCTGATCCGATGCGTGATCGTTCACGGTCTCCTGTTCGTCGTTCTGCTCGCAATGACCGATATAATAGATCTCGTTATGAACAGCGTGATGGACGCCTTGACAGCCATAGAACTGTACAGATTTTGCCACGTAACGCTAGAGATGATGGTAGTTCCAAGGGTGAAAGACCGAGCGTTTTCGATCGTTTAGGTCCCCGGTCCACGGCTCGACAATTGGACAACAGCCGCAATGTGGAATCAGATGATCAACATGTTCGATATGAGAGATCACAATTAGAACAAGCGGAAGAGGTCCAATCAATGGATACTGATACACATATGGAAAAGCCGACTGTACACAATATAAAAGAACGTTGCAAGTATTGGCCAACTTGTAAAAATGGAGAAAACTGCCCTTACTTTCATCCTACAAGGATCTGCCCGTACGTATTCTTGAAGCTAGCAATACTATATGATTTTCAGTTTCTGATTTCAAGATTTAACTAACTTCAACTTTCTTAATACTATCAGTAAGTTTCCTAACTGTCCTAAACCAGCGGCTGAATGCACGTTCATCCATCCTGAAACTGACATGCCACCACAAATGGCTCAGCCTATGATGGCCAAAATACCCGTTCCCTGTAAATTTTTTCCATATTGTGCCAACCCAGTATGCCCATATATACATCCGATATTTTCGCCACAAAACCAGCAAGCAGCATACTTCATGCAGTATCAACCTAACCAGCCACCAACTGGCCACCGTGTTCCAATATTATGCAGGAATGGCGATGCATGTACACGACCCGGATGTCGCTTTTCACATCCAAAAGACCCTAATCCTGTTTCTGAGATTATTGTAAGTAGATGGTAATCAAAATACACTGTGGGAACGGAGCATTATACGCTAACCATCATGTTTATACATAGTGTAAGTTCGATGGCGCCTGTACCAGACCGAATTGCTTCTACAAGCACACCAAGCAAAATACTACATCACATAACAAAGTTCTCGTCAACAAGCCAGAAACTAGTGAGAGGCAATTTTCAGTACCTGAAGATCAAGTCGAAGAACGAATTATTGTAGGTGAAAGTGCTGATCTCATATCTCAACAACAAGATGATCAGCAACAGCAAAATCAACAGCAATAACATTGTAATTTAAATATAAAGTTTAATTCATATACAATTCGGATCTAGTTGTTGAAATAAAACTAAAAGGCTGCTCTACATCATTTTGGAATATCAAAGTGAGTCTTATCGTAATGAGCGATACATGGAGTGTTTTGTGTTTTTATTTGAAATTTTAGCTTTTACTACTGAACAATACTTTTGAACGTATATTGCTAGATATCAATTGTATGCTCCTTTTTTTTTTTTTTTTTGGTAGGAAGTTTGTTTATCGTTAAATAGATAACAATTAATGAGTCACAGATACAGACAGATGGGACTCGAAGAACCAATTGATATAGAAGTAGCTATAGACAAATACGATATTTTTCCGACTATTACAATCTACCAATTACTAAAAGAGCATTCATTTTGGCCATGATGACAAAGAGTTTATGCTCGAGAACAGTATTGGGATTGCATAAATACGTTTAAAGAGAGGTTTTTATTGACAAAATATTTTCTTTAAAACCCGTGGGCACAATGTTATATAAAATTGCCCGGGGCAGATCCGACTGTTTATAAAAGTATCTAAAAAGCCCTTCAAGATCAAGGGTAAAAACGAGTTTATCACAAGGTTGAGTGATTAGAAGGAAACATCCATTGGAGCAGTAAAAGTCCTAGAGCAACATCCAAGGGCGGGGGTTCTTTGACGTGGAATAGGTAGTCTAGCTCATATAGGATGTAGCAGAGGATCGGCCATTGGTGTTCCCATTGACGTTTTATCGTAGGTTGGCTAGGCGGGTGGTTAGGTAGCTGATTTAGAAGATACGAAAGGGGATCATCTATTTGCTGTGGTTGCTGCAAACGCGAGTGCATATTCAGGCATTGGATTGAGTGTGTCTTTGTTAACAATGCTGAAGGGTGCCGGATGCAGTAGGTGGTGTTACCACTAGGTAACCAACCAAGTCGCCAACGAAGACATCGACTTCTTTCTTCTCTTGTCATTGGGAGCCATAGTATGGGATCTAAACTTACTGTTGGGCGGCAGATGGATATGAGCTTAGAGTTTTTGGGGCGCTTTGCATTGCTTGTAGGGATTCTGTACGAAAGTCTCTCAGGGACTGTTTGAGATTTTTCTGATCCATTGTCTGGGCGTTTTCCTTGGTTCTTTGCCAGAGAGGTGTACGAGATAGCTGAATCCAGATAGAAGAGCTATTTGGTTGTTATACATATGGCAGCAGTAGGGACAGTAGGGCATCATCTGGGAGTGTTTGTGATCGTAACAGGATTTTAGTCTGGAGAGTATAGGCTCTTTCTCGCATTGAGGGTAAGTTGGCTAAGTGACGCATTATCTTGACAGAGGATCGAATTGACCCACCAAATATCCTGCGAATGCATTTGTTCTGTACGTTTTCCAGTTTCATATGATTTGTCCTGTTCAGTTTGCTTATCGCCAATCCGTATTCCAGTTGAGGGCGGACCAGATGAGCGTAGAACCTGAGAGATAGTAGCTTATTAAAGCCGTTAGGGTTGACTTCTATCGACGATAAGGTGTTCATAGTAGCCAGGGCTTTGGTTGTGTTGATATGTATGAGCTCTTGAGTGTCCAGGTAACCACCGGGCTTGAAAGGAACTCCCAGATATGGGAAGGAATTGACGCTTTGTAGTGTGAATCCATAAAGGAGATATTCCATCGTTGGTTGATCAGAAGAAGCCAGTATTACACACTTGTCAGGGTTCCATCGGTAACCACGGGAGTAACTATGCTGTTCACATTTTTGAAGTAGGGTGTCGTATTTGAGGGTAGATGATTGTTGATCTTCAAAGAATAAGGTTAATTAAAAAGAGTTAGAATTCTGTGAGAACTTGTTATACTCTTTATTCAGTGAAAATCGTACAAAAGAAAAACATATCTAGATTATGAAAAATTTTCTATCTTTTATAGGATGATGTGTTGGGCTGAATAGAGCGGGTTTAGCCGGTGTCATATAGACTGTTGTTTCATCAAAGACACGGGTACCTTCACCATGGTTGAGCGCGGGTACTTACTCATTGAGAGGTTAGTGGATCGGACTGTAAGCAATTGGCGACGAATATAAAATAGAATGATAAGACCACTAACCAATGTCCGCTTTCTGACAGATCATTGTGAAAGAGTAATAATTATTGAAGTACTATGTACTATGGATCTGTTAACCTCATATGTAGCATTGTAGATCATAATTAATATCAGTCGCTGTATTTCAACTGTGCAGATTCTAGAAGAAGTATAATCTCATATTATGGCTATATGGTTACTCCTAATGTCATAACTCGATCATTATGTAATAACTCTGGCTCATATATACAACAATGATATACAAATATTAAAGATATAATTCACTTTATGAAGGATAAAGATGAATTATACAATATTGCAAACCAGAAATAATTAGAAACTACATAAACTCTAATATATGAGTACGTGAATTAAGTGTTGTGTTTAGTTGACAGTGTTGTATCCAACAGCATATTACTCTTGGATTATTACATAATACTGAAATAAGAGATTGCGGATCCTTATGAAGGTTAGAATAACCGTGAGTGATAGGTTTGTTAGAACAATTCTTTTCTTTAGCGGAAGAATATTTCATCTGTATATCCGAGACAACATTGGATGAGTAATTGACTTCATTTAGAAATAAGATATTATAGTATTTGGATTTGATTAAATCAGATAACTTTATTTAGCACATCAAACCACAATACATAAATCTAATCTATTTAAGCTATTATCTTCTAACTTGTTGATCCTTACTTTAACCCTTTACATTCTGACAGAATTCAATAAGACTGAAACGTAGACGTCGGCAGAATTAAGGAAGAGTTTATCCTGTCCGTCACGTTAGTTATAATGAAACTGCTGAAGTACGGGTCAAAGGAACCTTTAGTTAGATCAACCCACTTACCTCCTGTCACCGATCCAATCGGTCAAGGCACCGCTATAGCATGATGAACCGTGCAGTAACAATTGGGTATGTCTTTTCTTTTATCATCAAGGCATCTTGTACCTAAGAGTCTCGATAGAAAAAGTTTTTTACAATATCCACAAATATAAATAGAAGTACTTTTTTCCTACATGGTTTTTGTCTTCATTCTTAATGGAGTTCTTTATCAGAATATTCCAGCGAATAAAAGAAGATAACTTGGTCTTCACTGATTTCCTTTTGTTTTCTTTTCCTTTATACTTTTATCTGATCGTATACAACATTTTTTTCAGTGAATCACTCAAGATGTCTATCGAGAATATTGTCACTGATTCGAAGGCTGCTGGTGAAGTAGTCAAGAACTCTGCTGCTGCTCTTGGTGGATCTTCTACAGGTGAAGGTGACTCTACGCAAGTAGTAATTGAAGAAGAAGGTGTAGATGCAATGTGCATCGTGGACGACGACGGTGATGGAAACTCTCCAGCCCTGAGCGCTGGTACTGGTGTGATGGATGACACGTCATTTGTCGTAAACACAATTGAAGACTTTCGCAAGGAGCTGGTAGAAGACATCAGCAAACTGTCTCGTGCTCGTGCAATCGGTGATATGGAAGCGTTTGATGCTGCGATGGTTAAAATGGACAAAACTCGCAGAGCAATTCATAGCTTGGAAGCGAATGCAGCTCTGTTGAGGAAGGGTTCTGAAGACATTTCGTCTGTTGGTAGTGGCACAAATAGACTCTTTGACCCTGTTGGTGAGAAACGTGGTTTAACGCTGAACCGCAGAGACCTTCCGAAGTTCCAATTGAGTTCTGACGTATTTAAACGTTATCCCGGTGAAGAGGTGTTCGAGTCGGTTGACCATTATTTACGAACCTTTGAACAGATCATTAGATCTTCCTCAATTAGAGACATTGAACGCTACTGGAATGACCTCATCCCTTTGTGCCTTCCCCCCGGTGACGCTGCATGGGTAGACAAGACGCTTTTGAAGTGTACTAGCTGGTCCGATGCGAAGGTGGAGTTCCGGAAGTATTACGGATCAAGAACTGCAAAACGTCGCTTTGTTGAGCAGGTCTACACTATGAACATGGCGCCGAAGGACAACATTATTGATTATTCCAGGAGATTTCTCCAGATGATGCATGAGGCGGGCATCCCCAGCACGGATGAAGGCGTGGCCGATCGATTTTTAACTTCCTTGCTTCCTCCCGTTCAAACGGTACTACGTCTGTCAATGGCTACGAATAAGGATGAAAAGTGGACCGTTGAGAAGCTTAGTGAACTCGCTAGAGATGTATTAGGTGACGACCAAACCACCTATGGCTTTGCCACTGCTCTCTTGCCAGGTGGTGCTACGAAACCTTATACAGCTTCCATGCCATATCAAGGAGGGGATAGACTTAGCAAAAGAATGAAGTTGAAAGAGGTCAGCAAAGGTGGCCATGGTAGCTCTTCTTCTGGTACTACTGCAAGTAACAGGTTTTTCTGCAAGCGACACGGACAAAATGCTACACATAGCACCGACACTTGTTTCTCGTTGAAGAACGAACAAGAAAAGAAGAACAAGGTGAAGAAATTTGAGCAAGCAAAGAAGGAAGGCAAGTGCTATAAGTGTGGTGAAAGGTACGGTCCGGGTCATGTTTGCAGGAAGCCAACCACCGTTTTGGCGGTCAGAGGAGGAGACGACACAACTGAGCCCACTGTGGATAATGATTTGACCATTGAGTCAATTGAACAAATGGAGCAAGAGCTTAAAATGGTTCCCGTTGCTGCGGAGGACACTTTTATGACTGATGCCTACAATTGTAAGTCCAATGTTACTTCTAATTATATTGCACGTAAGAATCCATTAAATCTAATGACTCCTATTAAAATAGAGGGCAAGGTCTTGATGGGTCAGATTGATACAGGCAGTAATATAAGTTTCATTAATACCAATAGTTTAAAACATTTATCCATAAATAAAGTTTATTCATTGAATGGTACTTACAATATGTTAAATGATAAGAATGATGTTCCCCGTATTGGTAAGACTGACTTGTTGAGAGTTGGCTATACGAATGGTATTGAGTTCAAACATTCTTTTGAAGTTATGAAATTCAATGAGCATTTTGATTTTGATGTGCTTTTGGGTGTGGACATTCTACCTAAGTTGAACATTTCTCTTCATGGTGTTGCTTGTAAGTTAAATAATCCAGAAGAAATGGCGAAACAGTTTGATAATGTCAATCATGAATTCGATGTTGAACACCTTCCAGATTCTTCTCCTGCTGGAACTCCTATTGAG